TTCCAATAGATATTGTCTGTTCATAGGGCCTATTTATTCAACAGGAAATAGAAGGAGGGCCCCCAATTGCGTTATAGAAAAAAGCAACGTGTACCCCTCCCTCTCACACTCCTCCATCTCATACCACTTCCCACCCCCCGGCGCCCCCCACACCCTTCCCTCTGTCCTTACCATTTCCCTCCCTTCTCCAAAAATCCAAATCCTAAAACCTCAACTTCGGCCCGACAAACACAATCAACAGCGCCACAACCCACAAGGCGAAAATCCACGCATACATCAACATCCGGCCCCACCACCCCTTGCCTTCCGCCATACGTCTCACTGCCCCCATCCGCTTCCCTGCCGCCTCCATCCCCGCCGTGCTCCGGTCCAAACCCTCCGCTGCCCGGGTGAGGATTGATTTTTCAGACTCGAGGCTCGTGTGCAGGTTCTGTGTGGAGGTTTTTAGTTGGGGTGGCCAGCGCGAGGAGGGAGGTGGTTAGGGAGTCTTGTTCGGCTTCGTTTTGGGAGAGGGCGGCTTGCGGGGTCGTTGTTGTTGTGGTTGTTGTTGTTGCGATGGGTGCGGTGGGGCGGTGGGGGAAAAGATGTTTGAGGGTGGGTTGGATGTCGCTGTTGTCGTAGCGGTTGGGGTCGTGGTTGATGATGAATGGTCGTGGTGGTGGAGTCTGCTGCGTAATGTGTTTGATGGTGATGGTTCTAGCGGTTGTATCGGGGTTGGTGATGTGGGCATATTGAGTGTGTCTTGATTGTGTCTACCTTCTTGGGTAGTCTGGCCTTCTTCGCTTTGGTCTACTTCCTCGTCATCTTTTGTTTCTTCTTCCTTCGTTGGCGCTAGATCTGCACATTTTGGCGGCGGCGGAGATGTGGTTTCTGGTGTGCTATCGCTTGGTGTTGGTAGTAAATCTTCTTCATTGTCCGACGAGAATGTCTGAGTATCTGGCTCCGCTTCGGCTATGGCTGTGATTTCATCTAGCCGGGCTTTAAGAGCCTTAATTTGTTGCCGTTTATGGGCAAGGTTTGTCTGGAGAGAGACTTTGCGAGCTTGGATTTTGATGTTTGGGAGGGAGAGTTCGAGTTTCATGAGCAGGGTCCGCGAGTACTCGATATTCTTTGAGAAGTAGTCAGTAGATAGCCAGGATTGCATATGTAGGAATTGTCTTGGTATGCTCACAGCGCCAACTCTAGCTCGATGGTAGGGGGATCGATGTACAAGTTTGAGATCTGCAGATGGAGATATGAGGTTGTTTTCGAGGCGAGCAAGAAGATGTGTGAGGTTGACGAGTGTAATGTCTGGGGACGCGTAGGATTCGGGCAATTTCCGTGCCATTGCTAAAATCAGAAAACATAACGGACGTCGTCAGGAATCCTACCAAAATACAGATTAAAACTGGTGATAAAGTATCCCAAGAGTCAAATTGGCAACGTCAGAGTCTGGGGCAAGGTAGTATTAGTCAGTAATTATGTAAGCACACTCTTTTGGATGCATGTTTTGTTGGTGCTACCGAGTCTCTAACCTAGCAAGCTTCTCACTAAATATAAGATAAGGTCGAGGCTTATATCGTGCTTCTGAGCTTGATCACTAGATCAGGAGGTAGTGCCACTATCACAGGTTAAGATATACCGGCAAGGGATATCTAGGATGACTAACAATAGCTACGGCGGCGGCCTAAAGTAAACAAGATGAATACTAAGTAGGGCTTACAGGGTAAGGGCGGTACTTAGGTATGCGTTGTTAAGATGAGCTTATAGCAGCACAATATAACTTGGTATAAGTAATAGGGTCAGATCTGCATGAGGCCTGTGTGAGAGGTTTAGTGTGAAGAGATAAAATGAAGATAAGATTGATCGTGATCAAGAAGATAAGCTTCTTGATCCTAAGGGTAGTGGTGTGTTTAAATACATTTGAGTCCTCATACAAATTATCTGCTCACTCTGCTCACTCTGCTCACTCTGCTCACCTGTGATCATGGTGATCATGGTGATCATGGTGATCAGTCACGTGCCTTAGTACATTGCTTCCGGCATCAAGGGTTGTTCCGTTCCTACGTCCCCTCTAGTCTTATCCAATGCTGTGCCGTAGGGTTATATAACAGTTGGGTGTCCCCTCTACTACCAGCATGGTTGCCCCACATGTTTTCTTGGAGGATAACGTTGTGTGTTGCGTGGTATTCATCTAGCTAAGCAAGCAACTGCTCTGCTAATCAAAATATTGAGAATTATGATCTCTTTTGCATTTCAATTTACACAGATGATCAATGATCTAGTAACGATTTCTTGAAGCTCAGAAAATTAGAAGTTTATACAGTCCATTATATACTGGTACTGAGTATATATCTCAATTCTACTTTCCTATTATAAACAATATCCTTACATGTTGGAACGCTCTTATTTTCAACGCTGCCTTCCTTTTTCCTTCCATTTGGTGCATGTTTTATACATCCCCCTCCTACTTTATTGACACAATGACCTGCGCTCAGAGGATCCCATCCTCATATTTCCAGCTTCTATAATTTTGGCTCAAAAGCTACCATCATTTTATACTGATCCCACAAATTACTTACGAGTACATATTTTCCTACGAAGGACGGCTCTTTTAATCCAACGTGCCCTTCGCCTTAAAATCGTCCATTTTACTCTAATTTGCCCGTGCCATGCCCGCACTTAGGGGTCTAATGGTACTAGAGCTTTGGATCGGTTGAAGGATTTTTAAGTTGAAACCATTTTCAGATGTTTCTTACTACGTTATGCCAATGTCATAATGGCTAACTCACCTGCTACTGCGTACATTATTGTGGAGTGATCTCATCCCACAAGTGGATAGAGAAAAAATTTTTATTAAGACACTTTTCAAAATGTTTGTTCATTTTCATTTTCATTTACTTTTTTCAAAAAAAGATTCAACTTGAATTATAGACTTTTGTCATTTCAATTCTTGAAGCGCGGTGAAGACATTATTTACTTCTGTCGACCATGGTCAGGTAAGGAGTGACGTTAAGAAACAGCAACACCATAAGGAAGGGGACTAGAAACTTGGGGCAAAATTCCTCCCGGGGGGTATAAAAAAGCGCAGTGACGACAACGGTGGTTGATCCTCAAAATTATGCATAGGCGGTCCACTTCCTTTAATTACACTCGAGAATTCTCCTTCTCCAGGCCTGGCGCTTATCAGGCCCCGCCCTGGGGAAAAACTGAACCTCCTCCCTTTGAACCTGTGGGAAATCGACGGGTTGTTTTTGCATCACAGGGGAACCAAAAGGATGTGGATGTGGATGGATCTTGGACCGCCCGTCAGCAGGACGAGAGGTTTCTTCAGGTTGCCAGTGAGGTGCGGGTGGTGTCATTCGGACCGCGCCCGGTGAGACTCCAGATTGTAGCCTTGGTAGGCCAGCTGGGAATGGAGATGGTTGGGCTGGGAGCATCGAACTCTGGTTGGAAAGTTGAAGCCAGGACTGGGTTTGAGCGTTAACAAGTGTTGTTGATGGGGTTGCTGTCTCTTCCGGTGACTTCATTTTAGGTGCTCTGTCAGCCGGACTGCATGCGCTCGTTTCAAGTTGTTGAGCTTGACGACTTGGTATCACCGTCCCGGCGGTACATTGTCCGATGGCGTTTTCATTAACGTTGTCGGTGGTGATGTGCTTCTCGGAGAAGTTTGGAGTAAGATCTTGATGTGTTATGTTACCGGATGCTGGATATCGTGATCTATTATTATGCCTCTTAATAAATGCGATGGATAATAGGACAGAAAGAGGTATAAGGGCGTATAGATATGACAGGAGGGTGGGGAGCGCTAGCCTGCGCTGCGCTTCATGTGTCGGAGCCATGGGATATGGGTAAAGTTTTTTCAAGGTAATAAAAGTTAATTACAGAAGCGGTTCTTTGCAATTGAGATATAGGATTTCGGGATTTAATCATGAACGTTAATTATGTCCTCATCCTGGACCTGCCGTGCCGTGGACCTAACTGGCAATGGGTATGGAAAAAGGCAGCGGACCCTAGGGGCGAAGACCAAAGAAACTTGCGAAGCTGACCCGAATCAATGAAAGGACAAACGGCTCGGAACGAGGGTTGAGGGTACTAAGGCTGGTTATTATAACTACAATTTGATGAGGCGTAAATATTATCTATCCTCCATAAGCAGCAAAAGTTTGCCGCATTCTGACACTCCACGTCCTACTCAGCCAACCACATCGCCGACAAGCGTCTGGATTCCATACCAAGCTGCTGATTGCCCCAGAGTACTAAAGGGGGAAAAAGAACAAATACCTGGCCAATCTCAAAAACTTGTACGTTCTCATTCCTCCCCCCATTTTCCCCAACTGGTCGGTTGACATGCTTGGCGGAGGGGTAACTAAGCAAGTGGAGCTGATTCTAACCAGCCTGCATTGCCGAGGACGGATGCTAAAACAACTCAAAGAACAGCTTCAGATGCTGTCTTAGGTTAAGCTTTGGTCTAACTGCTCCGATCTGCTCTTCGTAGCGTAGGGTCAGCTCAGTTGAACCAACGCCATCGGCTTGTCTAGAAGATCACTGACAACAACTGCTTTCTCCTGTAAAGGGGTGGCTATTCCTATGCCAAAGAAGAAGCCCATTAGATCTTCTTCTAAGTTACAATATGGCTACTAATTATGCCACCATTCAGAAGGAACGGACCAAGACATATTCATGAGCTCGTGCTCAGCAACGGTGGTTGAAGAGCAAGATACCTGAACCTCTTTGGTGGGGGAGGTCATCAATGCATTTCCAGAGGCAAAAACAATATTTGCTTCATTTGTTGAAGACATCAAATCTCACTGCCACAAGGAAAGGATGCAAAATTTTCTAATTCCCATTGTGGCAATGACAGCACACACACATCAAGAGATCGGAATTCCGCGAAGCAGTTCATGATTTTTATTGGGAAATATATGAGTCCAATGGACAGGGTGGCCATGCGATCCTTGCCATAGCTTAAAGAACGCTAACGGCGCTAACCTACCACCCTAGTGTGTTTTTCAGCTCAGCCAGGATATGCTGAGAGATTGAGGATGTTCTCACACTGGGCCGAAGAAGAGCTTGCATTAGTCTGCACATCAATATCATGTCTCTTACTTTCATGTTTGTTGCTTGCAATGTGGGTTTAAAGCCACAGTCGTATGTGAGGGCACAGAAGAGCCGCAGCGCTGCATGCAGTTTCAGCTGAGTTCCTAGCCTGGCCAGGTTCATGACTGGCATAAACATATAATATTTTTGCAGTCTGAATCCAGTCAGAGATTGCTGGATGTAATGTTTGTGAAAACAATATGCTGCCAGGACTGAGGGAATATATATGTATATATATATATATTTTTTTTCAAATTTGAAAATAGACTTTATTAGTATATTTTGTTTTATTTATATCTTCATCAGTTTTTACTATATATTCAAATTCTATTTTAAAATACTAGAAATTGATGAAGTTATTCAAAGATTTTATGACTTTTTCATGCTCTGATGTTGCAATCTGTCTGAGCTAAAAATTTTATATGTTCCCTCAAGCAGCGCAATATTTGAGTGGAAGGTCGCTAATTTCTAGCATCATCCAGAGGAGAAAGTTAACTAGGTCATTTGAAGATTGGCCTATTCCCTCTTCTTACTGCAACCAACATCGCCATCCTCGCATCACATCACGATGAACCCCAGGATGTGAAGCTGCTTTGTTGATCGTCGTCGCCGTCGCCTTCGCCGATTCGACTAACCAGCTATCGATAAGGTTTTGATAATGGTCGATCTTGAGGCGCACAAAAACCAACGCCATCACAGATCTACCAAAAAAGAAAAGGAGCCAGCTACCGAGTTTCAGGGTCGAAGCTCCATGCAGTTCTCCGTTGGCATTTCAATTCGGGCCTCTAGACTTCTGGTTCCGTGACCTTGTCGCTATATTTCTATATTTCTATAGTACAAGTAATCATCGCATACTTCAGCATGACTTCAAGCACCCATTCTTTCATCAACGTACGCCCAGAGGGCTTTGTCTTCGTTGTACAGTACATTTATCCACAGCTTGGTCATCAAACTATAGTTCGGTCAAATTTCACTCTCCAAACTGACTGACTTGCTTTCAAGCGCTTTAGATCAAACTTGAAATGTGAATTTTCTGGTTTGCAATTTGATATCTGTCGGTGGATTTCTTCTCAATACCGTAACTGCACCAGCAGCCGTGGTGGAAGATATTTTGCCTGTGACCTATGCAAAGACAGATTTAGGCGCAAGTCGTCAATTTAACCCATTTCCACTCTAGGAGTGTTTGAAGAGGATTGATTTACTTGACGGTTTACAAACCCAGGAGCTGGAAGCTACGAGTACTACTACCTGACCAGTTGAGAGTTGGAATTGCGGAACCCCATCGATCGATTGTTAGCAGGGCCTGACGGAGAGCTCAATCACTACCTTAAAGTAAAAGCGTCGTGTCATTTGGCCACGTTTCTTTTGAAGTACTGAGACTCCATGTTGCCATGCAATGCTTTGAGTGTTCCACACACAGTAGCGAGTATTTTGGGGAATTGATGCACCCGAAGGACATACAAATGGTCACTGTCTTACACACTCTGGCAAAGGAGGGGGTAGATCAATATTTGAGCTGTCCATTTGCATATCATCCACTTCATCCTCGGGGGAGATAGGGGTGGGGGTAGACGTATACGGCGGGGTTGTTGGAAAGCGTATGAAAGCAGAGCTGTCTTGCGTCCCGAACACATACATACTAGTAACTTGCTTTTCGTTGGGGAATTTTTTTTTTTTTTTTCTTCCCCTTGTATCAGGAATTTGGATTGTCAGTAGTTCGTTGAGCATTCTTCTCCGTCAGCTACTGGTAGTAGTCTTGTACTTCCCATATCGGATGCCACGCTTTTTGCCATAACTTGCACTCCGGCGACGGAGGGGCGATTTCTTAAATATGATTGAGCCATATTTTTCTCCCAATTTGGGTCCAAGTGAGTGGGGGAGGGAGGGAATAGTTAAGTGGTATAGAAGAGTACGCAACTCGGGTTCTTAAGAACGAACGACAATTTAACTGGTTGTTGGGCTCAACCTCGCCGATGCAAGCCTCATGGAGGTAAACGCTTGATGTCAACTACGCCACCACCAGCATGACAGGCAACATGCATTCCTAACTCTGCGATCCAATTTTCTGTGGTGTGTTGGTCCATGGTATAACTACAGGTTAAGGTTAAAATCAATAAAGGACACGAATTGCCTCGAGTGCTACTCAGATGCTGATGCTGATGGCGATGAATTTGTAAACTCGTATCTCCGTAGCTCGGCGAACTTACACCCGTCTCCTGGATATAGTCCTCTTCCTTTTATGAATCGCCATTTTTTATCGGACTGGTCATCACGCAATCAAATGTTTTACGCAGGGATGAATGGAGCGGTTTCGGCAGGAGGCGATACATCAATTTGACACATCATCACAGCGATGATCCTTAGAGCGTAACTACTATTCTATTTGGAGACATACGCAAGAGGAACAAATCAACAAGGTGGAAGAAGCAGAAAGCTCAAATTTGAGTAGATGTTTTCGCCTGTTTCATTCAATCAGCTCTTTCAGACGTGGTCATATGACGAGGATGTAGTAGAGATATCATGCACGTTTCGCTCCATTTGGAGGTGTTCGAATCACTTTCCGTTTCATTGTGCTATTCACCCCCTTGAGCTGTGGTTGTCCAGGATCTCGAATCCACTGGGCTACGAGTTTTTAATCGATTGGATGTGGATGCTGGGGACTTGGGTGATAGCTGGTTTTGAGGGAGAAATAGAGTTTGGGAGTGGGATTATTCAACCCGTGCCCTATCGAGCCATCTATATTTAAGTCTGTAGGGGCCTCAAGGTCATTAATATGTGGCGATAGAGGCGAGAGCGGCGAGAGGCGTGAGAGGGGCGAAAGGGGCGAGTGAGAAAAAGCAAAAACATTAAAGGGAACTTTCTGTGTATTCAGAAACCAGAGACCAGCTAGGAGCTGCTGTACCGACGCCGAGATGGTGGTGAAGCCGGGAAAGGTGCCGTCTACAATGGAGATCTGGGATGAGGCAGTGTGGATTGGCAAAGAGCAAGCACTGTTGAATGCGTTCATTCTGGAATAGGTGGTGTGGTTTCCTAAATGGATGGGATTATGTGCGACGGTTTGGAGCGATGATGTACGGTAAGTGTTCCTCAATTGGGATGAGGAATTGGGTTTGTAAAGCTAGGAATTTCGTGGGCTTCGGAGGGAATCTTGCCCTTCTTTTATGTTGTTGTACTGGACCCCGCACAAAGTCAAGTCGAACAGTGTCCTCCCATTTCCAGATGCAAGTACACCCCTGGTACCTACTTTCATCGTCTCCTCGTTTCGCTGGACAACGTGGATATGGGAGGAGCTTGCCGTCATTCTCCCCATTTAGGGACGCACAAAGCTGTGCTGCAGGTGTTGATCTTGTTGACATGATGTCGATTTGAGAAGCTGTTGAAGGAAGCTTGTCATCTTCTACTCTGTGTAGTAAACCCGCATCCATCTAGCCCCCTGGTTTGGACGCAATCATCCAGGTTTCACTGGACCTAGATCGACTGAGACAAGATGCATGTATTATCGTAAGGCGTCGCAAATTACAACAACATATTGTAGCTGTGTCGCACCCGATTGGCAAATTGTCAGCCAAAAGTGTTGACTTGCAATAGCAATGTCCATGCTTGTGAAAGCGGTACTATTCCCTATGCCGGGGATGCAATCAGTGTGCACGAGGCGGTTGAAACGGTGCGGTCCCAGGCCGCCCGCCCGCCGGGCGAGGTTGAATATGTCGACGCCATCCTTTTCAGCGCCGAGATGGGCGTGGTTGTCTCCGGCCGGCTGACGGATGCCATCACCGCCCCCGACGGACGCATCCAGCGCTTCTCCCGCGCTCGCGATCCGTGGTTTTACACCCAGTAGATGAAAGATCGACCGCCACTGGTTCATTCGCGGTCTGATTTGTGGATAGCGCGGACTTGTTTCTTCCTGTGAAAGGGCCGGGTTAGTAGGTAGCTCGGTAAAAGAAAACTGGGTGCTAAGCGTCCTATGCCCGAGCGGTTGAGATTGAAGATAATCAAAGCAAATTTTGTTGTAGCTTGGAGTAGCAGATCTTAGCTGAGCAGCTCCATGAGAAGCAAGCACTCATTTTTTATAGCGCCAGGATTGGACAAAATAGGGGAAATAGGAATTGCGAACCCCCGCGAGCCAGCACGCATGGGCAAGATATCCCATTGCCTCCAATACAACGATCTGTGCATCCTGGAGCTTTCTACGGAGTAGAGATCTGTACATGACAAACAATGCCAAGCCCGGCGGGTACAAGCGCCGGTCCGGAGTTACTATTTACCGTTACCCGTTCCCAGAGCAACCACGATCAAACAGCCCCTCCGTTGAATACTGGGTGAAACTCCCGGTGGCCTAAGGGAAACTCCAAGGTCATGGAGCGCTTGTTTGCAAGACCAAAGTCTCTTCGTCGTACGAATGTGGTTCGAAGTGAAGTGTGGGAAGTCGGCAATTTATACCGTAGATCGACAAAATGCACACAGCTTGACACTTGCTGTGCGAGGAGTTGTTGAGTTTTTTAAGCTTGCCAAACGGGAGCAGGAGGTGCATCAGAAGATCCTCGGCTTTTCGATCTCGCACGATCACCGTACAGTGAGGATTTATGGCCACTATCCCACCATCAACGGAGACAAGACTACCTATTACCGCCATCCTATCCAAAGCTTCGACTTCACGGCCCTGGAGGGTAGAGATAGGTGGACATCTTACAAGTTTGTTACCAGTATCTACGATGACTGGGCACCCTCCCATTTTGAGAGGCTGTGTTCGGTGATCGATGACTTTCCAAAAGGCATCAACTTCGGGGTATCACCACAGTCGGAGGTACAAACTGAGCCGCAACTACCGCCCAAGATATATGGACCGAGCCCTACAGAAACTACCAGCCTCTCCCGAGAAATTGGAGGCGTCAACCTACAGGGCTCAAGCTTTACATCGCCATTGGAGGAGGAAAGTCAACAGGTTGCTGCAAATTCGCGAAATGTTGCGTCAGAAGCTACTCCAAGGGACAAAAGCGGGCCAAAGAAAAGATGCAAACGTTAGTCTGATTGGTCGCCAATCCAACCACGTCAAACACATCAAGGCGAGACAAATGCAATGGCCAATCTCAAGCAGAATGATATAGGAACGATGGGCGAACAGACAAAAGAACTAGGAGTTCACTGAGAACTTTGCGTGTTTGGGGCGGGTGGAAAGAGGGGCGATGCGAGAGCATTCTTTTCAACCTAGTGGCTATGTAGGGTTAGGGATAGAGGAATAGAATGGTAGTTGAACCCATCAGCGCCATAGGGTAGAATATATCATTACCGGACATATGAGTATCGATCTCCTTTGTTTAGGCGAAGCGCTGAAACCCAAACGGTATTATTATCAATGGATGGTTAAAGAGTGAGTATCAGGCATTGCACCATAAATCTGGGGATATATCTATCCTTACAGAATTGCAGATACACCTACCTTTGATAGAGATGTCGCGTTAGAAGGGATCGGTGTATATAGAATAATCCTCGCAAACTTGTGTACTATGTAAATACTGTGCACCATAGATATAACACTGCCGGGGTATGCTCAAGGGAAAAAAAATAGTGGAATCTGCATGAATCTGTTGTGGGTGCCTCTTATATTTATCGGGGGTAACATTTTTGTGCTGGGGTCTATCCTGCAGCAAGATGAGGGTCCGCAAACCTCTATACCATTATGGAAATGTTAGCGCCAATGGGTTAAATAATCTCTCCTCTGGTATAAAGTACATTACATTTGGAATTAAAACAATGGTCCAAACAATCATTTATAACGCCAAGATCGCTTAAAAATGCCGAAAAGTATGTAGTTGGAGAAAGGGTTTTGTTTAAACTGCCTCTCTACCAGCCAGACACATCACAGTCATTTGTAATTCTTTCACAATTTTTTCTTCCAGCTGATTTTGACAGCCGGTACTGCGGTCAAGTGGTTCTCGCCGGGACATTTCAAGCTCCTTTTCATTTGTGGCAACAATCCGCGAGCGGAGGACTGATCGCTTCTCAAGAAGTGATTCAATATCATCTTTCACTTGCGTCCCGTCCCAGTTGAGCTCTTGGATATTTTGGGCGTCCACGCTGGTACTCGCGCCAGCATCCCGGAATTTGTTGATAATCTGGGATATTAGAGCTAATGAACATGCTTCAGTAGCCATACTTAGCGATAGCTTTTTCACGTGTTGGCTTGACTTTAGGTGACTACTTGCAAGTGGTGATGTTGTGGTGGGTTGCCCGAAGGAGAATGAAGCAGACGCTCGGCGCAACTGCCCTTCAAACTGGTTGAGAAATGCCGCCACTTCCGGAGCAGCTCGAACAACACTGTAAAGGAGGTTGAGACAGAGAGGTAGGAATCCTGAATTCCAGATGGCAAATAGCCTGGGTATTGGATCGAATGGGCCGCATCCGTGCGGTTGACGAAGGACATCCGTGAGGCGGAAAGTGGACAATTTCACCAAAATACCGTCCGCTGCCATCTGCTCAGCCATCATAGGAATACAGGAAAGTTCCAGAAGGAATAAAACACTGAGCTCGCCGTACACTGGATCTCCCTCAACTGTAAGCTGATAGGCCCAGGAAAACAATGTGGCTGCATAGCGGGGAGTGTCGCTATCGGCGAGGTGAAAAGCGGCTTGTTCGTAAATGCGATCTGAATTTTTCACTCGTAGACATGTTTGTAATATTGCTGTTAATATAGCAAAATCTCTAGGAGAGCACTTTTCCGGTTCGTCGTGTAAGTACGTTGTAAGAGATCGAAAGCCCCGTGCAACTATGACTTTGACGATTTCAAGAACGATTGACAAATCTGACGACACTTCAGGCTTTTTGCTGACTGCTTCTGGCACAGACCGAGACGGCCCTGCAACATGGAACTGCAGAGCGAGAAAGAGGATGTTCAACATAACTCCGTAGTATTCTGTATCCCCATTGAGTAACGCAGTTTCGTACGATGGATTTCGAAAGCGCGTAGCATCCCATGCAACACTCAGCAACCCAAAGACTTCAGCCCCCCTAGAGCCGGCGTCGTTAAGTCGCTGAAGCAGAGCAAGGGCAAATTCTGCATGGATTTGCTGAACTTTGTAAAAGACCTTTTCGTCTGGTACTGTCTGTGAATTTGAAACAAGGCAGCTGCGAACAACACGTGCCATCGATTTTTGGATTTCTCGGTCCAGCATAAAATCCGCGCAATGTTCTATGGCAAGAAATTTCCAACTTTGAAGGAGGTTCTATGACGGATTAGAATAGAGAGTTTAGACTGGGGATTACAAAAACATACCATTTGGGCTTCAACAAGTGACAGATTTAGATTAGCTCGTTTGACCTCCTCCACAAAGCCTTGATCACGGGTCCCGTTCCAGGCAAAATCGTATCCGAAAAGCTTACTTCCCAACTCCACGTCGTAAAAATAATTTTCCCCGAGTTCTGGTCGTGTGAGCCCAGTGCGCTTCATGGAGACGACTTTACATCCACTATACTTCATTTCAAAGTTCTTTCTGAGATTTGAGTGTAGAGATGCATTATAACCTTCCACAACGACCGCATTGTCAGAAAACCAGGAGATCAGAGGGATGATCGTTTTGAAGAACGTTAAATCTCGTGATTCTTTCGCACTATGTAAATAGACGGCGCATATATCTGCTACTAATGATGCGATTTTCGTATTGAGGCACTGATCCAGAGGAGGGCACTTGCGAATCTCTAAGCGGGTGACGAAATTCACGATGTTTGGGAAGAATTCCGAATGACTTTTAATCTGTGGTGTAGCCCATAGCCAGTGTTCCTGGGCCCTTGCAACAAAATTTAGTGCAGATATTGCTATCTGAGGTTGAACCGTGTCGATTTTCGCTAATAAATCGAGAGAAATGCCCAAGAACGGCTGCCCAATCATTGTCGAAGAGCTACCTTTGTCACCCATTTTTAAGGAATCTCTGGCAGATGAGCCTGTAAGAAAGAATACTGCAAGCCATTGCTGGCGTTTGCTAATTACCGTGGAAAGTAGATCCCATATTGAAACGTAGAGTGCGGGATTCTTGAACGGGCGATCGAATTTCGAAAGGCAATGGAGAAAATTACTCGATGACTTGGCTCCTAGGTGCCCAAGGACAGATGGCGGCTCACGATTCGAATCTGTAGCTGCATACGATATCAGGAGTTCAAGGAGAGAAACGACAGGGAGTTGGTAATCATAGGATAGAGCGTATAGTCTTATCAGCACTGGTGACGCTTTGAATAATTGGTTTTCTAGCATCGACATTGGAGACCCTATTAATCTTCCTGCTTGAGCCAATCGTTCTGAAAGGGTCAAGGCAGACTGGATGTGCGAGGCATGAAGCAGGAGGTTTCGAAGATCACTGCTCGACCTGGAATATTGAAGACCGCTAAGAATAGTACGGAGAAGTGGATTAAAAGGCAACTCTTCGACTGTTGTCGGCCGAAGAACGTTAAGTATATATGCTGCTGAGCTTGAGAATACCCCCACCAACTTAGAATCTAGGTCGGAAGTGTCATCGATCGCATATATACTGTATAGGATTTTATCAATAGTGAGGGCAAGAGATGTGTTAATTTTAAGCTGTTGGCAGATGTCATTATATCTCCACGTCGTATTATTATTGTAAGCTTCGACCATCACGCGTACCAGGGCCAATAAAAAGCTGCGCATGATATAAGGCGGTATGCCTGCACTGAACTCGGTGAGATGATTTGATTTGGCGGATACCCGCCCTGCGGAGCGACGAACTCCAGAATGATTAATGACATCATCAACCAGGAGGTCAAACATTTGAACAGCAGCCTGAAGGAAACTGAAGTCCCCAGAGACAGCCTCAATAGATGAGACAATAGTGACTAGCATACCACCTTTCCCATCTGAGCCAATAAAGCTGCTTCTAGACAGGAAGGGCCATACACGGCCCGGAATAACGGCTATAAGGGCGTTTATAAAGCTAAGGGAAGATATAATTGGTTGTAGATTGCGGCTGGAACCTCTCTTGCTGATTGTATTTTGCAGGTTCCGTTCAAAAATTTCGAAAATAACGGAAATGATATCCCCATGACGGTCGAGTCCGTCGCTAGCCATTTCGAGAATCCTTTTAGCCACTGAGTCGGTGCCATTGCGCTTCGAATTAATTTGTGCAGATGTGATTAGGTCGGCGAAAAGACCTACGATTTCCGCGATTATCTCATCATCTGGTATTTGGTCGGATCTTCGACTGTTAGTAGCTTGCTCCAGCCATATTCCGAGGAAGCCGAGACAATTGTATTCATGATGCCACATTATTACGGCCGGTTTTGATTCGTTGACGACTTGACCTAAGGCCTCTTGCGGAATAACACAAGATTCAGCAAGAACCACGGTATTGGAGGTCGATTCATATTCAGTAGGGCTTTCCGACATGGCTGTTTCCTGCATTGGAAGTGGCTGGATTAGGCTAACGAAATTGGCATTTTCATCTTCCCGGATCGGTTGGTACCCTTGGAAGCCAGGAGCGACGACTTGAGTATAGGTCTCCATGCTCTCTAGTTCCTGAGCGATATATGGTAAACCATCATCGTCCACAACGCTAGAACCCGACAGTGCTCGGCACAACTTCAAAAAATTAATAGCTTCGTACGGAAATCGGGATTTGGCCACGCGAAAAATTCTATCAACGAGTACTGGATCTTGAATAAATATAGATCTCGGATCGCAAGCATCACTCCACTCTGTGCTGGAGATTTGATTGCAATCATCAGTAGGGCCAGAGATAACACACAAGACAGACGACACTACTTCAGGAATATAGTCCAAATGTTCGACACTCGCACGGATTAAATCCAGGAGCTCCACCCTTACCCAACGACTGAGCATGCCGCCATCCCCAGCACCAGAAATTGGCCTAAGGCTTTCGACAAGAGCAGAGATAAAGTCAAATACATGACATTTATCTACGGAGCTCGTCACAAGAAGCTTTACGAAGTCGTCATCGAAAGCTGGGTTACGAGCTTTTTCAAAGATATCTTCAAAAATGGATTGCTCTGCAGCGCGCGATGGAGACGATGACGGCGCGTTGCTATTGAAAGAATCTACAGCGTGCTGGGCTTGCTGAAGTTCACGCTCCTCCTTAGTGCAGAACGCAATCTCCCTTACCGCGAACATAACCATGCCGAATGCAAAAATCATAGGCGCCGCAGTTAAACAGCCGGCATTGGCTGCCTTCAAGCATATTTCGTTTATTTCGCTGATATTTTCGCGTGACATAAAAAAAGGGGCTTCGCTAATTGTAGGCTCGGGTGTTGGAGACAAGTACGATGCCGTTTCAAAGTATGAGGTTGATTCCCTTAGCCTGACAAAAGCGAGAGTCGCAATCGCAATGAGAGCGTGAAGCGGGCCAAGAATGACTTGTTGTTCCTCCGTAGCCTGTAAAATTTCTAGTTAGTCATGAAAGGAACACGTTGATTTGGTTAGAGCTTACTGGACGTAGCATTTCGAGAAAATCATAATCGGCCATCAAACGGAGCCAAGAAAGGAAAAGCTCTGCAGATGGGATGGTTTTCGATAATTGAAGCTGGAGCACCAGGAATTGAAGAATTTGGTTTAGCTCCTCGAGGACGTTCGTTTGCCAAATCAGCTCAATTTCCACATTTGGTTCTTCAGGAAGAAGCCATCCGCTCCCCGTTTCTAAGTTACATATTCGGGTTCGAACGGCTTCAAGGCACTGTTTTATAGAAATGGCGTTGAGGCCTTTTCCAGATTGGATCCCAAATATGGATTTCCCCAATTCTTCTAGTTTTGTTTGCGCGTGTTCAACTCGGGATATTTTGGCATCCATATGATAGCCGCCTGGGGATATTCTACGCAATGCAACACAAAAAATTCGTTGGGAAACTTTAAGTATATGTTGCTTTTCTGACAAATACAGCCGGAACAGCTTCAGATGCCTTACTTCGTCACCTGAGAATCCACTGAGCTCGAAGTTAGTTTCACCCTTGTAGTTTAAAATCTCAGTAGCCTGGGCAGCGCTAGTAGAATGCGAAAAGTTGCCAAGCCCAATCGCATCTTGAAGGCTTGTCGTCTCCTCCTCGGATAATTCGCTCAAAAGCTCGTCACCAGGCCGATTTTGACGTTCGCAGACAACAATTCTCAGCGCAGAAATGTGATCGATTTGTGTCTTGTTGCTTAGCCACTTTGCGTCATTTTTTATTTCGTCTAAATTCCATGTGCCTGTAGAAACTGTCGGGACATGTATAGCGGCAGTTTTGGACTGGAAATCGGATTTTGATTGTTCATTTGGACCGGCGAACGGGTTAAAGGGATTAGAAATGATTTGGAGGCTCTCTGGACAAGTCAAAAATTTGTAGAGACTGTCAGTTTCTTCGACGTCTGTTTTCGCATTCACCAGCCGCCGGAAAGCTGATTTCCATGATCTAGTGAGGACAGGGTCAGTGATTTCCTTGGGTGAGCTGGTAACAAGGTAGACATACATAAGTTGGTTGTCCCCAGAGAAGCATGAGTCCAGGGACGGAAAATACACGTCAGGAGGCGGAGCCATAATATTATGCCCCTTCTGCTAGGAGCTTTTCGTGAGATACCGCTCTTGTCGCGCTTTGGAAGCAAAGCAGAAACAATCAAGAATGTTAGTAGTGATATTTGAAGACGGATAAACTATGTTCCACCTAATTTTCAAGTTATTACGTTAGTGCTAGGTAGGGCCCAGGCTCCGATAGCGGGCAGCAGCAGCAGTTATTTACTGTGTATGATCCCTTGGCTAAATGGATAAGGGCTTGTCTGTGCCTGGCTTACTATTACAATAAATCATGTTAATTCCATGTTGAAATTCCTAATTCTTAACTCTGGTTTGGTTTGGGAGTGGGAGTCAAGTATAGGCGGTTTAAAAGGTAACTACGGTTTTGAATCTCGGCCGGAAAAACTTTCAGTCAACCACAACACTCATCGAAAAATTACACCATGGAACATTATCAATAAATCTGATTAGTGAGTTAGTTACCCACAATGCAGTGACTTAAATCAATCCTATTCTCATCCTAACCCCTAACCCCTAAACAACCCCTATATTTGTGTTGGGCGTGGTGAGATACATTAGTAATCCACTCAAGCATCAGTGGTGGGGTAGCGTGGGTTTGTTTTAGATGGGTGTTCCGTGGTTGAATGGAGATGTTCAAGTTTTTCCGGCCGAGATTTCCAAGGATATGCCCTGAGCGTATTATGTATGAGCTTCCATGTTTGGAGGTCCCCGTCACACAACGTCCCACAGATTCTGGAAATATCGGTGTATAAGAGCGCTGCATGCCCTGGTGATAAGTATCCACCCTTCTGCAGTTCTTCTTCCTTGCGCCCATTATGGCTACCACCACCAACGCATTAGTCGACCATTCGCCCAATAACCCCACCAAAGCTCAAACCCGCGAGAACGCTTCCAATTTGATACTGATCGATAACTATGACTCATTCACCTGGAACGTTTACCAGTACCTCGTTATAGAAGGGGCGAATGTGACAGTATTCAGAAATGACGAGATCACACTGGACGAGCTCATTGCAAAAAAACCCACTCAACTGGTTATCAGTCCCGGTCCAGGTCACCCTGATACAGATTCGGGGTTAAGCCAAGATGCAATCCGACACTTCAGCGGGAAGATACCCATTTTAGGCGTTTGTATGGGACATCAATGCATGATATCTAGCTTTGGTGGGAAGGTCGATGTAACTGGGGAGATTTTTCACGGGAAGACTTCTAGCTTAAAGCATGATTCAAGGGGCGTATATGCCACACTCCCACAGTCCCTGGAGGTTACACGCTACCATTCGCTGGCAGGAGTGCAGCCAACCATCCCCGACTGCCTTGAAGTCTCTTCGTGGACCGAATTCGAGAACGAGAGCGATCGGAAAATTATAATGGGGGTTAGACACAAAGAGTTTATTGTGGAAGGTGTTCAATTCCACCCGGAGAGCATATTGTCTGAGAATGGACGGACCATGTTTAGGAACTTCCTGAATTTGCGTGGCGGTACCTGGAAAGAAAACGGCGGTCCGCGTTCTCAGCTAAGTGAGGATCCAACAGCTCTGAGGGACGGAAAATTGACGGGGAAGAAAACGATTTTAGATACAATTTACGAACACCGGAAAATTGCTGTTAATCAGCAAATGTTGACTCCTTCCCAAAGACCAGAAGACCTACAAGCCGCGTATGACCTTGGGATATCTCCGCCACAAATATCATTTCCAGACCGGCTGAGACAGACCCCCTTTTCGTTGTCACTGATGGCAGAGATAAAGAGGGCTTCCCCATCGAAGGGCCTCATTTCGTTGTCCACCTGTGCTCCTGCTCAAGCACGAAAATATGCTATAGTTGGAGCTAGCGTCATATCGGTCCTTACTGAGCCGGAATGGTTTAAAGGAAGCATTGAGGACCTACGGGCCGTTCGCCAAAGCCTTGAGGGTCTCCCAAACAGACCGGCTGTACTGCGGAAAGAATTTATTTTCAATGAGTACCAAATTCTGGAGGCTCGACTGGCTGGTGCAGATACTGTTTTACTTATCGTGAAGATGCTCGACAATGATCTTCTCTGGCGGCTTTACCGATATTCTCAGCAACTGGGCATGGAGCCTCTGGTCGAAGTAAATACGGCCGAAGAAATGAAGATAGCAGTTAGCCTTGGTGCGCAAGTTATCGGTGTCAATAACCGTGATCTGAGAAGCTTTGAGGTTGACCTGGGTACCACGAGTCGGTTAATGGATCTGGTGCCAGCTTCAACAATCGTGTGTGCTCTGAGTGGTATATCAGGACCAAACGATGTCAACGCGTATCGTACCGAGGGCGTCAAGGCAATCCTTGTTGGGGAAGCATTGATGCGTGCTGAAAACACAGATCTCTTTGTCTCTCAGCTTTTAGGGGGCGGGGAGCGTGTAGCTGCGTCGATTCCCAAACGACCGCTACTTGTCAAAATATGTGGAACTCGAACACCTGCGGCCGCGCGCACGGCGATTGAATCTGGAGCTGATCTGATTGGCATCATATTGGCGAAGGGACGCACTAGAACAGTTTCGGATATCACTGCACTGGAGATATCTAAAGTGGTTAAATCAACTCCACGCCCAGCATCCTCAGTAAGTGGAATACAGAAATGCATTGGCGATTCTTCCGGTGTCAACTATTTTGACTATTCGTCCCAATTCCTCTGTCACTCTGAACGTGCCTTGCTAGTGGGCGTGTTCCTGAATCAACCATTATCATACATTATATCTCAACAACAAAAACTTGGCCTTGACGTCGTTCAATTCCATGGGTCGGAACCGATAGAGTGGGCGAATTTAATTCCTGTTCCGGTAATAAAGAAGTTTTCCCCCGGGGAGCCAGGGCTATCTAGACATGCCTGCCATACTATTCCCCTCTTAGATTCTGGCGCTGGTGGCTCGGGTGAGAAACTCGACATCTCATCTGTACAAAACTCCCTTGGAAAAAGTGATGATATCCGGGTGATGCTTGCAGGTGGATTGGATCACTTGAATATTACCGACACACTTCAGCAGCTAGGCCGATATAATGAAAGAGTGGTGGGAGTTGATGTTAGCAGTGGAGTGGAGTCGGACGGATCACAGGACTTGAAAAAGATACAGGCATTTGTAACGGCTGCTAAAAGTTTTAGAACTTGATGATATTAAAGTAATGTTTTTCCTTGTTATATTCCATGGCCTCGATACAAACAACAAAATAAAAATTCGCTTACGCGCCCTATGTCTGTGCTTTACTGCTGATTGTCACATATATTAAATATCTCTCTCAACCTTCGTTGAGTCTTCTAGGGTTTTTCTCCAAAATAGCAATCTGACTCAAAACAACGAACATTCTTACAATTTTCACCTCATGATGGTTTTGGCAACCTTCGGAACCCCCCATCTTGTTGCGAATGGCCCGGAGCTGATCGTTCTGGAAAATAATTAGCCTACAGCTCACTTCGTCGGAATTCAGTGTCATTCTCTTCTTAATCATTTTTCACATCGTTTTCAGCATCCCCCCTCTGGCGACCTCCTTCACCCTTTGTCAACCTTGCTTTGGCGCAGAGCAAAGGAGTTGCAATCTCTCAGGAAACACTCGCCATATCCAAATCAATATACTACTATTGGCCGGATTGACTTATCCGAGACATGGGGAAGACCTTTCGCAAGATTCACATCAGTTTGGCCGGCGATTTCGGACCAATGTCTGAAAAGATCAAGCAGTGGGTTGAGGCCAATGGCGGTGAATTTTCAACACAGCTTGAGAAGGATGCAACAACTCATCTCATCGCGACTAAGGATGCATTTCGGAAGCGTGATGCAGCAGGTATATCACCGTACATTTCCTTGGCTTTCCTAATACTTCCTTGTCCAGTCAGTTCTGCTTGTCGAAGAAAATCTCCATGTCTTGCGAATTATTAACCCGGTGAATTTCAACATATGCAGTCCAGCAGGCTCGCAAAATCGCAGGTTTGAAAATTGTGAAACTGGAATGGCTTGAAGATTCCCTTCTGTCCAAAAAGAGGCGGCCCAAACGCGAGACTGAATACCTGTGGTATCAAACACGAGGGACTCGTAAGCGGGATACAGTGAAGAAAACGAATGCCGTGATGGATATGGATGCTGTGGACCCGGGTATGTTGCCTCCCGTGATAGAAATTCTTCTAGTCAACGTGCCAATGGAAAAATGGCGACAGCTGGTTTGAAGAAGCCACACCGTACTCGTGGCCCAGGAAATGAAGTTGGTGAGTATGGACAACAGAACCCACAGATCGCTAAGAACATGTCATGTTCTACTCACTTAAATATGATACATAGATGACCATCATATATTTACCGACTTTGAAGGATTTCGTTATCTTGTGACACTTGTGCGCCCTCTCGAAGATAGCAAGCTCAAAGAAAAACATACACTTCAAGTATGCATGTTCCTTTCAATTCTTGCACTTTGTTGGTTATGTTTCAGCTTGTGTCTTCTACCTACATTCACCTTTTTTTTATTCGCTCTTTAACATACAATCCAGCTCTATGAATCCGATTCAAACCCTCATACATATGCAACATTCGTGGAATATAGTTGTGTGGGAAGGACAGGGTCTGCTTTTCTTGCCCCGATTGAAAGCACGTGGGAGATTGCTTTGGAGGCTTTCACTAAGTTTTTTAAAGCCAAATGCGGGAAACAATGGGAGAAGAGAATGGCCAGCACAGAGCCTTTGCCGCGGAAAGATAGAGAAGGATGTGTCCTACCCAGTAGCGAAAATTGGTTTAGGTACGAACCATAGGGAGCGGTATGCACAGACGCTCCTGCGAAAAGTTTTGACTTGCGCTAAGAATTTAATCAGAAATGCTGATACCGACATTAAGTGTTGCTGTGCATCTCTTGATGAAAAGGAGAAGGAGTCCCAGGGGGCTGAAAGAGACCAACACCCCTAGCCTACCCACTAGCTCACTCTCTAAATTCCAGGTGGTGTGGCCTGGAGATGCAATACACAAGTAAGGATATTTCAGGGTAAATTCTTAGTGTAAGACAAAACTTTTCGCAGCGCTTCTGGTGAAAGTGGTGGCGTCAAATGGCGTTGCTGTCAACTGGTCCAGACAGGGTTATCCCTTTTTTCGGTGATTAAATTGGCATTTTGGAGAGTTTTACTTTCAATTCATTACCATGCATTGTGAATTCAATATTTCCTTAGAATTTATGGGTTTTATTTCTGTTTTATCAAGATCCAATGAATGCTGCTGTTATGAAATCGCCATGAACCAAAGATGATATTCAGGTGTCAAACCCCCATCCCAGTATTTAACAAAATAACACAAGCTCTACCATTGACGCCGAGGTAATTTTCTACCAGGCATACTGTGTGGATGCCTTTTGATAGCCAGTTTCAACCAGAAGAACCTAAATAATCAATGCACGAATCACAAATAATCCTTCTTCCTGCTCGTCCTTGTATACTGATTCAGTGACCATTCGATTTCGCCACCGGAATCTTTCTCTAATGTCCCACCTCTGATTTGAAATAGCCTCATTGTCATACGCGGCCCGACTTCAGCTAGTTCAACTGATTGGTACCCGGTCTTAACGAAGACATGGTGTCGCACCTCTATACTGTCCTCAATGTTTTTAAACGTGACAACCCTACTCCCGAGCTTCCCATTTGCTTCCCGCGGAGGGAATATATGTTTCAAAATTTTAACGACGCGGGCCCCTAACTTGGTAGTAAACCCTTCAAAAATTAGGTGAGGATAACTTTCCGACACGGTTCCCCGTGCTGAGTTTGGAATATCTGCTCGTAGCATGACATTATGTAATGAGAAACTGGCAGTTGGGCCATGGGGAAGATGAGACACAGTTATCGCAGTAGGTGTGCCGCGATGCTCGTGCAGGATGATCATGTCCGAAAGTGCGGATGTCTTCGCGCTTGCGAGCAGATCAGGAATGACTATATTCCCTCGATTTATCCGTATTGAAGTGGGGATTAGTAGCCGCATCTCTTTTGCAAAGGTGCTAAGGCGTGTAGAAGGAGAACGGGAGGTGGTAATGAGAGGTCGAGGGTCCACGATGCCGGATGTGAGAACATATTCGTCGTCGAGGTCCAGCATATCGGAATCTTTGGAGTTAGGCTGTTTCGAGTGTGTTGGAAGGGATTCATCGTATTTGAAGTCTTCTCGCAATGTTTTGTCATTAGCCACAGAAGGCTCTAACCGCTTCCCGGATGCAAGAGAAGCTTTCAGCTTCGCGCGCTTTTCTGCTACTGAAGCATCGCGGAGCAGGAGAGCTTTGCGGTAGAGGTAGTCTCTACGCTCACGAGCTTGGCGACGCTGCTGGATATGTTAGCGCATAACATCCTAAATGTATCTATACTTGAGGGAAGAATAGCCATACAATCATTTGGCTGGTAGTTTACTTGCTCAAAAAGGCTCAAGGCTGCTCGCTGCAGAAATGGGTGCACGATGCTGGTATTTGACTTTTTTTGAATCCACTTTCGATTCACCTTTGGTGTGTCAGGGCTGCCGTAGTTTTTCACCAACTTCTCCAGTTGTGTAAGTCGACCAGTGAGCCTCATCCCGCTGTTCAGGTGGTGGATTCCCATTTCACTTCTTTTCTTTTTTGATGTCTTTATGTTACAGATCTTTGGGCTACAGAACCGTAGTGACGGAATTCCTGTTCTTGCCCTGTGGATATTTCTGCTGTGAGCTCCCCTCAACAGCCTATATGGTATCTGCGCGTCATAATACTTTGACAGACACTACGGCAGCAAATTTTGATGCTAACTGTTAGAGATTTCTCCAGGTACTAATCAGTCCTTTCCTTTGAATATTCAGTCGTTCTGTATGCCAGTTTCGGCTGCACTTCTAAAGCGGACTGACCGTGCTTCTGCTCAAGTTGCGACCCTGGAAAATAAGGACCATTTAATTGGGAAATGGTGAGATACATCAATATGGAGGCCTTTAATTATATGGGGAATCATCTGGTTTCAGACTCTGCTTCTACGATCAATGCTGGAGATGACATGTCAACCGTCGACGGAGATGAAAGTATCTTAAATATGGCTACTGGGCCTCGGAGGCGACGACATGATGATGAAGAGGAGATATCAGATAGTTTTGAGGATGATGATTTGGAAAGCATGGCTAGCGTCCCTGTGGATAGAGCCAGCAAGGCCACCACTTCCAAACCCGAGGAAGACAAGGAACTACCAATTCATTCTTGCGCGTAAGTTTGAGCAATTTCCACCAATCGACGTGCCAAAGTGATGTGAGGTTCACAGGCCCTGGCTGACCTTTGGCTATTCTCTTTTTATTTTAGATATTGTGGAATTCACAATCCCGGCACTGTAGTGAAGTGCTTAACTTGCACTAAATGGTTTTGCAGCGCGCGTGGCAACACGTCTTCCTCTCATATCGTCAATCACCTAGTTAGAGCAAGGCATAAAGAAGTCCAACTACACCCCGAATCATCACTTGGTGACACGATTCTCGAATGCTACAACTGCGGGACCAAAAATGTTTTCCTTCTGGGCTTTATTCCTGCTAAATCAGACACTGTTGTGGTACTGCTTTGTCGACAACCTTGTGCTGCGATGCCATCTTCGAAAGACATGAATTGGGATACTTCGCGCTGGCAACCTCTTATTGAAGACCGCTCTTTTTTGCCTTGGCTCGTGAGTTCTCCCTCTGACCAAGAGCAGCTTCGCGCTCGACATCTAAGTCCTCAAATGATTGCGAAGCTAGAGGAGATGTGGAAAGACAATGCCGCAGCTACCGTTGAAGATCTGGAAAAAGCAACTGGCGTTGATGACGAACCTGCGCCAGTTCTCCTTCGGTATGACGACGCATACCAATATCAGAATGTTTTTGGTCCTCTCGTCAAGATCGAAGCCGACTATGATCGCAAATTGAAAGAGGCCCAATCTCAAGATGGTCTGGTTGTACGCTGGGACCTAGGACTGAACAACAAGCATCTTGCGAGCTTTGTTCTCCCAAAGCTAGAACTTGGCGATGTGAAGCTAGCAGTTGGCGATGAAATGCGGCTTAAATATACTGGAGAGCTGCGGCCTAAATGGGACGGCGTGGGATACGTCATTAAAATCCCGAACAACCAGTCTGACGAGGTTACTATTGAATTGCGAACCAAGGGCGACCATAAATCTGTCCCCACCGACTGCACACATAATTTCACAGCTGACTATGTTTGGAAAGCGACGTCCTTTGACCGTATGCAGCTAGCCATGAAAACATTTGCTGTTGATGAGATGAGTGTTTCGGGCTACATTTTCCATCGGCTTTTAGGGAATGAAGTTGCCGCTGGGCCTATGAGAACTCAAATGCCTAAAAAGTTCAGCGTACCAGGCCTCCCAGACCTCAACAGCAGTCAAACCAATGCCGTTAAAAGCGTTCTTCAGAAACCTCTGAGCTTGATTCAAGGACCTCCTGGTACTGGAAAAACTGTCACTTCTGCTAACATAATTTACAACTTAGCAAAAATAAACGGCGGCCAAGTATTGGTCTGCGCACCATCTAATGTTGCGGTTGACCAACTTTGTGAACGCATCCACAGAACTGGCTTGAAGACCGTTCGTGTCACTGCCAAGTCTCGAGAAGATGTGGAGTCTCCTGTGGGCTTTCTTTCTCTTCACGAACAGGTCCATAACAACGACAGCAATATCGAACTTGTCAAACTCAACCAACTGAAGGCTGAGCTGGGTGAGCTTTCCAGCCAAGATGAGAAGAAGTTCAAACAACTAGTTCGTGCTGCGGAAAAAGAGATTTTGAGCAATGCGGATGTTATTTGCTGTACTTGCGTTGGAGCTGGCGATCCTCGCCTCGCAAAGTTCAAATTCCGAACCGTTCTTATCGATGAGTCTACGCAGTCAGCGGAGCCCGAGTGCATGATTCCACTCGTCCTAGGATGTAAGCAAGTTGTCCTTGTTGGCGACCATCAACAGCTTGGGCCTGTTATCATGAACAAGAAGGCGGCCAAGGCTGGACTTAACCAATCCCTGTTTGAGCGCTTGGTCATCCTAGGATGTGCACCTATTCGGCTTAACGTACAGTATCGCATGCATCCATGTCTCTCCGAGTTCCCGTCAAACATGTTCTACGATGGTTCCCTGCAGAACGGAGTTACCGAATCAGAACGTCTTCTAAAAGATGTTGATTTTCCCTGGCCTGTGGCGCACAATCCAATGATGTTCTGGTCAAATTTGGGAAATGAAGAAATTTCGGCATCAGGGACGTCATACCTCAACCGCACAGAAGCTGCCAACGTGGAAAAAATTGTCACCAGATTTTTCAAGGCTGGCGTAAAGCCTTCCAGTATCGGGATCATCACGCCTTATGAAGGACAGCGTAGCTATGTTGTCAGCTCGATGCAAGCGACTGGCACCTTCAAAAAGGAGCTTTACAAAGAAATTGAAGTTGCGTCAGTTGATGCGTTCCAGGGCCGAGAGAAAGACTACATCGTGCTCTCCTGTGTCAGATCTAACGACCATCAAGGAATTGGATTTTTGAGTGACCCACGTCGGCTTAATGTCGCTCTTACGCGTGCCAAATATGGCCTGGTCATCCTAGGAAACCCGAAAGTTCTGTCGAAGCATCCTCTGTGGAACTATCTTCTACTTCATTTCAAAGAAAAGAACTGCCTAGTGGAAGGTCCTTTGTCAAACTTGCAGGTGTCTCTTGTCCAGTTCAGCCGCCCGAAACAGGCCTATCGGGGACCACAGCGTTTCCAGGTAGCCTATAACCACGCATCCAATATGGCCAGTGGCATGGTCAATGGCAGGAATGGCCATCGCGGTGACTACCACGACACAGGATCTGTGGCCAGTTACATCCCAGATGATGTCTCCTCAGTTAATTCGTCTGCTGTTGGAGGCGTTCCTATTCCATCTGGATATCCTCATGTATTCCGGAGCTTTACTGACTCCTGGCCACACCTTCCACGCCACCGTCGCGCTAACGGATCTAGAGGCAAAGGTGCGTCTAGCGTTACTGGCGAGTCGGTCGCAGCTTCTGAGTCCGACGTCACGGGCAGTATCGTTGGACAAGGAGGTGTAAGCCTCTCTGGTTTAAGCATTCATGATATGAATAAGCAGGCAAGCATGAGCCAGTCTGATCGTTTGAAACGCTATGTCGAATCCGGCAGTCGTGGAGAGCCATATAAACCTGGACCTAGTGATAACGGCAGCATATTTGGAGGAAGTTCGGCAAGCATTCGTGTTCCTCGTGGCTGCCGTGGTAATCCAGCTGATGACGACGATGCTCGCAGTGTCTCGACAGCCTTTGCAAGTCAAATCGGTGGAAACTACGACTGAGAGCGTGCGTGCCCATAATCCTATCACTATCGACTAGGAACTCTACACCTCTTGCAGAAGTGAATGTGAACTTCGCGAGACACATCCAAGATGAAAATGCTTTGCCCGATGCCCGACCGACAAGAACTTTCAATACATGTTGCTCTCTCCCTCGCCCATAGTCTATTTGCACTTGTTCGGAGCATACCCTTTTGGCTCGTGGCCCGGCTACAGTGGCCCGACCTCACTTTTGGGTCAAACCGAGTTCTTCATGAATCTATGAAGGCTTTATGCCTTAAATGCAAGCTACCAATGTGACGGAACATGGTACACAACCATGCAGACACTACTTGTCACTTGTTTCACGTGTCTCTTGGTGGTTTTGATGAAAGCTGGCGCCAGGAGAAATGCCATGCATGTCATGTGGTGTGGGTGGAGGTTAAAACTTTCTTATCCCTTTGTGCGTGTCAGGCGGTGAACTGCAGTTCTGGCATGCTGCTTCTGTTGGGAGAGGAAATGCTATTGTTGTAAGGCAGCAGTGTATATTCGTGTCTAGTAATGCTAGGGGATACATTCGCGTGAAGAGTTCGAAAAGTGCTTGCGGCAAAACCTACGACAGAACACTTATTTCAACTTGATGATGTATGTGGTTGTTGATGGGGAAAATTGCGTATGCGCAAGATGCGTTTATCTTACTTTTATTTTTTTTCTAGTTTTAAATTGACCAGGCAATATAGCTACGTTTGATTTCCTCCTCGCTGGTGATCAACTTGATGCGGGTTACAGTGGCAGCAGTTAAAAATTTCCCGAACAGGCCAAGAAATTTTGAACCATGATGTTGTTGGCGGGATAAGATTGTCTACTAGTAACCGGTGACGCTAATCTGAGTACCTACCCTATGTGGGTCACTTGGTATAGAACAAGTGTAGAGAATCTCCAACAAAACACCAAGGCCGCGTAACTATATTTTCACACAACTTGTACCAATTTCACACCTGTCCAACATGTCGTCTAACTATATCTTGTTAGAACACTTAGGTAGAGTGTTCGCTCTAGAACAGGTTAGCCAAATGTTCGACTTGCTGTACAGGAGGCCTTTTGCAATTGTCCATAGGGCTGAAATAAAGTTATGTACTAGTATGCAAGGTTGGTAACGCTTTAATGCTCCTGGAGTCCCTTTATTTCTTTACAGATGACAAAGAGTATATATATGATTATCCCCTAATTTAAATTATATGCGGTCGGTATTTGGTCACTAGGCCGGTTGCTGGTCCGAGAAAGGACTTGCCAAATCAATGACTCGCCTAAATACTACACAATGTAGATCTCAGTCGGTTATCAAAATTTATGGCACGACACTGTAGAGATATGAGGCTTTCCTTCTTAAACCATGTAGGAGTCAACTAGCAATGCGGAGGGCGTTCGTCTTTTGAAGGGTCAAAGAGGTGCGCGTCAAGAATAACTAACATGATTGATTGTTTCCCAATCCTTCCCTCAGAATATAGGTCGCTTTTTTTACAATGCTACTAAAGTATCTTCTATCTTCAACATACTAGTATTCAATCTTTCTTGTTTTGAACTTTATTGATTAGACACAAGTCTGCTTCTTAAATGACTAACATTCAAATTTCATCTAAGTTTCATGAGTTCAAAGGATAACTACTAGTATTTCAATCTTATAGTATCCAATGTTGTAAAATGGTACGCCTCCGTCGATGGGCGCACTATAAATAGTGAGACATTCCAGGTTCCAAGTTGCTACAGGATCCTTGCTCATAGAACCTACCAAATCTTTGATTTCACAAATCTCTTCTATGAAAAGCCCAAACCAGACATTTCTGATGAATTTCAAGATGAGGCGCAATAACGAGTGTCGGAACTTGATGATGTCCGAATATTGCTCAGAAATTACTGAATATCAAGAGAATAATTCTAGATAATTACAATACATGAAAAGATTGTAATATCTATAAGGAAAGGGATGTGTAAGTGAAGTGAAAGGAGTTGTTCTTGAGTTTTAACTCGGGTTTCAAACTGATACGATATTCGTTTGATCTGACAATGAGCCTTTGATACATGACCAGCACTGGCTGCATTCAGTGCCAACCACCTAGGCAAAAAGGTCGTAAGAGAGCTGGATCAGCCAGCCGCGCCCAACACCTTTACCTGTAGCGTGGACGTCGGTGGAGGTCTACCGTTATTTAAGGTTGACGAGGAAAGCTCTAGTGAAATCCTCAATCTCATTCCTCTATTCACTACTTAGCTGTTTAGCAGAGTCACCATACTTCTTGAGAGTGGCTACTTCAAATTCGCAAATGTGTTGATGTCAGAACGGTAGTGCGTCCGAATATTGACCCAAATACTGAATATCAAAAGAATATTGCATAAGAAAAAGGCAGTATTTATAAGAAAGGGAATGCTCGATTATACAAGTCAGGCAGTGCTCGGGTTTCAAGAAGTGAAAGGTGATATAAGATCTCCGATATTACGAATATTATCTCCAACAGTTGAACTCCCCAATACGCAATAGATAATCAGAGGCAATTTTAATAAGTTCAATCACTTGGGCAAAGAGGTTGGACATCAATGATTGACCACGAATTAATTATTTTTGAGCAGGTGTGATAGATAAAGCAGGTGATTTAATCTTGATTAGAATACTATATAATAAAGAATAGTATAGTTATGCAGGATATCGATGATTGCAAACAGAAATGCACTGGGATATCTGGAGACACTTACCCCGGTCTTTTGATTAGAACACTTAAAATATTAGTGCCACTAGAAAAATACAGGGAAGCCTATCAGGTTTTGGTGATATGCGCGCCTCAAACAGGACCTTACCTAGTGGTTAGAAAAAAGTTGAACAAGGTTAGAAAATTAGCTCTTATGGTTAATCACCTTGCAAATTCAAACCATGCTCAACTAGACAGCCTTAGACAACATCTATACTTATCAGCATTCATCAGTAGAGTTTATCAGCTAGATATTCTTCTAAATAGCTAATGACCGTTAGCATATGTTTATGTCTATAGGGAAAATATGATTACAATGTCATAGGGTTGCAAGATCTCAAAGAAGATAGAAAAGGAGCTAAACTTGATTTTCCATTTCTAACCACATTAAACTTTTTTCTCACCACGTTCAACTAGAACCTAGCAGGACCTTTAAACCCCAATCTTTTTCGGCCAGGCTGAGCCCTTCTCAAAAGCTTCTCACTTCCCACACTGGTAGGATGGAGTCCATCCCAATTCTGACCCCATATATGCTATGCCCACGAATAACCACGAAAACGAACGTACCCCAAGTGCACAAAACGAAAATTCGGCCATGAACCCAGCAACCCATTCTTCTGAAGAACCGCTTTCGGAAGCTACCCTTAGAGATGCCGCCAAAGTTTTTCTTTTAGATGCTGATGGGAATAAAGTGAGATTTGGGGATCTGTATAAGCCTCCAGGACGGGGTAAAAAGCAGCGAACATTGATCATTTTCGTTCGTCATTTCTTTTGCGGAGTAAGTTGCCCAAGCGCATCAATATTGTGTTTGTGATTTTTGTTCCTGTGCTTCAGTTGCAAACACATCCAGTCAAAAAGGAAAATTGCAACATCAGTGCATCGCCTTGCACTGAGTAATATGTTTCGAACATGAGCCAACGTCAACTATTTTACAGAGCTGTCAGGATTATGTTAGAGCTGTGGCTTCGAGCATTCCAGGCCCATCGCAGCTACCCGCCGATACAGCCATTGCAATCGTCGGCTGTGGCGCTTCAAGCCTCATCCCCCAGTACATCAACAGAACGAAATGCCCGTTCCCCATATATACCGACCCTACGCGATATCTCCATGCTTTGTTTGGCATGAAACTGACATTGGATGCTGGAACCCACGCCCCCGATTATTCCACAACCTCAATGTTTTCTTTAGTAACTCAGGGAATCGCAATGACTGTGAGTCGATTGCTGAAGGGCGATATGCTTCAGTCTGGAAACAAATGGCAAAATGGAGGAGAAATCCTTTTCGAAGCTGAGATCCCCAACGAAGCGGAGGATGGCGGTGAGGAAGTTAAGGTCAGAGTCCCATTCTGTCATATAATGAAGAATACTCGCGACCACAGTGAAGTTTCTGTTTTGAAAACCGTGATTGGCCTTGATGAGGAACGCGTTTAAAGAACAGATGGATGAGTTTTGTTTGGGAATAATGTCTTAAGGGAATATGAGCTCCCCGTACCTCTCGTGCCTGTGCAATAGTACATTTGAATTTTTGTTTCATTGTCTGGCTATTGGACGATGTGTTTCGTTTCGAGTTTTCAATCTTCTCATACTTACACACTCAATCCCCTATGAATTTCTCCTTTTTGGATTACAGCTTCCCTTGTTATGCTTCTTTTCCTGGGCTAATGGCATTCAATCTTATTAATGAACCATGACCTATCTATCAGCGGGGCCGAATACTGAAAGATAGGGGTTTGAGAACAAGGTGACGATATCAATGTTCCGTCCAAATAGCTTTTTCTGAACTCATTCCTCGCCTTGAGGACCCTTAACTACTAGAACGGGTCGGCAAAGCGCGATGCGTCTAGAACGGCAGACCTTGAAACCAGATAGTGGATGGCTATTTCCATAACAGAAGATGGTAGCGTCCTGCATGTTGTCTGAATCCCGCCGTTATATTTGGAAAATCTCTGCGCTTTTTAACCCCAAAGATTCCATTAGGTAGGGTGCATGGCTGCTGGGAGAGATCGGGCCGCCTTATTGCAATGCTACGTTTATTCAGGTAAGGGTAGGTGAGGCGAATTGCGGCCGCATGTCAGAAAATCTCACGGCCATCATTCTGATGCTAATCCAAGAATATTTGTTCTTCTTACCTGGATACGTAAACTGATCCGGCTTCATTTACATTCGCATAGATTCGATGGGGTGGATTGCTTTGCCACTGGAATATTTTATCTGTCCAGTTCGTGTTGAATTGGAATTTTTTTCAATGCTTAGCTCACATGGCTTATTCCATTCGCCCATAATGTCCGTGTATTCCTCTTCTCACTTGTGTCCATATCCCAGTACGTCCAAAGCAGCCTGGTGGGCCAATGGAAGGTTGAAAGAACACGTCCTATAAATCTTCTGGGTGCACTTGCCGCTTTTCACCTCGAGCCGAAGGTTAACAGGTGGTAGGCTTAGAGTGTCAATCACTTAATCCCTCGGGCCCTGAAGGAGCTCTCAGAATTCCGTTACGAGTTGACGCGATAAGATAAAGAGATCTGCGAGGATAACGAGACAACCATTCTTTGGTCTTGAGGACTATCTTTGAAGTGTTCCCTTCCATTTACTTCCAGCTGGAGACATTCTCTAATAGGACTGTTGCTGTATATATGTGCAGAAGCGACGTAGGAGAGACGATGGACCAAATCAATAAAGCATTGGAGGTATTCAAAACAAATGAATCCTTATCATTGTGGACGATTTTCGAAAGTGGTATGCTAGCTGGTCCCCCACGTCGTTAAGAACAGTTCATGAGATCCAAAAACAAATGGAGGATGGCTTGTTTGGACACAAGTCAGTTCTTGGAAGGCTAGTCCAAACCTTTTACGCGTTATCACAGCCACCTCCAGTATGGAGAACGGGATATGCTGATCTTCTACTTTGAAGGATATCTGAGCTGATTTTTGGAATATAAGAGAGGAATGTCAGCATACAAAAAGCTTGGCAGGCAACGGAAAGAACATATTTTCAAGCTGGATAAACTTGATAAGTACGCCACCCTGATGTTGCATCCGATAGCAACTTCAAGTTCGAATGTACCCAATGAAAAGACATCCACAAATTCTTGAAGTCTAGAAGGCCGCATATGAAGGAATATCGAGAGATTCAAGCCAATTGAAACGCTGCGGTGCCCATCTATCCATTTCCAAACCTTGATCCGGTCAACCTGTTGGAGATCTTGCACAAAACACTGTCCAAATACTGCCCAAAAAATTCCGCAGTTCCGTATACTTTTAAACTGATGCAGAAAGCATCGTCGCCTCCCTCGATCGAGATATTAATCCGAATATGAAAACCATGCGTGGAAAGGGGCTTCTAATATCAAGTAGTATACCTTATTCATTCAAGGCCAAGAACTAGGATACCCGACTTATAGTGTTACCTCGAATCAAACGCCTAGGTTGTGGTTGCCAGGATCTGACCATATTGAGCAAAGCCAGTACATATTTGCATATTCTATGGAGGAAAATTCGGATATTTTCTGGTTTTATATTTTGTCAGTCCATCTGTTTACGACAACGTATCAGATACCGTCGCCGTCATCAAGGAAGGCATCTGAGAATTCATTTTGGGCTTCATTGCCATATATGGAATACCCTTAATGAGAAAAAACTCACGTTTTGTGATTCTTTCCACTCGAAAAAAGTCTGATCACCCAAATCAGCAACTTCCTCTAAACATAGCGGAAATGTGAATATATTGCATTTTTCAGACACTGACCTCAGTCTATTTCAAAATGAGTACTACCTTCCAGAGAATCATCAGAGGCTTTGAGCTAGATGTCATCTGAATATTACATTACCGCTATCAGTCATTTTCCAGTTCACTGGAGGATAAGATAGGGGTTATGGGAGGTCGAGCTGTTTTTACAAGTTTTCTCCGATCTCTTTACCCAAAACGAGAGGATGGGCTGGGAATTTAAGGGAAGGTTTAATCAGCTAAGAAACTTGCCAGATTGTACAATCTGGCAGGGATTACTATCGATGGTATATCTTTCGCTCTCTTCAGCTGGCAACTGATGAAAAGAATCTAGAAAAGTATATTTCGGGCACAGAGACTCCACAAACTGAAACACACCATACGAAAGGCCTCTATATGACATCCGTTGCGGCATGTTGCATTTGCTCTTTGGACATTCTGATGCCCTTGATACATAGAGGAGTTCAATCCCTCTCAATTCTTCTGTAAAACCTTTCAGGCATGGCTTCGGTGGTCTCTTAGAGCCCACACATTAGCCCCACCATGAATGGCCAGAAGTGGATGCACAGTTCTGAGGACTGAGTCTTTTCAAGAGTTGCTATCTGAATCCTGTTCTCTCTCTTACTATGCGCATAGAGACCTATTCAGTATAGCACGTCCCCATGCCCTTAGGGCGCTCTGGGCAACGGGACGCTAAACGAATACATACATGTTGTATTCGTTAGGTCACTGGGCAAAAGAGCTCTCTCACACCAGCGCCATGCTGGTAGTAGAGGGGACGAACCAATCCAAACCCCCCAGAAGTATTGCCTAAGGCAAACGGATGCTGAGGAAGTTAGAAATGAGAGGCAGTTGTGGGAACTAACAAAAGCAGGCCGCGTGGCCTAATGGTTAAGGCGTTGGTTTTCGGCACCAAAGATTTGTGCGTTCGAATCGCACCGTGGTCGTTATAAATTTTTTTGTTTTGCCGATTGGCCGCTTCGGTCAATTTTTTTTTTTTAAATTTCGTCGCACATTATCAATTAATCCATGCCTGCCAAAAGATTGAAACCTTTTTTGATTGTAGAGCTCTCGAATCATCTCTATAGTATTGAATTATTGATATAACTATATTAGATATTGATAGATATTCATACTAGTATTGTCGCTACGAGTAGATATACTAAATCTCATATCAACATCAGGTATCATTAGGTCTTGATATCGTCGCTAGATTATTCATATCTATAATGATCAAGCACCGGCCGGGCAATACGACCATAAGACGGCTGCCCAACACCCATTTTAAGCAGCGCCCATGAGCGGGGGTATTCCGTCACAACCTGCGCTCCGTACAATACTCGTTTCCACGCCATGCTCACATTTTCCCATACAAATTGCCAAAATATTTGATACTCATATCTCAATAACAAAATCATTATAATAAATTTATAGACGGTAATTTAAAAATCCCTTGATATTCGAGATAAACACGCCTTCAACTGGGAGAGAAGACATGTTTGACCTTGTTGCCGGCAACTTATGGAGGCAATGTCGTAAAAATGGTGGCGCAATATGAGAGACAGCTGGCCTCTTCAACACACTTAATCTGCTCCAAAACCAATAATAATAATAATAATCATCACCACATGGAACCAACCACTAGGCTTAGACTTAAAAGTATTTGATAGCGCTGAAGAACCAAAGTGCCCATAACCTACCTGATGGAGGTGGAAGGTTAGTTCATTGTAACTATCTAGCGGAATCGTTAATAAGTTAATTATAAAATTATTACTAAATTCAACTAATACTTAATAATTAAACAAAAAATAAAAATTTTTCAATTCATTTTTTATACAAGAGGTTGTAAAACCTGCCTACTATTGTGTTATTGGTTTTTGCGGCTGGGTCATCTTGAGATTACTAACGTTCTCTTAAGATTGAACAATATGCCTTAAATTATTATTATTATTATTATTCCTCTTCTTTAATTATCTCCATATGCAAGCAGAGCTTATGACAAGTCCTTGTGATGTTAAATACAGGCAAGGAATGCTAACCTTGTGTTGAGCAATAACAGAAACATGGCAAAGTCAAAGAAAGGCTGGTTTGATTCCCGGCCCGGGAACAAGAAGCCTTGCGGCGGCATCACCCATTCGGCCACCAGGGTATTTGTGTCTTAAAAAAATAGAACTTTGTAATCTCTCATAAATAGTATAAAAGGCGAAGCGAATGAAAAAAATCGCTAGGAGTTAAGTTTAGTAAAAACATCATGACTTTTACACTCTGCATTTTATAAAGATTAATTGAAGCGAAGCTAACTACTCCACAATTATGCAATGCTTTGTCTACCTGATTACGTGTATTAATATCATTCCTACCGTGACAGCTCCTGGCCTGTTAGTGAGTAATATTTCTTTACTTCTAAAAGCTTATTAAATATATAGATGATATAAAATTTGATTCTACTGAGTTAAAATCATTCACTAAACATTACTCTCTTAGAAGGATCCGATTGCACTGTGGGAAACTGCTGACAGCTCTATAATTGACAAGACACAGATCTCATCTCTTGAATTGTTAAATTCTATTCCATTGGGTGGTTCAAAGATATCACCAAATGTTCGCCAACAAGCTAATGTGCTTGCACCTCGTGTATATGATTGCAGTCGGTGGTATTGCATGGTAAACGAAGACTGTCCAGCGCAAGATGAAATTTGCCACCATTGTATTCATTCGCAACACCCCGATGGTTTTGGGAAATGTCATGTCTAATTGATATGTTCTTAGTAGCAATCGTGTAATTATTTATTTATTAGACGGAGCGAAGCGAAGTCTCTATACAAAGCTCTGAAGGGGAAGTGGAGAAAAGTTGTTTAAATGTTTGCAAAAATATGTATCAAAATAAAACAGGTTTCTGGACATCTGATTGGTCTAAAAAATGAAAATTCTCCACTTATTTTGTGTGGAGACTAGACTTAAAACCAACCTGCCTGCTCATCGATCTGACCCAAGCAGAACGGCACACTGGGTGGCCAGTGTCTCCACGGATGCCTTTCGGTACCACAGCACTTTGAAGATGCTGAAATTGAGGTCCGTCTACATGCACAGTGTACCGGTCACAGTCTTCAATATGTGGATTGACATTGGGCTTGTCAAAATGGTAAACTGTTACATCCATTGTGTGTTAAAACCATTGCATCTGCCTGTCCACCGGCCCAGCACCCAGCAATAAATACACCCATCAAATACAAAGCTCTGAATCTCGAGGAAGAATCAGCATCAGAAAATTCTACACGAAATATCTTTGACTAGCTCCGAATTGATGGCTATCCCCCAAAAGAGCGAGGAATAAGTAACCACGAGTGGATCAACATTGGTGAATCTGATCATGAGTCACCAAAGAGCTATGCAGCCCCAGCACCAAAAGCTGTGGTGGAAGATTGGATAAAATATAGTATTCTGATACCTGACTCAATGATGGATCCTTCGTAGAGTTGATGCTTCCTGCAAAGCGCCATCTAGCAGACACGGGCGAACAGGAGAACATCGAACAAAAGCACGGGTTGACCGAACAGGAGGATGACATTTGAGAGTGAGAGATGTAAGCTTCTGGTGGGGCGTGGCACCGGAACCAACCAATATTTATTAAACCTTCTAGGTGGATGTTAGATTCGCCAATGCCAACTAAATTTCGATCTGCTCGAGCACATTGTTTGGTGGTTCGAGGAAGGCGACGGCGCTCTAACAAGCACTGGTGATGTGAAAGCCGGAAACATGCATGGTGTGCAACGACGGACACATCGATATCTTGATCAACAACGTCGGACGATCGTGGCCTAGTGGGCCCACGGATATACCTAAAAAGACTCGGGACAAACAAAGCGGACGCCAATTTGAAATCGGTTTACCTGTGCTATCACCACGTGCTGCCGATCATGGAGGGACAGAAGGGTGGTGGTGATGCAATGGCCAATGTCTCTTCAATTGCGGGGATGCGCTATATCGACAAGCCCCCGATAGCATACAGTACAACGAAAGCGTCAATGGTAGAATTCACCAAAGCCACTACACTAGTAATTTACGGAAAAACAGCTGTTAGGTCGAATATGGTTGCGCCTATTCACCGCTTGTCGGATCGCTAGCGGAGAATGATGCGGAAGCTAAAAAAAAAAAAGAGACACTGGGCTGTACTGGTGGGGCGGATGGGGGATTCATTTGATGGGGCGTATTCAGTAGCTTTCTTGACCTCTGGACAGACGATGTATATAGCTGGCCAAAACATAGTCGTGGATGGAGGTGTCACTGCGTCCACAGGTTAGTTTGCAAGAGTTCGTGCATGCGGGATATTGCTGTGATGAAAATTGCGCAATCCTGGGAGGTTACACTATATATATAGGGTTGAGGTATATACTACGCTTTTGCTTTAAGGTGATGGTGCAACCTCAATATCTGAGTTTTATATCATGAGAGCGGTTAACGTCCAGGATGGTATACGCTCTCATTCTGGCATATTTATTTGAATTACTTAACCTGTTTCGAAATTAACACCTAGAAAAATAGAATCAAGAGAAAACCTGTAGAACATGAAATTGATTTTTGCGTAACCAATAGATGAAATTATAACCCAGGCACAAAAGATGTAAAACTGTGACAGTCAACATTCTCATTCCATGCAAATGCAAATATCCGGTAAATCTCATGCTCAAGGAGAATAGATTTCATAAATCGCATACTGAAGTATATTCGCAGAGCACATTGTCCATGCACATAACCTTCGTCACCCCCAAGCTGTGCAGCCATAGGATTAAATGCACCAGTAACCAAGCTCAACAAAAGAGGGCAAGATTGAGAGGGAAAAGTAGGTAATATAATAATAATGTAAACAATTAAACCTATTCCTGGTAATGTTATAGCACATGGGTTTATGAAAAATGAATTTAACAATACATCGGGAGATATCAGAATGATATAAAAATAACGTTCAAGTAACACCCTTGTAATCGAATGATGAACACAAGCAGACAACACACAAAAGAAAGTTCATACCCATATTCTTACTGGCTGATTATGGAAAGAAAATGAGACATTTGGCCGTTGACAAACACCATAGTGCTAAAGGAAAAGAAAAGAAAAATATATATGGAGACAGACGAGCAAATTCCTCGCCAAACACAACGTTTTCGCATTCTATCCGTATCTTTCCCATAGTATGCAAGCTAAAACTTCGAAGTACTGTTCCTGATGCCAGATTTGTTGTCAAACTTGATAATCTGAAAATAATTTCATGGCGCACAAGGAAAGAACGCAGAGGAAAAGAAAAGAAACGCCGTTCCCGTTTAAATTTTGAGCCAGGATTGCTGCTTTCGTCACGTGTCATTGGGTGTATCATCTGAGAAAGATGGTGTAATAGGGTGTCGAACCAGTCGAGTGTACTCACACCACCCACCTCCCAGATGTCGCCTGGAGTTGAAAATGTATGTGGCGAAAAATCTTTTTTTCATTTTTTTCATTTTTTTCATTTTTCATCTTTTTTTTGGGGGGGTGATTTCCATTTCCATCTTCTATTGTAGAGACGGAATAGTGTACGAAGAGCTGTCAGTGGAAGAAGACCCTTGATTTCGGGAATTGCATTCCGGTTTTCGAGTTGCGTCCTTCGACTTTTCGCGATCCCGATCACAGTCCTTCTCCCTGTCCTTCTCGGTTGGTGATGTGCGTTTTGACAAGGTGTGTCTAAGTTGCCTGATAATACCTTTCTGATCTCCTCTCCAGCCTTCGAAACCGGCCCGTTGAGCCGGAACGGGATCAGATTTAGTGATTTTGCAGAAAAGCGTTGAGAACAGATATTGATCACCACTTGCATCATAGAGAGGTAGATACCTGTATCCTTGGGAGAGGCTACTGAGTTTTGCGGTAAAAGTGGCAAGTTGCACGCTGTTGTTACCGCCGAAACTTCGTCCATCAGGAGAGTTACGGACGACCCAACGGACGAAGACCAGGTCGGGGTATTTCGTCTCCAGTGACAGCTTGAATTGGTCGTTAAACACCGGGTTGTAACCATTCTGTTGCTCGATCCTTGTCCGACGCCGGTGGGGTTGACCGATTCCGGACATGCCGTTGCGAGCAGAAGTATCAACACCGCCTTCGCCGAATGCGAGGCCTTTCCGTTTGTCATCGGCGCAAAACAGCTCAATTTCAACGTACGGGTTAATACTATCATCTGGGCCCATTCCTTGTAGTCTTGGGAGTTGTTGTGCAGAGATGATATCCACGGTGAACGTAACTAATTTTCTGTCGACTTTCGGTTTTGAATCGCAACTCAGAGCAAGATACCTAGGCGAGGGAGATGTTCGTAGACTATCCGGCTTTAGAACATAGCCAGTCTGGTCGGTGCCAGAAGCAAACATTGCTTGGTTCAGCTGCATACCGACATCGTAGGTTTGCCAGTTCATTGCTACCATTTGCACGCCCCGTCTCCAGAAAATATTTGGATCAAAATTCGATGAGCGAACTCGAAATTTCGACGGATAGACACGTGTAATGAACGATTTATTATGCGCTTCGAGCAATACTTTGTTCTCTGAGTCCCCACATAACCGTTCGAAGGCTTTTTCAGCGAAAGAGTAGACATGATTGAATCTCTTACTCTCCGGGGAATTGAAGCTGTGAAACTTGTACCCTCGAGAATATACACCGAGCTCCGCCAGCTCTCTGGTTATCCTGCTTTTTTGTCTTCTTTTTTCCTTCCTCGTTGACGTTAAGAGCTGGCCAACATCGCTGTCCTCGGATGTACTACTGGTGCTTGTCGTGGTAAGTGATCGTCTTCCAACGGTCCAAGATGGCAAGCTACCAGCATCTACTGAGTGGCTTGTTTGAGAAAAAGGCATTGATATATTACTGCTCTCTGGGAGAGTGGGACGAACAAATGGCGAACTAGAGCTGCGCTTGCGACCATTAGTATGTGCATGAGATGAGGCCGACATCTCTTCCTCGTCCGCGGTTTTGACTTTTATCAAGATGCGATGCTTTAGATCATCTGGAGAGGGTAATATCGGGCAATTGGTCAAAAGAGGCTGAAGAAGAAGCTTGTCCCCAAATGTCTCCTTCATGATTTCCACCATTGCAAGTTGTTGGATTGGGGAACAATGAACCTCAAGCGAAAGTATCAATGGATATTCGGACCCTTGAAACGCATACCGGTTGATCACGCTAATGCAATCTGCGAATAAAACACTCTTCGTCATGGTATGTCCGTGTGAGACTGTCGGACGACCATCTGCACCATCCCAACAGTCAATCTCAACACAGCGACATCCATTTTGAAGAGCGGTGATGTAGGCTTCAGTGCTGGATTCTCCAACAACTTGTCTCCCTAGTAAATACGTGTTATGTGAACTCGAGATGAAGTATTCGTTGAGGGGTCTGTCAAACTTTGGGGGGGAGTATCGTATTGGGTATACGCTATTTTTTGGAGAAATTAAAAAAGCTGCGAAAGCATCCAAGTCCATCCGAGCATCTGGCGAATTTCGTGTTTCTAACCGTTGTTTGGAGTTACGGACGAATGATTCAAAGGTGGAGCACCAGTAGTTTCTAGCACCTTCCACATTTTCGCATTGAACCTCGCGAAGGAAATGGAGGAACTCATCCAATGTTAGCCCTTGAACAGGATCTGCTGCGACAGAACGAAATATTTCCCGGATGTCTTTGCGGTCCCTCAGCCGTTGAAGGAAATCTTTAAATTGCGAAAAGTTTAGACGACCTGTTCGCTCCGTATCTGCTTTTGTTATCTGAGCCCGCAGCATGTTTTTCGAGCAATTGATATGTAAACTTTGGCAGAGGTTCTCAATAGCGTTCCGGTCAAGTGATTCTTCACCAGGCTCTAGCACCCGCCGAGAAATTTCACGCCCCCAGTGAGCTTTTAGAACTGTCTCACTCTGAGAACCAGCCAATCCAGCCATAAGACCGATACGATATCTAGAGATACCTTCCAGGGTGTTTGTCCACAGTTCGAAAGTAGTTTTATTCGGGGCGATAAGATGCAGGGTTTTGATGGGCTTATTTTTGGACTGCTCTGGGTTTGTGAAAATAATCGTGAACCACAGATTTTCAAGATTTTCAGGAATGTCATGCTCCTCCCGATAGTTACGAGCATCCAGACCAGTGCGTATTTGTTTGATATCGTCGATATAAAGTCTTTTGGCTGGATTTGACAAATCCCAATAAACCTTGGCGGAATGTAAATCGAGAAAAAATGTTACCATCTTTGTCTTATGCTTGGTCACCTTGGTCAGAAGAGAACCACGATGTAAAATCGCATCCAGCTTAGGTGCAATGCATGCATGAGCGCCAGTCACAGACATGTTGTATCCATTGGTAGTGCCATTTGTTTCTGGATTACACCACGAGCCAAGATAATCGCAAACTTCTTCCTCTTCTTCATGGCTTGAATCTAAACCACTATCACGAGATGTTGTCCCAGTTTTACTGTCACTCCTCCTCCGCATAATCACAGGACCAGAACTGTTATCTCGTTTGTCATGGTGAGATGTCGACTGTCTCCGCCGAGTGAGTTTGTTCGCAGTGCCTCTGGATAACCTTCTCATCAGTCCCGGAGCTTTGTTTGAAGTGGTATTGTTCCCTATGCCCTCTATGCTAGACGGAGGGGCATTTATGGGATATGCAGGAAATGCCATAACACTCTCAGGGAGCTCAAGAGGGACAGGAGATCCAAGCGTGAATGTTGTCCCTAGTGTATTTCGAACAACAGGATCTCGCGTAGAGTCAGCTAAGGCGTTGAGGGAGAAAGTGGACGGGCTAGGCGCGCTTGAGATATAAGTTGGAAGCTCGGGCGAAGTTTTTGATGGCTCTGATGGACCAAACGCGGAAACTGAAGGAGCAGATGAACTAATAGTAGAAGAAGAGAGAACATCTTGAAACGGAATTCTGCGGGAAGATTGGGAAGGAGGTGAGTTTGATCGGGAATAGGAGTTGTCATTTAAGGTAAAGGAAGGCCACCCGCCCGATGCCATCACAGACAGCCGTCAGAGGAGTTGGGCGAGGTCCAGTGCACGCCACTCTGCAGGGACTACTGATGAGCGGTTGAGATTCAGAGCGTACCAAACTTCAAATCGTCACAGCTGATGGTTATGCAGGGCAAATAATTGGGAATGGAATAGAAAAGTTAAAGACGCAAGTCGTGTTTGTCGTTCCGGTTTTGTTTCCCGAACGCATCTAGCAAGTGGTTTGACTGGCTGGCGTATTAGGAAGAAGGGTTGCGATTGATTGTGTGTCGTTGTAACAAAGGCGCCACTACCACGTTTGCCAAAAGTTTGATACCTGCATATTGGCCTGCAATATAGAGCGTCAAGATCTTCTATGGATTGTTTGCGAATGATCTGGCGCCTACCACCCGGTTCGAGCAGCACCCAGACCTCTAACAACTGCTCTCATAAAAAGAAATGTTTGGTTACCCTTATCGCCTCGCTTGTCCCCCACCTCCTCAAGGGTTGCTTGAACTTCCTCCCCTCCTGTTGTCTCTGGCGTATTTCTTCGCGTTCGAAGTGATCACTTTTGCGGGGGGTCCTTTTTCAATTGGGTGTGCGGTTGATCGGCAGGGTAAAAGGGAGGCGGCAAGGGATCCAATCGAGCTTGTAGATCGCCACGAAAACAAATACTATGTGGCTGAGAATGAGTATTTTGCGTTGTTCAAAAAAAAAAAAAAAAAAAAAAAAAAAAAAGAGTAGATGGTAGGATGAGAAGATCTGGAGCAGGAATGGCGGTACCTACGTCCTCCTTATATCTAGCAGTTCTCACAAGGCCCGTAGTCTCAGGCTCAGCAAGGTATTTTCTGACGAATTTCCAGTTTCCAGGTAGGACCTTGGTGTACAGAACTCAAGTCCCAGGAAAGACCTCGTTGAAGCGGGGTGCGCCAACTCTTGCAGGGCGAGAATAAGGTATCCCAGGATAGATGCGTCAGGGAGCAGCTTGAACACACTCTCTCAACGAATAGATGGTGGTGCCCAATGCAATACACGGGCTCGAGTTATGCAGGCGGGTCCTTGGAGAGGGTTTACGTAGTGGAGAAAGGGGTTAGAAATTTCGACGATCACGGCGATGAGGCGCTGTTGTTACTTTGGCGGTGATTGATTGCTGTAGGGATCGCGGGGAATTCCTCAAAAATTCCCTTCAAGACCCGCAATGATGCGTTGGGTGACAATAATCAAGACCGCAAGGGAAAGCTGAGGAGCGGAAGGTGCAGGAAGCTGATGTATGTTGAGTCAAACAGAGGCACAACATGGAGGAGTGGAATCAGGAGGAGGCAAGAAGGGAAGAAATAAATAAAACGGGAGGATTGGCAGCGGGATTGAATGATGGTTTTGAGGAGATCCAGGATTAATTTCTGTTTCCCCCGTCGACGTCGTCGTGCATAAGCCCAAGACAGCGATGAGCCTGTGCCGTACCGTACCAATACCGCGGCTCAGATACGGTTGTGTTTGTTATGGCCAGGATGGCGCTGATTGGTAACTTTAAGTTTCGTTCTTGTATTTTTACTGCCCAACAACGTATTGCAGTTCTGCTACTCCGTGCTGCGTGCTTCGTACAGGTCCAACTGAGCCAGTCAGTATTCAAGAGCTGAGAGGGAGTTAGATGCCTTTATGATATCAAAGCTATCACTGGGGTCTGAAATGATGATGATGATGATGCATAACTTCGGCAAAAATAGGACATGGTCAAGTACAGATCTCCAACAATGCACCATCCACATCTCCCCTTGTCATTGAAGTCCAGCTCCGTTGTTTCAAGATTCTGCCACTGGCACTGCTGCTTGCAGGCAATTTTCACCAACTTGAACAAATTCATCGGTAACTTTGTGACATCAGGAGTGGACAAAGTCGCAATTTCACTTGATCACAATCGAACGCCGGATTTGGCGTTTTCTTACTAACACTGTGCTTCGTGGCCTGCAATTTTGCCTAGCAGCTCACACAGAATTTTTTCTCTTCGACAGACGTAAATCAAGCTGAACACCAAGCTTGTGCTCGGATTTACCAACTATCCAGCCTCCTGGTATTAAACTTTCGGAAACGAAATGGCGGTGGAGCTTTCCCAAGTACCAAAGCTCGTCAGCTGGGATATTTGGTGTCCCGCAAACAAATATCAATCACCCGAGCCATTCTGAGGCTGTTACTGTGGCTTAATCGTCTGGCCTGAGTATGCGATCCATCATCCAAGCCAAGAATCACCGTCTCTCTTTTCTTTTCCTCTTTGCTCAATATTCCCTCGCCAGCCTTACGGAGCCATTGCCAGCACTCCCGAAAAACAGTGATAGCCGTGCTTGGCATGTCTTGGGCACCCAAATACTTGGGAATATCAGTGAGATATAATTAGAATTCCGTGGTCATCATGGGAGCTCATGCGTTCCTCGGGTTATTTGAATATTCATTAAAAGAAATTGACTGCTTTGAGTGGGAGATACCTCACAACTTTGCCTGCCAACCCTCGCTGCGTCGATCAAAAACGGAGCTCCTCCTTTGATATCGTTGGCTTGGTGTTTACAGATCCTGATTTAAAAAAAAAAAAAACACTGCAACCCGCAGATGATTTCGGTGATTAACTTCAACCGGGCGCTTCCTGTCGAGCGTACCATTTTCTTTTGGCCTTGTTCCTGGTTCTGCCCTCGAGTTGCTGGTCGAAAATACAATTTCACCAGCAAATCAGCAAACGCTTGCTTGCCCAGAGGATAAGCGATACGCAGGTGACATCAACGACGAAGAGGATGCGAAATATTAACAGACTCTGACGAAGGAAACGACACTCAACTCGTCAGCCAATGGTGCGAGCTAGGCAACAACAAGGCAGCGGATGGGTTGGAATCACCGTGTTTGAAAGCGGCCGTGTGGAACGGCGACCTTACGAGCACGAATGGTGTTACAGGAGTGAAATCTCAAGTTTGGCATCGTGTATTATAATATACATCCTAGCCCATACGCTGACGTTACATGGCTTTCCTGCTGACTACTATGGTACGGGATCAAAACAACAAATATTTCCTTCCCTCCCCATTTGAATACTAGCGGCCGAATCTGCGGGGCCACCAAGGAACGTGGCGTGGAAGACAATCCGCCAAATCAGAAGAGCCACCCGTCGTGCCTATGAGACATGCATACACAGTAAATTTCAGATGGGGCATCAGCATCGCCTGGTCTAAATTTACAATGGTAGACCCAGAAGAGGAATGCTATGAGAAAAAGGTCAGGGACAGGCGAGATGAAAAATGAAAGACCATTTAGTTTTTGGTCTGCTCACCCCCGTCGTATCTCCTTCCTCCTCGTAGCTGTTGGGCACTGAGTCATGACATCATAGAGACGGTCGTTGATCTACGCCGCATAGTCACATCAAATGAAATCCCCCATTGATTGAATTTTGCACGGTGCAGGACAATGGGCATTAATATGCATCACACTCCACAAACGTTAGCCAGACAAGAAGCCGTACACATATGTTTTATGCTCCTTTCGGTCATCAGGCATCCCACTGGTTTCCACTGAAAATGTCCTGTCCATCAATCATGCTATGCGCATCAGATGAAAACGACACTTGGAATGTATTTCTGCATGGTAGGCTGACAAGATGCGGGGCAATGAGACTACATGTATGCCGATGTCGGTTATTAACCTGCTGCACTCGACCATGATCATAACAATCTTCAAAATCCCGACTGTATTGAACTCCACACCCTTGAAATGCGAAGCATGGAGTCGTTGGCCGGGATTTCGCATCCCATGTTGCTGGCTGGTGCCTCGCCCTCTCATTAAGAGTACTCCCTTCATCTAGTTATTATTACTAGGATTAACCCAGTCATTCAAACTAAGTGTTGACATGAAAGATTTTTGCTTATGGTTATGTATGTTCCAAGGTTTTTCTAACTTGTTGCAGGATGTGACAGGAATTATCAATAATAACTGCGTACAAGTGTCTGAGGAAAGTGAATGATGTTTATTACTTTTATTATTATATATGTTTTAAATTATTTTTGAAGGCATCTCAACCCCCTCACACTCGTCTGATATTCGTCGAAAATTGCAGACACACAGCACTTAACCACCCTTGCTTATCCGCATGCCCACTATGGAGTACGTATCCCAGGAATGGTATATATTATTATTCAACGAACGCGACCGTCTTGCTTCCCCAGTACGTTGTCCCAGTCACTACACGGTTTGTCTCAGTGAGTTGTACTGTACGCCTTTGACAACCCCCGCCTACTTATGCACACCCCTCCACTGGCAGGACACAGAATGTCCCGCTGTGTCTTCTTGTATTTTCCATTGAATTATTCTTAGTATCTCGCATCACAAAGCCTGTGTGAGACAGAACTCGGCAAGATAGAAACATTCAAAAACCAGCTATCCACACACCCCCTCCCAGGTTTAACCCCCTCACAAGTTCTGATTCCCAATACGACCTTTCCCTCATATCGGAAGCGCAACCACTTTTCACCCTGTGCGTTCGTTAAAGTAGCTCCCAAAGGCACGCCAGCCTGCACGGGCAGATTCGAGACGAAGTGGCGCAAACATGTTTAGCCTATCATGGTCCCAGGAGGTTGCGCGCCACAAGACAATATTTCTTGCATGAAACATATACTGTCCAAAAAGTGCTGGTGGCTCAACCATGAATTTTACACACATATGCACGAACTCCAAGAAACTATCTCCATACGATCTGCGTGGGACGACGGGGACTTAGCCATCTCGTGATTCACCATAATAGTCGGCGACGCACTCAAATTTTCTACAAGCGTACATGAACATGTGCATGCATACACACTCCTACCTACATGTACCTAAAACAAAATGTAGGCACGAATTATTATGCTGCGTATGCGGATTCGCATTCATTGAAGAATTGTGGCATTAGCGCACACGAAGGTATGAAGCTCCATGTTTCGCTTTTTGCAGTTCCTCTGAGCAGCAGGCAAGGCAAACCACCTCCCAGACATTCTTCTCTCCTTACTGCGTAATGGCTCATGCAAGCTAGCGTTGGTATGATGGATTGAGCGTTGGTGAGAAAGGAAGACGTTTACTTTGGTACTAGAAGCGATGCCATGTGTCTATCCGCTAGCTCCATTCTTCACTTCTGATGTTCTTCAAGTTTTCACAGCCTTAATTTTATTACGTGGACCCTCGTTTTGGATTCGTCATCAGGTCAACATTATCTGAAAAGTTCATCACGCCCTTTCAAGCGGTGGCTCGCAATTTATGGCTTGAAAAAGGGTCAAAAACTTCGCAAACTTCGCCCTCTCATCCTCGTTCGTAGCCTTGCATCTTTAGAGACGCATCAACACGAAAATTGGACGCCCATAGGCCTTTCCGGGCGGTGAAAATTTACAATACTGCCGTGGAAGCTCGGCAACCCCCTTGTCCAACTTCTTACAAGTTAAAAAAAAACAGGTGCCTAATTGGGTACGCCATCCCTATATTGATCCAGCATGTATCACGACAGAACAAGCACGTTAAGGGAAGTTTTCTTTTGCAGGCCTCAAGGTTCCAACATGTGCTTACCCTTATTGATGGATATTCAAGGTACCCACGTCACCGAGTGTCCCCAGTTGGTTTGGTATTTTCCTATATCCCGAAAACGCCTATGGCCGCCTACCGGATAATATGCCCGAGGAAAATAGGGTTATTTATCCAGCTGCCACTAAATGATATTGCACCCATATCCGCATTCTCCCCCCTTTCTCCAGGGAGTTTTTTCGATTTTGAGGAACGAACGGAGAGGGGTTTTTTTTTTTTTTAATTTTTTTTAAAAAATTTTTTTTTCGTGACTTCTCTTATGCGTCCGATTGGTCAAGAGCGAGTATTTCCTCCTCCACGCAAGATCAAACGTGACTTTTCGGCCGACGGAGTGCGCAAGATGTATCCGAAGGTGACAGCGCAGGCGGAAGGAAAGAGGATATGTGTCGGGAAAAGGGGTAGACGTCCAGCCTTATTCTGCTGGTCATCATGCCAAAAGGACGAATGCAACGATGTTACAGCACAGGCGTATTTTCATGTCTCACGTATGGATCTACGTGCATTCTCTAGCACTGCGCATCCTGATCTTCCCTCTAGCTGATACCGGCTGAATGTATGTATGTATTATGTATGCACTGTTCGGACTTAAACGGCTGAGCCTGATCAAAATGCTGCAAAATATGCGGATACGAAAATCGACGAAATGGGAGAAATGTGGGATGTGGATCAATTAATGATTGAGCGCATTAGTATCCAAATGGCATCATATATTTGGGAAAGTATTGAGCGGGTGCTTCGGCATGTAAAGCGCAAGAGGGGCTACAAGCCTACCACTGAATCGTAGCCCGCACACCCGTTTTCCCACGAAATCTTCATCCATAGGCATAGCACTGTTCAGCCCTGGTCAGCAAGCCTTGTTGCTTAATCCGATCTCGCGCGTCGTGGTATTTATTGATCGGATTTGATTAGGGTGCGTGCCACGCCCGCTGTACTTCTTCACCAGCGTTCTAACCTAATACAAAGTATGATAAAAAGCTCGCTATTATTAATGCTCAAGGCTCAGCATGATTTTGACTTCTAGGCGAAGAAAAACACCTGCCCGCACCCCCCACAAGCAGCCGCAAAAAGGCATTCATCCTACATTATTTTGTTTCAGCCTTTTTTTTTTGGTTGAACCCAACTACATATGAGAGGTAAACAGTTTTTGCTCAGGTCGCCGCCACTCCACAATGGTGTAGTTCGCAGGGATCCAGGGGTCATCAAGGTTCCGCTAGTAGGCCATGGTTATTCAGATTCTGCAATTAGCTACTTTTAACTGCATGTCCCTACTCATGAAAAAACTCAATCAACATGGGTCAATGTTAGTTCTTACCTCACTTATTGATAACTCGGGATGAAGCTATCCATGTATTCACGGACTTGCTCCCACAAAGGGGAAAAGAGCACACACACACACACACCACCCGCCATGCCGCTCACGAAATAACCGCTCGCCCGTTCCACGGAAGCAGCCGTGGGTGCGGGCGGGAAGTTCCTTTCAGCCTCCAAATGATGCCCGCTAGGCAGACCTGGGTGTCCTGGCAGCGGAAGTCAATGATGCATCTAACAGCGGGCAGACATCTATGTATGCATCTCGCCTCACTTTCCTGTCCTCTCGCTACACCCTGTGAGTCTGCTCTCCTGTCATGACTTCCCCAGTCAACGTGCAGGTTGTTTCCCCTCTTCATTTTGAATCGTCCATGGGCTGACCTTTGAGAAATTTTCTCTGCTTAGCGTAGTATTCTTAGACACTTGGAGAATCATAACTAAAGGTTGCACTCTTCACGCTCCTGCGCCACATTGCTAGCGCTAAAGTACCCTGACGCTTAACGAGCCCCATTGAGCCCCACCAACAAAGGCCCCAAGAGCGGAAGCAGAGCGATGTGGCTTCAACATTGCGGGGTGTAACGGAGGCTGATTGGGCTATTGTTTCTTGCTACATATTTTGCTGCATGGAGATTGCAAACCGCCAGCGGTGTAAGATACAGGTTTTTCAGTACCATACAGAATTCGGTGACAACTCAAACATCAATCGTATCATAACAAATACGGTATGTCGGGACAGTTGATGTCGTATGCATCGTATTTCTGGCAAGGGAAATACACGCGGTGTCGGGAGGATGAGGCTTCGGAACAGCCCACGAGGAGCCCTGGAGAGGAGATTCGGGAACGGTTGGCTGTGACGGGGAAAAGTTGGTCGTGGCAAATGAACAAGCAGCGAGGACCATCCTTCACTGCTTTCCTGGCGGTTTTTTTTTTTTTGTTCTTTTTTTTTTTTTGTTTTGTTTGGGCCCCACTTCTTCTTGAGTCACAAGAAATGCTGAAACAACTTCACCTACTGCCAGGAGAGATTTCTGATAATAGAGCCGGTGGTACCCAACCAGCTGGAACCTTTGTGCATCCTAGCGATACTGTCGTCATTTCTATCCCATGTGCCCCAATGAGGGCCTGGTGCAGCATGCCCTCATTCTTGTTTCCCCGCAGGTTGTATTGCGATGTTACTTCTTCTTTATTTCTCTTTTCGAAATATTTCTTCCACTTCCACCCGTCTCTCCAAGAAAGAAAGCACCTGCCGAGCGCTGCCCCTTCTCCTCTGAGGCTCTCAAATTACTGGGGTCTTGTCCTTAGGTCAAAAATGAGAACCACGGAGAAATCACTTGTGATGTTTCACCGCACAGGGGCCATCAAACCAACATTATCAGTGAACCCAAACTTCCCACCCTTCACATCTGGACTAATGCCCCTTCTTGTTGGAGAATTGGACTTTTGCCACTAGGCTAAAAGGATAATTTCCCTAATTAGCAGGGCGGTTCAGTGATGTTTTCAGGTTGATGTCATTGTAGCAGAAGGAATCACAACATGAAACGATTGCCTATGGGGATGCACATACTCATGATTTATATTGAAATGTACTGTGTATGTATAGAACGTCTGATTTATATTACTAGTTTGCCCTATCGACAGGTGCCTGTTCTCATTGCATTATTGCTGTTCTCGGTCCATCCCGACAACACATGGCAACTACTAGTAGTCGTCAAGGGCCAACTCTGCTTCTTGCGTCGCTGGCCTTCCTAATCATCAATGATCGAGAGACAAAAAGATATCATTGTATTTCTGGAACATATATTTTATGGCGGCTCCTGCGGCGGACAGGGTTGTTCCACATACATGTGCAACTGTATTGTCCATTGGATTCCTGATGGGGTTAACTCCTTACATTAGGTAGAATTTGGTTCAGTCACATATGTAAGCGCTATACGGTGGTTCTGGTGAATACTTTTTCTCGCTCTTGTGAATCCCGGCAAATTGGTAACATGTTTTCCTTACTCATTTCATTCTGTTTCACCCTGCCAACTTTTATATTTCCTCGCACTTACTGCAGGAATTAAATATTAGGCCACTAGGGCAAAAGAGCTCAATCACCACCAGCGCCATGGTGGTATCCCCTCGTCTGGCCGCGAGGACACAATTAGTGCAATACAATTAGTGTAACAACTAAGCTGTTAGTTCTGATGTACCAACCAATAATTCTTCATACTAAATTCTATGTAATCTGATTTGTTGATACTGCTTCACTATTTTAGTAATCTGCTATCTTCTTATCTTGATTCATTCATATTCATGATCTTCTTATCACTCTGATCACTCTGCTTTGAGAAAGAAATATGACTTCTATAGATAATCTTCAATTTCTTAATGCTTCTTTTAATCAGATTGACTAATTTTTTTTATTAGATAGTACAAAAATAGATGCAAAGTGAAAGCAATCTGTCAGTGTATAGATAGATGGTGGGTTGAGTGGCCACACCACCACGCCCACAGATACTATGAGCACAACCATTTAACAAATGATTATGTTAGCTTTTTGGATAATCCAATGGTTATAGTGCTATCTTATTGCAAAGATATAGTTGTGCAGCATGTAGTAATATTGCTCTCTGCTTGAAGAGAGGATATTGAAAGAAGTTCCATTCTGATCATATTAATTAGGACTAGTTAGTTGACTAGATCAAATAGATTACATAAATTACACTAAAACACATCAATACAGCTGATCTCTCATATGGCCCAGTAACTTTCATATATTTAATACACTAATGTACACACTAAAAAATACACTAATTGTGTCCTCGCGGCCAGACGAGGGGATAGAGGGTACGAATCACCCAACCCAATCCCCCCAACACCCCCCCTCGCCTCGGACCCACTCTACCATCCGGCCAGCTGGGGGAACCTGGCTCTTCCTAAGTTCCACTACCCTACTGCCATTGGTCCTTGGTGGCCTGGGGTCTTCCTGGGTGCCTAACCACCAATCTCCCCCATCTTGGCAAGAGAATGTGCATTAGTAAGGGATATTCCTCTGGCCTTGGTCTGATTCGAACCTGTGATAGCATGTTGGCACACCCTGTAGCAGTCGCGCTTACACGGGCTCATAACCTATTAGGCCACTAGGGCAAAAGAGCTCAATCACCACCAGCGCCATGGTGGTATAGAGGGTACGAATCACCCAACCCAATCCCCCCAACATTAAAAGGCAATTATTAGTAATGTTTGTCGTCATCTCGGGAATTCTTTTCTGGAAATGGTAGATCAGTTCGTTTCTGTAGAGCTAGCGTATGCTGTTCTTGCTCTGTGGGGTTGATTTTGGTGCACCATTTTTGAGTCTTGAAAACAGTTCCATCTCGAAACGCTGTTTTCCATATGGTTCAGGTTCGTTTCGTAACTCAGCCAACATATCCGTGCCCGGTGGAAAATCATGCTCGAATATTGGTTCACCCACACCTCGCATGTTCGCTAGAACTGCCTGTCGGAAATGCCAACGTAACAGTGCATCAGAGACGCGGTGGGGGTCTTGTGGGTTACGGCAGACAGGATCCAGGATCCTACCATCCAGTCCGAACGGATCAGGACCAAAATAAGTGATTTTATAGCCGTCCTGTTCCAGGTTTGTTAGTAATAGCCTCAGTGTAGTCTTGTTTACCGAATACTTGCGTACATCCGGGTTGATTGAAAACAAATAATTATCAAAGTCCGTATGTAAGCCACCCTGCAGCACCAATCCATTTTGAATGGAATTGATTCCTGAGTCTCCAGTTGTGCTGTCCATGTCTGTAATCCACCTTCCGTAATTGAACTCCATCCAGATGCTTTCACAGGCCAGTGGAAATATATGGACTGCTTCGAAGCCAGACCACGTATTCCACGGAGCGCGAATGTTCACAACGCCAGATACCACACACTTTCCATCGCGCGCGCGGACACCGTCACGAAATGCATCCACTTGACCGGATACACAATGACTAATGAGTCGAGCGACCCACGGTTCGTTGTTCACGCGAATAGAGCCTCAAGGGAGATTCAGCACTTATTAGCCGTGTTTTCTTGTGTGAAAAAGTGATGACCTACTTTGACAGTAAATGTCGTATTCGCCAGGTTGAAGGGCTGCATTTGTTGGGCCGATCGTAATCCCAGAATCTCGATGTTTCACACTCCACTGATCATCGACGGCAAGAAGAATTCCATCTAGGATTGACAAAAGGTTCGCTCCTGTCATCGAGCCGTTTTGATGAGTCCCTCCCAGTAAATTGCCAGTAGAAGCCTCATAGAGCCAGACGTTTCTCCATGACGCTCGATCAACGGGCATTTGATCATTAGTTGTTGTGGTTTGATGTTAATTTCTGTGTGTAGAGCGTACGACGATCTTTCAAGACTCAATCGAAACAGAACAGTGGCGTTTTTTAGATATGGTGAGGTCAGAGAAATTATTTCCTAAAGAATCGGATACGTCCAACAAGCAGTGATTTGATTGGCTGGTGTGAAGAGGGTCACAGATAATCAGACTCGAGAGAGCTTGGTAGCGATCTCCGGGATTTGTGGCTAACTATACAGGGTATAACCAGATATGTTTCTATATCTTAATCTAGATCATCTCAAAATTTGTTATATACAGAAATTTAATTATTCTCACTGTTATCAGAAAAAAACTCTAGTAAATTAATAAAATATCTAAATATCACTATATTCAGAGATTTGATTGATCTGTCTGCTGTCATATTCTCAGTGAGAATGTGATTGATCAAGATAATATCTTTATTCAACTATATGTGAGAATAGTGGAAATGAGTATTGATATGCTTGCTGTATACTGTGATCACAGCAATGATAGCTAGATTGATTGAATCTTTGTTATCTACTCTAATAAATAGGAGATTCTCTGCTGTAATAAATTCTAGTTTTATTCTATAATTATATCATTAAATTGCTTTATATACTGTTATTATTATTATTATTATTATTCGTCCTTATACTCGCATGCAAGCAGTGCTTATGACGAGTCAATGTGTGATGCTAGATACAGGCAAGAGTTGGTTACACAGGAGGAATGCTTAGTGTTGAACAACGCAAGAGGTATCCAATCCCAATTGGAATTTCGCCCAGTGCAGTGCAAAAACCTGTGGGCGATGATGGGGAGATTGATACGGCCAAAGCAGCAAGTAGTCGGGGAACTAACATGATCCTATCGTCGCATACAACATGCACGTTGGAAGATGCCATCCAAGCACCTGTTGGAGACAATGTGGTGGATTTCCGGTTCCAGCTCTATATCTCGCAGAATCGGGAAAGATGTGCGCAGGTTATCAGATAGCAAAGGCGCAAGGTATGTGCTCTAGCAAAATCATTCAATCCCACATGGTTTCAAATTTGCAACAACGGTAGAAACTCAGTCCCACTCTCTTTGAAATATATATGCTTCCCAAAAGATCTAGTTTATCCCAGTTGCCGGATACAAAGCCATACTTTTAACAGTTGACACACCTGTCCTGGGGAATCGCATCAATGAGCAAAACGCCATTGGTTCTTCCTCCCCAGCTTTCTCTCGCAAGTCTCCACCAAAAAATGAACAAATTATACTCCAAACGAAAGGCCTCCAAAGGCAGAACCGACAATGAACCGTGTTCTCCTGGAGGCACGCAATGCTAAAGTAGCGACGGAAATCACACTCGGAAACCACGACACCCTGAACGACGCATCACTCACCTGGTCTGACACCATGCCTTAGCTATGTTCCAGAACCAACCTGAAAATCATTCTAAAAGGCATAATGACCGCAGAGGATACACTGCTCGCCATTGGACATGGCGCTGACGCAATCATTGTGTCCAACAACGAAGGCCGCCAGCTGGACTCTGTCCCCTCCAGGATCGAAGTGCTGCCGGAAATAGTCAGTGCAGTTCGAGGTAGGGTTCCCGTCATTATTGATAGCGGAATTACGAGGGGAAGCGACGTATTCAAAGCATTGGCGTTGGGTGCGGATTTCACACTCGTGGATCGTTCGGCATTATGGGGTCTTAATTTTGGCGGACAGGAGGGGGGTGGAGAGAGTATTGGATATTCTTGAGCGGGAGCTTTCGAGGACGATGACGTTAGTTGGAGTGGGATGTATAGGAAGCATTGGAAGGGAAAAACTTGGAGTTGATAAGAGAGACGGGTTTAGTATATCAGAGCTGTAGATAGTTTTTCTCATATAGCGTTGGGAAGGATTAAGGCTGGAGCAAAGGTTGGGAGCAATGCAGTTTTGATATACAAATGATATCAATTCACCAATTGCAACATAGTCCCTATTGTAGACCAATTTGGATTCAATAGTTCAAAATATCAGGAACCGAATTCTTTATCCCACCCCCAACACTCAAAGAGATTAGCTTTGTCTCGAATTCTTTTCGTCTGGCTACCTCTTGCTGGTTACAGAGCAATGCTTCTGAAAAGCCAATCAAAAGCCAAATGGGTAACAATAGCACTCAAACTAGCATGAGGATCGGGAATCACAGGGTGAAAGAATCACCAAAGAGTATGAACTTCAATAGAATTCACCAATGCAGAGATTCCTGACAACCAAAAGCTGACGTTTGTACAGTATATATATTTTTAGGGTTCATTCGCAATAGCTGAGATGTGATCCCTGAGAGAAATTGGGTGTCATAATGGGCACCAGGGAATAAGATGCAGCAAGGTATGAATAAAGGGGGATGTATTGACAAAATTAGATATCGATGTCTACAAGGAGCTTCCTCGCGGACCCGCCGCGCACCCGAAAGAAAACTTGCGTACCAATCCCGGTTGTCGATGCGATTGATCGGAGGTGTGCCGGCCAATGCAGTTATCCATGCGCTGGTGGACGCCGTGGGTTCCTGTTAGAAGAGTGAAGGAGAAAGATACTAGTACTTACGGCAAATCGGGCAATTCGTGGTGGTCAGCCAATCGACATCACCATCTTTTCCAGTTCTCCGGACGACCATCAGACGCGTTCTTATCAAGCATGTCTTTTGAGGTCCTCAAGCACTTGACACAAATCCTGTCACTTGTCCATTGTCACTCCAAATATGTATGCCACTTTGTCCATTATTTGGCAGATCTGGAGCATTAATTTAAGCGGAAAGGGTGAGGTAATGGTCCAGTTTTGGTTTTCGTGTCATGTTGTGTGAATTGTAGGAGTGTGGGCTTATTCGATAGTTGATCCTGCTGGTGCTGATAGGAAATCTCCCTTTTGTAGAACAGCGGTAAAAAAGTATATGTGCTTCGGGTAGTGAAGGGTCCGGGTGCCCCAGCCAGCCAGAACAAAAGCTGAGGAAGCTGAGGATTTCGAAGAATCTGTTGAGAGTTATGTCCTTCTGGCAGCAGCGCAGACATCCCAAACGAGTCAATAAAATGTTGGACTAAAGTCCAAAGAACCTGTCATAAAATGAAATCAATATCCGATTGAGTCATCGCAACCCTTGCTTTCCAACCATTTTGATATCTGCAACCCTGACAAGCCTATCGCAAGGTCGTACGACGATGATCTGCGGATATTACTGGACCATGCATTCTGAACAAGCTTTTTCGCCGAGCACGAGATGAATGCTTAATTATTGCAAGACCTATGCAGCTGCAGGATGGACCCCTCAAGATTAGTATCTCCCCATCGTCATGACTGTCGGCAAACTAATTCGCGCCACCAGTTTCTTCAACATGGATCCAAAACCGGTTCTAGATTGTTGTCTCGTCACAAAAGGTGCCCATGCCCTCGTCCAACTGTCTCCCGGGCGCTCATTGATATGTCTGCCTCCAGCTTCAGTAAACTGCTCCCCAGGCGGTGAAACCATCCCATACTTGTCAGGCAGGGCCAATCAGCAGCTCCGAGTCAGCTATGGTGTACAACACGCCGCATACGTACAAAAAAAGGTGCTTCGGAAAAGCGGCATCAACAGGTTGTGGTTTAACTTTCTTCCCAGGAAAACTTTGCACAAGTGTCATGGTGAAATGACGTCGATAAATCAGACAAGTGCTGAATGAAAGCTCAGCTCTGATTCCAAGGTTCTGACTTTTGGAGCGTTTGAAAATTGACGGCGGTGTGGACTTCCTCACAGATGGCGACAATGCCATACCGTCTCTCATATGTATATGACAGTATATCATGCGTATGTCCAAATTAAGTTGTTCTGGCGGTTCAACCGTTGACATCGCTGCCAAGGCAAGACGCAAGATGTCCAGCATCCACGCTAGGAGCCACGATCTAGACTATGCTTTTGTCGCTGAGCCAGGTTGACCTCGTACAATCAACCATCCCAATGTTTCCTTCAAGTGACCAATTGCTACTGCTACTGTAGATAACTCCATCGACAGTGCAACTAGTGATCAGTGTGGAATGCATCGTTCATTCATTGTGAGAGCTTCTCCTTGATGCGTCTCGACGAACAGGCTTCCTACCATGTCGCCTGCCTTGGTTTACAGAACGGGTAATTGCTCACTTGGAGGGGGTTTGCAGCAGGCTCAATTGCAAACTCACACACAATAATAATGCCCGTGGACGTTCCATAATTTCCTAGATGATGCATTCATGGCCGCAGCAGAACTTGGTGAATCCACGGTGGCCCTGAGTTTGGCCGCGAATCCCGATAACCTGCGCGTTGCGCTGCGCACACCTGCAACTGCCCACTCCGTCCGCCGGCGCTGTCCCAGTCCGACCTTTTCATATCCTTCAGTCCGGGTCACCAGTTTCAAACAGCGCCCTTTTTTCGCTGTGGCCCCAATGGTTGCAGCTTTACTTTTTTGTCTCCCGATTGCAATGGACTCTCCGGAGATGGTTTCCGCCAACCCCTAATTAGGGCGTTTTTCATTTGTGTAATGTCTCAACTGCGTTAAACTCCTTGATTTTCGCGATGGCACGCCCTATTCCTGTGGTATGTTACGAGGTTGAGGTGTTCTCAGGGACATCAACCCTTCAGGATGGGCAGCAAGAGGCGATCTCAGCGTGGGATTGCTGCGGCTGATTCTTGTGATCCGGAGATGTACTGACTCTCCTGTGCATGGTCTGATAAACAGACCCTGTTCTGTAGAACTGCAAGACGATTACGAGGCTCTCTCATCGGCTTTACCTATGGGAGATGGATCTTTATATTGCTCATGCCCATCCCCTTGGTTTTTGAGATCATCCCGGTCAACAGAAATATCTACGAATTCAATATCAAAATGGAATCAATTATGCGATTGGAGGATTTTCCAACTGTTTTAATCCAGAAAAAAAGCCTTGTTCCTCACATATCACAACAGCCAGCGCACGCTGAAAAGGGGGCGCCACGGGCTGCCTATATTCCTCTCCCACCGCCTTCGAAAGAGCCAACAGAGATCCTTGATATAGATAAGGACACTCCAGATAAACATGTCCCCAGAGATCCACGCCTTATTCGGCTTACTGGAATTCACCCATTCAATGTCGAGCCACCTTTAACCTCTCTATATGATGAAGGTAACTCTCTCTTCCGACATTTGACTGGTATGATACTTGCCGATGCGAACCCCACTCATCAATCAAAATGCAGGATTTCTTACCTCTCCCGAACTATTTTACGTGAGAAATCATGGCTCTGTTCCGGAGGTTCGTCAAGCGGACATTCCTGATTGGCAGCTGAGCGTTGAAGGGTACAGACTAATTTGATCTTGATAAACGACTATCCATCTTACTTACGCTGACTGGCTGCACGTAGCCTGGTGCAGAGCCCTCTAGTCTTGAATTTGGCTCAAATTTTGACAGAGTTTGAACAAATAACGGCGCCCATTACTCTGGTATGTGCTGGAAACAGGCGCAAGGAACAAAACCAGGTGAGAAAATCGAAGGGCTTCTCATGGGGGGCAGCGGGCGTATCGACGGCTCTTTTTACGGGCCCGTTGATATCCTCTATCTTGCAAAGGGCGAAGCTGCTTCCAGGTGCAAAATATGTGTGTATGGAGGGCGCGGATAAACTGGTAAATTCTACACTTGAGGCCACACTTCGCTCAACAAATATTGATGATTCTTTTTTATAGCCCAACGGATGCTACGGTACATCTATCAAATTGAATTGGGCCATGGACCCGAATAAGCGAATAATGTTGGCACACAAAATGAATGGCGAGCCACTCCGACCAGACCACGGTCGACCACTGCGAGCAGTTGTCCCAGGACAAATCGGTGGGCGGAGTGTTAAGTGGTTGAAAAAATTAACCATAACTGATGCCCCGAGTGGCAACTGGTATCATATATACGATAATCGAGTCTTACCGTGAGCTTTGCCGGTGAACGCTCAACTTTTTAGCTCTTCTAGCTAACCTTTAGTTAAGGACTATGATATCTCCAGAAATATCCACGAATGAGCCGAAATGGTGGTATGATGAACGATATGCAATATATGATCTCAACGTGAATTCCGCTGTTGTGTATCCTGAACACGACGAGAAAATATCATTGTCCAAATCTTCTATGTATAAGGTCAGGGGCTACGCCTATGGTGGAGGTGGCCGTAGGATTACACGAGTGGAAATATCCCTGGATCAGGGAAGGAGTAGGTCCTCTCGCCCACACCTTTGATTTATCCCTTCTAACATTTACATTCTCGCTCTAGCTTGGAGGTTGGCAAACATAGAATACCCCGAAGACAAATATCGTGAAGTTGATCAGAACTTATATGGCGGCAAAATCGACATGTCATGGCAAGAAACATGTTTTTGCTGGTGCTTTTGGTCCCTAAAGATATCAACTACCGAATTGGAAGGTAGCGATGGAATTCTAGTACGCGCAATGGACGAAGCAATGAATATCCAGCCTCGCAACATGTACTGGTCTGTTCTTGGGATGATGAACAACCCTTGGTTCTGTGTAGCCATCACTAAGCAAGATGGCTACTTGAGGTTTGAACACCCGACTCAGCCCGCTTTGATTCCTGGTGGTTGGATGGAGCGCGTTAAGAGAAACGGCGGGGACTTGGTAAATGGAAACTGGGGAGCTATGGTAGAAGGTTGTGAAAAACCTGCAGTTATGGAAGGCCCTAAGATCGACTTGAAGAAGCCTGGCTTGAACATCACTATAAGCTTAGAGAATTTTAGAAGACATCAAATTGGGCCTCAACCCTGGTTTGCGCTTGAGGGTGAAGTTTATGATGGTACAGCATTCTTGAATGAACATCCTGGGGGTGCACAGAGCATTTTATCTGCCGCTGGTCTTGATATAACGGAGGAATTCATGGCTATCCGTGAGGCGCCACCCCAAACCATTTGATTGAACTTATCTAGTGAATCCACACTTACTATTGCATATAGACAGCGAAACTGCGAAGGCGATGATGAGCGACTATCACATTGGAAGCCTAGACCTATCGTCACAAGAAACTCTGAAGAATGATACGAATGAAAGTGCGTTGTCGCCTTCAAGAGAAGTATTTCTAAACTCGAAATTCTGGGCACCATCATCCCTCCGCAGCAAAACGGTGGTATCACCAGACTCTCGCCTCTTCACTTTCAGACTCTCCCACGGTTCCCAATTCCTTGGTCTCCCCGTCGGAAATCATGTCATGCTCAAAATTGATGACCCTTCCACTGGCGAAACCATAATCAGAGCCTACACCCCCATATCCAAACAAGATAGCAGAGGCACCATTGACATCTTGGTAAAACTCTATCCCTCCACCCCAAATCACCCAAACGGTGGCAAAATGACGACGGCAATGGACAAGCTTCCATTAGGAGCTGTGGTAAAATTCAAGGGCCCTATCGGGAAATTTGAGTACCTAGGAAATGGCGAGGTTCTCCTCAACGAGAAGAAGCGCTATGTGCAATCCTTCCATATGATTTGCGCTGGAAGCGGTATTACCCCTATCTTCCAAATACTCCGCGCTGTGATAGAGGACCCAGAGGATCGAACATCATGTGTGGTCTTGGACGGTAACCGGACTGAGGCCGATATCCTTTGTCGCGCTGAACTGGATGACTTTATGACAGAAAATTCGAATGGTAAGTGTCGTATAGTCCATACTCTGACTCAGCCGTCGTCAGCCTGGACGGGGCGCAAGGGTCGGATCTCGGAAGATTTGTTGTTGGAGTATGTTCCTGTTAACGCGAAGGGGAATGTGAATAGCCTTGTGCTTGTTTGTGGACCAGAGGCGCTGGAAGTTGCTGTCAAAAACATACTGTTAAGTATGGGCTGGAACGAGTGTGATTTGATCTTTTTTTAAGCGCAATATGAGAGTAAATGTCCACAGAGTACACTAAGATATCAAGCAACCTACATGGCTGGCTGTACGAGGCGGTCATGATTTACAGTTTTAGATATGTCAGCTTCCCCTTGGGCACTTCAAGGCGTAATATGAAGTTTGCTGACATAGCGGAGGTGACTTGCAACTCTCTTACTTTATAACCTCTGATGTTCAATATGTCAGTATTTTTATGTCAAAATTTTCAATTCAAAAGCGTTCTTCGCATTTAGAGAAGCTAAAAGATGACCAAAGAATCAAAGCGACAACAGGCATAAAACATCCAAAGATACAACGTCGCAGAAAAAATCCTGGTATAGATGATACGTGCAATCACAGAAGCCATCAGATCAGGAAAATAGCTAATATACCCGTAATCACTTAGTCGTGGCACTCTTTACTTTTCTAAAGCACGCAAACTCCCCACGAGTCGCTTCCCGCAACCGTTTTAAAACCCCTCTCATTTCCCCCAACTCAGCCTGCAACTTAGCTCTGGCGTCGTTATTAGTTCGACGATCAAGTTCCAAATATATTTGGCTCTGTATTTTTGATGCCTCCTCCGTGGCGTACTGCGAGAGCGTTTGTGCAATAAATTCCGTATCCAGGGTTGCTTGCATCAGAGCAGGAAGCGTATACTTAGGCCGTTGTGTGAAAGCGTTCAGAAGGGATGAGGAAATTTGTGTTAGGAGATGAGAAAGAAGTGCATTTGTAAGGGACGGTGCGGGTGTGTTTGACGAATTTTGGGTTGGGGTTGGGAGAGTTGTAGACACTTCCGTATGTACTAAGACGAGGTTTAGCAAGGCTGTATATACATAAGGACGAACTTGGTCGGGTCGACTCGTCAAGGGGACCCAGTCCGGAGCGGTGATTCCATTGAGGATAGTAGAATTTAATGTTGCGGTCATCGGCCGGGTATATGATTGGAATAGGCGGGTGTCAATTTGGCCAAGCACGTCGCGGATTGTTTTGGACTCCTCGGTTAACTTAACGGAGAATGCAGTTTCAAAGTTAGACACCAATTGAGGGACGTACTCAGTGCGGAGAGCCTTCAGATTGGAGAGCGTGAGGAGCATTCGAACGTTCTGAGAAAAACGCTGTGAGTAAGGAGATCAAATCTGTATATTGTTCGGGGTACAAAGGCACAACTAACCCTATTCTTGGCATCAATGCCGCCCAAGGAGGGGATAGATGACGAAATATCTAATCCACCGATGCGAACGACAGGACCGAGAAGGATCCATTCATTTTCCCCTTCAGTCGCAACTGGGTGTTCGGCATTTTCAACAAGCCCACTTAATGCCTTATACACGCTCGTTACAAACTGCGACCGAACCATTTGAAGAAGTTTTGCGGGTGGGGGAGTGACAACGTCGACGATCCCGGGTTTCGTCATGGCCTCGGATATATACAATATTTTCTGCATGCCGGAGAGCACTGCACTCTCGAATGCCACGAATAGCCCGGGCATTTTAGTCATGTCCTTACGCTCGGAGTCCCTAGTCCAGTCCTCTAGATATTTCACACCCTCAGCGTCTTTATTCCAGGCTGCGCATACAGCACGAACTGATCGCTCTCGTGTACCACTGACAAGAAGCTTCAGCTTATCGTAGGTACTGCCACCACTTGATATCGGGCTCATTGCAGCTATCTCGCTAGCAGCCGTTCCAATTAATATTAGAAATTGACTAAGATAATGAACGCCACTAAGAGCGTTTGCATACGGAGGCCAGAAGGCGAAGTCCTCCCATGCTTCTCCTCGCCTGGGTGACGGTAGGGGCACATCCTTAGGGTCTATCCTGAAACGTGAGTTTGTTGGAGTAAAGCCAGTTAGTGGCGAGTTGGGATTCGTCGGGAGTGGCGAAAGTAGAAGCGACACATCCTCTATAGGAGGATCGGCAAATATCGATACTGCGCTTTCGCGGATGAGATTTACAAGTTCAATTACTCCATCTTTCAAATCACTCACTCCTCCAGAAGAGAGTCGGTGGTGCTTTCGGCTTTCACCCTCGAATCCTGCTGGGAGGAGCTTCTGCTTACTGCCGTCGATGAAAGATTGTGTGGTGTCCCAAAACTCGATGACGTCTCCAAGGAGGCCACCTTCAAGTGATAATAGTTTTTTCAGATATGTATGTACGCACTCCCATAGTTCGATAACAAGCTCAGTATCGAGGGGATCTTTGGAATTTGCGACACCATCACGGTTAGTCCGCTGAATGTACGGAGCGACAGCTTGAGGAGTGGGTTTATCCCCATTGGCTAGACGTCGTCGGAGAATTTCAATTTCGACTTTCGAGCGCTCACAGAAGGCCATAATTTTAGTTTTCAAAGAATCATACCGTCCGAGGAGCCAGACCCAGACTGGGTTATCATCAACACCAAGTTCAAGTAATGTTGCAATCAGTTCCATGTGCTCCTCGATGGGACCACCATCGACGCTCATCGAGGGGGTATTTGCCTGGATAGTGCTTAAACGTCGCCACAAATCCCGCTTAAACACTTGTATTTGCTTTTCAACATCCATCCACATTCTACCTGTAACAAGGATTAAGTGAACTTGTTCGTCTGATAAAGGGCGCTTCGAAGCTGTAGCACGGTCAGCAATGAGTCGTGCGTCTATTGCGTGTCTTCTAGCGCGTGTATATTGATCGACGACTGCCTCGTAATCTCGCTGTTTGATCGATTGCACGAGATTAGATCCAATTTCATATATCTCACGGTGTGTTGACATAGCCTCAATAATGGCTTTCAAACCCTCTTCTCGCTGTCGACCCCCAAGCGCTGCGCCCCACACCTCTTCTACTTTCCCTAAAGCCTCCGCTAAAGGTACGCGTATGCCCTTGACACCATATTCACTTTCCTTTGTAAGGGAGTTTTTCTGTGGAATTGAGCGTTCAGTAACTCCTATACTAGATCCTTTCATGTGAGAACCAGATACACTGGTTCTTTGAGAAAGCCACCCTTGGGGATGGGCATCAGGCTGTGCGCCTTGGTTTCGCATTTCCGTATAAACATTATCGATCGTCGCCTTCGCTCGGACAAAGCGTTCAAAATTTGACTCAACCAAAACCTTCAAAGACGCAGATTTCTGATCAATAGATCTAGATAAAAACTCCAGGCCTTCGAGAAGGGACTGGATAGAATCTGAGGAGTGGGTTTGAGAAAGGAAGAGCGCAGGTGAGAAGGTTGTTGAGGAGAGCAGGTAACGGTTTCGAACGCGGGCATCATCATCAGCGATACCACGTTGTTTCAACATCCTAACCACACTATCAGAAGATCCCAAAGGATCTGGCTCGTCTTTTTGAACCAAGTTATCCCTTCCATCTCCAGTCCGTTGAGATCCCGGCACTATGCTCCTGCGGTCGCTCCCACCCCTTTGGAGGGCAGCATATCTCGATTTTCGTCGTTGGGAGGCTGAGGTGGAGGGACCAGACGACAAGGGGTCTTCGCCATCAGAATCATCGCTTTCATTCAGTTCTGCTGGCCATTCTTCAGGGTAAAGTGAAGGGATGTTATAATACTGGGTAACGTCGGTGTCATAGGAAGCCATAATAGGGGGTTGGGCATCAGAGCGAGATCGGCCTCAGTAGGAACCAGAGACACAAGAAGACAAGCAAGGAACTCCGGAAATGGTAGTACACTTCAGCCGGTCCACAAATACTGCCAAATAATCGCCGTGCTCGAAAGCTCCCTGTATCTTTTTCATTGTTGGTAGAATTGCTGCTCCACCATTGAACAGTTTGGGTGGAGCTGAGCAAACAGAGCAAACACTCGCGAATGCTTATCCAATTTAAAAAATATATTCTGGGTGGGGCGCTGGCGGAGTGGATAACAACTCTCCCTTCCTTCATTCTAACTCATTACTACTCGTTCTCACTTTAAACGACCTCAATTGCTTATTACTACTAGAGCCTTGCTGGCCTCCATAGACAGACCGACCATTGCAATGAATTCCCTACGTGTCTTGGTTCCCGCGCGGCATTGCCTACGAACGCCGGTCGCCCAATTATCCCGCAAGTTCCCGTTGAATGTGAGGAATTTTTGTCTCCAGTCGCAAATCTACATCTTATGGCACTTTGATGATTATAAGTAGGCTAATCTGTGTACATAATATAGATTCGGTGTTACGCTGTGGCTGCTGCCGAAAAAGTAGCCAAATTTCCCGGAACCAAGGGCCCTGATGTATACTAGTCCTTCCCCTTCAGTCGAAATAAACGATCTATTGGGTGTGTAAATCAGAAGCTGAGAATCCCACTCTGCTTAGGGGAAATATACAGTCACATTGATCGAGGGTGATGGTATCGGACCAGAAATCTCACAATCCGTCAAGGATATTTTCGCGGCTGCAAAGGTAAAGCGACGACATCGACATGTTGTGTTTTCATATTTATTTGGCTTTCGGCTCTAGACCGAGGCTCACTCAATCTATTAGGTACCGATAAATTGGGAGCCAGTTGACGTTACGCCGGTTATCAAGGATGGAAAGACTGCCATTCCAGATAAAGCTATTGACAGTGTGAAGAAAAATTTTGTTGCCCTCAAGGGACCACTTGCTGTAAGTTCCATCTGTTGTGAAATGCCATTGAGAGCCAAGACAATGATTAAAGAGGTTTGCAGACACCTGTCGGCAAAGGCCATGTTTCCCTCAACCTTACTCTTCGCCGTACCTTTAATCTTTTCGCAAACGTCCGACCTGGACGCTCGATCGCTGGCTACAAGACTCCATACGACAATGTCCAAACGATCCTCATTCGAGAAAACACTGAGGGCGAATATTCTGGAATTGAGCATGTTGTGGTGGATGGCGTTGTGCAGAGCATTAAGCTCATCACGCGAGAAGCATCCGAACGTGTTCTCCGCTTTGCCTTCCAATATGCCCAAGAAGTAGGAAGGAAGAAGGTCCGCGTAGTTCATAAGGCAACTATCATGAAAATGTCCGACGGTCTCTTCCTGCGCACTGCGAGAGATGTTGCCAAGGATTTCCCCGATATTGAGTTCGACGCTGAGCTCCTTGACAATACTTGCTTGAAAATCGTCACGGATCCTGTCCCTTACAACGATAAAATTCTGGTCATGCCCAACCTTTATGGCGATATATTATCTGACATGTGCGCTGGTTTGATCGGCGGCCTGGGTCTCACACCGTCTGGCAACATTGGAGACGAATGCTCTATCTTCGAGGCTGTCCACGGATCCGCTCCTGACATTGCTGGTCAGCAGAAGGCAAACCCAACAGCTTTACTCTTGAGCAGTATTATGATGTTGCAGCATATGGGACTGCATCAGCATGCCGAGAAGATCCAAAATGCTATCTTCGCCACTCTCGCGGAAGGGAAGGTAAGGAAAGGCCATGTGTTTAACTCTACCTACTACCAGTACTCTGCTGACGACATTCTTTAGTCACTTACCGGTGACCTTGGGGGCAAAGCCACGACCAACGAATACGCAAATGCCATCATCTCTAGACTGTAATATTATTATTTGCCTGCCCACTCCCGTCCACGATTCCCTCATATATTTTATGCAGTCGGTCATATCCAGTCCCCCTACTAGACAGAAATAGCTATATGTATCCTGAGCTCAGCGAGCTGGTATTCCCTTTGTTTTCTTTCTTGCCATTGCGAGTTACCTTTCCTTGCTGGTCTTTTTTTATGTAAAGTATATACTGCTTGTTGTGATTGCGTAGATAGCTTGCGGAGGATAGTTTTTGACATTGATCATCTTTTCGCATCTGGATGTACTATACAAAACTAAATTTAAGTGACTTGGAGCCTACCAACCGCACTTTACATACAAACTCGTACATTGTGCGCCTGTTCACATTCCTACAAACCTCCCGAACCAAAACAGACTCCCGTCTTCAGCTTTACGATAGCTAGTCGTGGCAATATGGTGCGAGCAAACATAATCCCCCGTAAGTTCAAAACGTGCATCTCGAATTAGTCTAGGTAATGGATCGAGAAAGTAGAAAAGAGCAGCCAAAGAAAACGAAAAACTATCACCGTCGCCTACCGCGTTTAGGCGGACCTTTACTCGGCTTTTTCGCTTTCCCACGCGTAGCCTGCGTCCGAGTCGGCCTTGCCCGCGCAGAGTCCATAGCCTGTGTATCAGTGTCTTCCTCTTCAGCTGTCTCCGTCCCCTCCTCATCTCCTTCCTCTCCCTCGCCATCTTCAGCGGCATCTTCTTCTTTATGCGGACTAGCCTTATTATTTTGTCGCCCCTTTCCATTCTCGGCTTCAGCATGTAACCGTGAAAATCGTGTGCCTCGAGTTATGGCGCGTGTGCTACGATTTGCTCGCCGGCCACGAGATGGTGCGGGCGAGGAACTTAGTTCTAGAAGTTTATCTTCTTTTAGCTCATTTTCTATAGCATTCGACGTGGATTAATGGATAAAAATGCCAAATTTGCCCACCATCTGTGTCTGCAATTGTACTAGCCCTTACTGATCCTCCAGCAAGGCTCATTGGAGGAGACGATGACCCTTCCGGGGCAAGCCTTCTCTTAAACATCATCTCCCCGTATTCATCGTATGGTAGCTGAAATGGGCAGTAAGGCTCTTGCGCTGGCTCTGAGTCACCAGATCCATCTGTAGCAAACGAGGCTTCCTGAACAGGAAAACGTGTCAGCATATGTCAGGAACTTCGCTGATTCGCATCCGTCAACAAGGATGTGCAACCGGGTCACCGACTCTCTCATCCAGCCCAGCAAGATTGTATAGCGTTCCCAGCTTCTTCCAAATGCCAGGTATCCGGGTATGTTGATCGTTTGGTGCCACATAACCCTGACTTATTAAATGCTCTGAAATAGCTAGCATGCGAAAGTGTTTGTGCATTCCTAAGGTTATTAAATTTGGTATTAAGCTTTCACCCTGCATTTTGTGAGCGCCGTACGGGTGCATACCGACAGGTTTCCATCGTATGATTCCTTTTAGCAATGATATTTCTTGCTCCTCCGTCCATGGGTCTGTGACTATGGAATCACTTTCACTCTCAAACTTAGATACAACGTCTGGTTGCGCGGGTGTGGTAGGCGTATGCTGGAGATTCTCTGTTTGTGGAGTCAGAACTCCCTGGGAGGAGAGCCGCAATTTCTTCCTAGGTGGCATTTCAAGGGATATAAATCGTATAGCTCGTATTAGAGTATTAACGGTTGAGATGAGAAGTGGACTGTTGCGGTGAAATAATAACCGGCAAATAAATAAGCAGTGGTCCGTGCGGAGCGTTCAATCAACCGCGCTTGATTTCCCAAACGCGTCAGGACACCCGCAACGAGATAAAGCGAATATCAGATATGCCTCATATGTAACATGGACCTAGGAGAAGATGTGGATGACCCGTTTGTGCTTGACGTCAACAAGCTATGGGAGCCTTCTTATTTCCATCCTCCAGCACTGCAACCGCTAGACTCCCTCCCTTGGGATGATGGCTTCCCAGGTAACAAATCAGTTTTCCGTGTGTTGCGCAACAGCTAATATGTGGCTCTAGAACTTGCCCAGGGTGTCTTTCAAGGTGCCTTTGACCAATTTACAAAAAATGGTTCCAACATATATGAATTAAATATTTTCGGCACAGACCCGCTTGATTCGACTGACACAGATTCCCTTCCATCCCACAGTGCGAGAAAAACCAGTATAGATTCTGACGGGGCGGAGGAAGAAACGGATGAGAGAGCAGATATATGGGCGCTCGATGACATTTTAAAGCCAATTACTGAAAAAGGATCATTGGGATCGTGGGATACATTTCCAGACCATCCCGTTCGCCAGAATGTCCCTCTTTACCTGAGTGAAGCTGGCCCACGTGGATTTGATGCTGCATTGGGTTATCAGGCAACAAAATCCGGACTTGAGGATTCGGGTCGAGTAGCGCGAACAAATATTTTCATTGCGAGTCTATTTCGGCTGGGCCTCGGGTGGAATTCGATATTTTTCCGCTTCAACGAACAAAATCGAGTCTTCGAAAAGTATATCAAAGATGCCCGCATATCTGGAATCAGCCTAACGGCAGTGAATGGCCTGGTTGAAGAATTTTTACAATGTGGAACGCAAGTACGCAAGATAAGAAGATTCCTTCTCGAAACGCCTTCTCGAACCGATCTCCCGACCCCGTTGTCCAGCCTTGCCAGCGCAGTGTCAATCCTGCTACATAGTTTTGAGGAGCATGTATACAAGTGTTTTAAGATGGGTTTACCGTTGTTGGCGAGTCAAATGTTATTCAGACGGCCTGCATGTCTCCTCAATGCACTCGTTGACATCATAAAAGGCGCGGAAAATGCGATAACGGACGGTGCTGTTATATCGTCCGTCTTTACGAAATGCGATCATTACTCCCATGAATATGCGTGGCTCTCTGGAGTTCTTCATGAATTAATGGCATTGGTGGCTGAATCGTGGCTTTTACTGGTTGAGTCTTGGATTGGGCTCCAGCCCGAGCCACAAACCATGCCGGAGCTCAATCGGAATGAGAAAAGCTTCATAAAAACTGAGGAAGTTGATGGTAGAAATTCCAGAAGTATTGAAGCTAAACTGGTTGACTACAGCTTCCGTCCAGAAGCTATGCCCATCTTTGTTCCCACAGACTATGCAGAAATGATATTCGAAGGTGGCAAGAGCCTGAGGCTACTCGAAGAATTCCATCCTAATCATCCACTTTCCGTAAAGAGCGGCGCGAGTCGGTCAGTGAATCTAACCTTGGAGTGTGCGTTTACCTGGAAAGATATTGATAAAATCCAACAAAAAGCCAACGACTATGAGTCGCGACTTCGAGCTGAAATACTTAGCTACGATGAAAAACGACTCCAGAAATGTCCCACGCTATCACCCGAGGACAAGAATATCGGAAATACAGTTCATGTTGGCCATTATCCAATTGACGGCGTCTTTTCACTTTTAGATATCGACGACAAGAATGATACTACCGAGTTAGCGAGTCAATCTTCAGTCTCTTCCCATAAACTACACATTCTCCTCGCTGAGAGCAACTGTTTCAACACCGACAAAGTCCCTGGAAACGAATTTCTTTTCGGACCACCTTTGGATGCGTCTGTTTATCTTTCATTCGCCCCAGCTATTTCAGCGCAAACTAGATTAATCAATTTCTCCTGCCTCCACCTTCTCTTCAAAGGACATAAAATCAAGGACCACCTGCAATTACAATGGCGTTTTCAGTTATTAGGCGACGGGGTCTTTTCGTCACGCTTATCTCACATCTTATTTGACCCTGAAATGCACAGTGGAGAACGGAAAGCTGGGGTTGCCCGCGGGGGAAGTTCTACTGGACTTCGTCTGGGCAATCGAGATACCTGGCCACCAGCTAGCTCTGAGCTCCGTCTGGTGCTTATGGGCTTGCTTTCTGAGAGTTACCACGGCGACAAAAATTACCCTGGCCACAACACCGGAAACCAAACCAGGAACAGGGACTTGCCTGGTGGCCTCAGCTTTGCAATCCGTGAGCTGACGGGTGAAGAACTTTTAAAATGCAAAAATCCCAATTCCATTGAGGCTTTAGATTTCCTCCGTCTCCAATACCATCCCCCTTCAGTGCTCGAAGCCATAATAACCCCCAGGAGTCTACGCAGATATGACTCTATTTTCAAACGCCTTCTACGGCAGATGCGAATGCTTTCAGTTTCATGCGGCCTAATCCGAAACTCTACAGATCGCTCAAATGCTACCGATATGAGCCGAACAATCACACAAAAATTCCGGATCGAAGCACATCATTTCGTTCAAAGCGTGAGCGACTATTCCTTCCACATTGCTGTTGGAGAAACATGGAGCAAGTTCGAGAGAACACTTATCAAGACTGAGAAGTGCATTGATAAGGGGGATATCGATGGTACCCTTGACCACGCCAAAAGCTTACACCGCCTCCGAGAATATCATGAAGAAATCCTTGACCAGATCCTCTTTGCTTTATTTGTGAGCAAGAAACACACACAGGCCAGAAACCTTTTGGACGATATCTTCAGCACGATTCTCACATTCTCTTCTTTATCGAAAGCAGCAGCCACTGGCACGTGGATGGAGCAAGAAGGGATGCAATCTTACGATCGGGTAGTTCGTCAGCTTTTCTCGGTGTTTAGGAAACAGGTTTCAGGCTTTGTGAGATTTTTAAGGGCGTTGGATGGGGCCAAAGAGATGAAGTCGAAAGGGAAATACCGGGCTCTTACAGCTTGGGGGAGTGATGGTCGTGCGGGTGTTGAGACAGAGAGTGTCTTTGAACACCTCCTTTTGCGGTTGGATATGAATGGGTTTTATTAGTTCATTCATTGTATGTGAGATATAAGTCAACGATATCCCTAACGTTAGAAGCCATTGTAGAAAACCGTCGAGTGATGCTTAAAATGTTTTATTCTGCGGGCTTCTCAAACCTTCATACATGTTGTCACCAGTCGAGGAGCCTGAGGAATGCTTTTTAAAATATCCTCCACAAGCTGGGAATATATATACATATATCATAAACTGAAAGTGTTCATCCCAAATCCTATATCCCTCGTGAACTAGACGATAAAACTTGGAAATCGTTGCATCTTCAATGTATTGCACGTGATTTTCCAACCCTAATGTGGCTTTGAGGGCATCAATTGGACACCTTGGACCAGCGGAGCAGGCTTGCTAATATCTCTCCTATCAGCATCATCGTCCAGCGATCATCCGGAGGGTACATGTATGCGATCGCGGCATTTCACCGGTTAGAGACTATAGTTGAGAATGCGCAATCGATAGAGAAAAATTTCGATAGAGAAACGATTGGATTTCGGAGAAACAACATCGCCGTGGAAAATTGAACGTCTCATTCGAATGCTATCCTGGTAGCAGAATGTTTTCTTTTCTAGGATTCTTCAACCATTCTCTTAACCCTATCCAGTAAAACGGTGCTTTCTCGTCCCAGTCTTCGTCTCCCAAACTGATCTGGCCTCCTCGCCCTAGCCATAGCCTCACGATCTCGTTGCTTAGCTTCTCTTATCCTTTGTTTCCTTTCAATTTCTTCTTTTCTCCTCTTTGCTATTTCTACCTCTTTCATAAACGGAGACAGCTTTGGTCGACGTTTGCGGCGATTCAGCCCGCCCGTTGGCGGACAATCCGTACTTGATGTAAGCCGTTGTTCTACACCGGGAGCATCAAGCATAGCTTGTCTATCAGGATGCAATTCTAAACTCGCTGGTTCTGTCTGTGTCGCATCATCATCATTTTCCAGTGTTGATTCTTTGGTATAACTGAATTTTGAAGATCCCTTCGCCAGCTCATTTGCTTTAATTTTGGCGTAGGATTTCTTGACCTTGGCTTTATGGATTAGGTCGCTTTTAATTTTTTGTACTACACATAGCAAAAGAAGGAGAAGGCGATTAGTCGTGACTCGTGAGTACCGGTAATATCGAAAAGCGTAGGATAATCATATAGAAACTATCACTTACTTTTTCGTCGATAGGTCCCGTCAGGAAGGTTAGCTGGACCAACTGAAAACCCTTTCTTCTTTTTAGCCACATTAACATCGCCGCCGGCACCATCCTCACGAGGTCTTTTAGGAGTCATGTTGATATTTTCGTAGATTTTCGATAATGGCATCGCTGATGCAGTCGGTGGGCGCAACAGTAATCTCTCAATATCCACAGGCCACCATAATATCACAGAAAATGCCCGTAGATATCGTGGCGCGGCTGAGAGGAAAAGAGAGAGCCAGCCCGTTCCCAAATGCAAAAATATGTTTTCTTTTTCACATTTTCGAATTATTTTTTGATGCGGGCTGCCGTCCCCACGTGACTCGACTCGGCATCCGTGGCTTCTCCGGCAGTAGCCCTCATACGTAGGTCAGCCGGTAGAGGTGATGATTCCATCCCACCGCCACGGCTCTAGATGCTGCCAGCAACAACCTCACGTCACTCTTATTCCAAAGCCGGTCTTGCTTCCCCTCCCTCCTGTGTCCTCCTCGTAACCTCGCTTCTTTGGATCTATCACATATCTACAACTAACCCAGTTAAACCCGTGACATCCACAACCTAAGTGTCTGCCACTACGCCCCGTGGCACACTTCACCTCTCTGCCTTCTCGTCCTCACTGGCTGCGGGGGAGAGCCACGTCTTCCCCTGAGAATGACAACTTGTCTTGCATGCTGGTGACTTTATTTTATAAATAATAACATATGCCAATCTTCAAAGACCAGGAGCAACAAGAGCTCATCCATCATCACCCGTGGCCTGTGAGCTGCACTGAAAACAATGACGACATAACACAGCCCAAACCACTGAAACAAAACGCTGAGAGAGAGGAAGTTATTGCTGATACTTCCTCGTGGGCGTCCAATATGGACGCACGCAGTGGCCCTCAGCGATTGCAAACGAGTGATCGTGAAGTGTTGATACGAAGCATCAAGAAGGGTGAAAGTCCTACTTGGGTTCCTAATCGTTCTGTAAGTCAATATTCAACTCTATCAACTCTAATATACGACAAAGAACCTACTCTTCGATATTCGAATTTGGGTTAGGGCATGCCCCAAGACTGCTGAACGCCATGGGTTTTACTCGAGTGATCCTGTTGCATGGCATGCATTTATGTTATTGGGAATATACCTGTGTTCGAGCTATTCTTACATTATAACAATAAAGAAGCTAATTTTCCGGTCCCTATAGCTGGAAGAGTATTTCGCAACCCATGGAGACCCTCCACACTCAAGGCTTGAAGGCCAGCTGAACACAGAGAAATCCCATCCTCTCCTCCCTGCTGCAGAAATAAAGAAATCACCAGAGCGTGGTTGCAACAGTGAAATATTGACGAGTTGTGCGTCTGAAATCGAGAGGCCACGATCAGCCTTGCATTCGGGTGACTTTCGCGAGGGATCACCCCAAGACCACCAACCAGGCGATCAAGAACCTTTTGGGCCGGATCCCAGTCGTGTTCGTTTTAATTCTTCTCCAACCACACCATGGTATACACCTACAAGTCCACCACGGCCTACAAGGCAGGATGTCGACTCAGTTTTGGCCAGAAGTCGGGCAAGGGCTCCGTCCTTGAATTCATTTTCTTCATTGAACTCTTTTTCTTCAAGTTTTATTCTTAAGGCCCCGACAAGTCCACTAGTCCACCAGGCCAATAATACCGACCTCGACTTCTCATCCAAGATTGATCCTCTCGATCTATCTTCCAGCTCTGAAAACACTAATCGTCGTCGTACCTTACCGCCAGAATCCTTTATGTCCTTCCAATCTTCTCCTCCTGGATCCCTAAGAGGAGCCATGGTTCCGAACTCTTCCCGGTCTTGGAGAAGAGAGGCAACTTTTCCCTACCAAGCTCACCAGCCCCGAAGGTCGTTAACGTCAGCTTACACTCTCCAACCCGCATCATCCCCACAAACACCTTTCATAGCACGCTCGAGAAGGCCATCCTTTTCCACCGATATCTCCTCCCCACTTCATCACGCATCTATGGTCGGATCATATGAAGAATCCATTTTACGAGGGAGAATGTCGACATCCCCGTCTAAACCTCTGGATTTCACCGCTCAAATCGGTGTACTTGGGAGAGGTAATTGTAAACCCAATTTAAAATGCCCTCCTCATGTTACTGTGCCGTTTCCGGCCGTTTTTTATAGCTACCCAGCGTCCGGCAGCGGGCGATCAATATCAGATGATAGTCCCAGTCCATACGTTGGTTTCATCGATATTGAAAATACGTTTCCAAGGGAAGACAAAACAAACCAAAAAAGTCGGCGGCGCTATGCCAGCCCACTAAAACATGTTGATAAACATATAGAAGTGGGCACTACTATGTCAGATGTGAATACAAATGTTACAACACAACAGGAATGGCGTAGGAGGGAGAAGCGATCGCGACGGTCATCATCTCCAAAATCACCCCCTGGAGGATGTTACAGAATACCACAACTAGGCCAACTACAAATCATCATTAAAAATCCCAACAAAACTGCAGTGAAACTATTCCTCGTTCCTTACGAATTAGAAGGAATGGAACCAGGAACTAAAACCTTTATCCGACAGCGAAGTTATTCAGCTGGACCGATTATTGACATGCCCCTGTCAGCCAGGACAAATATTGGAACCGACCCAACAGAAGCTTCCTTGGGTATGAACGAAGATCCAGCCGGCAAGCCGATACTAAGATATTTGATTCATCTGAATATTTGCTGTCCATCCCGCGGTCGCTTTTACCTCTACTCGGGAATCCGTGTCGTTTTTGCGAATAGAGTCCCGGACGGTAAAGAGAAGCTGATAAATGAAATTCAGTACCCTGATCCTCAATATAGCCCTTATAAACCCTCCAAGGAAATTGCCAGTAGGCACAGAAATGCTGGTTATGGGCCTGGTTTACAGCCCATAACTCCAATGGGGATTGGCCTCAATAAGCGCGAGCCTAACTTTTATGCTCAGTCGCCTCCACTACCCCATTTAAAGACGCTCAATTTCGGTCTCCCCGTTCATGCGTCTGGAAATGCTCGCCTAGATGCCTCGGATTGCGAGAAACGTGGGATGGAGGAGCATGATCCACATGGCCCTCACTCGCTGTTTGGTAATTTTTCGAGTCAAACTGCTTCTAACCCAAGTGACCTCCCCACTCTTCCGCTATCTTCAATTAACTCGTTACCTTCACTCGACCTGCCAAGTTCGAGTGCAGACGCAAGTAATATGTACAGCAAACGGCAAAAGGGTGATGTTGGATATGGAAGCCCTTCCGGGATGAGCTCGATCGGAAACGAAACAGGAGAGAGCCTACTGGCGCGAAAACTGAGAAAGCTAGATGTTATGTTAAATCCAGACGTGTCGGACGAAAAGTAAGTGCCGCTACATATACATGATGGAACAGATCTATTCGTGTCGTCACCGTATGGCAATCAATACCGTTTGTCAATTCCAATGGCAAGCCTGCGCCATCCTCATTTCGATTTCACTAGCTTCAAATTATCTTAAATGTTTTTTTTTCTTTTTTTTTCTTTTTTTTTTTTTTTATGGATCTGGCGATAATTCCACTCTTTCTCAGTACCATTTTGACTATTTTTTGTTCACCTTCCACATGGTTTATAGACAAGGCGGGGAGCGGACGGCAACGGCGTTGAATTGGATAATTATCAGCAAATCGGCTGAATGATAAATGGAAGTGTGTATTTACGCGTCCATATACTCCTAGCACTTTTCTTTTCTCTTTCTTCTTGCTCTGTTTGTTTTGGCCTAGCTTGAGATGTCAGACTTTTTACTCACTTGGACATTCTGTACATACATGCAGAATAAAGTGCATCATCCATTCTTGAGCAAGCTACTTCTTCACTTCTTCGCCTACAATATTGGCCCTGCCACAACTCAACCTTTCTATAGTTAGTGGGAAAAGATAACAGAGCCTCATACATCTGCAATAACGCTAGTGAAACTATTTATTCTCAATCAACTTTCAGCTAACTTCAAATCCAAGCCCTGGGGATATAACTAAAGGTCCACTTCCACCCCTTGACAAAGTGGAATTATATAACGTGGTGGTAAGCATGTGGATATATACATCGGTATCACGTTCAGCCTGATGATATATATAAAGCACTTTTAACACAAATCTATATTTGAGGCCATGAACGATCCTTCACCGTGCTAATTCCAGATAGATCGAAGGAGAGAAGTTCGCATTGGTGGTTCTATGTAAAGGTGGTGGCAAGCTCGGTAGCGGAGAATCCTGGCGACAACACTTAAAAATATAATCTCACAACACAAGGTTTATTGCGTCTCAATAGTAAATTATGCTTGCTGGGTACATATATGTACAAAGGATGCTGAAGAAAGCCATTTGGGAAATTTTATAACAAATTTCTTCAACTTTATCCCGCATGCTCGACAATTTCGCTGATGGCAGCCCCATTCCTGACAACGGTTCGGATCTGCCCAGGAATGGGCAACTCCTTAGAGTCGTCATCCGTTCCTTCCTTAGGCGGCACGACGATATTCACGTTGGAGCATTTACTGCTGAAAATCTCAGTATTCAAGCTCGCCTGGCTCAGGTACAGACTTGCTCCATCGACCTGATCAAGCAAGATAGTCGGGACAACGCCATCAATCTGCAGGGCAAATGTAGGGGATTTAATGACATCAACGCTGCTCACAAGAGAGTCAACGATGACGGAGAGGCCCGTACAATTGTCAATAGATATAGCGTTGGCTTTACCGTTAATCTTGACAATCGCTTTATTGCAATGGGATATTAAGATCGAGTGCGAGAGTTGAGCGGGTACCTCGATGATGTCGGTAATGCTATCGTAATGTTCAATGTACCATTTATTACCATCAAGCTGCTTGCGTGAAGGTTTTTTAGAACGCATGCTTTCGGGTTTTGGTTTCTTGCTTGGAACTGGTGATTTTCCACGGGCAGTGGGGGATGTCGCACCGGTCCTTGAATCGCTGCGGTCAGGGACAAGCGAACCAGCCCGAAGGCTAGGATTCTTATGTGTCATTTCCGACTTGTCGACTTTTCGGAGGCCTGAGGTGATCGCAGACCCTTTGTTCAATTGCTCGAAAACAGATGACATATCACCAGTCGATACTGCCTTCGGCGGAGCTGCTCCACCAGCTGGGGGTGGAGGCGGGGGAGGGGGGCCACCTGCGCCAGCAGTAGGAGGGGGGGGAGGGGGAGGAGGCGGTGGTAATGTAGAGCCCGTCGGCGAACCGGACTGAACCTGTTTCAAAGCCTCCGTTACGTCGACTCCATCCCGGTTGTTCCATGTCAAGCCATTCGGATAATGTTCCTTAATATAGGTGACAAGAGATTTAAAAATTTGATAATATGATTGAATAAATGCGACATGAAGATCGTCCCTTTAAAATGTTAGATACTATTCTTTCGCCTTAAGATTATCTGCAAGGGTGTATGTCCACTTACTTTCCCTTATATTCCCTCAGCACTCTGTCTCCGTAGAATTGGGCACCAGCAATAGATTCCCGAACAAACTCTGCGGGCCTGGGTTCAAAGAACCACCCCAAAGAAACCACCCCTTCAGCCACGGCGCTCAAGTGGTTGAATAGAGGAGATGGCCTGTTCGCTTCCCGGATGTTATTAATTTCATCTGAGGCTTTGCGCAGGTCGCCCAAAAGGTCTGGTGATTGCTGGTCCGGTTTCTTGGCCTTCAAGGCGATGTAGAGGTAGGTCCTTTCCGCCTCGAAAGCCCGAAGAATCGCTTTAGACTGCATTTCGAGGTTAGAGCCATGGTTCAGGCAAACACGCACATTGCACCAAATTATACCTGTTCCACAGCTGGTTCCCCAAGCCTTTTACTAAGTTCGACGAAGTTGGTCACCTCCTTGTTGATCAGGGCATCGAAATCCTCGATCTGACGAGGTGGCGGTTCCACGACGGAAGGGGCCGGAGGCACTGGACTTGATGTGGCTTTTGGGGACGCCGAAACAGCACTTGCTGCAATCCCATCAGCGGCAGGACTATCCGGATTCGAGGCCTCAAGAGAAGCTGCCATGTCCTCGAGACGCGAGGTAGCAGCCTCGAGCCTACGATCGCAAACTGTCAGTTGTTCCGATCATTGACAAAGAAAGGAACCCATGACCCCTAGTTAAACAATGGTTTACAAACTTACCGCTTGATGAGGGTTGTGAAACTATTCATGTGGTGGGAAGTCATGGTTTGCGTTTTTTGAGAGTTACCTGACGGTCAAGCTGGAAGCTTGGGATGAGGTGTCAAATAAGGAGGGGGGCTATCCAAAGAAACAATTGGGAGTAAGGACGATGGCGAAGCCTCCAGATGATGATATATAGAAAATGAGAAATAAAGTTGCCTAGCGATGGGAGTGTTGAGTTACTGCCTGCACGGCGAGGTTGTCGATGAGGTTGAGATGATGGCCAGGAGAAGTCGATAATGCATGTTCCTGCGCTAACGCGGGAGCTTGCGTCTTCGATGCGTAAGTAACCGTATTACCGCCCAAGGACAACGACATGTCTGCTAAGAACCCTCCCCTCACACAAGGCCCACATCACTGACATCTCCTTTCCAATGAGATCGTATCGGTAGTGTGCAATTGACTAGATAGATTAGTACCTCGTCTGTGACTAATTTACCTATGTCTGATATGATGTCTTCAAAAAGTGCTAGCAACCTACCTCTTCGAAGCAATATTAGCTTCTGCACACTGGGAATGTTCATTATCGGTCAGTAATTTTTCCTCGCAAATTAGAGTGGTTATGCATGTATATAACAACTCCTTACGCACCGTAAATACAGATGAGATTGAGTTTCCAGCCCCTCGGCCACTACTAAAAAACATCATCGGAGGTGCTGGTGCCTATGCGGCTGTTGGTGCGCGAATGGTAGTGGGAAAGGAACATTCCCGGTCAGTTAGCTGGATAGTCGATGCTGGCTCTGATTTCCCTCCTGAAATACGACACATAATTTCATCATGGGATACCTCCTGTGTACTGAGGGAGTCTTCAGAAAGACTAACTACACGGGCTTGGAATGGATATGGCCCGAATGAGAAAAGGAGTGAGTAAACAGATACTTTTACTGCGGACTTCACTTGGCAATTGCCGCTTACTGACTCCTCTATGCGGGACATGTAAACAGACTTCCGGTATCTTACACCAAAACTTCGCCTGGACCATAACTCTCTTTCACAATCTCAGGTATTCTCCAGATCATTCCACATTGTCTGCTCCTCCGAGCGCTGCTGTCAGATTGTCGAGGGGATACTTCAGAGACGGGAAGAGATTTTGCAAAGCAAGCAGGTTGAACCATCTATTGCCGAGCAGCGTCCAATTTTTGTGTGGGAGCCGGTGCCGGATTCCTGCCACCCAAAGGAGCTTCCAATGTTCTATAAGGCTCTGAAATATGTAGACGTAGTCAGCCCGAATGACCTTGAATTCGCTGCCATGTTTGGGAATGAATCATGGAATTACGGAAATAGCAGTGACCGAGCCATAGCGGACGCCATTGTGAAATCCGGAATTGGACAAGACGGAAGTGGAATACTTGTGGTCAGAGCAGGGAAGGATGGCTGCTATGCGTTCTGCGGAGACCTTTCTTTGCATATTCCATCGTATCGTGGTCTGAAAGTGGTGGATCCAACAGGCGCCGGAAATGCTTTTCTTGGAGCCCTATCTCAGGCGCTCGTTAGCATTGACCGAAATGCTCCTGAAGCTGTTGTGGCTACACTTATGGAATCCGAAGAATGGGCGTCCGTTATCAACGCATGGGGAGAGCACGGGCGGATTCCGGCAGCATTGGTTTGTGCAACTGTGGCGGCTAGTTTTGTAATCGAACAAGTAGGGATGCCGAATATATCCTATTCCGACGGAGAGGAGGAGTCATGGAATGGCGAAAGTTTTAGAGCACGGCTCCGGCTGTATACGAATCAACTTCATCACACCAAGGCCTTGGAAAAATAGAAAATAAAATATCGATTGCTTGATCGATTGGTAATAGTATGTGTATCTAATCCCATTGAATCAACGCCAAGAGGAAGATTGTACATATAATCCACAGATCTCCAACCCAAATGAACCTCCTCGCCATTGTAAAACTCATGATTTGCTTGCCTCTGCCAACTTCTTTTCATGTTCACAAATTTGTTTGCTCCACCTGTAAATTTCATGATAAGTAATTGCACATGTAGTGGCTTATTATAAATCTGCCGGCTGCGCGCGGGGAAACCCACCATCGACTAGGGAAGAATCTGCCCTGTTCAGGAAATTTCGTACGGAATTCTCTGTCTGCGGAGACGCTAAAGGCCATGGCAGCAGTACCGAATATAACAGCAGCGACTATCGCGGTATTGGTTTTCCAGTTTGCGGGTTGAGAGTACCAGCCACCAGCTGGTGACCAGACGTGCTTCGGATAGCTAAGGTTCGAAGAGTTAGCAACGCTGTTCAATTGGGGGGAAAAGCAAAGAATATTCAACAAAACCATGGCCAATTACTTACCGAACTCTGGGGCCACCTCCCATTTTGAGCAAGAGGTTCGGATATGACTTTAACCGACGTGTGAGCGCGCAACTGACAACTGAAGAAATCTTGAAGTTCCCAGAGATAACCCAAGGTATAAAGACACTAGCGACAAAAGAAATCTAGCGTGAAGAGTAGCCTGTCACATGACCTAAACCCAAAATGTTCCTGCTCGAATTTTTTGAAGCCTCCTAGATATGAAGAAAAACGAACAAGCCTCCCCAGTGTGTCTACAATCTATTCAATTGCGAGTTTAGAGCACTACCGGGGATTTGAGGTTTGCCATCGAGTAGGAGCCTAAATGAAGAGACTGCAGCTCCTCCGATGGAGCAGTTCGGTTCTTCCATCGCGAATTCGACCTACCACGAGATATGCGTCTCCAGCTCCGCATCAGTTTTATTTCACAGCTATTCGACAGCAATCTTCTGCGTCCTCAAGTGTGCTCGCGGAGGAAAATGAACTTTGCGATGATGAGCACTCCTCAGGTTTTCACGTAAACCGAACGCCAACCCCTCCCTCACCTCCCGTTGAAGCTGCATTGAATTCCCCTAAACTCTCTGCCATACATTCTCGACTCTCCCTTCCGCAACGATTACCACTTCAGACGCTGGCTCGAACCCTGGTTGACGAGTCTGCCGATCCTTCTCCGCAGTTCAACAATAAATCCCTTTCAATTCTAGGTAGTGATCTCTTAACATACTACACTGCTGAACATCTGATAAGCACCTATCCGCGGCTTCCAGTTAAGGTCCTTTGGGCAGCGATGTATTCCTATATTGGAGCGAAGCCGCTGGCTGCGATGACTAGGGAATGGGGTCTGGAATATGCTGCTGAGCCCGGACCTGAAGTAGACCCAGGTCTCCTACAATTTAAACGGCTACCTCCAGACACTGGATTCGAAACCAAGTCAAATGGCACATTCCTTAGACGTGATGAAAATATGGCAAAACGCAGTACAAGTGCAAGGATAATATATGGTGGCGCCTTTGGTGAATCAACACTTCCCTATCCCGTCCACCATGAGGGCGTCACTCCCAACCGAGCTTGTGCAAATTTCATACGTGCCGTCGTGGGCGCTGTATATCTACACGCTGGTCGACCAGCAGCGAAGCAGTTTTTTAAAGAACACTTCATGAGCCGCCATCTCGACATGGCCTCGTTGTTTAGCTTCCGGCAACCGACGCGAGATCTCAGCAAACTCTGCCGTCGTGAAGGCTTTGAAGACCCCGTCGCAAAAATTCTGAGCGAAACTGGTCGCCATAGCAATCGTCCTGTGTTTAACGTAGGTATTTTCTCCGGGCCAGACAAGCTGGGCGAAGGGGCCGGTGGAAGCTTAAGCGAAGCGCGCTTTAGGGCTGCGGCTGCTGCGCTTAAGGGCTGGTATCTATACAGCCCGCTTGGGGTTAGGGTTCCGAGCTCGATGGAAGAAGAAGGTGCTGAGCCATGGAAACCCGTATATGTCGATCCCGGCGAAGTTATAGTATGAGCGAAAAGTCGGGGCCCCTTCAAATACATAGCAAAATATACCAAAATTATACGGTCAATTTTTTTTTTTTTCTATCTGTTTGCTGCTTTTGGTAAGGAAACATCAAGGCGGGATCACATAACGCATTCGGCATTTTTGCTCACGTTTCTTCTTCTCCTATTAGCCTTTTGATCGATCCCTATGACATCTTGATTGTCCTGCCTCATATTCATGTTGGGCTGCATTCCCCTTTCTATAAGTGTTGTTCTATCGTATCTACTCTATCTCTTTCCTTTCCTCTTGTATTTAATGCACATGTACAATATTGGGAAATGAGGTTTTGTCTATCTGTTGTTGAAACGTTCCATTACTGTCTTTCCAACCTTTTCATTACCACTGCTGTCAAAAAGAAACCACAGCTCCTCCACTCTCTTTTATATTCAAAACTGTCATCTGCAATAGAAACGGCGTCGGCTTGTGCGAAAGCTGGAGATGGAATGGTTAGATTCCACGATTCTTCTGCTGCTTCTACAGACACCCTGTCACCCATCGCCTTTTGGATGAGGCTTGGCATATGCTCCTCCTATTCAGATGAGATCTTTTCCCAGGTGAATTATATCATTTGGAAGGAATACACCTTTCTCATTGAAATTGACTTGGTACATCTACATGTTCAACTACGTGCATGTAGAAATAAAAATAAACATATTAATTCCAAATTATTGCAAAAAATAAAACAATATATGGAAACCCCGAAAACATCGCTTGCTATCTCGCAGACTTCCTTCCTGAAACATGGCCGTAAGAGTATTTCAAATATTCAATTCGTCTTGGACGAATCCAAATATGCCCCATATTCATCCCAGAGATCTAATACCTCAGCACCAAATAGCCCATACCAGAATCCACGTTTAACCAACTTTTCATCGGTCACTACTCCCGCTCCCTTTCGATCTGCTTTCTCAACGGCCCCACCGTTCCCATCTCCCCCAGCACTACCGTTCCCACCCGATTCACCAACATACCCAATCCTCAAAAGGCGATCATTCAACATGCCCACCGCCCCTACTCCAACCTTAATATCCTCAATCCACTCCAAGAAAAATGCTGTAACCTGGTATCCCTTATCCCAGCTGCTCCCGCGCTCAGCCTTGCTCCTCGGCCGCTTCCAATGAGGCGGCGCAAGTCCAGCTTTCAAACGGACAAAATCTGCAACGCCTTCAATCAAGCCCGAAGGGGGGTTCGGGATAGCTGATTCCGGTTCAGCCTTGTTCTGCTCCATCTCTCCATTCTTGTGCAGTGCCGCCGCGTTAGAGTGAGGGCGAGTGTGCTGGTAGCAATGCACTAGTTCATGAGTGATCACTCCCCGGAGCTCGCGAGCTGGATCTGCGGATGTGCTACTAACGGTAGCGATGTAGGAGAGGGAAACGTGAATCTCCTTGTCGAGGTCCGTACCGGTTGTGTAGGCTACGCCAGGCATGTCGCGGACCAAGAAGGTGACGGAGCGCGTCGCCGGCAACGAGGGGTCGAAATGTGGAGATATACGGTGCGCATGGCTGCCGTCTCTGCCGCTATTGATTTTTCCAGCTTGATTAGGTTCCGACGGAGATGTGTATAAGTAGGTTACAATGTTGCCTAGCGCTGTGTTTATTGCAGCATTTGGATCTGGGATAAGATTTATGAAAGCTTTGGACGCCGGCTGGGTAAGGTCCTCCAGATGTAGCCGGAGTTTAGGGGTAGGCTGTGGCAGGGAGTAAATTCCTTTCGGGCTCGGGCTGGCGCTGTCGACTTCATTGGCCTCAATGGTGCCGTCCTCGTTTATATAATCGCCAGGGATTGGAGAGGAACTGGGGGTTAACTGAACCCGGGAGCTCGATGGAGTGCGCATGATTATCAGAGTCATTTATGGGTGTTACGGGAATGCTGATACTGTGATAAAATTGACAAGGCACATAACTACGCAGTATATGAAGACACCCATGTGTTTGGATATGGACTTGGAAACAGGCTCAGAGACATTGGCATGCATATTTGGTACTGTACATTGTAAAACCAATTCGCCATCTCATTCTTGTCGATGCCATCTACTTGAACGACATGTATAACTAAAATAAAGATCATGGCCTTGTTCAGATAACTGGTAATTATTAAATATATAAATAAAGAATAAACTCTACTCCTTGAAACTTTAAATGCCAATGTCGGGGGTGTGGTTCAACTGGCAGGTAAACCACGGTTCGAGCATGAAAGTCAGTATTGTTTACAACACGAGCTTACCAGTATCCTTTGCGATTTTGCTAGACATTCACATTTCTCCTACGCAGTACATCCTACATACGTAGAATACGACGGGTACCAAATCCGAACCTTACTGTCAGTCAGGTCACGAAATCGTGAGTAGGAGTGCTCGGGGTGTTGGGTCTGACAGCGGATTAGGCCTAGCGCAGGCGGCTTGCGGTACCGCCAAGACAACGGGGTTTTGGGCAGCGAAAACAATCAAGTTACCCTTTCTGGCAATGGTCTGGCGCACCTTCGTGTCTTCCTCGTCGACTCCATCGCCGTGTCTCTTCTCCCGTACCAGCGCTGTTCTCTCTACCAGGCTACCTTGTGTGCATCTACTGCGTCGGATCCAGGTAAGAACCGCTTCTTCTTCATGCGTCATTGTCAGCCCCCTTTCGCGGTTTGACAGGCCCAGCTGTGCCCGTGGTCTGTGCTACTACAAGGGTCTTCCCCTCCTCCTTCGCTTTTACAATCACGGCCTATTTACTCCAAGACCGTGTGGGTTTCATCCGTTGTCGCTAATAGAATTGTTCTGCTGCAGATTGTTAGGATCCACACTACATCGTGATCTTACTTCGAACCCCCTCTCTTGGGCGCCTAGAATACTTTCTGCCATCGGTATCTAATTGCCAATTTGAGCTTGTCTACAAAAGGGGAGCAGATAGTCCGGTGATATTGCGCATAAACTCTCTGCCCTTGGTCTGGGTATATCGGTATTCGCAACACCCTATATAAACTTCCTACCAAATGAGCATTGTTGTCAAAAGATCTTGACAATGGAAGCTAGAGCCACTGAGGTTCTAGCTGCACTGAAAAACCCCAACCTCTCCATCGAGGCGAAAACACAACAGCTCACAAAGCTCAAGTCGGAAATAAAACAGAAAAATGTACCTGAGGTCGCCATTTCCACCGTGTTTGAGGCCGTCCGCTATGCGCTTGCATCACAACACTCGTCTCTTTCCGCAGGGGGGTTCTCTGCCTTAGGCCATCTCCTCAAGCGACTTTCTCTCCAAGATCTCCATCAGGCTATTGCAGCTCAAGGCCGCTCCACTTACCCACTACTCCTTGAGCGATTAGGTGACCATAAAGAACGGGTTCGCGCACAGGCTGCCCAAGCCTTCAGTGACTTTTGGCAATCTGCCCCCGTTGAAGTTGAGCACCATGTCCTGGAAATTGCGTTGGTGGGGAAGAATCCTCGAGCAAAAGAAACTAGTATGACATGGCTAGCGACTGTGAGTGTATAAGTCACAGTGGAGCCTGCCTGATGTGACATTGCCCCATCTACTAACATTTCTCCTCCCTTTTGCAGATGACTCGTAACCGTGGGCTGCTCTTCCGGACATACGTGCCAAGCCTTGTCGCCTGCCTCGAGGATGCTGATAGTGGAGTCAGGGAAACTGCAAAAGCGACCGTTATCGATTTATTCCAGTATGCAATCTCCCTGAATAAGTCGCTCTAATGTTCTAGATGTTAATGTTGTGTTGCAGAAATGCCCCTCCTCGAGCACTATCGGATTTGAAGAAACAACTTCAATCACATAATGTGAGAAAATCGATAACCAACTCAATCCTGTCTAGCATTGGCGTCGATCAAGATCTTTCCTCTTCCATGCAATCCCAGCCAAGATCTGATATCTTGAGACCCGAGAGCAGTTTCTCAAGCCACCGAGAACCTCAACGTCCCAACTCTGTTCTATCAACCCGATCTATTTCGAACGGCGAAGCAGCAAGTAAGGAAGCTAGCATGGCATCAGATTCTATCCATGGTGGTATGAACCAATATCAATTTGTTGCGCGTTTTACTAACATCTATTCCAGATCCCCCGAAACCTCCCCGAGGGGATCCGCCGCGGAGAGATGCAGTGTTATCTCATAGCGTCAGCGTCGAGTCTTTCCCCACTGTTGTTGGAAACGCCGAAATTGTTGAAGTAGAAACTGTGGACCCGCTTTACCTCAATTCTCATCGAGAACTGGACGAAATATTTCGCGAAATGCTGCCTTATTTTGAAGGCAGGGAATCGGAACAGAATTGGATCCTCCGTGAGAAAAGTATTTTGAAATTGCGACGGATAACAAAGGGCAATGCCCCAACTGATTTCCAACATAATTATTTGGTTGGTATCAAAAGTGTACTTGACGGTATTCTAAAAGCCGTCAATTCGTTGCGGACTACACTCTCAGCGGCCGGTTGTAGCTTAATTCAAGATATTGCCCGAGCAAATGGCCCAGCCATTGATCCAATGGTTGAAGTTCTCTTGCAGAATATGATTAAGGTGTGCGCAAGTCTGAAAAAAATTACCGCTCAAAACGGCAATCTTACGGTGGATGCTATCATCGGCAATGTATCCTACACGTCTAGAATTGTGCAACATCTTTGGCTTGCATGTCAAGACAAAAATGTTCAACCCAGGTTGTTTGTCACGGGTTGGATACAAACTTTAATCATGAAGCACAGCGGGCATAGAGGATTGATCGAACATAGTGGGGGTGTTGATGTCCTCGAGAAATGTATCAAAAAAGGACTGGGAGATGCGAATCCTGGAGTGAGAGAAAACATGCGTTCAACTTTCTGGACTTTCGCGAGAATGTGGGCTGATAGAGCAGAAGGGTATGTATCGAACAACATTCTCACCTTGGTAAAACAGCTTTACTGAAGTCATTTAGGATCATGTCCACAATGGATGCGAAGTCCAGGTCTCTTCTCGAAAGGGATCCCGGAAATCCAAATCTTGATGCTAATTCCTTAAATACCAACGGAAGACAGCGAACAGGCATGGGGAATAATGGACCAGGTGGGGGCTCACGACTGACACTCAAGGAGACAATCGCTGCTCAGAAAAAAGCTCGTTTGGCTGCAGCGAAAACAATACCTGCTCGCCCGGAATCTGCCCAGTCATCATTTCCAGATTTGAAATCATCTAGATCTTCCATACACCGACAACCTGGAACAACCACTCGTACCGTTCCTACCGGGTCTCATATTTCGTCCCAAAATACCTCTCTCTCCTCTGCACCAATGCGGCCCTCATCAAGACCCCGGCGGCCCGAGCTGATGCGGCCTGCCACTGCCGACCCATATTCATCTCGTAATAGATCTGTTCATAGCTCATCCCAGCAGAAATTATCAAGCCCCTCAGGAAGCCCCCAAAAACCTAGGAGTAAGACCACAACGTCAACTCCAGGAAGAAGCAATCCAACGCCTCTCCGTCCTAAGTCGAGACTTGACACTAGTGCGCCTGTAAGCACTGCAAAACCAAAACCCAAGCGACTTGACATTGCTGGGCTTAAACCTGGAGAAGCCCGTTTAATGGCAGGTCCCGCTGGTAAACCAAATTACGCATCTTCTGTGGATCCAAAACCGCTAGCTGCAAGCCCAGCTAGGTCAGAGGAAAATCTACCTATTGTTTTACTACAGGATGACAATAAGAATACGGAAATTAGTTCTACCAGCTTTGCTTCGGATGCCGAAGTTTTTACTGAAAACAAAACCGATCTTATGACAGAACTCCCTACACCTGGATCTTTGGTGATGTCCCATGGTACCCCTACAAGCCATCGCCGTTTGAGCAGCAGTGACACCTCTGTTTCTCGCATCCCAATGTCACCACCTTTCCAACCAAAAGTCCATTCAGAGGAATGTTTGGCTGTGACGTCCAGCCCCAACAGAAACTGTTCCAACAATAATGATAATATTGCGCCTAAGAATGCTTCTGCTGGTCGATTTTCTTTACCTAGCACTGAAGTTACCTATTCCGGAGAAACCCTCAAGGTGTATGAAGATCCTCAGTCTCCAAATGCGAAGGAAGATGTTCCCCATCCGGAACCACTTGGAATCCCTCCGAGGTCTCCTATTAAAGCCAATCCGCTTGAAGAACTCCCAATTAATGAACCGGCGAACACGCCTAATCGAAAATACAATGGTCAACAGGAGCCCTCAGGTTTCTCGCCTCCAACTAGCGTCGCTATGCCTGCAAATGAAAATTTGCACCGGCGATGGAAAAAAGTGGAGATCTCAGAGAGGCGAAGAAGCCTAAGCCCTCGATCCAAAGACCCATCACGAGGGCGAGATATGATTGATAGGGGACTTAATAAAATTCGGACAGGGGCTATCGATGTGCATGGATACCGGAAGGTACAGAGTTTAATCAAATACCATCAATCAATATTTAATGACGAAGCCAAGTATGGTGAAACATTAATGGTGTTGTTAGACGCCCTCGAGGTGCCAGATGCAGATAAGAAATCAGCAACCGGTCGACAACTGGATCTGAAGACACAGGTATTAGTGACTATTCGTTTGTTGTTCTCGATGAATCGTGGCTATTTTTCGAAGTACTATGCCAGAGCCATGACGGCAATTATTACGGCACGCAAACACTACGAACTTACCAACCATATCGTCAGCGGTCTCGAGGAAACGGCTGAGGATATCGTTCAAGCATGTGAGCCTGCAGATGTCATCGATGCAATCTTGGGTCTTCTCGAGTTCGAAGAGAAGTCCCCTGACAGCCATCGCATGATTGCCATGGGTGGATATATCCTCAGCGGGCTCCTACGCCGGCTTAACGAAAAGAACCTATTCCTCAGTGAGCCGGAGTTGGAACGACTTGGCAACTTCGCAAATCAGAGCCTCAAGGATCCCCAACCAGACATTCGCCGAGCTGTGATGGAGTTCTGCCTGGAGCTTCACGAAATGGTCAAGCCGGAAGAAGCCTTTTGGCGCATGATTAAGTCTGAAGAGCATCGTCCGTTGCTGACATATTACATCGTGAGAAAGCCTGGAAGATGATCTCGAAATCAGATACAGATTTTTTTAATTTGTTAACGGGACGAAACCCTTTTTTTTGGTTTCCTCTTGCACTTAACTATTCTCTATCAACTCAATTTTTTCACTTCCGGTTCATCTTGCTATAAGAACCCTGTTCCTTAACTGTCAAAATTCCTTTCTTGTTGTCTCCCTTGTCGTCTCCCTTGTCTGAATTGCTGTACCGATCGATGTAGCCCTGGTTTTACCATTATGATTGCTTTTGCTAGCGTTACATCAGAGTACGTGTAGTGATGCCCGCTTTCTTTCTTCCTCCTCCTATACCTATACCTCCTCTTTCCCCTATTCTTCAACTTGAATTGTTTTTTCTTTCCCTTTAAAAAAGCAAATACTGTAGTAGTATATCTTTTTAATTGTATATTTGATTTTGTCCCTTCCTCCTTTCCTTTTTTTCCATTTATTCTTTTTTATCTTCCTTGTCCCTTGTGGGCTTTGCTCTTTTACCCACCTTTTTTTAGTATTACAACTCAGGAAAATTGTTCTAATCCTATTTCACCAATCCTCCCGAAGTATTATTTTAACTATGGAGAACTTTTAGTTCTTAGCTTGTTTGTATCTATTTACCATACTTTTAATGTGGGGGACCACATAAAGCAGTGTACTTTCAATTTGGCTTACAAAAATCTTATTTATTTTATTTCTATTTTTTTTTCGTTTCCCAAAAGTCAATGGCTTGGTTTTCTTTTTCTTTTTCTTTTCTTTTTGCGGGAACTCTTTATGTTGGGGTAACTCTGCTAGATCTACGATCCGTACATCTTGGTGTTGATATTATCATTATCTACGTCCAACAGGTGGTCCTGATAAATTTGGATCACCACTCAGGCATTTGTTCAAAATATATATTCTAGTATTCCACCTTGATACGTTAAAAAGCAAGCAAGGACAACGATAGTAAATATCATCAACCACTACACAGCTCGCTGAGGATTCTGAAAAGCAGTGCAGGCCGGTATGCGCTTCGATGACATTATTTTTAACGCTTTCAGTTTGAAGATTATATGAAAGAGAAAGTAGCATTACACGACGGTTTTATATTCCGTTTTCCGATATATATATATATATATATACAATCGCGATTTTTCCCAACGATCATAAATGTAAACTTATCTCCCATCCTTGATTTGATTTTGGTTTAATCGCCGCCCACCGATTGATTATTCGCAGTAGATCGGATGTGCAGATGTATATACTGCACCCGTGTCATGGAACACGAATCGGACAAAAATCCGCCCAACAATCCAATGATAACATTGAACTGTCCGTGCTTTATCGCCACCCTGGTTTGTGAAGAGTTGTTGAGAGGATGTGAGGGGTACGCTACCACTAACTAAGAGAGCGGACGGTCTTCACAGATGGTTCAATGGGGAACACTACTAACTAGTATTTTAAGATCGGGACCATGACTGATCGAACAATGGGGAGCGGGAGGCAATGCGGTGGCATTGTTACTCTTTTCATTTTAATTTCTGGGGGACCCCGGAAAATATATCAATCTAGTGTTTCCATTTTTGGATCTTGGATTTGGTTTTCTTTCTCAATCAGCATAGCTAGCTGCCGGAGAGGCGGGTTGAGGGAGAAGGGCTGTGATATTTCTCCCGCATCTTTTCCACTTCAAAAGTGGAGATGGGAGGAAGGAATTGGGCTTGTCGAGAGTATGTATGCCTTCCACGAATTTCCTCAGTTACGACCGTCAACTCAAATAGTTACATGTAATTCGGATAATAGTCAAGTCAAAGAACAGGATATCTCGAAGGCATATTCCATGTTTAGGGCATGTCCTGTTTGGCCATAGTTTTAAGCGTCGTAGGTGAAGAGTTAAGTCACTGACAATATCAGATCGTGTCAACTTCTTCGCACATTAACTCCATGCAAAGCTGCGCAGAGATGCGGACATCGCGAGCCAATGGGATGTTCGTCATTTTCACATGGGTCTTTGGAGATATACCTTGGAAATAAGAAACAGGGTAGTGGAAATACGGGGCTGGGGTATTCCGAGACATTCAAACCATCATCTGAAGGTTTTTTTTTCGGGGTGTTTTACGAAACGAAATTTGCTGGGATGATGGACGGAGGCTGACTGGGAGCCCGGTGGTGTTTGAGAAGATCCCCCGCAAGTGGCGACTACAGGAGATCGAGTCGAGGACCTGTTGTTCATTTTCTCAATCGAAGATGGGCTTCAGGTTAGTGGAGGCTGATGGTCAGAGCTTCTTAGGGGTGTTTCGTCGACGCAGGTACGGGACTAGAGACAACCATCTAACTAGCTGGTTGAGGATCTGTGTTGTTTCATTCAACTCCCAAGCGACTTGATTGACCGCCCAGAGAATTGGCTGGCGGGTCTCTCTGCCGTGGTGAAGATGTTTGACAGAAAACCAAATATGCCAGAAGGGGGAGAGTAAAGTAATTAAATACAGTTGGCTGTTTAGTGGTTGGGACGATGCTGAAACTTGGGACTTGATCCTTACAATTTATGTCAAGGGGAACGTCTACTGTCGCAGGTGTATCGGGGGGTTGAGTTTGATGTTTGAGATATGCTTCAATCTTCTTGCAGTTGCTGTTCCTGGCTCAGTCGACAAAGCGCGGGCCTGATTGCTCAGGAGGGGCTTCAGTTTTGTTCCTATCGAGTCCTTACCCCTGTAGCTATCCACGCCGAACCACAGCATTTTCGCTTGTAGGGAACTTTACTCCTAGTTAGTAGTGTAGTAATAGGGTTTGTTCTGCACGTTGTCAATGCCATGGCTTTCTGGCCATTTGACTTCTTGACGATAAGACGGAGAACGGAGGGGGAGGATTAAAGCGCCGGATGTTTCCCCCTATTTTCGGTGTCGAACAAAGGGGGGATTGCCTGCCACTACGCAGACTGCTACATTTCAGGTACTTTTGGGTGCGTGTGTGCTTAGTTGTTTGTTTGCGTGTTTCATTATTCGCAAATTATTAACAATGTGATGATTGCGGGACTGGGATGGCAGCAGGGCGCCCAGAACCCTTGAATATTAAAAAGGCTGATCAAAAGGACCAGTCTGGACTTGTTCCGATGTCCAAACAGCACAGACGCAGACCAACATAGACTGCGTATGCGCATGCAGAAGATGATTCTCCGCCATTGTTTGAATGGCTGAAGAAGACAATACTGCGTATATTCAGTTTCTGAACTGGAAAGCGGCCATATGACGAGAAAGGGCCCTCCTTGACGATATATCAACCCGCCATTTGAAAGGTTGAAATTATCCCATATGTGGCTTTTCGTGCGCCATCCTATCCCTGAGGATGTTTCGTTTTGGAGATTGTTGGAACCAAATTCAGTTCTCCTTTTCCTTGCGGTTTTCCTTCCCCTGAAAACAAACATAATAATTACTCATGACCACATTGAGCAGCTAGCAACTCTTTTGAGTTCTGGTGCAGTAGTGGCGGTTTAGCAGTTGGCCTAGTGGGGCTACTTAAGCCCTTGGAGTAGCATCGCGCGTTCCCGTGCTTTGCTCGGTTTTGTTGGCGTTGTAAATTATAATCATTTTATTTTCGTTTCTGCTGCTTGCATCTGACACCTAGCGTGGTGGTCACTGCTCAGGTAGACGGGCATCAATCTCGCACCAGTGTCCCACAGAGAATATCGGGGATTCACAGCAGCCAAGACGTCTTGCCTGACAAGTTGCTCAGCAGCAGCAGCCGTTGCGCCTCTGAAACGTCACCTGTGTATGCATGTTGTTGTAACTGAGACGAAGTAATTAGCTTTTATCAATGAGCAGATTTAACTGCAGAAGTAATTAGCTGCGAGAAGCCAAACGTAATACTTCCACGCACGCAATAACTAATCTAGCTGTACTCCGTAGTCAAGAATCGGTTCGCCGAGTGGTTAGCACGTTGTTTGAGTTCGCTGTTGCTGTGCGAAATGTCTTGGTTGGTGTTGGTTAGCCTCAACGCTGGGCCAGCGTGTGCACTTTCTTTTCTTTTCTTTTCTTCTCCCCCTGGATCGCTTCCAACTTAATCCACTCCGCCGCCTGCGCCTAATCTCTGCGATTCAGGCCGCTGAGCGAGAGCCGACGAATTGACAGCAGAAGGCGGGCTGCATGCCGCCGAATAATCTTACTGCCCTAATCCTGCGTGCTCCCTCGTTTGTTTTCCCCCTCGCTCCGTAGAATACCTCCACGTCTTGGTTATTTCTGACATTCCACTCTCTCCCTTCCGCTGCCTGGCCTACCGTCGCTGAGAAGACACACCCGATTATCAATTGACACCTTGGTAGGCATCTATCTCGCTTCTTGTCCTCTCCACCCAGGTGTTGTACAGTCCCGGCCATCTTCATCTTCCACCAACAGCCCATCAAAAGCCCACCAATCTCTGGCGTGTTTCACATTCCTGGAACTCTCAGTTACCCCCTCTGGTTGTGCCTTGTCTGATCTTTCTTTTCTTTGCTTTTCTTTTTGTTTCGCCAGTGCTTTCCTGGCCGAGTCCTTGAATTATCCGCGTTGCATGTTGCTAACTTGTTTGTGTTGGTGCTGCTGTTGCGAAAGCAGCCTTGCATCTTTTCGTTTGCGTTTCAAGCCCATTCACTTCGTGAATTGGGGTATTTCCAACCAGACTACTAGGTAGCCTTTTTTATACAATTGTCTATTGTTCTATCTGATCCTCGATCCTGGTAATATTTTGCCCGCCGTTTGTCGTTCGCCTTCACGTCGACCATCTTCGCTTCCCCCACCCTTTCGGAACTCTCCCTTGTTCTATTTCGTTGGCTCCCTCCACCCCAGTCGCTCATTGCAACCCAATAGTTTTGATTGAACCCGTTCCTTTATATACCGAAGGGCTTGTATGACGAGCCTTGAAAGAAAGGGAGGACGTTGATCCTTGCTACCCCCGCTATCCGCAATTATCCGTCTTGCACTGTAACTTGAATGGTTTTGGATATCTGGGTTCACGATACGTCCGGACTGTATACAATACAAACACTGCCACCAGAGTTGGGAAGTGAACAAAGGGCAGTGGCTACCACAATCCTTCTGGGTGGTCTAAAAAGAAAAGAACTGAAAGATGGAGTCGCCAACTGGAAATCCTGAGTCTCCTTTGGACGATGATACTCCGATTCCATGCCAGGGCTGCGGTGAGGTATGGTTTTGACTACTCCCCACATCCCAAATTATTTTCAATCATTTCGCCTTTGTGAGCTATTGGTTCCTCTTTCGCTAATGAGTATGTGATATAAGATTTTGGAAGAAGGCAAAGCGTTCGAATTGGGTGAGTATATATTATCCTACCGTTAAACACCATCAATTTGGCACTCCTGGTAAGACATGAGATGAGGAGGTTAACCTTAATTAAAAGCTGGGAAACGATGGCATATCGATTGTTTTCGATGCAACACCTGCGGCACCTTTCTCGATTCGGACGCAAACCTCCTTCTACTCGGCGATGGGTCACTCATCTGCAATAATTGCACGTACAGTTGCAGCTCTTGTGGAAATAAAATCGAGGATCTCGCAATCCTTACTGGAGACCAGGCATTTTGTGCCAATTGTTTCAAATGTCGCAACTGCAAACGGAAGATCGAGAATCTTCGCTATGCGCGCACATCGCAAGGCATTTTTTGTATGGACTGCCATGAATCGCTGATGGCTCGGAGAAGGAAACGGTCGGCTAGAGCACAACGCCAAAAGGTTCCTAATGTCCAGCTTGATAAGTCCCTCCCGTCACTGCCACCAACAATTGCTCCGAATAGTGGTTTAGCGGAATTGGACACACCCTCAACTGATCCGTCCTCTGACGCCCCGGTTGAATTACCATCCTCTCATCCAAGATCCGAATCGAGGAGGGCCTACTTAGGCAACGATGTAAATGTTGAATCCACCGAACCTCAACCCGTTAATCAAGGTGCGCCAGTGGTTCATAATTTTCTCCCAAAGTTCTTGTGGTAGTATCTCCAACTAACCACTTATGTTGCAATAGACAATCTTATCCTTCCTTCTAGCACCTATAAAAGCAATCGTCATTCGGCTCTTTCACATAAATCTAATACATCCGGCGGGGAAGAGTTTCTGATTCCTGTTGCATTTGATCCTACGCCTTCTGAACCTCACTCCCCTAATCCTTTGTCGGCAACTTCCAATGGCCCGTTACCAGACTACTTTGGCCGGAATGCACCTAGAGAAAGCCCTCAAAAGCAGTCTGTCGACAGACCTGGATACCTGCAGGACACGAGTCACTCTGCCGCATCCTCTGAGCAACCAAATCCGTACGAGGAGAAGGGTCGTGCAGAGTTAGACTCTCACAACCGCCAAGCTAGCACGGAAAACTCCAGCACATCAATTCCAACACCATCCCCTGATAGCAACGATAATATCCGCCAACAGAATATAATACAAAAGAAATCAGACCCTGGAGCTGATATGCAGAGCCGTGCAGACAAATTCAAGTTGCAGGATGTCCCCAAAGGCAGAAAGGCCGGGGGCTCTCGGAACACATCCCGATCCGACCTTAGCCTGACAACTCGAGCGGAATCTCCTGTAAATGGTGACATTCCTGTGAGCCCGCCACCGCGAGATTCGGCCCGGTCCGCTACAGAACTACCCAGCGCCTCAGAACTAGACGCCACACCTCCCCGTTTTTCACAAGAATCACGCTCTAGGGAGAATGGGACTACTGAACCGTCGAGGTCGGCGATGCAATACCCGCCTAAGAGAGGCGATTCGCTTGAGGCTAAGCTGCACCAATCTCTCCAAAGGAAAGAAGTGCAACATGCTCTAAAGCCTACCCCCCCTACATCTAGTAGCACGAATGATGCCACGCCCCCCATATCCTCGAATTTTTCATCTCCCCCGGTGGACAGATCATCGGAGATAAAGGGCCCCAAGCCGTCAGAATCCACAGTATCTAAGCAGGCCTCTGATACATTGCCTTCTGGCTCCTCGCCTTCAACCCACAAGCGTACCGCATCCGGTAATACATCAAAACCGAAACCTTCGGAAAATCGTCGAACCCATTCTCGCGATGAGTCTGTGAATACTCAGCATTCAGAAGATCAACGTGGAGCAGAGACCGGTGGCTCTCCATTGCTGCGCTATAGTGCGATTGGAGATTTCTCACTTGACGAAGATATGGCGCGGATTCTTGGTAGTGACGATGTTCAGAACCAAGAATCATTCCTAAAGCGCGTGTCGAATTCGGTTCGGCATGGGAGAAGCTTTAGCGATAAAGGGGCCCGACTCTCCAAAGAACAGAAATGGCCTAAGTCACCATCAACTACCAGTCACTTGGCGAATGACGTCAGCAGCCCTACTTCCAATTCCCCTGAAAGTCGAGACCAGCTGGCCTGGTATAAGAACGAACTCCAAAGGGAGCGCCTGAATATTATTGAGAAGGATCAGAAAATTTCAGAGTTGGAAGCTTCGCTTAATGCTTCGACAATTATCAAACACGTTAACGCTGAACTTCGCGAGAAACGGTCCACCATGGTATTCCTTGAGGCTCAGAAAGAGATCGTTATGCGAGAGCTGGAAGTCCTTAATGGAAATATCTCTGCAGAAAAACAAAGCGGTAATGCCGTTGATCTAGGGAAATTGAGCAATTCCGTCCTCCGCGAGTTTGCGCAGTCTATTCAGCGGCTAAAAGATTCATTTGCCCCTCAGATCGAAGAGTTGATTAAGAAACGAAATGATATACTTGAGGAGCTGTCAAATCTTGGTCGCATGAAGGATAAGAGCTTCCAGGAATTCGAACAGTTGTCCCTTAAAAATTCACAACTTGCAGAGCTTAACAACGATCTGGTCCACCAAATACAGGGGATTTATAAGGTCAATACCAACTCCATCAGGGAGGGCGGGCGTAAGATCCCCAACGGCCTGGGTATCTACGCCCACCAAAAGGACATATCTGTCGCCTCACTCGATGGTCGGGAACCCAGGCCGTCAAATGACCTTCAAATATCGACTTCCAATACTCAATCCGAGGATGCAGAACCGGCCGCGCTTCTTCAGGGACCACAGGTGGTCAGCATACGAAAGGGCCAGGTTCGCAAGTTCAATTGGAAAAAGGGTGGCCAGAATGTTGCCAAGGGTGTTACTAAGGGCCTCAAGGGCGCTTTCAACTATGCTGAAGGCAAATACCAACAACGAGAAGGCCACTTTATGGAAACAGCCCCGTATGGATCTATATCATCGCAAGGTGGAGGGGAAGGGTCCTCACGCGCTCAAATGCAAGAATCGTCTCGTCAAGGGTTTGGGTTCTTCGGCAACCAAAAGGCTAAGCCTGGCATCTGGAAAGGACCCTCCAATGACAGCACTGTGGCGCTTGTTGAGGTTAATAACAATAGTACTAGTAATGGTGAGAGTTGTGAAGAAAATATCTTTTCACTTGAATTTTTTAGAATGCTAACTATGATTTTTCCCTCAGGACTTTTTGGTTGTGATCTCGAACAACGGATCGAGATTGAAAAATGTGTGATTCCCGGCATCGTCACCCGCTGCATTGAGGAAGTAGAGCTCCGAGGTATGGACCCTAAACCCGTCCATTCACTCTTTTTCACGCAGAAGGCTTCGTTGTAGATGATATCATTAACAACTCTTATCTTCCTACAGGTATGGATTGCGAGGGTATCTACCGGAAATCCGGTGGTAGCTCCCAAGTGCAAATGATCCGAGATGGCTTCGAGAAGTCATCAGATTACGATATCTCTGACCCGGACCTCGACATCCACGCCGTCACCTCAACGCTCAAACAGTATTTCCGCAAACTACCAAACCCGCTTATCACATACGACGTCTACGATCTACTCCTGGACGCCACTGCCGTCACGCCATCGTCCGTTCGTATAGATGTGATGCGTCGCGCCCTCCTGACCCTGCCAAGTGTGCACCGCGACGTGCTGGAATTTCTGATCTTCCATCTCCGGCGCGTCGTGGAGCGTGAGAAGGAGAATTTGATGACGAGTTTGAATGTTGCGGTGGTGTTTGCCCCAACAATTCTGAGACCCGAGAGTTTGAGTCGGGAAATGATCGATGTGAACAAGAAGAACGAGGTTCTGCAGTTTTTGGTGGATAATTGCCAGGATATTTTCATGGGGATGCAGAATTAGTTATATTTCCCTTGATTCGTATTCCCCCCTGTTTTGCTCGTTTTTCTTTCTATTTTTCTTTTTCTTTCTTGACAGGACTTGGGAGTTTTAAGTTGATGAGGGAGCTACCTCAAGCCATGAATTATCCCTTTTTGATTGGATACTTACTTTCCTCATTGTCGTTTTTGCCAATATTTCAAATCTTTGCTGCATTTTGTCGCAAGTTCGTGTTCATTGCCAATACCACACACTACAAAGGTTAGTTTGTTTATATACCATCACTCCCTCGAGACCTTGCTCCATTGCGCTCACAAGTGAAGGACCATGCACGCTTATAAATACTGTTTGCTATTATTATCGCTATCCCTTGCTTACCACTTATCTGCCTTTTTCGTGGATATATACCCAGTTTCCAGACACAATGAAATCATCTTCGCGCGCATTTTGTGCCTCCTCTCATCCCCTTCCCCGCCGCTTTTTTCCCTCCTCCACTTCAATTGAGAGCTCGGTTTTCGCCACGGCTCCGTCCTTCCAACTGCCAACCAAATAAATAAGTGAAAAAAAAGTAAAAAAAAACGAGACTCTCACAGCATCGATGTCCAGTGTTTGTAATGATGACGATAACAATGGCTATTATGACTTATGACGAGATAAAAAGTCCAATTGGAGCCATATATGTCGTCTACGATTTTTTCCCCGACTACATTGCTTTTTTCTTTCTCTTTCGCCAATCTATTACGAATACTCATGGTTAAAGTTTTTTCCCCTTTGACCTGTTTCCTTCTTTCACTTTCGCACCCCCCCCCCCCGGTCTGGATGCATATTCAAGAATACCCACATACCCTTTCATTCACGTGTGTATCATTGGGGCATCATCTAAGAAAGGTCACTTGCCTGGTTAAATCAAAAGAAGCTAGCAAAACAATCTATGACTTTACTGCGTATAAGTCTCGTAGAGCCGGTGAAGTAGAAATGCTTAAAGTTACTAGACAATGAAAGGGGTATCGTAGGTATTGGATTTGAGCACAGGTTCCCCTTCCCCCCTTTTCCGCTCAGGTGTTTTTCTGTTCTCATAGACATATATAAAATCATTCAGAAGCTCTCATCTTCCAACCCAGCGGCCCGACGAATGATGCTTGGACTGTTCTCGTACTCGTCCGTGATATCTTCACCGCAACCGGCGGTGTGAAGGAGGTCAGAAACAATTCTCTTGGAGGCTTCCTTGGCTAATCGTATGTTAGTTTTGCAGGGCTGGGGTGAGAGGGTATCTCTTTGTGAGGGTGGATGTCATTGACCAAACATACCTGGAGTCTGCAGTAACCTGCTCTGCGGAACATGAAACTGTATCGTTTTCGGCGGACTATCGCCAAAGAGTGCGGTACCGTCGTCGTCGTCATCGTCGTCATGGAAGTCCTCGTTGCTATCCCATCCATAGGACATTTTCGGCGGCCGTGACGCATCATGTTTGCTTGGCGTAAGCACACTGATGCCTGGCCGTGAGACTCGGGATGGTTTGCTTGGCCGTCGCTGACGAGGTCGACTCTCGTCATCTTCACCACCATCGTTATCACCCTTGATTGGGGATGAAAATATCTCCGAGTGAAGTTTTGGAACTTCGATTTCCGGACTTGAGAGAGGGGAGTCTAGGTAGCCCGGTTTGGGGTTGAATTTGGGCGTGCTGATTGTATGAGTGGAATGGCCATACGTTTTGCGAGAGCTGGCAAGGGGTGTTGCTTGGATACGGTAAGTTTTATCGAGGACACGGTGAAGGACGGCATCCATCTGCTTGCCGGCCTTTTTGGATGTGGACGGCATCCTGTGCGAAGCTGGTGGGGCGAATGACGAGGACGTTGGAGTTATGGCCATGTCTCGTGCACCACCATGTTTCCATTGTGTCCTTGCTGGAGTGACTGGACCGGCGTTTCTTGATTGTAAGGGCGTGTCGTCTGATGCGTTGTGGAGAGTTTCATACGGGGTGGGGTAATCGATGGATGAGCTGGTAATGTCGTCGTCGTTGTTTCGTTTTATATGAGATTTTGGTCGCGGGGTGCTGTGGGATGGTGTTATTGTGAGTGACGACAGGTCTGGGGCATCTTCTCGGTCGTGGAGGTTGAGCGATTCAGATGATGGGGTGGCGTATGATTCTGTAGCGTCTTCGTCTGTGGATGTGCGGGTCGTGTATGTAGAGTCCTCAGAATATGTGCCCTCCTGTCCGCTTTCGCTTGGAGGTTGTTCTTCATAGCCAGAGAGCGAGACATTAGCACTGGACTCGAAGAATTGTTTCCAGAACTAGGTTATTTATATAAGTTGGCTGTCAGTGAAATGACGCTTTGCATTACGGATTGTGTGCCAGGATGACCCACCTTCGACCCCTCCCATACTTCTCGCGACTGTTCAGCATATTGTTCAACAGTTGGGAGAATGCTTGTGGTGACAATTCTGTGAGCACGGCTGAAATTGTGATCAATCTCTATAAAGTCGCATCCATAATTGTTAGTTTATTGAGATCGTTTGGCTTCGAGGATAGGGAGGTTTATACCTTGCAAGGTCAATGTTATGGACTGCTCCAGTCTCTCTAGCTCCTCAGTCAGTGAAAGGTTCCGTTGGGCTGGGTTAGGGCGTGACATCGTTGCTCTCAAACACCATGTAACCAGGTTTTAAGTGAGTAGACGCCGTGGGGATGAAGTTGAGCTCCGCAACAAGAATGTTTACAGCCGCAACGGATGGATATCACGTGGCGAGGAACCGCATCGCTCGGATTTCAACGCTAGCCCGATAAGACGTCGTCATTCGGATAAGTCTACCAGGCGGCAACATAACTCAAAAAGTCTCCGCGTCCTCCGTCCGATGGAGACGTATTCTCTCTATCCCATGACGTCTCAACACCACTGGTATTTCCAACTATATGGGAATCCATTTTGATCTGAACAATCCCGCAGCAGAACTCGAAATGCCTGCTCCGTTAGCTAAAGGTTTGTGCACCAGGTCCAACCCCCGCCATCCCCGCTCTCCCCTCATCATAATATGGAGAGAGCATATAGCGTCCCATAGCACATAATCCTTTATCCTATCAAAATTCTATTATCTGCAGGCTACCTCTTCTAATTCTATTTGCGTGTGTCGTCTCAGGCCTTGTGATCACTGTTACCATCCTCCTTGCCGCTGGTTATGCGGTATACGAAAACCCGCAAGTGAAACAATGGGTTCGAAATTCCCGCCGGAGGATTGCAATAGCCCTGCACAATCTTGGGGATGAGATTAATCCTCAAGAACGTTCCACCGACCGCAGGCCGGCGGAGGACATATCTATGAGTGAAGAACTGAGCGAGGAAGCTGAGGCTAGACGTCAGAAAGCCCGGTCTGAAATCTCGCGACGAGCGTCGGTCCTTGAAGCAAGAAAAAATAAGTCTGCTTTAGGTTCGGTTGGTAGCTTTGATAATCTTGTGGATAAAGACGGGCGGCTCAAAGCGCCATCCAAGCATTGTCAACAGCCATTGCTCAAGGAGGGCGAGTCGCAAGCACGAGCCTCAGGTGTCCAAGTTACAAATTCGGATACAGTTCATCTGCGGCCTGCAGTGTTCTCTGATCTGTCCAATTCAATATCCGAGATGGCTCCTGAGAAGGCTTTGGCTGAATATCGCCAGACATTACTTAACGCTATAGATAGACCTCCCCACTCCTCAGAGACTTCCTCTCACCATCCTTCGGAGTCTTTAGTTGATCTTACCCCGACCTCGGAAGCTCCAGGCATGGACTTTGCTTGGTCCGCACACAGCGAGATACAGAGCCATGGCCAGAGCCAGCAAGAAGACCCCACTTCACAATCTAGCTATTTCTCACTCGCCTCATCACAGAATACAGGGGATGGCGAGCCGGACTTCTACTACGCACGGCCCCCTCAACCTGATCAAAATATCGCAGCAATGCAGCTTCCGCAATACGAGAGCGAAAATCCATTCGTGGACCAGCAGGAAAGCCATACTATTCAATCAGTCTCCTCAACGCCCTCAGTCGCGTCAAGCCTTAGTCATATCCAAAATGATCCCTTGGAGTCAATGTCCGATAGGACGCTGAGTGATTTAGAATCCATCCATGAAGGCATACACACACCAGCGAGCTGGTCTGAAGTTGGCAGTGTGGTCAGTAGCAATGACGGCAATAATCACCAGTGAAAAGGGTATGTTATGCGCATTCTTTGGCTGGGAATGTGGCTCCACTTTGTCTCCCGCTCTAATACACACGAACTACGAATTTTAGCTGCCTCTTTATATTAGGGAAAGGCCCATGGGAAGTCTTGGCCAATGGTGATTTGACACTGTGCTTCAATTTTCAATTTTACTTCATTTCTGTATTTGTCTTTGGGGCAGCCTGTCAGCTAGGAGTAGTGGGCATTCTTTTGCCTAATCCGCTGGAAAAGCTGACCTCCTTATCATGATGCCAAGTGAGGCATGTACTGTACATGTACCTTTGTTTTTGCGTTGTCTCTTTATAGAAGCTATTTGTTATTTATAAACGTTGGCGAAATGATGCGTTCAGCATATTTTACTGTTTCCCTCATCCCCCACAAAGCAGCATCTTTGTGTCATTGTTATTTAGGGACCGGGCGTCTGGGCTATTGGTAACTTGCGACATCTATAGGAAAGCAGGTTTCAAGGGATGGATGTTTTCCGCTTTGCTATATCTATCTATCTTTATAGATCACGCTATTTTTCTATCCTTACTTTCGAAGAGAGCAAACATTCCTTTTATGTCCTTTCACCCTTATAAATCTAACTACCTGTTAACTATTTCTATGACTATCTTATGCAACTCCTGCGAGGGGAGAACAAATGGCGTTTTTAAATGTTTTATGCTATCTTCTACCTCCGGGAAATACTTCCTTTACGAGGTGCAATGTGCCGTCCTACTCTCTGTGGCATACTATTTGTTTTACCATCCATTTTACCAACCGTTGCATGGTTCGTTCCATCCGTGTTGAACCGTGCGTTGTGTGAACAAGCCATTGAAGCCCCATGGCGCCCAACCAAGCCCTAATAAAAGCCTTCTCATTCTAAGTTCTCATCAACAATCAGGGATCCACCGAAGAGGGTTCCGTTTCCCTTCTCCGCCTCCAGGCACTTCTTTTTGTTCTACCCCCTTCCCCCCGGTAAGTATCTAGTATATTAAAATATAGGCACTCTCGAAGAGACGCAATCACCCGCAAATATTAATTCTAAGTTTCATGTTTATTCGTTAGCCCGGATGGAGTTTGGCTTGTGATGCACCGAGGGAAAACAATTCCGAGTGAGGAGAATATTAACTGGCCTGCTCCAATCAGGAGTGTTGACACTCAAGCACTGCTGTAAGTCTCTGTACTGTAACCCTGAACTCAAGCAATCATGGTCATCAACATCATCATCATCATCATCAGCCACCATCTACCCAACCCTTATTTTCCTTACCGAAAATATATATATCCCACGAATCTCGTAAGTGAAGTAAATTCCTGTCCTTGCCGGGTACGGTGCGGCTTCGGCTCGATTTCGATCCATCCCTTTGTGGGCCCATAATAATACGCAGATTGGCGACGTGGAGCAAAGATACTAGTATTCCCACTAGTAAGTGTAAAATACGGCGGCATTGGACGCTGGGCGTTTATCTTATTCATGCCTTGGAAGCTAACATGCAAACGGCAAAGGGACACACGACCTGTGGACATGAGGGACGATCTATCATAACAACCAGGTGAAGGAGAATTAGCCACGCGTAATGCCTTTGGATGTGGACGGTGACGATGCCAAAAACTCGCAAATCCAGCCTTGTAAATCTGTGGCATATTTCCTGCGTAGGTACGAGCATTTACACCCCCCCCCTCCTTCTCCGGCTTCAGGGGCCCTTGTGCTTGCGGCGGCTTGGCGCTTAGATCTTGGCGCTTGGGTTTGACTTATCCGGTTACTGGCCCCGAGAGCTCCCTGATGAAGGCCCCCCCGGCTTCTTCTTCGTCTGTCATTCTTGTCTTCCTCTCCAATGCTGCGTTTTTGTCGATATCCCCTTCGTGGACATACTTATAACGCATATGTACTTACTTTTTATTAGTTCTATGTATCCTGATTGTTTAGTTCTCTTAATCCTCCTCCGTGCTGCCACGGCCCATCCATACCATACCTCTCATGACACCTCCACGGCCGTGTGAAGGAAAAAGACCAGCATACCCAAGGCATGAGGCTCCTCAGCTGGCGATCTCTTCTGCTAGTGACATCACTCTGTGCGCACTCACTACCTTCCGTCTCTGCGGTCTCGTTTTTCTCCCACAACGATCTCTCTCGCCGAAACGACAGGGAGGAGCCACCTGAGGAAAAATACTTCCACGAACCGGGTAATGATGATATTCTGGGCCATTACGATACGAGGTTTTTCAAGGGGGCTGTTACGTATGAGGAGCGCACGGATACGCTGGTGCATATGACACGGGCGTATCTGACTTTTTTCAGAGAGAATGGGTTGGAGACGTGGATTGCACATGGGACGTTGTTGGGGTGGTGGTGGAATGGGAAGGTTGGTTGAGGATCATGCCCTTTTCTTTCTTCTCCTTCTTTCTCTTTCTTCAAAATATATACATATCCCGTCTTTGTGTCCTTCCGCGGAGAAGGGTAAGTAAATAAGTTACGACAAATTCGAGACCTTGCTGATATTTATTTTCTTGGTACAACTCTATCTAGATGCTTCCTTGGGACTGGGATATTGATACCCAAGTCAACACCGCCACCCTCTACCGCATGGCCGACACATTCAACCACACTATCTACCGATACGACCTCGCAGACGACCAGACCCAGCGCAAATACCTACTCGACGTCAACCCGCACGCCCGCCGACGCGACCGCGGCCAGGGGCAAAACATCATCGACGCACGCTGGATCGATATGCGCAATGGCCTCTACATCGACATCACGGGCGTCAGCGAAGTCAACCCTGAAACAGAACCGGGCATCCTCCAATGCAAGAACTTCCACAAGTATGAGACCTCAGACCTCTACCCGATGCGCGAGAGTATGTACGAGGGCGTCCCGGCGAAGATCCCGTATAAGTATCATGAGATTTTGATTAAGGAGTACGGGCAGAGCGCGATGGTTGTGAAAGAATATGAAGAGTGAGTTTTGATTTTTTGTATCCCCCCCGGGTGACGTCCACAACCTAACTATAACCCAACTCAATTTACTCATTCATTTCTCTCCAGCCACAACTGGGTCCCGGAGCTCAAGCTGTGGGTACCGGATAAGGAACGAATGGCCGAAACCGCGAAGCTTACTCCGGAAGAGCGGAAAAAGAAACAAGATGAGGAACGCAGCGTGCGCCAAAATGAGATTGAACAAGATTCCGGACGATGGGGTTGATTTAGTGGGTTCCATCCTTTGAAAAGGATGCAGCACCAGAAAGCTGTTCAACAGCTTTCGCACCCAGCGCTCCGGCACCGATACACAACCCCAGTGTTTTTACAAAGCTTTACCGGTTGAAGCACTGCGTATAACCTTCCGTCAAAACCGCAATGGCTTTTGTCCTTCGACATGAAACGTACCGAAAAATAATAACTCGTAATTGGATCTGTGAATATTTCATGCATACATCCGTATTTAAGCACATCAACAACTTGCTGCGCTACTTATTTATTTGTTTCTTGGGGCCCCCCTTTTATTTCGGTGTCCATTTGTTTTTTCTTTATGTGTTCTTATTCGGGATTTTGGACGCCCCTTTTGCCCTTGGAATGGGCCGTTGCATCATCTACTTGGCTACAGAGTAGTAATGACTGAAGATGATTATCCTTTGTTGGTGGAGGAGGGGGAGCATGAGCATGATATACCCTGGCTATTCAGTATTGCATCTTATGTCATATTTTTGGCAGTTTTTCGAATTTGGTTTTCTTGCGTTTGTTTCGGTTCGGGCTTCTTATCTAGATGCCACAGTGTCTGAGATTAAGAATCCATGCAACGTCATTTTTCCTGTTTGAAGCTTGAAGTAGTTTAGAACCGGAACTAAGTGTTTCCCGCTCCGGCCGAGGTTATAGTCACGTGATACAAGCGGCTGGCATGATTATTAATCGGCGGACTGCTTAGCGCGGCGGAACATTCTCCGCTCTTCTCCGCCCTGCCAGCGCACTGCAGCCCCACGGCGGAGACGAGGGGCGGGAGGTTTCTCCTATTAAAGCCTGTGTTTCCTTCGTCGAGACGCTGCTTATCCTAAAATATAGCCCGTAACATTAACAACAAACAGCTACACATACCCACTGCTTATTTTAACATTACAGTCCTCCAAAATATCCCACTCCGTGATGGGGGACTTCCAAGCATCACAGGCTACTCCCCCGCGCGACGATGAAATAGCCCTAATAATTCACCACCGTGGGGAAGACCATACCTTCTCTTTGTCTCCGACTTCTACCCTCCAAGACCTTTCCGCCTCCATATCCGATCGCCTGTCCGTCCCGCCCCAGAACCAAAAGCTCCTCATATCCCCCAAACCTGGCATGCAAAGGCACCCTTTCCAACCCACTCCCCTAGCCACTCTCCCCTATTCCCTCCCACGCTTCAAAATCACCCTCTTTGGCAGCACTGCTGCAGAAGTAGCTTCAATCAACGACGCCGCTCCCCCTCAACGGCCCTCCCCGCGCTCCCTCCCCGCCTCCCATTTAAGGCCCGCAAGGCCCACTCCACGCGGCTCCCCCACCCCTCTCTCTCAATACACATTCCACACCCTCCTCCCACTGGCACACCTCCCCAACCCCTCTCGCTCCCTAGCCTACCTAACACGCCTCCGCGATGACCCAGGGATACGCGTTGCCATGAAAGCGCATAAATTCTCCGTCCCACTGCTGACTGAGATGGATCCCGCCGAACACACCACCGTCTCCTCCCGCACCCTCGGTCTAAACCGCAACAAGGGGGAGGTCATAGAGCTGCGCCTGCGCACGGACGCCTACGATGGCTACCGCGACTATCGCACCATCCGCAAGACGCTCTGCCATGAGCTTGCGCATTGTGTGTTCGGCGACCACGATCGGGACTTCTGGGATTTGACGGCCCAGATTGAAAGGGAGGTGGAGAGGGCAGATTACTGGGGCGCAGGGAGGAAGTTGACGGATGAGGAGTTTTATAATCCGGCGGATTGGGAGGAGATGCGGAGTGGGGCCTTGGAGGTGGTGGATCATGGGGGTTGGACTGGGGGCGAGTTTTTGTTGGGTGGGGACGGTGGGATGGAATATGCGGGCCTGAGTCGGAGGGAGATTTTGGCGGAGGCGGCGGAAAGGAGGGCTGCGATGGCGAGGAGGGAAAGGGAGGAGAAAGGAAATGGAGGGGAACAGGGGTGATGGGCAAGTGGGGAGTGAGTGAGAGAGAGAGACTTGAATTTATGGGTTTTTGAGGGGTTTCATATATCCTTTCCTTGCCGAGATGTAAATGTCTTGTTGTATGCGGGCGTTTGACATTCAATTTCTCATCCTACCCTATAATAACTCGGTGTATATAATGAGAAGAAGATAATATATATACATCATTTTATTAGTCAAGCTTTTCAAAGATGATTTCCCCGCCCTTCCTCCTCCTCATTGTTCGTTAATAAACAATCCAGCCATCCCCTGTCCCGTCCCAATACACATACTCGTAACCAATACCTTCTTCTTCGTCCTCCGCGCCTCACTCAAAATAGTACAGACCTGTCTCGTCCCCGTGCATCCCAACGGATGCCCCAGCGCAATGGCGCCGCCGCGCGGGTTTACCTTCTTGTGATCCAGACCTAGCTTATCAATACAGTAAACCGCCATGGAGGCAAACGCCTCGTTGATTTCGAATATATCGATGTCTTCCTTGCGCAGGTTGTACATCGACAGGAGTTTGGGAATAGCAATGGAGGGGCCGATGCCCATGATGCGGGGCGGGACTCCGGCGACGGTGGCGCCGACGAATTTTGCGAGGATCGGTTGGCCGAGTTCGATGGCTTTGGAGCGTTTCATGAGGATTACGGCGGCGGCTGGTAGTGTGGGAAGGTTAGTGATCGATGCGTGCATTAGGAAGGGTTTGGATGAAGGTGATATCAACCACAAAAAGAGGAAAATAGGACGGAAGGACCAAAAAATGAAGAAGACGAAGAAGAGAAAGAACATACCTCCGTCGGTAATCTGACTCGCATTCCCACCGGTCGTCTTATTCCCAAACTGCGGGAACGCCGGCCGAATTTTACTCAACGACTCTAACGTCGTGCCATACCGCGGCCCTTCATCTTTGGTGACAGTCATTTCCCTCTCCGGCCCCTTCCCATCCTTCCCAACCTTCACTGTCGTCCGAATCGGTACGATCTCATCCTCGAACCAGCCAGCCTTTTGCGCCACCTCTGCCCTCCGGAATGACTCCACGGAGTACCGATCCTGCATCTCGCGCGAAATGCCAAAGTCATCACCGACATTCTCACTGGTCTGACCCATCGGCTGCATGCAGTCTGCCGCATCCGGCTCCTTCATGATTTCCGGATGGAAGGGCTGGGGGGTGCGGTCGGGCCCTTTGCTCATGGACTCTGCGCCGATTGCAATACCGATCTCGATGGCACCCTGTGCGATCTCGTAGGCGACGCTTTGAATCGACATGAGGCCGGATGAGCAGAAGCGGCTGATAGCGGCCGCGCCGGCGGTGTAGGGGATGCCGGCGGCGAGGGCAGCTGTGCGGCATATTGTGGAAGCTTTGTCGTTGTTTGCCTTGCCGATTGTTAGTAAAAATACTGGGCCTCCCTTCTCCTTCTCCGTGGATGAAGGCCTTCTATGGATACAATAACACGTACATTCCCCATGACGACATCATCAATCAAATTTGGATCTAGTTTCGACTTCGCCATCACCTCCTGCAACAGTTGAAGGACCAGATAGTCAAGATCCGTGTCCTTGAACCCGCCCTTGAATCCCCTCGCCATCGGCGTTCGCAGTGCCAATGTGATGACAATGTCATCGGGGTTCTTTTGTGTTCTGCACGTCGTTGTCAATATTTTATCAATATTTAGCTTGTATGGGAGGGGATCTCACATCTTGTCAAGAGCGCTCTGCCCCCCTGTTGCGGGCTTTAGCTGTGCAAGGACAGCCTGCAATCTCTCGTTGGCCATTTTTGTGGATGAGCTTTTCTTTTTTCTCCTTTTCCTCCTTTATATTCTGAGGTGTGTGTGTACAGAAGCTCTGTGTCTAGTACATATATTTGCATTTGAAAGAAAAAGCAGATGGTCTAGTTCCCCCGCAACTATCCATTTAGAGGTATATGTAACATGTTTTGCGGAGAGCGAAAAACACCTCGGCATTCCGGGCGTTCAACCTAGCCGGATTTGGTCGGGATTTGGGTTTCGGCTAAACTGGAAAGGTCGGCTCGGCTCCGATGTTAATTTCTCGGCTAATGGTTAGCCGGTGGTGCATTTGTGATCGAACAAGGTATTCTTTAGAGAACGTATCTTGTATTACAATTATATATGGCATATTCAGCGCCAAAAACTTATTTCTCTCTATAGAGACGTCTAACTACCGTATCTTCCGGAAAAAACAAGCAAATCCCTTCCAAATCGCGCCAGAAAATAAATTCAATATTAGCCATGGGGTATATCAACAGCAGTCGTGAGACTGGGGTATTCGAGCAGATTTTAACTTTTCTGAAAACAGGTACTTAGTCTGCCAGTTTCAGAACAAGTGCAAAAAAGGATCGCTTCTAACTAAGTAATAATTGAGTGAGGAACCGTTGAATCAAATGGAGGGAGCAGACAAGACCAATATAGAGCGTGCGGGTTGAGGGATATGATTGCCGGTCGTAAATTCACAGAACCCAGCTGCTACATTTGGATCGAATTTGAGCAACTCAATCCTCCCTTAGCCATGTTCTAGCTAGGAATCATCTAACACGACCTTGTCTCCTAGAACCAGAAGACCTTCGGGAGGATGGCTAGTATTCTACCTCGGTGGGATAATCTCAGATAGAGTAATGTTATTACTCGTGATCAATTTATCGACATAAATTTATCCCCGTGGGGCTTTCATCTGGTTATCCCTCGAAATCGACTTAAAAATCTCGGCGGATCAGTAGGTAGTTCTACTGCTGGCTTTGAATTTCTTTTCACCGGCGCAGGCTCCGCCTCTCGCGGTAGCTCATGCACACGCGGCGGGTCCCTGCTGCTTTCTGGTAACTCGTACTTCGGGGACGGAGGTTGTTGTGGCATAAGTGGTGCTGACATGGTAATATCCCCCTGTTAGGACATCGAGTTAGCTGATGTTGTATGACACCAGAAACAAGCCCGGGAGGATGCTGGGAATAGAATAAAAAAATAAATAAGCTATACGTACCTGGGCTGCTACTGGCACTCTTTTGATATTTGCTACTCCTGTTGCTGCATCAACCCAAGCCATGATAATGGTATCTTCATCAGTGGTTGTCATGTACGACATTGCAAATGAATCTGATTTGGTCGTGAGTTCCTTAGATGTGGCCAGTCTTTTAACATCCATAGGACTTGAGTCCAGATTTGATATTTGATAAAGATAACCCCGGTCATTTACCATCGCGAGCTCAGCGCCAGAAGGGGAGAAAGAAGCGCATTGAATCCTATTACCTAGTCTCCCGTGGCGGCCGGCATTCTCTGTCTTGACATCTGTTTTATTTCCTTCCTTGGGATGTGCGAGGATGGGTACTCCAGATTGCGTCCACGTCGTGATACAGACGAGTTCGTCACCCCGACGCGAAGATCGAAATAAAGTTGCTGATACTCCATTATCTTCCGACTCGTGCAGCGGGACGTAGTATCTACAAGCCGGTAGTTCGTGGAACACCACGAAAGGAAATTTCCATTGGAATACCTGGATTACCCCCTTTGGATTCCGGGTGCTGGCAAGAAGAACAAGTCCGTCTCTTGAGAAAGAAAGCGTGTCTAATGTACAATTTGTACAAACTCTGTGGAACAGGCTATGGAGCCGGTCTTCTCGAGGAGGTTCCGAATTTGTGGTCTTAAAGAACCGGACAATTGAGTTCTCAAATCCAATCACGACGTAATTTTCCATTGGGCAAACTGTTATGCATTTGCACCAGAGCGTTGATGACATGCGGTACTCAACAACTGGGACCGACTCATCAATAAGGTTTATTATCCGTAGCTAGGTTGAAAGTTAGTTTAAAGCCATGGTAACTGGTACGGGCTCGGGAAGTTACCGTTAGTTTATTATCACGAGTGCCAATAACGTACGCTAAGTACATTTTCGTAACTGCTGCAAGAAGGCACGTACTATCTATCGAAAATGCGCGTTTCATGGTTGGCGGAGAGGTTCCAACATCCCACACATGTATCGTGGTATGGGTCCAAAAGAGTGCGAAAGTCGAATTTTGTGAAAGATAAACGTTGATATTTTTTGCAAATCTTCCTTTTACGCTTTTCATCGAGTTGACTAAACCTTTCAAAGGAATTTCATCCAGTTTCTGTGATTCTAGAAAGGATGACGAAAGGGAACTAGTGTCTCCGGATGCTGAGATGGATTCCTTTTTTGTACCAGTGAGTTTTCTCCAGCCCATTTTCCCTTTGTCCGCTGATGTAGGGGATTGCAACGTCCGTGATCGCACGAGGAGGGTAGACTCGGAAGTGGCAGTGATTGCGGTCTTCTCAATTCCAGGTAGGCTTGCTGCCTGGGCCGAGAGATCGTGAGAACCGTTGGAGGCACGCGACTCAACGATGGTTCCTGGCTCCAATACATTGTCTTCCGTTTCGTTAATAGCGGTTAAACTGTCCATGGGTGAAAATTCGGTACGAGGGTTATCAAATCTGTGTCGAATTAGGTGTGTGAATTGGGATGAAGGTGATTGAGGAGTTGCACTGGAGGGGTCGGAGGTCGAAAATATAGTTCGAGTGAAAAGGGATGAGTCGGTTTCTTGTGTTCTCGGGCTCACTGGGGTTGTTACGTTACTATATGATGGGAACGAACCGCCAGCTTCAACTTTAGGAGGTGGTAATTGGAATTGCGTCGGAAGGTGTCTCTCGACGTTGATTGTGTCAGCATTTGATTCGATGTGGGAAAGAAGATTCCAAGTATGCCGCGCAAGTTGGATTTCTCGGGCCATTGTCACAACGTCACCACATTGCCGACAGTTCGTCCCTGGTGGAAGAGAAACTTCTGGTACTTCACTGGAATCAAGCTATGATGGAAATGGAAATTAGCAGTTGAGATAAATTTTATGGACCGTAGATAATAGAAGCACTTTCTACAGAAGCTAAAAACGTACTGGAAGATTAATATTATCCAAATATCTCAGCTGGGAATATCCTGCAAAGTGACACCCTCGACAATTTAGAACATACAACCGGGGGCGGGATGCTCTGAATTGAGCACTAGGATCATCGAGCAATGCTATATTCCGAGTGATTTCGGTTATACTGTGAATCACTTCCCTATCACTCACACGGCTAATTAACTGGCGGCAACCCAGGTGTTGGCAGAAAGCATCCAGTGCGTCAGCTACATTTTCATCAACATCATCAGATTCAGAGGAAGTCTGAGTTGTAACATTGGGCGTATTTGGAAGCACAACTCGAAAGCCGTCGCTGAAGGATGCAATTAAGTCCGCTTTAGAAAGGTGATGCGGTAACTTGACATGGTCTAGAGCAGCTAAGACCGCATTCCGAGTTTCCGAAGACATTGCCTGGAGGTGTGGATTTCTTGTCCCTGTATTCACTGCATATTGGACATTCGTCCCAACCACAAACAGTGTGACATCCCGCAGGGCCATAAACTGACATAACCAGTCATCAGATGATCCGTCCTTTGGTACGATGGTAGAGACCGACTCGGACAGGAGGCAGTGCGCAAGCGGATACTAAATATGTGAAGAAAAGTCAGTCACATGAATACATACACACATATATCTTATTTTTGTGTCTAGCTGCTACATACCATTTCTGCTCCCAAGTTCGGTAGTTTATTTTTCAATCTTGAAGGTAGAGCTAGTGAATCTGGATCGCTGCGGAGAGAGCCTGTTACCTCCTTGCAAACCTGCAAAAGAAATGATTTCGGACCCGGGTAGCTATCATAAACACGTTCAAGCGACCTATGTATTCGCGAAAACCGCTCTCGACGATCTTTGGTCCGCTGGCCTGTTGGTGCTTTTGGATGCAGTGAGAGAAATCGAAGAGATAATAGAAGAAATTCTGCAAGATAATAATCCCTGAGTCGACGAATTTCCCACAAGCTCTCTCGGCCATCCTCAACAATTTGTATGACAAATTCCACACATCGCAAACTTGTCTCCCAACTCACCAAAAACCCAAGGTACGATCCGGTGTGTGTTTTCTCGGTAGGCAACGATAGCCGTTGGATGTAGAAAATGGCATTCAGTTGGGAGAGTAACGTTGTCACGAGGGCTTGATAGGATTCTTTATTACCGTCCGAATATATCTTCTCCAGCGAAAAATGGCCGAGTAGTTCCTTGATGATATCCTCCACATCGCTTCGAAGAGCAAGGGCCTGCCAAACATTTCCCAAACGTATAGATAACGAGGACGTGACTGTGGCCGTAGCCATCGCATCCACGCGATTTTGAATCCTGGGCCTTTCAGGCGCTGGAATGATTTCCAGACAGTTGGATAATCTACTCTGCCGTTTTGGGCACCGCTCGCTCGTTATAAGCCTTGACAGTGGATAATAGACAGTGAGCTGCCAAAAATTTTAGCTCCCATTGGAAGGAACTTGAATGTCATCGATGGTTAGTGATGTTCGCTAACGGGATGGCCCCACCATGTGTCAAGCGGCCACATTAGGTATTCTGGTATTGTGGATGGAGCTAACTTGAAGGCTTGGGCGGGTTCAAGAGAAGCTGGGGAAGATGGAATGATCCAAGCGCTAGTTGCTAGTTAAGGCTTACATAGCGCAAACGGCAAATAAAGGGGCACCTCGGTGTGAATCCAGGACTTCAGATGATCGTAGCACCGACAAGGGTGCTCAAGAAGCATGTGGGGCAATAATAATATTATAGCGCCTTCGGTTGTCTGTCGGGCCTTCGACTCGGGAAGCGCCACAGCAGCCAAATACCTCAACCTCATTTGGCTGTTTTGACCCCGGCGGTTCCAGTTGCCTTGAAGAAGTTCCTCGATATAAATAAGAAGCAAATGCCTTTTGCGGCTCATCGGAGACTAACGTTCAATCGAAATTATACGATGTGGTATCGGGGAATCATGAAAATCGTGGCTGGGAGCCGCCCTAGGTTTCGGTAATGCCAAGGGAGTTGAGCAGCCGCAGGAGCAACGTTAATCAAATGCCTCCGCGCCAGATCATCATTGGCTGTGACCTAGGCATTGTCTCTCGTCGAGTTGGGCTGCTGCATATCTTCATCTATTTAGTGTCCCAATGCTTGCAACGACGCCACCAGCTCACCAATAGGAAAGGGACACTCTCAAATTTTTCCCTGCAGCGCATACTTATGGTACAAGGAAGAGTCGTGTCATCCCTCCCCTTGCAAGAAGACCATCTCAATCTGGACATGGTTCTGGCTCTCAACCATGAAGGGACGCTACTGTGGAGGAGGTTGATGGCAGCTTGCAGAGGGGCGGTGTTTTGAATCGCTGATCGTTGCTCCATTACCCTGCCTAACAAAGGTGAGCTACAGCCAAGATCAAATGTGGGACGAATACGAGCTTGCCCTTCCGCAACACAGGACCTTATATATCCTCAGTTTGTTCGCAGTCGCATATTTTGTTTTTTCTCTTCTTGACCTGATGGTGAACGCAAGAACACCTACCATTATGTCAATATCTTATGAATCAATTTCCATGGACCACGATAAGCCTGAAGCGGTCTCGCCGCATTTCCATGAAATCCTTGGGGATGATGTGGAGTTAACCAGTGACACGGGCACGCGAGTTGGACACCATCTATTCCTCGATGAAGCCAGCCAGGTTAAAGAGGAGCGCAAAACCAGCGGAGAGAGCGTTTGGTGAGGAGCTGGATTCCCATCTGATGTGAGCCTGTTGGATTACGCTTTATTAACGGGTTCTTTTCCATTGCTGTAGGCGGGTGTTGAACGAGAGGCAGATTAATGTGAGTTGGGAACTTGGAATAGTTATTATGTGGAGGAAAAGAGTTTCGCTGACGTTTTTAGATGATTGCCTTTTCTGGGTAAACCCTAACTAACCCCTTTGAATACCCCGAATCACACCATATGGGCATATCAATTAACGACGAGATACGCTTTGGTCAATAGGACAATTGGAAATGGTAGCTCTCCTGTGTACATGCATGACATCGCAACTAAAGACCTAACATCTAACTACTCCAAAAGGGCTTTTTCTCGGGAGCGGCCGATCCCTTGCCTCCGCTGGACCTGGTGGTGCAGTTCTGGGCTATATCCTCATGGGCACTGTTATCTCATCAGTCGTCTCTTGTTTGGGTGAAATGACTGCATTAATGCCAGTCAATGCCCCAATTATGGAGTTTCCTCGGCGCTTCTTAGATCGTGGTGTTGGCTTTGCAGTGGGTTGGATCTACTGGTACTATTCTATCCATCTCGTACACTTCAGGGGGGAGCTAACAGAACAAACCAAGGTTCGCCTATGCTGTCCTTGCGGCTGACCAGCTAGTCGCCGTCGCAAATACTATTCGTTTTAAATATATCGATGACAATGGAACGCATCTGGAATGGGTAACTGGAGGGAGTGTTCATGCTGCGGTGTGGGTGTCTGTCGTTCTAATAACTGTAACGCTGATCAATACGTTACCCGTCAAGGTAAGCAACGATATTAACTATCTGTAAACATGCAAAGAGAACTCTGCTAATAATAAGCCACAGTACTATGGTCAACTCGAATACGTTTTCGGTTGCATAAAACTTTCTTTTCTTGTTTTGGTTATCTTAATGATGGTTATTCTGGACACAATGCAGCGTTAGTTATATAACTTGTGGGCTCTTCAACAAAATACTGACTTTTGGCCGGGAAACTAGCCTTGGACAACAGATACCATAGCACCCCCGTTGGAACTCAATGTAAGTATATCATCATCACTTGACGTGTCTAGCGGATTGAAGCTAACGACCAACCAAAGACTGGGACTCACCATACTCCTTTTTTGCGCCGAGGTATACGGTTAGGGGTCACATGAGTGGTGAAGTTCAGCGAGAGATCAGAGGTTCAGTTGGCGCGTTCCTTGGGATGTGGTACGATTTGAACTACGTATTTTGACTTGTATTTGCTAGCACATGCTAAGTGATTTGATTGTGCCTATAGGACAACCTTCACCAACATAATTTTCTCGTATGTAGGCATGGACATGGCTGCTGCCACCGCGGCAGAAAGTAAAGCTTTGTCCAATGCCGAGAGTATGAAGATGGCGTCGCGCAAGGTCTCAATCCGAGTTGTCACTTTGTACACTCTCTGCATGCTGACGGCTTCATTTCTGGTCCCATATGATCATCCATTCCTTAACGGGGGCGGCCAATCTGAGAGCTCACACTCGATCTTTTTGATCGCTGTAGTCCAAGGAGGACTCCCGGCCGCCGCCCACTTTTTCAATGCAATCTACATGTTTTCTGCGTTCGCCTCTGGGATCAACACGATGTACGTCTCTTCGAGAGTCTTGCATACTTTGGCGCTGCGCGACCAAACGGGACCAGAGTTTATCACCAGAAGGTTACGTCAGTGTCACAACGGTGTGCCATTGAGGGCAGTACTAGTGACTGGTGCATTAATGTGTCTTGGGTATTTAGGGACTGGATCTTCAGGCCAGGTTAGTAACAGCACGATGCCCGATGCTGAGATAGATAAACTTTCGCTGACCACGATTGAATGGCTTGTAGAGACTGAGCGAACTCGCGACGAATTGCACAGTGTCATGTTTGATTGTGTACACTGTCGTCTGTGCTACTTATCTCGGCTTCTTTAAAACGTACGAGCAGTTGCATTATTCATCTATTTGCTCATACGGTCGGACTAATTATATGCAGATTACATGACGTTAAGCTTTATGGGAATACATCCGAAGCTCAAGCTGCCTGTTACGATCGTAACCACCCTCAGTATCCCTATAAATCCCATGGGCAATGGCTAAAAGCTTGTTACGGCTTGGTTGCTTGTACACTTTTGGTTATATTTAACGGAGTGCCCTCTTTCCTCCAAGACCCGTTCGATATACGCGGGTTTTTTGCGTCATACATTGGAGTAAGCCCGCCCGAGTTGACTTTTACAACTATCGCAGGAGGTTTTTAGATGTGTAAAAACTAATTTTGATCCTAGGTTCCTGTATTTTTCTTGCTTATTGTAGGCTACAAATTATCTAAGCATGGACTCAACTTTTCGCAATGGGGCCCTGAAAGGTCCAACGATCTTCGCAATTGTGTTCAAGTGACGAGCGAGAAGAGGAAAGGAAAATTACAATTCCCAGACGAAGGGCTTACCAAAGGTAATATCCAGGAGTTCATCCAATGGATCTGGGTATGGACAAAGTAAAAAGCACAGTTTTTCTACTACAATCTCGACTGAATCATTACTCAATAAACAGCGAGTTCATTGAAATTTTACGGCTCGGCGCATGGGTGGATATACCAAACTTTGATTTTTTTCGCTTGCAATATCTAGGGAATGCATGTATATAATTTTTGTTTATTAACCACCTCGGAGATTTAACTATCATTGTTTATATGTGACCTGTTACTTGTATTTAATTCCGACTTGGTTGCTTTTGTTAAGCTAACCATGGTTTAGGATTCTAATCTTAACGGTTTTAACAATGGAGCCAAGTGTTTAGGCGTTGGAACAAGCCTTCCAGTTTCCCATGATCCCATAACTTTAGTCTACTTGTGGAGAACTGCTCCATCTCTACGGCAGTCTTCTGCTCGCTAGCCTAGGTAGCGACCGTCAACGATTCCTCCCAAATTCCAAGGCGCTTGACTTGAGCCGCAAACGGTGCATAGAGTGGATCTCTCGTATTTGCCAAAAAGAAAACATGGGACCACGCAGTTCTGCAGAAGAAGGGAAAAGAACTTCGTGGAGAGTGCTGGAAGTGGACGATTGCTCGACTTCAAGCGTCAATATCCCACCCAAGTCAAAATCGCTACCTGAGCCCGCCAACTGCGGCAGGGTCCTTGAATTTCTCAGAAAACGGGACAGGGGTCACTGATTAGTCCATCCGCTGCCACGGCTCAGTTGACAATTCTAACGGTCTAGGCCAGTTCGAGGATGAATCGTTTCGGCTCCCGTCCTTATTGATGAACACAAGGAGACCGGGAGGATCTCGCCATGTGAATATATGGTTGCAGTGAGACCAGCATGAACTTTCCATTGGATACGAACCAATTTGATAAAATATCGGAGGTTGGTTGGACGAAATATTCTGTTCTTGACTGTTGCCCATCTTTGTCTGCTTCCATTTTAGGGCTAAAGGAGATGTAGGTTTCATGTTACAGTTTCTCACGCATAGCGGCTTTTCTCGACTAACTTTCTCATAGTCAGGATAGTGGCGGTGAGCTCCGGGTCTAATGGATGTAGTAATCCCTGGACGATTTGGCCAGCAGTTGTTTCCCAGGTCGATTTTTCAACAGCGGGCACGCATGGATAAATGTGATGGCCTTCTGTTGGAGGAAGGCTAGGTATGAGCTAACATACAAAAGGCAATTGGGCAATCACCAAGCCCTTCACAGCCATGATTTTTCCAGGGTTGACAAAACCTGATCCCAGCTTCCCTACTCCACTTTCCTGAACCCCGTCATTTCGTTCAGCTGAGGCTTACAGAGTATGTCCCACAAGACATATGGGCTTTTTCATCGGGGGCCGCTTCGCCTGTTTTTCTCCTTCAACTACCAAGGAAGGGCTGATGTGGAATAGCTACGAGTTTGCGTCTTTACCTGTGATGCGTTTCCGCCATCTCTTGGAGAATGACGTTGCGGAGCATGGGCAGCATAAACAACCAATCGAATCGACTCAAACAGCCGTTTGACACCAGTGCAACCAATGGCCAGCCGCTTTGCGTGGTCAAGGATGCTAGGTTTGGGCCGAACGAAAGGGGGAAGGGAAACCAAAAGCCAAAAAAACTCAAAAGATAAAAATAAGTTACCAACGAATGCATCAAGGCTGATCAGCATTGTCGAGCCCCGCAGTCTGACTGGAGGAGTGTCGAAGGGCGTGAGACATGATCGTCAGTTTGATATGCAGGCGGCACAATGAATGCAGAAGATCGTTCTCAGCATTCATCCGACCAGCCTTTTTTGCGGATTACAAGTGCGTCCTTCTGATTTCAACGGAATCACAACGGATGGGAGGAAGATTAGGTTGTGAGCCGTGTTCACAGATGTAAAGAATTCGTGATATGTGCAAGCCAAGGCATTAAAGAGATTTGGGAAGTTGATTTACTGGAAATGAGGAAATCCTTGAAAAATCGGCCAACCTCGAGCTCTATATGCGGGTCCCAGAAATCCTGGCAAGGAGGGCGAATTGATCTCACCCATAAAGCATGCGACTGGACTGGTCATTTTTCTTTGTGACTTGCTATTTGGACTGGATCATAAGTTGAAATTCAAAGCATGCAGGAGAGATCAATACCATTAGCAACGAAGGATAGGTTGGTTGTGGTTTGATGCAGCTGGGGAGTGCCCATCCGATACACTTCTTTATCCTCGAGCGTTCTGGCTCATCAAGCGGTCTATTTTCAACTTCTTTTTGCTCCTGTCGGATGCTGATATTCTTCATTAACTAAACGGTCCGTTTCTCGCAAACGATCAACCCATGTAAAATATCCGTTCCCTGGAAGAGGACTGATTCCACCTCCCTCATTCCGATTTAGGAACTCGTTAGTGAGGAGAGGAAGATCATATTAGGATTTCGTTAGTTTATCTTGATACTGCGACTATTCAAAAGCGATGACTGACCACCAACACAAAATCACAAAAGACAATAATACTTGACAAGCCATTCATGTGCCGATAAAGAGGGCAAAATAAAGGGACGAGCCTGGCGAAATAAAACAACATGCAATAGATGTGAGAGTTGGTCAGTTGCGACCAAGGGAACTACAAATTACAAAGTGAAGTGATGGAGCTGTTAGAACATTCAGTTATAACTGACTACTAGGAACAGAACGAGGTTTCTAAGGAGAGATAATCAAAAACGCACGCTAGATAAAAAAGCTGTGTGTGAACTATCCAAAATGGATGGACTGGATATATGTAGGTATAACCATATTGTATTATTTTTTTTAAAAAAAAATCGACACCTGCTATCTCCTCCCAGCCGCCCCTCTTTTTCTTCTATATCCCTTCTCTTTCCCCCAAGCTTCTGCCTCCACCAATTTTCCTTCTTTTGTTTCGTGCCGTGGGAATAGGAGCTCCTTCGCCAATTACAGATATATATCCAAATACAAGTAAGTCAGGTAGAAGCACAAGTGCCTCGTGTAGAGGCATGATTAAGCGGGAGATCGGTAGAAGGGGCAAGGGGGATAAGGGACATTTGGAAGCGGGATTTGAAGAGTAGCTGATAGGGCGCGAGCGCTATATAGATGTGCGTAGTACGTGTGAGTGGGTGCTATGTAAGCTGCTGAGATATGGTTGGTTTTTAAAATAGAATTAAAGCAAACCGGGATTCCTTTTATTTTATGTGTGGATGTAGCAAACATAAATTACTGAGAAGTAAAAAGAATAAAAAGAGAAGGGGGAAAAGGGGAGAGAAAGGAGGACACAAGAGAGAAGAGGAATCTAGAAGATAGCTGATGAGATAGAACAGGGGGAGGTGAAGGAATGGAGAAAAAGGGCAAGAAAAAAGCGACCATCGTCATTATCACCATCAAGCATCATCTTCTCATATTCCGTTTTCCGTCCCCTCGCCACCCACTACTCCTCCTAAAATAATAAACAGAGATAAATAAAAAAGGGATAAAGTGAAAGAAAAGTTTTCATATTATTCTAAACGAACGAAAAGAAGCGAAAAAGAACAGGACAAAAAAAAAAAAGGCAGCGCATACAACACAGACATAAAACGAAAAACGAACAACAGAGAGAAGATCAAAAAAAAAAAAAAAAGGAGAGGGAGGGGGGGAAAAATATCCTAAAAATCACGAAGCCTCCTCAACTTCTGGCATTGGCTCATCCCCGGCCCCAGGAGACGCGGAGTCCGCATCCTTCATCTCCGTATCAGCTGCTGCAGGCGCTGCGTTCTTCTTGGCCGCCTCCTGTTCCGCGCGTTTCTTCGCAGCCGCCTCTTCTTGCGCCTTCTGGGCAGCCATGCGCTCAGCTTCGACTTTGTCCGCGTGGCGCTGAATAATGGGGCCCGCGACGAAGCGGATCTCATCCATTTTGGCGATGTAAACGGCTTTGGTGGTGTCTTCGCCGTCCTCGTAGAGCCAGTCCTGGAAGGTGGAGGAGAAGTTAGCATGTTATTGCTTTGTTCGGTTATATTTTGTATATTTTGATGTTGATTGGCAGGACCGTTAAAGAAGCCAGGGGATGGGGGAGAAAGAAATAAGAAAGCCAAACATACCTCTGTCTCATCAAGTTTTGCCTTAAGTTTCGCCTTCTCGTCCTCGTTGGCGAATTCAGAATAGACACCATCAATCTTATCCCGCAGCTCATAGATATACGACTCAAGCTCGTTTTTCTTATCCTCCGTATCCGCAACAAGCTTGTCTTCCATGAACATGGCATTCTCTTTCTCGCTTAGACGCCCCTTGGCGGCCGCGTCGAGGCCTGCAGTGCCGGACGAGATGGGGAGGTCACCCTTGCGCACCTGTTTTTTGACCTTGCGCATCTTGGGCTTAGCCTCTGCGGCCTCGCCGTTGGGCGCATCCGTATCCATGGCCTGTTTCCAGAGTTTTCTCATGTTAGAAAACACGTTTTTCTTTACGTCGGTAGTAGATTTTTGCCCATGCCATTTCGTTAAAAAACATCTTGACACGGGATAATTGGTTTTTTAGGGAGGGGGGGAGGGGCTAGTAGAGGGGGTTTGTAAAAAAGACTTACTTCGCCTTCTTTCTCTGGAATTGGTTCTTCGACTTCCACGTCTTCCACGTAATATCCAGATTCGATATTGAGGATACCATGCAGGTTGAGCCTAGCTCGCAATTTGCAGGTAGCAAAATCGCCGTCGGGGTTTGGTGTCACACCTTTGACGGAGAAACGGCCGATCCACGGGTTTGCCTTGCCAGGCAATCCCTCCGGCTTTGCATATCGCGCCTCGATATCGAACGGTTGCTTGCGATAGAAAGTGAGAATCTTGGTCGATGGCATAACGTTGCCTTTGTTGAAAACGGTCAAAGAGGTGGCCTCATCGGGGATTTCGGGGGCCTGCTCCCACGTGAACTCGATGGGATAGTTCACGATGTCGTGGACGGAGAAGTCGCGAACGCGGAATACGGGAGAGAGAGTAGCACAGCTGAAGGCACAGCCGCGGGCAACAGCTTCGTCCTGGTTGAGCGTGAAGGAGAGCGGTTTGCCAAAGAACTCGCTGATCTTCTCTTTGATGATGGGGATACGGGTGCAGCCGCCTACCATTTCGATGGAATCGATATCTTCTGGTTTTAGCTTCGCCTCGGCAAGGGCCTGCTCGAGAGGTACGGTGACACGATCCAAAAGGGGCTGGATCATTGCTTCGAGTTCTTCGCGCTTGACGAAGCTGCGGACATCGACGTCGTCCATCAAGGACTCAATGCTCATGGGTGCGGAGGCATTTGCGGAGAGGATCTTCTTTAGCTTCTCCGCAGCAGCTAGAGTCCGGGTCCACGCCTTCAGGTTAGTCCTGATATCAATCTTGAACTTTTCTTTAAATTCCTTGGCGAAATGGTCGACCAAAGCTTTATCGAAGTTACGGCCTCCAAAATGGCGGTCATATGTCGTGGCCTTGACGTTTAGTTCTCCCTTGCGGAACTCAACAATGGAGCAAGTGTAGTCGCTATGTCCGATATCAACAAAGGCAACCCGCCTGGGCTTCTCCTCAGCAGAAGGTAGGTCGAATTTCGTGATACCCCAACCGAGAGCAATAGCAGTGGAGTCATTGATGAGGCGCAGACATGTCAAACCGGCAATTTCGCTAGCATCTAGTAGACTCCGGCGCTGGGCATCCGTGAACCACGGAGGTACGCTTAACACAACGTCTGCGACGGGGAGCTTCAGTTCAGAAGCGACGGTTGTTTTAATTTTGGTCAGAAACATAGCCACTAGCTGGGTAGCAGTAAACTGTTCTTTCTTGCCCAGATAGGACACCTCAGCGCCAGCTTCACCATTGATATCGATTAAGGTGGCAGTATTATAGTCCTGCTCGACCTGGACATCGGGGTCCTTGAAAGAACGGCCAGCCAGACGTCTCAGGGTGCCGACGGTGTTCTTCAGGTTGGAGATCTCTTGTGTCTTAGCGGCCTCACCGATGTATCTACTCTTGGGGCCGAACCCAACTAGGGATCTGTATAGACGGGGATAACATGTAAGCGCATATCCTTCTATTTTAACATGTGGGTGCGTATGTTGGAGGGGGAGGATATCTATCTGATATCTCAGGTAGGGGTTCGAAGAATGATAGGGAGTTTCGAAGTGGAACTTACGGTGTAGACCGATTAGAGACTTCATTCGTGATCTAATGGTACATTCCCAGAATGAGGACACTTGGTCAGTGAGAATGAACCCAGAGTATAAAATCAAAAGTATCAGATGGATTGGGAGTGGGAGACGGGAGTTGGAGGCGGAAGGGGAAAGTAAAGCAGTAGAAACGGAGAAAGAAACAAAATATATATACGCACAATATCGATCCCCTTATTCCTAGCAACGCCGATCTTCGTCGATTGAGAACCGAAATCTATGCCAACGACACTCATGATGACAATATATGCTGCTCGCTTTATATGGTGCAGAAATGATGTGAGGTAAAGGGAAGGACTTTTTCTCTAAAAAAAAAAGTGTTCAAAAGAAATTCGTGGCGGAAGAGGACCTAGGAATTAGGAAATATCGAAAGTCGAAACTCGTTGTTTTTGCTCCTAAATCCACACTTCCTGCTTCTATCTGCGTTGTAGAGAGCGGAACAAAGAGGAGCGGACAAGGCTTTGATTGATATAATATTTTGATTTCCTCAAAAAAGAAAGAAAAACCCCTTGGCGATTTGTTCCTTGTGGGAGGGACCGTAGCGAGAAGGGAAGGACGGGTGGAAGCGTTGATTTCTCTTGAAAACAAGGAGGGGCAGGGCTTCTGTTGTTGTCTTTTGGGCCTTTTCTCCTATTTTCTCCCCTTCTTTAGGTTTTAGTTCAATGGAGATTTTCAAGCGGCTTCTCGGCGTTTTATTTTATTTTATTTTTCTTCCTTTTCTTCTTGTTTATTTTAGGGGGGAAAGTATTCTGGATTTCCCGTTCCGTGCGGAAAGAGCTGGAATATTCGGGCACGTCTGCGAAGTGGAGATCGGTATTAGTGAGACTCCTAGCTGAAGAAAGGGAAGACGGGACCGCTGTACCTCTTCTTTGCAGAGAAATCTGACCAGCAACGATTGACCGATTGCTTGATTGTTGTAGGCAGATAGGATAGTTGGGTTGTGGTTGTATTTTTTTTTTTTTTTTAGAGGCGGATCAAGTGGGATGATGAAGCTAGATAAGGTTGTTCTGGCAGCCTGAGGTAGCGCTACCTGTGTCACCACAAAGCTTGACTGCACGCCCAGCTATCGATATCTACTTATATACGGAAACAACACATTTAGAATAAGAAATAAATCAAAAAAATTTCAATAAACTCAATGCTACTGCAATCGCCCTTAAATCGCCTGTGTCATTTTTCCTCCGCGATTGAAAATTGTGCATATAGGTAGAGCAAACCACTGCCCCTCCTGGCGGAGGCCCGATGTACCGGTACCTGGGCTGCTGTTGGAGTTTTGTCGTCACATTCCGCTTGGCATCACGTGGGCGAACCTTCCAGCACCATCCAGCGCTTCTGGCAGCTTCGATCCTTTTTTTCTCCTTTCCAACTCAAATCAATTGCCCAACAGACGCGCCATCACGCCCAGCGTGGCCGACAGTCGGGCAACAGTCGGGCAAAAAGCGGACTCGCATACCTACCATATCGCCAAATCCCATTTGTGATGAGGTGGAAGAAGTGGATTTAATCAGCATGGATTACAACCAACCCAATTGGAGGAAATGGATATGTTGAAGAGTTGAAAATAGCCACTGTCCAATGAATCTATAACCAATGATCTAGGTAGAACTATCGCTCCAATACGCCCTGCTTACAGCACTACCAGTTATTACAAGCAAAAACAAGTGAATGGTGGAGTCAGGGACAAAAAATAGAAAGGAAAGACAAAGCAGAGCAATCAAATGAAACAACCAATGCAACCTCCCAATATGAACCTGCCTCATGAATCTCAAACTATATCCCCCGGATCCCGCGACCTTTTCACTAGCCGCGATCGTTTCCGCTTCTTCTTCGTTCCAGAAGCCTCAGCGTGTTCTGTCCCTTCATCCTGCTTCTCATCTTGATGATGGTTTTTTTCAGATGAAGGTGAAGTTGAAGGCGATGCATCCGCTACACCGTCCTCAGCGGCTCGGACTGGACTGTTCCTCCCCAGCGGACTCCGCCCCGCCCGCATCCGCGTCGGCTCAAATATCCCCGTATCCGGCGGGATCAGACTCCCACTCCCTCCATTGTTCATCCCATCATAGGTGAGTACGCCTACTGCGGAGTTAGATAGCTTTCCAGACCGTGTAGAGGAGCACGCAGGGCTCTTCCCCCTGGAAATAGATCGCCCTCGGCTCTCAGATCTGGAGTCCCCGCCCAACATCGAGTCGCGGCCATCTTCGAGATCCCCTATCTCTACACCAACGCTAGAGCATACCCTTGACTGGCGTGCAAGCTGCACTTTCCTCTGGTCCTCTTCTCCCATAATACTCTCCACTGTGCGTGGTAGGTGGATCATGGAATTAGATCCGTTTGTCCAGTCTGAGTCAAAGGATGCTCGAGGGTGTAACGGTAGAGGAGCGACAGCTGGGTTCCGCTGCGGGAAGTCTGGAAAGGTCATCGTAGACGTGTTGTCATTCTCGGTGTAATAGTATCCGTTTGGTTGTAGATCCGGTGCTGCGAACCGACCTTCTACCACTTCCGCTGGATGGATGGGAACGGACGACTTTCCTTCGGCCAGCACCCGGAAAGTATCCACATTAATATTAAGTTCGTCACCTGTTTCTTTCGCCTTGACGACAGCTTGTTCCGGTGTAGTGTTTTCATCCGCTGCAGCTGCGTCAGCCCTGGGCCCGCCCCATGTCCGCTGACCAGCTGTAAAAATCCCATAGACCATATAGAGCCAGTTAAAGAATGGATTCAGAATGAACATTAAAGGGTAAAGCCACGCCTTGTAGCGTCGAAGCTTTGCGCCAAAATAGAGCATGAGAAGGTAATTTAAACCCAGCGACACTGCAATAAACCCCACAGGCAAGTTTTCTACTTTGTTAGATGTAGTCATAACCGATATGACCATGATGAAAAATAGTAACGCGGTAGTACGGATGGTATTTTGCATAAAGCGTACAAGACATAACATGGGATATCGATACCACAAACGAATATCGGTAAGCATGCACACCTCATTCGTGATAAATCCGAGGAACCATCGTCTTCGCTGCTTTAGCAGACTTCGGAAGGTTTGGACAGCCTCCGTTTTACAAAACGCGCTGGTACACATCTGAATTTGGTATCGCTCCTTTGCACCAATCATGAAAAGATGAGTGAGCCAACGGTCTTCACCAAGATGGCATTTGCCGAAGTCAAACAGGTCCTCGCACTGCTCTGCCTTGTCTGCGAAATAGTACTTAGCCATCTTGCGGAAAGCTGAAAATCGAAGGATCGTAAGCGCTCCTGGGAGGCAGGTGACCGATCCGCATCCAGATTCGACAGACCGCTCGAATAGCTGTCCATGTATATACTCCATATCCTGAAGTAGGGTAATCAAGGTGTTCTTCTCAGTGGTTGAAGTAATGACGCCAGTCATGGCCAGCATATTGCGTTTGCTTCCGGGTTTCAATTCCATGTCGTACATAAAATTTTGGAGACAAACCCGATCAAGAATGCAATCCGAATCAATAAATAACACGAATAGGTTGTCATTTCTCTGGAGGTATTTTTCGTAAATCTTGTCGATCAGTTTGAACGTCTGTTTTTGGCAATGCCTTTTCCCACCATGCTTGAACCGCGATATTGTGATCCTAGCACCTTTGTATGAGACATCAATGCTTTCCGGATAACTTTTGAGGGTAATTGGCACCCCGAGATGGGCAGCAACTGTCAGGTACGACTCATCGACTTGACCTCCGTCGTAGGATAGGAAAACATGGATGCATGATGGTGGATAGTCGCAGTCAACTACGGAGTTGACGGCTTTTATTAATACGTCAGGTGCTTCTTTGTACACAGGCATCACAATGACAGTCTTAGGAGCAGTACGCTCATCAAGAACCTCCTTGATTCGCTTTGTCCGTCCGACCGAGTTTGTAACTAATCTGTAGATGCAGAACAGCCATGGGATGATGAGGAGAATGGCGAAAGTCCAGAATGCAAACCATTGCAAAAAGGACACGACATGGATCGGAAAATGCCTTGTGATATTTGGCGGGAGGGGGAGGGTAACCACCATGACGGGAAGAAATGCGCCTCTATGAAGAGCTACGATCAGCAGGAAGGTGGACAACTGGGAAGTGAGAATGCATTCGGGAATACGTACCGAAATGCCGTGAACATCACCATCATGATCACCGCAAGAACTTTGATGCTCCAATGATCTGCCTTCACAAACACTTTTCCTAGACAATATAAAAAAGCAGCTAGCCATAGCAACCACTCAAGGAAAGCTGCAAAGATGACGGGCCCCAATATGGAAACATAGACGATCTTCAATATAGAATATTAAGTGTTAGCAACAAGGATATTTTCACCGCGGCGGGTTAAAACAAAAAAAGGACTTACATCCTTTATTGCCCATGGAGGTATGTCCTCATCGTCGTGGCCCGCCATATTTGAGCAGGTACTTGAAACTTCCAATATCGAGGCAGCGTCAAAGAGAGAAGAGGAGGTATATCGTTGATAGACTCAAATAGGAGATGAATTCAGGATCGCACCGAAAACGAAAACGAACATACGCTACTGATCGGTCAAGTTGATCAAGCTAATGCAGATTGCCACTCAGTACCCCGGTCATTTCAGACATTGGCGTGGGAGAGAGATATGTACTCTGTAGCCGCAGTGGAGATGCTGCCGTTGCCTGCAGGAAGCCGGAATCTGCCCAGCCTAACACCATAGATATAGTGTTGAAGAGGTCAACAAATGGATAGCCTATGATATATTTCATGTATGATTTAAGCTATAAGGCCGCAACAGGACATGATTTGTGTCCCTCTTGCAAATGGTTGGCCAAGTTGCTGCTCCTGGGCCAGTTAGAATGTGAATGGCGAGCGAGTGACAACAAAGAGATCAGCAGCAGGGAATGGGATATAAGACTGCGTTTTATCCAGTTACAACAACACACACCAACATATACACACACCATCTCACACGGGGTCTGCCGAAGCATACCACACAAAGAACATGATGTCAATAAATATAGCAATGTCTTGGTGGTTGATGTTGATGCCGGAAGTCTGCGGCAAACAGAACGAAAGAACTGAGCTTGGCGGGTTGGAACAGAGAAAACAGCAGGAGCAGCCAGCCAGAACGCGACATTCCGACGCGGCGTTTCGAGCACTGCTGCAGCCGGTCAGTGGAATCATCCTCGCGGCTCCAGGGAAGAATCCGCCGTACAGCAGCACGCCGCCGGGATTGCTGCCGAAAGAAAACGGCGATATAGAACCAGCATGGGCTACTAGTTTTAGGCTCAGGAAAGTAACCAAGTGGTTAGGGGAGGGATTTGTTTGCGGGATTATAGTCAAAGAGAATAAGCATGGCCACCAACATATAGTTCGAGGCCTCCGCCACCAAAGAAACCTTGGAGTAATGGACCGTCATTGTCATTGTGATCGTCTCCATACCATTGAAAATAAACACCACAAACAATTAGCTGCTTGGATGTCGAACAGAAGCTCGGACCGGAACAACAACGTCCCGTTGGCCCTTGCTAGCTGCTATAAACTTCGGACCAGCAGAAAAAAGGACTCTCCGTCCACCTACTATCTCCTTTGACAACGCAGTTATCTAATGTTTGTACGGTCTCTTTCGGCGGAGTATAGCCTTCCTCACATATATATTTAGTTCCAGATTAATTGATCAGGAACACGATCTGTCTTCATATCTTGTGCAGTTACTCCTCCCCCGCCATTCCTCCTGTGCGGTCGAATTTTCCCCGCCCTTGTACCTATAGATTCGTCTGTTCCTCTCGGTCAATTGGAAACAAAGAAATTCTCTAACGTCGCACATTTTAGCCCTTGCAATATCAGATGATTTAAGTCTGCTACTAGAACTCCCGTCTACTTTGCTGTCTGAGAAAGCAGAGCAAGCAGCCTCTCCTCGGCACCAGCAGGGTTGGGACAGTTTGCCTCCATTTGTCCATTGTTGTCTCTCTCCTTTGAATCCTGCGTTTTGTTTTGTTAATAGATTGAGTCGTCACACAAAATGGCTGAGGAACGGAATCAAGTCGCCATTCCCCCGGAAGCAAATCCCAACGTACAGGCTGAGGACGATTTGAAGCAGGTGGCAGAGCTCAAGGCCCAAGCACCAATGAAAGAGGAGGGGCAACCTGTTACTCAAGAGCCCGGTGGGGAGAAATATGCAAACCCGGATACTAATGGCAAGCTTTCAGAAGGACAAGAAGGTGGTGTGGCGGATGAAGATATGGAAGCCAAGGAGGAAGCTAGAATTATTGCGGCTGCCGCAAAGCTGGGTCAAGATGCTGAATCAAAGAGTGAATCAAAGAGTGACTCTAAGGATGGTGAGCTAAAGGACACAAACAGTGACCAAAGGCAATCGTCACGAGGTGGCCGTGGTGCCAATCGCCCGCGCGTAAACTATCGTGACAACATCAAATCAGATGTCTCGACGCTGAAAGAGACGAGCGACCCAGACGAGATCCGTAAACAGGTCCGCTTCCCCCACATGCCTGGTGTGATCGTGTTTTTCAAAAAGTACATATCCCATATGTTTCTAACTTCTGGACTTCCTCACAGGTCGAATTCTACTTCTCTGATTCGAATCTTCTCATGGACAAATTCCTCCTCTCCAAAGTGGGCGGCAGCGAAAATCGCCCCGTCGAACTGTCCCTCCTGCACTCATTCAAGCGTATGAGTCGTTTCCAGCCATTCAGCGCCGTTGTCGATGCGCTCAAGGACTCAAAAACTCTCGAGTTGACCGACGACGATACCTGCGTCAGACGAAAGGTGGCCCTGCCGGAAACCGTCAAGGAATCGCTGGATCCTACTGTGGTCAAGGTTTTCGAAGATAAAGCGATGCACCGTAGCATCTACGCGAAGGGATTTGGTCCCGAGGAACCGAGCACGCAATTCGACATTGAGGCCTTTTTCACACCATACGGCCCCACCAATGCAATTCGCCTGAGACGTACAGCCGAGAAGATTTTCAAGGGAAGCGTATTTGTTGAATTTGACAGCGAGGAGACGCAAAAGGCTTTTCTGGCCCTCGAACCCAAGCCAAAGTGGAAGGGTACCACGGAACTCCTGATCAAGAGCAAGAAGGATTATTGCGACGGGAAGATTAAGGATATTGAAGCTGGTCGACTGCGGCCCAATACCGGCCGGGGCAGAGGTGCTCATAGAGGGCGAGGCCGTGGGGCCTCGAACCACCACGATCGTCGTGGGGATGATAATAAGAAGAATTTTAGGGGTAGTCGAGGTGGACGTGGCCAGAGAGGAGGTAGAGGTGGTCGTCAAGAGGCTCAAAAGGATTCTCGGTATGTATACATTATATTGACACACATCTCTCCCATTCTCAGCTCCCATATTCAGGAATCCTATACTCCATGGTTGGTCGGCCATAGCTAACCCTTCTCTCTCCCCTTCTTCCCTTTCTGTTCTCGTAGTGGTGTCCCCGTCATCCAGGTGCCAGCAGTGACGGATAACCCGGCAGCTAAGGCAGGCCAGAAGCGTTCGCGGGAAGACGACGGCGATTCTGCTGCTGCTACCACTGCCAATGGCAACGGCCATTCATCTGCTTCCAATGGAACCAGCGCTGCCAGCGCTGATGTCGGAGCTCCCCCAGCCAAAAAGGTCGATGTTAAAGAGTCATGATAATTGTATCTTACCATATATTCTTCTTCGTCTTTGCCTTTCCAGCTGAGCCCATTGAACGGGTTAAAGGAAATTTCCAATGGCAATGGTTTGTTCATAGTATTCAAGGGAGGGAATTTCATTAGGTATCGAAATTTATTACCAAACATGAATTTTGAGTTTAAAAGCAAAACAAAGACAAAAAGCCCCCCCTTCAAGGGAGGGGGTTGGGTGTGATTGATATACTGTGTATCGGCTATCTCATTTACCCATTGGTTTTCATGTCCACGTTCAATCCTTTTTATATCATTCGTCCTGTTTTTACTCATTCATTTCTTCTTTCTATTGATTCTCTCGCCGAGTCGGATCTTTGTTGCATTTGGTCGCTTATTTTTCTCATCTTGTTTCTTATATTCCCTGGTGAGCACCTGGATTTTGCTCTTTTCCATACGCTACTTCTATGGGCGTTGTCAGTCATGTACTGTGAGCTGTATTTGGGTTATTTTATCTTATTTATTTTATTACATGTTAGCTTTCAGTATAAGAAGTAGATGTTGCTACAAATATAATGAAACCTCTTTCTGATGATATACGGTGGATTTTATTGGGGGGAGAATATGAACAGCATGTGGGACATAGGATAACAATAATAGCAATCCTGCTGATCGGCATTCTGATACCAAGCTTGATGCACTCACTGGGTCATATCCCAATGCATAAATCATCACTCTGACCAACCCCCTCATTTCATAGCGGCTCGTTTACGGTGGTATATAAATCATACATCGTGATCTATTCCGAATCTCTTCCTGCCATAACATCTTGGGGCAAAGATAAATTCGAATTTCAAGGAGAAGGCAAGAAAATAGGAGGATTTGAAAAAGAAGAAGTTTATCGTCAAAGTGAACGAAAATACCAATCCCCCTACGCTCATACGTGAAAGATTTGAGAAAACACAGCCCATGCTGCTTATAAACGCGCCTTGGAGTGGGGTTTTGGAGGAGGAGTGATTCTCCGATCAAGCCTTCGCTTCAGGCGATCAGCATTTACCTTGTAAGTGCGCGGGAACCAGCTGTACAGGTCGTTTTCGTTGTCACCAAATAACATGCTTGTGACGGCCTGTGCGCAAAGGAAGCAGGAAACCATTCCTAGAGTTTTGAAATGAATATCAGCCAAGTCGAACAAGATATATATATATATATATATATTGGAAGAGAAGTATTCGAAGATCAGGATGTGGATGTTGATTTACCATGGCCTTGAAATGATGCCGAGATGAACAACCCAGGCTCCCCTGGCATCTCCCCAACCAGCGGGTACCCATCAGCACTATATCCCATAATCCCAGTCCATTCATGTCGGACGCGGCCGGCAGGGTCATCATGTCCCCAATTCTTGCCGAAGAACTCCACTGTCGACGCAGCAAGATACTCACTAATGGCCGGATCCAAGACTGAGTCGTCCGTAGTTCCATAATTGGACAGGCCGCCATTCTTACTCTCGCCGAACCCTCCGCCGATGACGATATCGCGCGGATACTTTGACGTGTCAGGACATTGGATCATGTAGTCGAAGCCGCTGCCATAGTTGAAGGAATAAGTGGTGGAGAGGCCGGATGTTGGTATTGCTGATCCGGGCCTATGTGCTGTTACCTGTCCGCGAACGGGGACTATGACACCCTGAAGCTTCGGGTAGATGGCTGCTGAGTAGCCGTTGGTCGCCATGATGACTTGCGCAGCTTGAATGTTGCCGCGCGGAGTCACGACGGTCCAGCCCTTGCTGTTTCCATAGTTGAAACTACTGCTCGCGCTGCTTTCCTGCTTATGCAGACTGGTAACGGGCGTATTTGTCTGTAGGTTCAGGCCTTGGTTTAGACATAGCTTAAGAAGCCCTATGACAAACTTATATGAACTGAGACTGCCTGCTTCGTACGTTACGGCTCCAGCAGCGCCAGGGACTAAGAATTTCTCTTCTGTTTCCTTTTTGTTCCAGAACGTGTATTTGCTAGCGGGGTGGTTTGGCATGACATTTTGCATGAATTTGACTGCCGCAGCGGCTTGCTCCAGTGATTCTTGATTGTATATCACGTCTGTTGTGTCAATATGTTCGCTCTCGCAGGCGATGTTATGTTTACGCGCAAAGGCGTGGACCTGCCTAACGGTGTTGAGTTCGAGTTTCGCGATTTTGATTGCTTCGTCGAGGCCCAGTTTTTCCACATTCGTAGGGAAGGTCGTATAAGAAGCTCCCTTGGTATGGCCGCCTAATATCCAATTCCGCCGTATGTATTGAATTAGCTGGATTGTTCATGGGAAGTAGATTCTTCTCTGGGGACGCTATGTGCAAGTCACCTTGGAAGTGACGCATTTTTGACCAGGGGGAAAGATGAATGGATGATGCTGTCTCTCAAATGTAATTTCATATATAGCTTGAACGACAAAGGAATGAGTACCGTTTCTTCCTGTTGCTCCACTAACGGCGTTCCTCGCCTCTAGCATAACAATATTTGTCCCCGGAGCTCGACATAGTACATTATATGCAATGGCCGCACCAGATATCCCCGATCCGACTATTGCAATATCAACCTCTTCAGGAAGCTGTGTGGTTGAGCAAATATCCCCGATCTCATCTGGTGGGTTCTGCCAATATGAAACGGTAGGATTCGGGTGAGGAAGTGATACAGGTATAGAGATCCGTTCATCCATTTTGCCTTGGTTCTCGGTAAGTAAGAGAGCAAAGGATGAAGAAGAGAAATACCAGTCTCTCGCGTTGGGGTTTCCCTCGGTTATATTTTAAACGGAAGAGGATGTGGGGTATAGAAAACCGGGGTCTAGTTTCCAACGATAAGTCCCGGATGTTGGAAATATATAAAAAGACTTTATATCGACCCCGTAGTAAGCGGGTCTCCCATTCTGCTCTAAGAAAGAGTGCCAATGAAACAAAGGATGGCAGGAGAATCGGGGACTAGCGGAAACCATCAGCTTGGTGGCCTCCCACGATTCCCATGACAGTGGCACCATATCCTAATGCGATCGCCATATCATCCGTCGCCCCATAGTACCACCACAATGTTGAGTTATCTTTTGCCTCAAGGGAATTCCCCGTGGCTACCTTGTCTGCATGTGCCGCCGATCAACTGACCGGTTTCAACCAAAACCTTGCTTGTAATACATAGAAGCTAATTTGTTCCACATATCTGATTGGAAAAGGTTGATTCTGTAAGAGTCAGACGATTCTCTTGGGTCAGAAGCCACGGTGGATGGAGCCATGACGTCCAGCGGATGGTAAGTTTGTCTGAGGCTCTGGATGCCGCACGGCTACAGGTGAACCTATCGCCCGTGACCCGTTTACCGGAAGGGGCGATCAGCCAATCAGCGATATGCCTAAGGTCATGTGACAAACTGTTTTGCTTCTTGTAGAGAGCAGTTTCATCTTTATTCGTGTGGCTTTCCTCCCTGTGCAGCATTCTGCTGCCATGTTCTCGTCTCTGCACATAGAATTCATTATGCCTGCCACAAGTCCTGTGGTCAATTTGTTGGTTGGAACGAGCCTCCTCAACTTTGCATGGTTGTATGATCAACATACCTACCTGGATGGCTGTTTTCAAGCTCCAATTGTGCAGTCTATGTACCCAATAAAATGACTAATTGTGGACATTCACACCTTTTCCTGTTTGATGGTAGAAATATGATAAGCCCTAGCCGTTACCTGCGTCTCCTCTCTTGGCTGGTTCGTCTCTGTGTGTGGATGTGCAGGCTAGGATCTTTTCGATCAGATGGCCGAAGTTCAGCACAGAGAGGGATATTTCTCCTCTCAAGCAATCTCTGAGCTAGAAGTTGTGTTTGACTACTATCTCTCGCCTCAACCCTGAAATATCTTAGTCCAGATCTTATTCGGGTATTACGGCAGCTAATGTTCTCGTTACTGCGACGTGGGTGTGATTTCTTGATAGGAGATATATTCTCCTCCCAACATATTACAACGACTACGACATATTGGAAATCATTAACGCTCTGTGTGATGCCCTCACGAATTGATTGAGTTATCCCGGAAAGAGTTGGCCAGCGCTCAATGGCCACCATGGGTTACCTCCCCTGCAGCCGTCATACAATGGCATGTGGCCGCACAAGGCACAATAAAGAATCTAAAACACGAAATGCCCTTTACGTTTTCAGAAATATCACGTAGGGTATTACCAGCCGACTGCACAGCCAGATCCCAAGAGCATACATGTATGCTGGTGGTCTCATATTTCCTTAATTTTCTTTGTACATGACTGAAACTGGCAAGGACACTTCAAGGCCGGGCTTCGCATCGACGATTTTTCTAATACAGGAAGTGGACTGCACTGTGTCCACCGATGGGCTTAAGCAAGCCACCACCAACACCACCAACATCACCAACCCAAGAGGCAAGATCAAGTCACGTGGGTGTGGCTGCACCAGCATCATATCAAGTTCCCCCCATTTGCTGCAGGTCGAGGCACATGGACAAGAGTCTCCCGGATATACTCCCTCGCTACTCGAAACTCTACTCTCGGCTTGTAACGTCGGCAGTTTGTTTCAATAAAAGTTAAATTCACCCTATTCGTCTGCCGAATGATTTCAAGACGCTCGGAATGTAGACCCACGCCAATATCGTTCTGTTATGTCAAGTTTGGCGATGAATACGGGTTGCTGCTAAGCGATCTCCTTAGTTCCTTGTGGCCTCTTTCATGGAGGGAAAGTGGATTTTTCTTACTTTTTCGCCACTTGGATGTAAACATGGCACTGGGAGAAACGGCTTGAAATACAAGGACAAATTGGGAAAAGTAAGAGGGGAGGCCATTTCTTACTTTCCTACCGGACACGGAGTTCCAAAGCCTATTCTCAAACCTGCTGCTTAGTGTTAGGATCTATCCGGCAAACAACGGAAGAAGATAATAAATCACACAAAATCGCCGAACCAATTCTGGTCAAGTTAAAGTGAAAATTTTTCAAGAAAGCACGTCCTGTTACGCCTGATCTACTTTCAGTGTTTATCTATATTCGCACGCCTGCATGTACTCCCGTACGCCTAGTTTTGAGTAAGTAATTCAGCTGCTGGACGGCCTTTTCATATAGTACACTACTATATCTTGAAAAAGGTTCCCGCTGGCGGGCTGTTTTGATACCAAAGAACACATAAACCTACAGCACTGAAGCTGTTGTCGTGTTTCTCCTGAGAAAGCTTTACAAAAAAGCTTTTATGCGTATGCCTGCAGCGCGCTTCGCTGCCTTTCCAGCATCATCAGGTGCCGGGAGACGAGAAAATAATTCAATAGTCCGGATAATTCGATGGCTACTGAGGCTGCGATGTTCAGCAAGGATGATTCATTGAAAATCTTCCCCGGTTCCCTCTACCGCCTCAAATCTCTGACAAAAGGAAGGCCTTTGGATGAAGTATGCTGGGGAAACAATCATACACGCGTTATCGGTTATTTGTGCAAAGTTTAGCCAAGAAAAGGTCCAGAGTCACCTTTAGGCAGTAACTGATGACAACAGCTGTTTGAAATCGAATGTTTGATGTCGCTGCTAGAGAATACACGTTTAGCGCCCCGATCCAAAATCTCGTGGTGTAGCTTGCTGTCAAACAAACGTTCCTGTCACGAAATTAACCAATTGCCATTAGCTATTAAATATTTCCTTTTTTTTTTTGGTAGGTTTTACATTTTGGGGATCCTTGATCACAACTTAGGTATTTCTGGCATATTGCTTGCTCGAATCGAACTCCAGTATTCCTTATTATTCGGCATCCCTGGCATATTCTCGGGTCAGGCAAGTCCTTCGGTGACTGCGTTGAATTGGTCTTGGATACGAGGGGAAATACTAAATGTCGTACCAAGCTACTGACCCCATGCTTCAACGCCAGGCACTGCGATCAACCTGGATACAGCATACAACGATACGTAATTCGAATTAGAAGTGGTGAGGTTCGAGGACATCTCAAAGCGAGGCACTTTCATACTAGGTGCAATGCTAAGCCCTGCGAGTGGTTATTCGGCCTCCGGTGGAGTTTCCATTATGGTTATCAACAACCATTCACATTAGTCTGCAGCTACACGCTGGAATTCCGTATGGGAAAGGTTTTTCATTGTTGGCTACGAAATGAAATATCGACTTGGCATGTTTGCGGTCTGGCCTGTGAAAAGCCTTTTTGGTGAGCAAGGATGCTGATCCTCGCGGGCAGCTTTGTCTCCAAGGACTACCCGCTCCCCGCAATAGTGTCTAGCCGGATGGTCTCCTCGCAGAAGAAGCACGATTGGGTGACGTGTGCTAGGTGACTTCGTCAAGAAATTTTGACACAAGATATAATTCATGAGTTAAAAGCAAATGTGGTATGATAAAGAAGGCGGGAAAAGGAATAGAAGAACCGACCACCTCGTCCAACAATGGGTGATCGTTCTCCGGAACATGAGAGGGTTGGTGTGAATTCCATCGCGGGGTTACATTGCATTGATCGACTGGGAATGGAAATCATCATTCAGTTTTGGATGAGGACATGGCATTTTGAAAATCATGACGACGAAAAGTCGAGAGCCAGGGACAAAATGCGGATAGATCTCAGCGGGATCGTCCTCCTGGTAATGGCATGGGATAAATGTGGCTTGGATAACTACATGACTTGCATCAGTCCCTCTAGCTTCATCTGCAGATCAGGATACGGGAGCACCTTACTCATTATGATTAGTGCGACTTCCTGTAAAATGCTATATTTAGCTTCGCGGTCTCCAACGCCTTTCCAACAGCCGTACCCTGGAGGTTTCAACTTCAAAAACCAGTATGTGGTCGATTGTTTGCTGAATCGTGGGGTCTTCTTAAGGGAACGGGGCTTTTATAATAACCCAACTGAAATCAATACCATGAACACTACCAACAGGATAGTGCTAATCTCTCCAATCTCCGGTTGGACGCAGCTATACTCAAGTCGGTGGTGTATCGTTGAATATTGTTTGAAGAGTTTTCATCGGTCCCCAAACCCATCCAATATTTGCTGCAGTTTGGACCCTGGTCTTCCAAAGCGAGCTTCGCACCATGTAAACTTTGGCTTCGACAACTTGGCCATGGTTGAGATATAGCATTCCGGATCTCGCTTTTGAAACAAGGATTTTTGTTGGTGGATTGAGCTGCGCACATTGGGTAACTGGATACACCATTTCTCTCTCTATTTATTGACTCAGCCGGGGAAGGGTGCAGGCTCTACGGTTAGCCTTGAGTCCCATTGATGTCGTTGCTGAATGATTTTGGTTCTGGAGCCAGTTACACCTTGAATGTCCAGGGCCTCACGAATCTATTCGTATAGGGCAAAGAGACTTTACCCGCCCAATACCAAAAACCCATGCGCCACCTTAAGATGAACAAGTTACGCAGTGGAGGCCAGAGAAACGAACTGCTACCCCCGTCTTGGGACACACGAGCTCGCGATGCATGGGTCAGAACGAACTGCACTGTCTTGGCGAATCTCTAGCGCACAAATTGAGTATAAAGCAGTTACATTCTGATACCTATTTTGCACCGAATACATGGGTCTATGACCATAAATGGATCCAGTATGACATGCAGGTCCGGCACTGATACTCGTATCCTCTATCGCGATGCGCCGTTGTGGTCACCATTGTGGTATTTCCCGTACAATCTGAGCTGGAGACATCCCTAGCAGGTCCATTTCTAGCATGGTGGAGGGCTGCACGGCTATATTTTTACTTGAGCTCTGACAACCCGACCTGCTAAAAGTCTTCTTCAAAATGCCTACCGATTCCTGTGATCGCTCTCGCTTGAGATTGTCGAGTTTTCTTCAAGCGGGAAATACTCATCTACAGCCATGTCTGAATCATACGAGGGCAGACGTTCGAGATCCACTGATCTAGGGAGCTATACAGTTTGTGAATCGGACCTTGGCTTCAAAATTTGTCTTTCACGATCCCCGGAATGGACACCTCAAAGACGGGAGTGGTTGATAGTTTTTTCGATCTTCTTGCTTTATTTGATGATAGCATTAGATTCGACCATCATTGTCCCGGTTCTTCCGGTATGTTTGCATCATCTACTTTATTCATTCGGGACAATAGCCTTACTCCTTGTATGATAGACGATAGCTAGCGATCTAAACGGCACCGCTGTTGAAGCATTCTGGGCAGGAACCTCATTTCTCTTGACGTACGCCATATTTCAACCTTTCATCGCCGCCGTATCCGATATATTTGGACGACGAGAAGTGATGCTAGCCAGCGTTTCCCTTTTTACTGCCGGTTCATTAATCGCATGTTTGGCTCAAAACTTTTCCATGCTGTTAACAGGGCGTTCCATCCAAGGAGTGGGTGCCGGGGGTGTATTTGTCCTTGGATATGTCATTCTTACCGACATTGTCCCTCTCAGGCAACGCCCTAAGTTCACCGCAATTATTCAGATTGCATGGGCTATTGGAACCATACTTGGACCACTTTTCGGCGGCATATTTGCTGAACACTCAACATGGCGGTGGACGTTCTACATCAATTTCCCTTTTTGCGCGATTGGATTCGTAATGGTTCCCATTGCTGTTAGACTTAAGCGGCAGGAATCCACACTGATATATAAAATCAAACAAGTTGACTGGATCGGAGGTTCTTTATTCATTATCAGTATAACCCTCCTCATGATAGCAATTTCTTGGGGCGGTACTCAATTTGCATGGGACCACATCGCGACCTTCGCTCCTATGATACTCGGTATATTTGGAACCTTGTATACGATCTGGTATGAGTTCCAGATAGCGAACGTTCCGTTTTTGCGCAAGGGATTGTTCTATTGCCGATCCGCCATCGCCGCATACATCTGCTCGTTGATTCAGGGGCTAGAGGTACGTCAGAAGCACGAATACGTGGATTTTCTCGACCCCTCACCTGTTTCCCTTGGCTAACAAATGCAAAAACAGTTATACATTGCGTTGTACTATATCCCGCTCTATTTCCAGGCTGTAAAAGGCTTAAGCCCTGTTCTTACTGGAATCAGTGCACTCCCGATCACGTCTTCTTTGGTTCCAGCCAGCGTTTTTGTGGCGGGGATTATTGCTCGAACCGGTCGGTTCCGCTGGGCAATATGGATGGGATGGGTCCTCACAACGATTTCAACTGGTCTCTTGCTACTGTTGAATACCAATACTAAAACAGCTGTTTGGGCTACAGTCCTAATACTCCTTGGATTTGGGCATGGCCTCGTTCTTAGTGCTCTCAATCTCGGGGTCCAGGCAATCTCTACTGTCAACAACGTTGCTCACGCAGTCGCGATGTACTCATTCCTCCGAGCTGTTGGTGCTGCTCTTGGGGTAGGAATGGGAGGCACAGTCTTCCAGAACGCTATGTCCAAGAGGTTAAGTGTCCTAGGTCTTCCAACCGACATAGCGAAGAATGCAGAGGCGTATATCGAAGTCCTCCACACTCTTCCTGCGAATTCAGTTTTCAAAATCAACATTATAGAATGCTACGTCACAGGCATCCAAGGAGTCTTTACCGTAATGACTGGGTTCAGCGGCCTTGCTATGTTCCTCAGCTTCTTGATAGCAAAACACTCTATGGACAAGGACTTAGAGGACGAGAGTGTTTCAATCGAATACAAGAAACCTCTCCCGGATCGACCAATGAGCAAGGCGCCCACATTAATCAACCCAGCACTTCCAGCACCAGCATACATGGCTAGCTCAAGTGACAATTACCTGGGTACGTTTGACTTTGAGGACTGTGAACCACAGAAGCCATACTTCGTGGCACATAGTGCTCCCCAGACGTTACGTACATGTGCGTGTACATATCGCGGCTACGTGCCATTTTCCTCTGCAACAGCAACTCGAATTTGAGGTTAATTTCCCTCCTCTTCCAATATGTTGAACTCTATTCTATCCCCTCTGATTTTCTAAAATCAATTGTGTTATGGGAGGCGGAAGACGTCCCTCTGTGGGCAGATTTCTCGTGGCGATTGCATTGAAGCAATTTTTACTCGTCTTTGTTGGGAAGCTTCTCCAGCCTTTGTCGTTTACCAAGCGCGGTTCGTTCAAGGCTTGGTTGGCGCGGACGAAAATCGGCTACTTTTGTGGGGCCAAACTAGGAAAGCTTGACGAACCAGCTTTTTCTTGAAAGGCAAACACCTACAGATGAGGTTTTCTCGGAGCAAGTTGAACTTCTAGGCGCGCAGGGCCATTGCTTGCTGGAAGCGGGATGTGATCATGGGAGGTCTTAAACGAGAAAGAGGATGATAATACTGCTTCATGCATCTAGGCCACCCATCTTGAGTAGAAATACTACAATGTGGAATTGGAATACTGCTGACTTGATGATATACACTAGTAATGATACATGAGGGGCAGTTCGTCACGCCACCATGAGTATTGGAAGTGATTTCTAGTAACTTGATATTTGAATTTCACTCCGTGATATCGGGTTCTAGTTGAACGTGGTTAGAAAAAAGTGTAATGTGGATAGAAATGAATTTCTAACCATGGCAAATGCGGATCATCAACATGGTTAGAGCTGGAGAAGACATAGATAGAGTTTAGAGAAGACGTAGATAGAGTTTAGCCCCCAAAGAGGATAGAAACGAATCATTGCCAGCCATTTGGAATATGTAGTTGAGAGGCCCTGCTTATCGGTGATAAGTGTACACAATAAATACCGGGCATGACTCGCAATCTTGCAGCTTTTTTGGCCGAGGTGATGGGCATTGTTGCCTTCGCAAAGTGATTCTAACCATTAGGAGAGATCTCCGCTGATGGCGCCATGATGACTCAGCCATAGTTCTACCAGTCAACCGATTTAAGCTAACCAGTTCAACCTCGAGGACAACAGAGAGCAAGCGACAAAGGGTTTTATTTATGGAAGAACTATTCTGTACAATTCTCGGACTTCCGATATGATATGCAGCTGTTCGTCCCTTCTCTTTGCGGGAGCTTCACATGAACAGCTACAGGCTGTCTATTCCCCGCGAAGTCTGGACTTGTCGATTAGGCCATTGAGACGTCCATTAAATGTCGGTGCAAACGGAATCACCGTTCACTGTTCCATTGAGGACGATGCCGCAGAGAAATCCTGCACATTTAGAAGAAGTGGCCAATGGCCGCATCGCTCACACATTGACCGCTTGTACACGGTGTAGACAGGTATATCCAGCCTTCTCCGGCCCCTTGCCTGTGCCGCTGATGTTGTACTATATCCTGTGCCCCTCATTCTCGTTCCACCGCTTTTGAATGTGATGTCCTTCTCTTATGATCTGCCTCCTACATTTGCCACCGCTAATATTTAGGAATGCAGAGAAAATCGAGATGCGACCCCGGGATACCGCGATGTGAGCCCTGCCAGCGATCTAATGCGAAGTGCGTTTACTACGACCCAGCGAGAAATCGAACTATCTCAAGGACGTATATATTGCAATTGCGCGAAAGGATAAAAATGCTCAGCCAGGAATTAGCGCAGGTTGAGAGCGAAATAAGCCATTCTACTGATGCCGAATTCATGGTTCGCGGAGCAGGGCTCATTAAGTTTAAAGAGACGGATGAGCCTAGATTTCTGGGGCCGTCAAGTGGCATCACGATTACTCGGCTCGTAATGGAAATAGCAAAGCAAAATACAAATTCGAAGAGCATTAAAGAAGTCGTAAACGAGGCTACCGCACAGGAAATCAAATATGCGTTTACGCTGGAGAGCCAAAAACCAACCTCGAAAATATATCCAATGATAAGTTCTGTTGCGGAGCCTAATCTCCCACCACGGGAATTAGCTTACAGACTAGTTGATATATTCATGGCCAAAGGTAAACTCCACGCCTCGCGACTGCCGTTCAATTCTCTGTCTATCGACTGACCTCTTCTACTAGCTCAATACATGCTTCCCACCTTGCATGAACCTTCATTTCGCCGGGAAATAGATGCTGTCTTGGACGGATCCCAGGACCCTTGTCATAATTTCCAGGCTCGCCTTGTCATTGCGATCAGCATGCAGAAGCTCAGCCCACAGTATGCGGGATTAGCTGACAGTTACTATCTGGCTGGGCTTTCTTTCTTAGATGCCTCAATAAAAAGGATGGACTTATCCACTCTGCAGTGTTTAGCACTCATCGCCCAGTATTCAATATTGACGCCAACAAGGACTGCCGCGTATTGGGTAGTGGGAGTCGCCGTAAAACTTTGCCAAGATCTAGGTTTAACCGATGAGGCTACAATTACGAAGTCACCTTCGGGCCCGCTCGATTGTCTCGAACTAGACATGCGAAGGCGGCTATTCTGGATTATAACGTCAATGGAATATGGCCTCTCTCATAGCCTTGGTCGGCCGAGTGCTTTTGCGGTAACTCACGATCATATAAATATGGAATTCTTCTCTATGGTTGATGATCGTTTCATTACACGCGGGGGTATTCTTCCCGGCAGCCAACCAATTATGAAAAAGTGCATTGCAATTCATTTCTTTAAAATGAGACTTCTCCAGGCCGAAATCCGACGAACGCTCTATCTTAAAAAGCGAGATAGACCGCTTGATGACAAGGATCCATGGTTTACTACCATGTTAGCTAAACTTGACCGCTGGGTCACTTCATGCCCGAAAAATGATGAGGGTAGTGGCCTTAGCGAATTATGGTAAGCCTATAAGTTTTCATTTATTTCATTTTCCTGTTCGCAAGATCTTTTTTTTAGACTTGGTACTGACTCGTATTTAGGTTTACCGGAAGGCGGAATACGATGATTGTATTCATGTTTCGACCATCCCCACAGATCCCGGAACCTTCCCTTGAGGCTGCGAGGAGATGTTACGATGCCTCCACCTTCAACATAAAAATGCATAAAACTCAAGTCGCGACGGGTTCCGTGGACTTGACTTGGGTTTTCACCCAATCTGTATTTATGGCATTGAATACTATACTCTGGTCTCTTTCTTATCCTTCGATTCGACAGGAGCATACCATCGACGAAGTTAAAAGCCATATTGCCGTTGCCCTAGACATAATCATCGTGAGTGCAGAGCGATGGCCAGGGGTGGAATCAGCCCTCCAACTTTATAGAAACCTTATTGCTGGCTGTCTCAGGGCTTATGGCACCGATGAATCTTACGTGGTGAAGTCTCCATCCAACCGTCCCTCTCCTTCCTCGTCGCAAGAAGCTACGACCCCTCCAGCTCTATCCAGTCCCTGTAGCGATGCTACCGTATCTGTCACCTCATCTCGCCATACAACAATCGGAGAACGTGTGACACCGGACCCATCCCCATCACTCTCCCGAGCAAACCCCAACCTCGTTAATCCTCCACAGCCATATCCAATTTGTGTAGGTCGAAACCCATCACCTGGTTCATCAGAAGCGACTACTTCGCCAGCACCCTTCATACCACAGACCAAATACCAACAGCCAACCCAGCCCATGGAGCCGGTGGTAACGACATCCTACGCACCTCCAGCTGCCAACTCTGGTGACCCAGCGTTTGATCCGAATTCCCTATATAATCATTTTCCTTCTGTACTCCCAGGTTTACAGCACTGGGATCCGAATTATACTGCAGCATCGACTACAGCGGGTTATCTCTCTTATTCCAATGCCAACGTTGACCCATTGTTCTGGCTAGGATCCATTGGGGACCAGTACTCCCAATTCTTCAACCAGCAATACCCCACAGATGTTCGGGGACGAAGCTTAACCCAAGAAGAACATATGGAGCTAATGGCAAATTTGGTCCAGAACCCCCCAGACGCTTCATGCCGCAGTAATGAGCCAATGGCATACTACAGTTGTGACATGCCGTAAAGTCCCCCCTCTCTCTGTGTGTGCGATTTACCCCTCGCGTGATAGCCTTGATTATTAGGGTGGTGTAATATGTACTGTACAAAATAAAATCTTGGCCTTGTTATTATTAAAAGGTCGGTATAACAGGATCTTTTGCGTATGTTGCGTGTAGTTTGACGTCGCATTATAGCGAACTGTGAAAAACATAGACATTCGTGATCACTTTATTTGACATACTAGTATTTTTCATTCATTTCGATCCGTGGAGTGCCATATCCTTTTCTGGGCATCGTTCATTTTATATCCTTGGCTATGAGTTAAGCCTGTTATGAGGCGTGAGGGGAAACAGCCACATCTAGATGCCGGGCCATTTGAGCTCAGATATTAGCTGACTGGATGCATGAGCCAGGTCCTCGACGGATGACCCTACGAGTCCTCAAGTGGAGGCAATATTGGTTGAGATATCCATGTGTTTATTTGTTGGATTCTTGGATTGATGGTTACTAATTCTAGGCGTTTTAATTCCTTGAGTATTACTCCGTAGTATCTTTCAATCAACTCCTCTATAAGGGCTATGGTGGAGGTGCCATGAATTCGATTTGGCTCTCAGTGATTTGTCAACACGTGATCAATGCTTTTGAGTGAGTGCAACGGGCCAATTTGCAGTGCACATAAATGTGATTTATTAGTATCACCTCCCAGTGTAACACATGGCCTTATCTGGACCTAAACTTTCCTTTGTCCACGATGCTGACACTCAAAACAATCTGCCCAACCCTTGACCCGACGCCAAGGCCAAGCTGGCACGTGACCATTCTTCAACTTTGCCATCATCCCAGCAACCTCGAGCAAACCTCATCTGTGAGCCAAGGGCGTCAATCCACCCCCAGCCGAGCAGCCATATCGTACACCCGTCCTTCGTATTCGATCCAGTACGATATCGTCAACTAAGTGTGCGAAGTTGTCTGGATTTGGCATGTATACTCCATAGGTTGCCGCTCAAGGTCAGCCTGCGATACGGACCTGAATCCGTCGCCTGTCCGTTTCGCCTTCGCCTTCACCTTTGCCGGTCAACCATCATCCGTTACCGGGTCTACCGATTCGATACGTATCTAGCGCAAAGGTTAGAGCAGCCGCTGTGTGCTCCTGGGCAAACCGTGCTCTATCCGGCATCGCCTGGGCCTCATGTCCCACGCAACGCCAGCACCCTTCCGCGCAAAGCCCCCATCACCATCCTCTCACGCAGTCGACAGCGCGAAACTACATCAACTGTATCTGCAGAATAGTCCAAAGGATCAGATCCCTCACACTCCAACTTCTCCTCCGTTAATGTCAGTCAGCGCTCAAAACTATGCCTCGAGCTTCTCCACTACTCAAACGTCACCGCCAAAGACCCTCCAAATCGCTCCTCTCCCCCCTTCTCCTTCCTCCGTCCCCATGTGTTCTCAGATCTCCCAACAACCCACTGTAACGTCAACTACGTCACTTTCCACGCCGGCTAGTAGTGCTGGTGGCCTTTTCACCAGCAATCACACGATGCGAGAGGCGGAGGACACTTCGAAAAATGTTACAATAGACCCACGGAAGGATGGAGAATCATATGTGGGCAAAGGAATCGGATTAGATTTAATGGATATTGATCCCTCTGACCACAGAAGAACTGATCACGACCGGCAGAAGAGAGGGCTTGATCAAAGCTTCGGTGGGAATACAATGGATTTGGATTACAAAGCGACATCTTCCACGCAGGAGGAAGAGCATAGCCTGGCAGCTCTCCAGCAGGATATAGGCACGGCTTTCCATCTCTGCAAATCCTGTAAGGTCTCCCTAAGGCACTGTCTTGCTTGACTTTCAAACCTCAAATTTTCCCTTTTAAAAGAAAAAGATAAATTGGTTTGTCAAATTTTCATTTTCGGGCACCATTGATGTTAACGCGACTTCCCAATGCTAGCTTATACCGTATCTGGCCCGAATCCGAGCCTAGATCTAGTATCACTCTACGGCCTAGGTCCGGTTGCTTCCTCAGTTGCTCGAACAGACCCGGTCACGGGCGAGAAAATTAACAGATTGAGAAAGTCCTATGAAGGGAAAATTAAAGGTCTTGGTCTAGCAGGAAGAAATAAACCCGTCAAAGCTGAACCCGGGACACCTGGAGGATTGAAGTATTTGACGTTATGGCCAGAAGAGGAGTGGCAAAACCAAAAAGTTTATGGAAAGGATATCAGAGTGGCCGAACCAGACTCGTCGTTCTTCAAGCAGCAATTAAAGGCAATGAAAATGGAGCCAGGAAGCTTACCTAACCATGAATTTTGGGAAGATGCTCTAGGCCATGAAAAATCGTCCAAGGCTCTGGCAGCTAATGATACATCCTTGGCTAAAGCGGCTGGTACCGTGCCCGGGTCTATCCGTCAGCCAATGCATGCAAATGGGACCCTCACAGCGATATCTACTCCAGCTACAGAAAACACAAGACCAAAGCGCGCAGGTAAGAAACGGAGTTATAACGACAGCAGCTTTGTTGGTTACGGCGAAGGATTCCCCGATGACGAGCTAGACTTGGACAGCGGACGGTACTCGAATAGTGAGGAGGGCGCCAGGGGCCCGGGAAAGAAGAAAAGGAAAAAGGTGACACGCTAGCCTTCCTCGCACTCCTATAGCGCACACATTCCTTTTCATACACGCGACTAACGTCAGGGCAGGATCACATCTCGGGAGTGTCCCCCACTCTCACTGAACGAGCCGGTAGCTACGGCGTGGGCATGTTTGGTGTTGGCGCCCGATGACTTGATTTGAAAAATACAATGAACAGCATGAATTTTTCGAGTTTATGGTGAAAATCTTTACGGTTCCAATATCGGCGTTTTATTTCAAAAGAGGGTTTTGGCGTTTGGGATTCAACGTCCTTTTTTCTTGTCTCGTGTTTCGTTCTTCTCTTTCACCTTTTTTTTATTTTCCCTTCGCTGTAATTCAAATTTTGTCCATTATTACTAATTCCCCTAGCGGAAATTTGCATGGTGGTGCTGGATATACCCGCCTTGGTCAAACCGGCGTTATTTTGGGAGGGTTGGCAAGGAAAAGATATGCCAATGGGGCGGTGATTTAGGTTCTTTATTTTCGATTACCATGTCCATTCCTATTTTCATCCTTTATATCCATAGCTTCCGTTGTTTGTTCCTTACCTCATTATGCCCTCAGCCTGCACATCCATCTTTACCATGTGCTTTGATTGTTTGTTTCAGTTCTCTTTTGCCCCGTCTCTCTATTTGATATGCCTCCCATTATTTGGAGGTTGCCATGAAGGGCATTCTGCTTGTTCTGCTTACTATGCGCCTGTCTGCGGGTCTGAATGTTCCTTTGGCTCTTTCAAAAGCCAATGGCCAATTCTATTTTTGATGATAACTCTTTCGATTATCCATTGAAAAGGTCATTTTAATATCGTTTCGACATCAAAAAAAAAAAAAAAAAAAAAAAAAAAGGAAAAAAGGAAAAAAGAAAGAAAGAAAAAAGAAAAAAGCAAAAGGAGGGGTTGAGGGGATGGAATCCGGGGTACATACGAGAGACATATACTCCTACGTCCGCCCCGCCTTTGTCAGTGTCAATTTTTCTGGCTTTTTCGTTCTCTGTCAACTCCTGTATCGCCCTCGGCAATCTGCCGATTGATTGTTATGATTACTAAACCATCCCACGATGCTATTCTATACTCCTTACTTGCTTGCACTGCTTTTCTGTCGTTCTCTTGTTTTATATCTTGCTTGAATGCATATCGTGGCGGTATGAGCCGTGACATTTCTATTACATAGTTGACATAGAGAGTTTAATCGAGAAGAAAATTAGCTATTATCATGGTAATTATTGAAGCGTCTGTCATGGAAGGAGGAATTGGCGTAGCTGTTGTTCCGCGGTGCAATTCACAAGGTCGTAGCCGAATGTTGAATAAAAAGCCACGATCAAAGGGAATTTGAAACATTCTCCACAATACCTAGGCACATCTTGTTGTAGGGCGCGCCTTGGCAGAGACGGCGTTAATAATATTTAATCAACCCCACTGTGCAACAAGAAGAACGACGGGACCAGAGATATATTTAAACGACAGGATCCCTGGTGACAATTTCGTTTGTAGTTGTAAACTTCCGGGCTGGTCTCTCGCAGCTATTAGTTTCAGTCAAAGTTCCCCATGGCGTCCAATCGCCCCTTGACGTCGTTTTCCGTACTTTCATTTGATATATATGGCACCTTAATTGACTGGGAGAAGGGGATTCTCGAGAGCTTGAAACCGCTTGCTGCCCGGCTCCCAGATTCGCATCCTCTGAAATCAGACCATGTTGCTCTTGGCTGTGCGTTGAACAAATATGAACGTACTTTCCAAGTGGAGAACCCAACACAGTCGTACGATTTGATCCTCAAAGCTTCGTATGAAGCCCTCGCAAAGGAGTTACAAGCTCTACCAGCAGCTACGGATACGGAAGACGCATCCTCACTTCTAGATAAAGAGAGCAGCGCATTCGGAGCGAGCATTGGCACCTGGCCACCATTCCCAGATACCGTTGAAGCGATGCGAAAATTGAAGCAGCGCTATAAGCTCGTGCCTTTATCGAATGTGGACCGCGCTTCTTTCCAGAAAACTCTCCATGGCCCATTAGGGGGAGTGCATAAAGGGTTAAAAGATGGGGAGGCCTTCTTCGATGCCGTATATACGGCGCAGGATGTTGGGTCTTACAAACCAGACCACCGAAACTTCGAATATCTGTTATCGCATTTGAAGTCGGATTTTGGAGCAGCGAAGGATGATGTTTTGCATGTTGCGCAGAGCTTGTTCCATGATCATGAGCCGGCGAAAAATTTTGGACTGCAAAGTGTGTGGATTTCAAGGGGGGAGGGACGAGACGGAATGGGTGGCAACGTGGCTGAATACCTTGGGGGTGATAATGCGAAAGTCGCATTTGGTTGGCGATTCAATACTCTGGGTGAGCTGGCAGAGGCTATCGAAAGGGAAGCGGAAAGGGGAGTCTGATATGGGGTCGGATATCTGTTCTGGTAGTTTACGTGTAACAATGAAACAATATAAATTTCCAATGAAAGTCATAATACCTCAGACACATAGCCATGTTATAGCTGATATGTACAGTGGTGTCCAATAAGTCAGCGTACTAGCGGCTCGGTGCTGAGAACCCCTCTTCTTACCCCTCTTCTTCAAAGATTCCTCCATCATCCAACATCCCCCCTATACATCAAAAGATGCCCTCAAAACCGAAAACATTGCGGAGAGAACACTCTCCAGCTATTATTAATACTATTTTGAACCTTTGAAAGTGGGAACATTTATTTCTAGATATAGCTCGAATTTTAGAGCTCCCTCACTCCACCATATCCTCTATTGTTTATTGTGAATCTCATTGAATAGATGAAGGAAGTTCTAAAAAACATCCTGGGAGGCCTCCTAAGCTCTCTGTCTGTGATCAACATCATCTTATTCTCTCTGTAGAGAAGAATCCCTTCCACCCTCTAGCCAGCTTTCTCACACCCTCAAAATCTGGCTCCTATATTTGCTGAAATACAGCAAGACAGTATCTTGAAAAGAATGAACAATATGCCTTTAAACCACAAAAGAAGCTCTATTTAAAGCCTATACACAAGGAAGTTTGAAGAGCTTTTGATATTCAACACAGAAATTGGGCTGATGAAGATTTCTCTTGTGTGAGCTTCTCAGATGAAGCTCACTTTGAGGTTGGATTGGATATATCAAGCTGCTATGTTCATCATCTGGTTGGTAAAGATTATGAGAGTAGATATCTACTCTCTACCTTCAAATCTGGGTGTACCTCAGTGAGTGTATGGGGAGCAATAAGCTGGGATTTCAAATCTAAGCTGGTTTTTATTCCATCGAATGTCCAGATGAATTCTAAGGAGTATATCAAGATTATACTACTTCATGGCTATCCCCATTATATTCACATTCTTGAAAAATGTGGGATTGCACTCTGGGCAGAAGATGGAGCTAGATATCATATCTCTAAGCTGTTAAAACAGTGGATGGATGATTGGCAGATGGATCAAATGAAATGGCCTGCACAAAGTCCTGATTTAAATTCTATAGAGAATCTATGGGCAATAATGAAGTTCTGTATATCAAAGATACAACATCAAATACACTCCGAAGCTGAGATGAGAATAGAATTACAGATGATATGGGATTCTATTACACAACTTGAGATACAGCATCTAATCAGCTCCATGCCTTGAAGGTTAGCTGCAGTTATCAAAGCCAGAGGTGGATCAACCAAGTATTAGAGAAGAAAATGTATATAGGTATTCTTTATTGATTTAGCTATATAAAACATGTATATAATTCTATATTGGATACCTGGTTGAGATTTTATTTAATATCTAGTTGAGATGGGTAGGGTGCTGAATCTCGGCGCCGAGCCTCTAGTACGCTGACTTATTGGACACCACTGTACATTAAGACGGATGGCTGCTCCTTACGGATTGATCCTTTTGGTGCACTGGATTGCTGTCCCACGTATTATCAAGTTTCACACATTTCAAACTCTTCCTGGAACCATTCTAGAGAACAAGTACCCGCATCAGGCCACTTAGATGCTGCGCACCCGGAATCGGTGAACGTGGGCACCTAGCCTGCGCCACCAGGGCTTCGTTCAGTCTGACTGGTACACATAATAAGATTAGATATGTGTGTGAATCTAGAATCAGTTTGTCATTGTCAACGGTATGCTCAGAAATCCGAGGGAGAATGGACCAGGATCAACAATCTCGCACACTGACAAATGATTTTTTTCTAATATTCTCTCCGGTGCAGCGAAGTTAGACGGAAGCCGATGAGGGCGTTCTATTCTGCTGATCAAATGATCATTCCAGTCTCTACATTCTAAGACGCAATATATACCTAAAATGACAAAACAAATCAGTGCATCCCGCCTCATTGATTCACTAGATGGCCTTAACGCTTAGACTGTCTGTCAATTTCTCGAATCCCTACAACTTAACATTTGCGTCGATAATTTTGCTCACGGCCTTCCACCCTTCTCCCGCGGGAACCTCAATCACACGGCGCTCTTTCTTCAGCAACCCCGCAAACTCCGGTGGAACAATGTTGTCAAACTTGTAGCCATCCTGGCCTCCTAGCGCCATATCAACAGCTGAAACGAATTTTGCCGGGTGCGCCGTTGACAGAGAAATATGATGTGTGCCAGGGTTGCGATCAATAGATCGAAGGGAAGCAGCAACTCCAACAGCGGAGTGTGGATCAAGGATGTATCCACCCGTGCTGCCTCTTGTTCCGCTACTAACTGGGGAGGCGGGGAAACAAGAGGAGTAGATGTCGCGAATAGTGTCGATGGTTTCCAAATCGGAGACACGCTCAGATTCGAAATGTTCTTTGGCAGCATCAAGAACGGCTGGCTCAACGCTGAAGCCGCCTTGAGTTTGCAGATCGCCAAGCCATCTGCGGACGATATCGCTGGCTCGTTGTCGCTGTAGAGGAATATCTCCGTCTCCGCCAAAGACTTTGAGGGCGAGAAACCAGAGGAGGCGCTCGAAATTGCTTGAGACTAGGATATCCATGGCTGGGCTGAAGGTTTCTTTGACGCCGCTCGGCTCTGCGCCTGTGGCCCCATTCCCGGCAGGTTTCTTGGTATACTGGCCGGTTTTCCAGAATCGGTCAAGAATGTCGTTTTCGTTTGTTGCGATGACTAGCTTTTCTGTGAGAAGGCCCATTTGTTTTGCAAACCAGCCAGCCTGTATTTCGTTAGCTCCACATTAAATAACCCCTGTAAAGGTTGATCGTAAAGCTCTCCAGGGATCTACTTACAAGGATATCACCGAAATTGCCTGATGGTACGACAAACCTTATGGGCTTGTCTTTGGCGTATTTTGGACTTCTGGTGAGGGAGAAATAAGAGTGAATGTAGTAAGTCATTTGGGCAAGGATGCGCGCCCAATTTATCGAGTTCACACTCGCCAACTTGTACTTGAGGTTCATCTCTGGATCGGCAAACATCGACTTGACCATAGCTTGGCAGTCATCGAAGGAGCCTTGAACCCTAAGGTTATGGACATTGGGATCGAGGACGGTCGTCATTTGGGCCTCTTGGATAGCAGAGACTTTTCCCTTAGGATGCAGAATGAATATCGAAGTATCTTCCTTCCCTCTCAGGCCATATATAGCAGCGGAACCAGTGTCTCCACTCGTAGCTCCGATCACAACGAGGTGCAGTCGGTCTTTTCCACTCTTCCCTTGATTTCGCCGTACAAGGAAATACTCAAAGAGGTTCCCGAGGAACTGCAGAGCAACATCCTTGAATGCAAACGTCGGGCCGCAGAACAGTTCAAGAAGGTAGAGTTGCTTTGAGTCATCGAGGGTAACGAGGGGCGTAACATCTGTCGATCGGAAAGTCGAATAGCTACGGTTGATGATATTTTTTAGATCCTCTGGAGGGATCTCTGAAGGGGAGATATACAGAGACATAATCTCAAATGCCAATTCCTGGAATGTGAAATCCCGCCACTTTGACTCCCAGCCCTCCGGTAGTTGGGGGATGGCTTCTGGAATGAACAAGCCGCCATCTGACGCAAGACCTTTCAGCACGACATCTTCGAAAGATAGCTAGTGGAAAACCCAATTCGTGTCAGTTTAGGAATTGCAATCCATACTCGAAAATGTGAAGGCATCACAAAGAATCGCGAGCGCAACCATGTATTTGGCCTTTCGTTACTCACTCCGCATGATGAGCCCCGAGTACTCAGATACCTCTGCGAATCCGTCCCCGACATGTTTTCGGTTCAGAGGACAACCCAATTACACAGGAGTAGTACAAACGCCGCCAGCAGGGAGGTCAGTCAGCAAGCAAAATAATTGCCCGTTCTGGACTTTTTACTTTTCTTTTAATTTTATGAATCGCGGGGCGACCAAAGCTTGCAATAAAAACTCGATTCTGCCACTTTTTCGGATGACTAACCGCGGAACCAGCCCAGGCCCGAAAAATCAACCAGCGGTCCGATTGTCTTTTTAAGGAATTGTTAAAATGTAATTGTGTGCATTAATATGATTCATTTCATCGGGATTTTTGAACTTTTAATATAAATCTCGAATGTCTTACCGCATTGTTGAGAGGTACCAGAAGGTGACGCCTCCGGCCGGTTACCAGGCTCCGGAAAATATCACAACGCAAAGAGAGAAAAAGTTCGTTGGAAAAGATACACAAAATTGAGAAGCTTAATACCTTTCGTTGTCTTCCTTATTCAACAGCGCCTTTTTCCATCGTCCCTCCCAAGCAGCAGATATTTCTCCAATGACCTCCAAATTTGACCAAGCGCTTGCGCGCATCGATGACGCTCATCGACAGGATCCAAACATGGTCACCGTAAACGGTGCTGCAGTGCCGTACGAGCTCTACTATGCGAATAAAATGACCCAGCACCTTGAGAAGCGCGACCCATCAGCGTCTGAGATTCTTAGACTGGCTGTACGTGCGCAGCATCTCCGCCGCTGGGAAGTGCCCAGATCTTCTTACCCAATGACGAGACCGGGCTACTTCGCCTGGCGGACAGCGCTGAAAAACCGACAGGCTGATATTGCCAAGGAGATTTGCCTCGATTGCGGGTACGATGCAGACGAGGCCGGGCGCGTTGCCTCATTGGTTCGCAAGGAAGATATGAAGCAGGACGTGGAGTGTCAAGCCCTGGAGGACGTTGCGTGCTTGGTATTTTTGGACGACCAGTTTGAGAAGTTTGAGAGAGAACATGACGAGGAGAAAATTGTGGGTATTTTAAGGAAAACCTGGACGAAAATGTCGGAAAAGGGACATGAATTGGTTTCACAGATTGAGATGACGGATCGCACAAAGGGACTCCTTACGAAAGCTCTATCGACATGACATTTGCAGCCGCACTAATATAAATAAACAGGCCGCCAAGAAACTGGAATTAACTTCATAGAAGGGAAGATGAATGCGAAACAAGGCCTCATTATCAGACTATATACACCCAACCTGATACCTACCTCTGGTCCAAGTACAAGTTGCACTAGAACGAAATTAACCCTCGAGACTTTTAAAACCTATCGCCATTTTTCGTATGATTACATTTTGCCATTATCAATCATCCGAACCAAGAAGACAGCTGCCCCGGCGGCTGCTCCTCCTACCATAACCATCTGAACGCCGCCCTTGAGACCGGCTATGATGTTCTCTCTGCCGCTCCAGCCTCGCACAATGCATGTTTTGAGATAGCCAAACACTAACAGTGTAACGGCCATTACGCCGGCGCTATATTTCAACGCTGTCAAGACTTGGTGGCTGAGAATGTAAGGAATAAGCGGAATGAATCCTCCGATGAAGTACCCCAGAGCAAGTGTGATGGCAGAGACAAGAGCTTGGTTGGCATCTGGTTCAGGTTGCTTGTGGTGAAATGCCAAGAGGAATTCCATCAGCTGTTTGGGGGAGCTGTGCAATGTTGAACTCATCTCTGAAACGGGATGATCGGGAAGACTGTAGGGCGCAAACACTTCTCTAACCATCGTCGTTGTCTCGCACGGGCACGCCGAGATAAGCTCTTGTACTTCGCGTTTGGCTGTTTCGTATGACTCTCTAAAATGAACACCCCAAGGAAAAAAGGTTACGGGGTCAGCCTCGATCGTCAACCCGGAGCCTTATTTTTATCTTCCGCGCTACTTACATTTCGGTTTTGGCGCCCACATAGCCGCCCAGGCCCATCGAAATGGCGCCAGCAACAAGCTCTGCTAGACTGCCCAAGACGACGACTTTGGTGTTGCCGAAAGCTGACAAACCCGCACTCAACGCGAAGGGCACCGTAAGGCCATCCGAGAGGCCCAATATAGCATCCGATATTATTCGGGGATTTATTTTGGAGCATGACGTTGACTGAGTCTCGCTCCCGGTATCGTTTGCATTACGCGAGCAGGTGGGAAATGTCTGGTAGCGGCCCCAATTTTGCGCTTCGGGGTCACCACCATTGACCACCGCGCCTCCCCTGTCACACCTTCTGGTTGTGGTGGGAAGCAGAGATTCTCCTATCGGTTCGTTCATTCTCGTATGAGTTGTCTAACTATGAGTCATGGGGGGGAGAGAGGCAGGGCGAATTAATAGGGATCTTACTCGTGTCTTGGTTTGAAGATCGGGACTTGGAAAAGTGATCAACGCCCGAATGGGCTCCATCGTTGCTCGGGGCCATCCACGGAAAATATCTCGCTCAGAAACGAAAATACTATGCACCCTCTCGCTTGGAATTATGAATAACTTTATTTTGGTGCGCGGGAGAGGGGGCAGAAGGCCGTCAGAGGGCAAGGATAGGGAGCTGAAGGGCTATGAGGATGTATACAAAGGCAAGGCAGGGTGCGTTTATGTATATCTCAGGAGATGGAGGACGCCAAGGCGATGGATTGACTCTTAGCTGTTCAAACGGCGGTTAGAGAGGCAAACCTTTTGATATTTTTACCATCTGCATGTCCCTTTTACGTTCTTGCCACCGAGGGCCTTCGTAGTATCGAGCTGCTACGGCGGAGCTTCTGCCAAATCTTATTCCAGCGCCGCGGCCAATCAGCACGGCGGTATATGTAAGTCCGCTCACTTATGCCCTACGTGGAACTTTGTAAGCGTCGCGCAGGAAAACCTTCTGGTTATTTTTGGATTAGCTTCCCAGCGGCCGGTTCTTTCTACAGCCAACGGGCCTTGGATCAAAACCAGCTCCGCTTAAAGATGGCTGGGTTCCTGAACGGTTCCAAGTTTGCCAATGTGGCTGTCGTTTCATCTACAAGAAAGAGATCGCGCGGGAAAAAAGGACAAAAAAAGGAAAACAGAGACAGACAATTTGAGGGGAGCCAGGTTGATGATGATTAATATCTTGTTCCTGGTTGGCCTCCAGTCCGGAGCTAAATGATTACAAGCGATATTGTCAATCTGGGTTAGATTCATCTTCAGAGTGAACCTTATATCAATCAGAGCCAAAATATAAAAATAAAATAAAACAATAGTTGATAAAACTGCAACTTCTCATTGTAACTTTCAGGTAACTAAGAACCAAAAATAAAATAAAACCACCATAACAACAATGATAATCAATTGTCCAGCATCTTAATTATCCCTTGGTGTATATGTATGCAAATGTACAGTACACTCATTTGACCATTGTTGCCCATCCAGATATACTCTTGCATGTTCTTCTTACTCTTATTCGCGGAGGCCTCAAGCACCCCCTTCTCTCTTCGCATACTCTTCCTCCATGCGCTCCTCAAACAGTCGTTCCGCCTCTTCCTTGCTCAGTTGACTTCTCCCTGACTGCCCAGTCGTATCGGATGACGGATCCGCGGTCGGTGCGGAGCCCGGCGCTGTTTGGAGCGGCTGTGAGAACGATTGCTCCTGCAGCTGCAGCTGTTGGTGCTGGTGTGAGGCTGAGGATGATGAGGACGCAGTGCCAGTACCTGGCGATGCGGAGGAGTTGGAGGGGATGGGCATTTTTATGTGGCCTTGACCCGGTATGCGTTGAGTGTACGTAGTATTGTAGATTGCTAGAATCCGATCATATGTTGGTGGTGGAACACCGTTTCCGTTGTTTGCGGGGCGGCTTGCCGTTCGACATATTGTGGCTTAACAAGCATAGCCGCTGAGCCGCTGAGCCACGTTGCCAAAGCTTCGACTGATGACTTAAACTAGTCCCAAATAGGATATGATTCCTGATAGAAGCTACATAGTTTTTATATATCTAAGCTGCGTAGATCGTTGCGATTTCCGCCTTGATCCTCTACTGCGTCGATAGTGAAGTAGCAGTTTGTCTCAGTTAGCCGGGCCTGCTAACTGCCATAGGCCCACAATCTACAGGTTGCGGGACAATCGATGACATCATCAGTGACATAGTGTGAGACCAGATGAGGTGTGATTTCAAAAGGCCATGGGCTGTCGCGATGCCGAATCTTAAGAGAATCTGAAAGCATCTCCCTTCAGGTGGGAGAAAGCCGCTCTCCAGCAGCCGTTGGGACACTGATCGGGAGACCCCATCTGCAGTGGGGAACAGTTCCGTTTCTGACTCCTAGTACAAGTACTCTTCATACTCTCGGATACTTGAAAAGGCAAAGATATTTTCGATGTCCGCTGCCGACTATTTGGCTAGAGGATAAGTGTTATAACCTCTGTATTTCATGGCATGTGTCTACCCAGCTACAAGAGTCGACTGAGCCCTCGGCAGGGTGTTGCAACTCAGCCTGTCCACCACCAAAGGACCATACAGGTGTTTATCTACACCCTTGCGGAATATACGCACATCGAGGGAACCCACAAAAAATGCAGACGCCGATGCCACAATGCTCGAGAGGATAATGAGCTGTAATACAACCGCCAAAAATTTATCTTAGAGTGGCCGGTAGCTAGAATGGAGTACAAGTTGGATGATAGATTTCGGGTATATCACTTAGCTTTAATTCTATCGGTTGAAGTTAATAACGCGTGGTTTAAAGGAATGCTATTCAAAAATATTTACAGCATAAAGGCCATCAGCATCTGCATGAGATTTAATGGCATTAATTTAAATAGTAAACCTATTCCTTCGCTGTTTTGATATATTCTATAGCCATGTCAATATGTCTTACGGTAACATTGGCTGCCTCCAACTGCTCATTTTTTTCGACCTTCGCCTCTTGGGCCATAACCCCACCTCACGACATCGGTTGCGCTGCGGAGAAGGAATCCCTAGTCCCCTTGGTTAAGCGCCGCAGCCTAATAAATTGTAGGATCCCAGCGAAACCATGCCAATCAACTTTGGCCACGCAGTACACTAGATGCCTCCCATGTTGGAAGACGCCTTGGGATCACGTTGTGACTAGCCAACCTGGCATGGAGCAACGTCTTGACTTGAAAAGGGAGCCATCTACCCATATAAATACTTCACATACAGTCCTGACAGCTTAAAAGATTGTGCTCAGTTTCTTCTCTAGTTGTTGTCAAACAAGATTCTGATATCCTACTGGACTTGCATATACCGATATTTCAACCCCAGACCTCTACGGTATGAAATGGCTCCTTCGACATACAGTGCAAATCCCAATCTAATGATTTGAACTTGGTGCAGATATGAGCAATAAAAAGCGTCTATTTATCTCCATTCATCACCGAGATGAAATATCTTTTCAGGAGGGAATTCGCTGCACATTCCGTGCATACCACTGGGGAATTTTGCTAGCACCTAAAAAATCCAGCGGCCGGGACAACACAGCGTTTGACGTTTCGGATGGCCTTCATTTGGATAGTGAAACTGGACAAGACGTGAACCCAGAGAGAGATTGGTACTTCAGAAAGAAGAATAATGTGGATCCATTAGGCAGCGGGCGGTTAATCGGTCGGGTCATGATCGGAAAAGTTCCTCCACAAACAACAGGCAATGACATTGAAAATCTCTTTAGCAGTATTGCTCTGCCAGATAAGGAATTGGGAGAGAGGTGTCGCCATTGGGTTTGGAGAGTTGTATTGGCTCTGCAAAATGAGTCCATGATACAAAAATTCGATATTGAGAAGTTCAAGGACTGGCTATTGAATTATGCCAATCAGTGCCTGGCCAAGCCTGATCCACGCAATATTTGTGATTATAAAGTGAAGACAAGCTAGTTGCGCATAACATTCCCTGGTTCATCATATAGCCTCCAAAGAATCTTTTCTGCCATGAGCTCATCCTCATATGAAGGAAGTTTAAGTTTGATTTTTTCATACCACTCCGGCACCTTGAAGGAAGTGTAGTATGTCTTTGTTAGATCCCAATACTCTGGGTACCAGCCTGCTAATGCCCAGTCCACAACTCCCACAATCTTGCCCTTGCGTATAATGATATTCCGTGGGGCTAAATCCGCATGTGAAAAAAAAGTCTGGTAATTGTTGTGATGGCAGATTGCAACCTCTTCCCCAAAAACCTTAGCTGTAGTTTCCAATGGAACACCACCTCGTAAGAAAGAATGAAAGTTGGCATGAGACTGAAATGGCCCAACAAGATGACTACCGATGCGATAATCAAGAATAGCTCCACCTTGAGCAGATGCAACTACCCCTTCTTTAGGAGGACGAAGCGCTCGAAGCTGAGTTAAGATAACCGCCATATCATTGACAATGGCATCCTGTTCCTCTGGCTTCAACAGGCCGAGCATCCACAGAGTTTCGAGGTTTGTGCCTTTAATGTAATCCATCATGATATAGATGCCGCCTGGCCCATTGTAGGTACATCGAACTCGAGGAACTGGAATAGTAGTGTGCTCTGCAATGTAGAGGAGCGCTTCGAGTTCAGGGGGGTCGCAGGGCCCTTTAATGACACAATCCCACCCAACCCTAACAATGGTTGGGCCTAAAGATCCAAAGATTGACCGGGCTATTCTATATCGAGTATGAAGAACGGCGGCTTTCAAATCCAGACCTGCATTAAAGATGAAGGGGTCAGTTTCAGTCTTCTCGGATGCTAAGGCCTGAGTTGAACAAACCTTGGAATAAAGTTACCATTACCTGCAGCTGTCAGCTCTGAGGTTCAATAGATGCGAGATAGAGTTGAAATCTGGATAAAAAGAGATTGGAGCAGGTGATTTTTGCTTGATTGTGGTTCACTCATCGACCTCAAATTTGCCCCTGGATTCAACCTGGGAGTGTAGTTAGTTAACTAGTTGATTACAGTGGTTTAGCTTAGTCAGCTACTCACCAGATGTTGGGGGGAATGGGTTGCTTCGTCCCCTCTAACATCAGGCTCCTCAATGTTACTCCACCATCATCAACACCGATTTAGAAGAGATGGATCAAAAAGTATAAATTTGGAATTAGAGTTAAGGAATTAGAACCTGAGAAACATTGGAAAATACACTGCCCTACACCTAATGAAGATGGAGGAGAGAAGATTGAAATGCAGCTAGCCAATGGGGTCTAGGCTCAAAGTTTTATTTATCAAGGGAAATCTGAACCCTGTTCAAATATTGCTAGATTGATGGCCTAGCATATACATACAAGCCGCGGAAGAGGAAGAGGCAGCCAGAGCGAAGAATGGAAGCAAGGATCCAAACCAAGTTCATTAATGATATCATTTCTATGCGTAATATGCCTGCAGAAACTTATGGGATGAGATTGTCGAGAATAAAGTCCAACCAGAGAGAGCAGGGATCCGTGAATTCTTGAACTATAGTTACATGTACCAGAGACAGCAGTTGCCAAAGTGCCGTTATCCAATTCTAAACGTCTACGCGGTGTCCTAATAATCAATACCATCGTATTCGCCAACGCTCATTTCATGGATGCTATCCTCGAGAGAGGGACTCTCAGTGACTTTATGATCCAATGGAGCCGGACCCTTACGTCTCTTGCCCTTCCTCTTGCCATCACCCGTGAATATTGGCGCCTCCCTTATCCAGCGTGAGATACACTCCGCCCGTTCTGTGCTAGTAGGATACTCTTTACTATCTTCCTGTGCCCAGCGTTTAGGTGCTGCTCCCGTTTCTGCGTTCCTGCCGTTGTCTTCCTTGCGGCAGCTCTTAGTACTCTTCTCGCGCCCTCGCACCGCCGCAAGAAAGCTTTCTTCGTCTTGAACACGGTCATCAGCCAATGCTTCCATGATCGCATTGCCTTTTCGATGATCCGGCGCTTCCTCTGGGATCACCTCTCTCTTTTCCAATCCTGCGTGGCCTGGAAGTGGGGATGGGGCACAAAGCGCTTCCCACGATTGCTTGAGTCCGATCCAATTGTCCACACGGTTAAGGACTTCAATCCAATCTGCCCGCGCGGGCGATCGAGGTGCAAGGAAAATTGGATACCCGTCACAAACGCGGGATAAGCGTGCAACCATGTGGGCGTGCCGGCGAAGTTCCTTAGGTGATGTTTGAATGAGAGGGTAGCAGAGAAGGAGGGAATGAAGGGCATCGGTCAGTAACGGGTGATAGGTTACAGCTTCATGGCAGTCATGATTTGCGAGGAGAACCGCATCGTCGTGAGCGGACGATATCCCCAGCCCATTTTGCCGTGCGGGTACCAACGCCTCGGAGTCCGGGGGGTAAGGGGGAAGATTGAGCAACAGTTGTTCAGAGAACAGAACAGAGAGCGGATATACTTCTACGGGAGGAAGTGGGTATTCGTCTTGAGCTCCTCGGTAGTCACCGGAACTAGGAGACATTGAAGGTGAGCTTATGTTACCTCCAGTTGCGTGAGCAGTCTCTTGAGTGCTGCTGGCCTGAGTATGGGAGCCTCTCCGCTTTCTCTGTCCACTAGGTGTAATGTGAACCTTGTGGAGAAGTTCTTCAGCAATCTCAGTTGGCAGTCCGGCAGTATAGTCGAGGTGTGAGAGAAAATTCAGATAATCACGCAATGCGCGTTTAGCATTAGTCTTGACAATTCTTCGCGCTTCGAGCCATCGGCGATACGCTTCTTTTCCCGCGGGAGACAATGTGGGCGTGTTGCTACCTTGTCCATCTGTATTTGTATTTGACATTTGTTCATTTTGAGAAGCTTTTAGTGCATCAAGCGCCAAATCGATATTTTGGCACGCAATTGCCAGGTACACCCCTCCACGATGAAATAAGAGTTGAGGTTCCAAGCTGCTTGGCTGAAACTTCTCATCTACCTTCAAGTCATACCTGGAATACCTGGGAGATGATGGCGCGCTCCTGTTCCTGCTTGCCAGCTCCACCTGATCCTGGCCGGTTCCATGCTGTGCTGCATAGAGTCGACAAATGTTTAAACCTTCCGTCAGATCTCTGGCGGCACCGGCAAAATCATCCTTAAACACTCTTGTAATCGCTCTTGTTCGGTAAAAAGCTCCCTCGCGGGGTCCGTTTGCAATCACCTCGTCCAAGGGGAGTAGAGTTGTACACTGCGCGAGAGATCGAGAAGGGATCTTCTCATGAAAAAAGTGAACATATTTAGCATCGCAGTCTTTTTCATTCCGCTGGAGTACCATTTTCGCCACCTCTTCCAGCGCGGAAGCAGATTGCATGGTAGCAACGCTGGCCGCAATTTCATCCAGATGGTATGCTCGAGAGAGCTTCTGGGTAGCATGCTCCCGCATCCTGTGCCTCCGCTCCTTGCTCAATTTGGCGGTTCCAGCACCTCCTCGTCCTCCTAATCCTAGCCCCAGGACCCCGCTATTTCCACCACTTAATAATCCATTGCTAGCATTTAATGAGTTACTGAGCGCGGACGACGTGGTTCCGTTAGCCGCACGGACAGCCAGATCGGTAGCTTCCTCGATCAAACGGCGAATCTTCACGAGGTCAAAGAACACGGCTGGGTCAATGGGCTTCGGACGGGGGGAGGCATAGTTGCTATATGCAAGGCTTTCCAGGACTTCTGGGGGTAGCTGAAGCCACGGTCCGTGGAAGGAAGATATGTAGCGCCAATGCCTGGTTTGTTGGTTGGATAGTTATGCAGAGTTAGTAAACGGACAGATTTGCCAGAGCCGCAGGTTGAATTGAAATTGGCAAACAGGACTACAACTCAGCGAGGAAATCAGCATACTTGTTGCGGCATATTGTCAGAGAGGAGGCTGACTGTTCAGGAGTCTTCGTCTTGGAGTTCTTGAGGGGTGGTGCTGGCGGCGGCTTCAACGCCTCGGGATGAATTGGTGGAGATGATGTTGCTGAAACGCGGCCGTCCCTTGCACTCCCGGCCAATTCTTCCTTCGCATTCAAACCATTCTGCGACTTCATTTTCCTAGTCATGCGGATGCAACTTGAAAGACAGCCCGACTCTTCTTGTAGGCTGAACGATTCACTAGCATTCAATAAGCCCTGGTCGGGGCGGAACAACATTGACTTTTCTGGGTTTTCGGACGAAAATACATCGTCCAGCTTCAATGACTGACATCAAGCCTCTTGGGCATAGAAATGTTAGCTGGTGAGTTCGACGAGAATTACCCCAACTGCCGTTGGGAAACTTCAAGTTAATTTTACAATGATTTTACAATTTACGAAAACGGCGGATATCCATGGACCAAATATTGCGAAGATGTATTTAATGTCTATGGTATCATTAAGGCTTGAAATTCAGGAACAACATAGGACACTGGAATGAGCATATGCATATTCCCTCGCTGGCTATTTCTTTGTTGCGCGAAACCAGCCAAGTACATGAACCCTCTTTAATGCATCAATTAGCTGGTCCACTGTTGTAAATATGGAAATAAAATACAGGGCTTTGTATGTCGCATTTAATATTAGTATATGAAGTTACTGAAATCTCATTCCTGGGGTATCTATTCCGCGCTTAGGGCGAGACAAGCATCTACAGCGAGGCCAACTCTAAAAGCAAAACAATATATGTATCAGTTCCCCGCGATAGGACAAATAAGGGGTTGATCCGAACTCACCTCCCTTCTTTCATCCTCACGACATCGTCGATGAGATCCTTATCTAGATTTGGAAACATTCCTGATAAAGTTCTTTGAATCTGTTTAGCCAACGCAGGAAGCAGGAAGCAGGATACAGGAACAGGGATCTCTACTTACTCGACGACATTGACATGCTCCGCCCGCTGTATCCGGCGCGCCTCCGCTGCCTCCGCGCTTGCCTGGCGAGCTGCAGCTTCTTGGGCATCGAGCTTGCTAATTTGCTGTGGGGTGATGTCTTCTCTTCTACGCTGTCTCTCCGTCGAACGGCGCGCTTCATCTGTTTGTTGCGTGTTCAAAAGGTTTTGTGGGGCCGTTCGTTGTTGAGTGACTGGATGTGGGGATTCCTCAGAGAATATTCGGCCAATAGTTGAAAGAGGTTTTTGGATTGTACGCAATAGTCCTGCCACCGCTACATTGTCTTCACTGCTACCAAACTGATAGGAATCTTTTCGTTTCGCGTATGACTCCCCTTCTGTAGAATTCCGTGGTGTTACTTCGGGTTCACTTAGGGTTGATTTTTCTGGCTGCAGGAGGGGTGGGCCTGCAGCCTCTTCGCTCCGCTCTGCTATTGCGGATACAGCTGCCTCAACGTTTCGTTCAAACTCTTCATCGCTAATAGTAAGACTAGTTCGATCAAGTGTTTCGATGAACTGGATAGCACCAGACTAAGGGTAGTTAGTAGCAATTGCAAAATGAGAATATACCATCCGAACATACCAATGAAGACAAATAGTAACCAGCCTCGCCAGCCAGTTTTTCCTGGTTCCGGAAACGGAGAATATATTGTATATTTGAAACTAGATGTTCTGGGTTTGCCTTCAAGACGACATAAATTAGGAGTGGGACAAACGAATCTGCAGATGTATCGCCATTTGGCGCGTTCCTCAGTAAACCTATTGATTGTCAGCTTGGGAGGAGATAGGACCCGAACGCACTGCCGACGCCATACCGAATATCACTTTGCAGCAGTTCAAAACACAAATGACCTTGTCTCTGGGAGCACGATAACCCTTGATCTTCAAAAGCTCTGTCAAATTGGGTTAGTAACATCCGGCACTCACCAACATTCCGCGTTATACGTACCTTGTTGCGCGAGGGCCAAGAAGCGCCGTCCATTAGGGCCGACCGGAGGAATATCAAGGTGCTCTTCTCGTACCCAACTATAAATGCGGACTTTCTGGGCTAAGACCTCATCGCGTTCGACATCTTCTTGATGTTGGCCCCTTCGTCCGGGCCCTAGGTACCTTCCCGTATCCTTCTTCTGGCCTCTGCTTCTACTCCGCGAGGGCGCTGGCGGCGGTGGTATAGCAGGCGAAAACGTTTGTGAATACAGTCTGTTCATTACAAGCTTTTCTATGCCTTCTTTGGCGTTGTCAAATTCAACGTCAGAAATGTCCCTCCAAACTTCGCACTGAGCCATTTTGTTCGTAATGAATGCGAGAAAATCACTGATTATTTTCACTTGTTCATGAACCATCCATTGTTTCTTTCCAAACTCGGTGAGAAAAGATCGAAGGAACTTGGCTACTGGGTCTGCAGTTCGATGACGAAGTTGTTCGAGGAAACGATGGAAATCAAAGGGCTGGTCTGGTTCTGGTTCAGGGGGCGGCGGACGTGATGCAGAATTTGAGGAGGCAGCCAACTCCGTCCCAGCAGGATTTTGCGAGTTAGTCGAAGGGGACTTAGGAGGCACAGCAGGTGGTGAGATTATTTGTGAGCCAATGCTACGAATGGACGATGGGCGCGATTGCCATTGATTGGAAACATGAGTTTCAATAGGACTGCGCGGCGAAACGATGGGTTCCAAGCTTGACTTGCGTGGTGGAAAATGCGCTTGTCCAGGGAGGAACTGCTCGGCCAATTCAAGTCGAGGAGACATAAGTTCCCCCGGTCCCGGGTGTTTCGTATCGTCCGTAAACTGATCCATGATGCTTTGTATTTCTGACTGTGAATCTTCGTCATTCTGTGCCTCGATTTTCGCTGGCTTGTCAACGTCTTCGTCACAGGCAATATCTGCGGGGATTTGCGGAAGATCCTTGTCTGTATAATCGGTGGGCATTCCTAGAGGTGATTGAGGTACTTGTGGCGTCTTCGGGGTAGGGTCTAGATAGGGCCTCTCTGCCTGAGGAGATGATGGCGAAGTGGAAGCGACGTCGATCTTAAGGGCTAATGACTGTGTGCTGCCAGATTCTCGACAAGAAACTGCCAGCCTTTCTATGTTTTGGGCAGATGTATTCATATTAATGAGGTCGTGATTAGGCCCAAACGAACCAGCCGTAGCTGAGGTCCCCGCCATGCCAATAGTTTCAGTATCGTTATCATTAGTTTCTCTCCGTTCTGCTTCCATCATCGTGTTAGGCGACAATCCAAGGGGTGTATTTTCATAGTTGCTGGAAAACGGACTTGTCTTCGGTGTCGAGCCGTCTGCCTTAGGATACTCTGTCCGTTCCCCTATGATGTCAGAGCCAAGTTGCTGACTCTCTTGTTGAGGGCCGTCACCTCCTGGAATGCAATCTCGGGGCTCGGGGGAAGACATAAGCTGGACATGGAGGTTGGTAGGTCAAAATTGTACAAGTGAATTCAAGGTGCAGTGCCCATTCTGAGATGGCTCTCGTCGAGAGACAAATATTCGCTGAATATTGTCGACACGAACTCGGGTTAGTTTCATGGCCGCCTCTTGCGTCGACAACCAGTCGAGGCTTATATTAAGGAAGTTTCCGGACTATTGTTGCCCCGAGAGGAGTTGTTGACTTAGCTAGGCTGTCACATGATCCAAGATCGAAACTCAACTGTCTCTCGTCCTCTTGCGAAAGTGTTATCTCAACTGACCAGGAATCCTCTTCGAGCGCCATGTGCGGCATATTCTTTTCCTTGGGCGCAGGGAAATATGTGCAGCCGGACGAGGAAACCACTCAGCTCCTGCAAAACAGAGGCCCTGACTGTTTTAACAGGCACACTCTTCAGGTACAACCTTCAGAGGAGGCGAGACCGAACCTCGCTGACATTCCTTCTTCCCTCTGTCTAACTTATATTTCAACCGTTCTGGCTCTTCGCGGGGACCATCTACAGGTTCAGCCCTTTGTAGACTCCGACAGTCGGTCGGTTCTATGCTGGAATGGGGAGGCCTGGAAAATCCAGAACAATCCAGTTCAGGGGAATGATGCCAAGTGTGTTTTTCAGTTACTCCTAAAGGTCGTACAGCCGCCCGAAACTCAAAGTGGCTTGCTCCCATCTCAAATCACGGAGAGCCAATATTTAGCTAAAGTAGTTCAGGCCGTGGGTGCCATTTCTGGCCCTTTCTCCTTTGTATTCTATGATGGATATCGCCAAAGGGTTTTTTACGGAAGAGATCGTTTGGGAAGACGGGCACTTCTGAGTGGATGGGATATTTCCGGAAGTTTCAAGATTTCCAGTGTTTGCGACGGGACGTCGTCCAAGCATTTCGAAGAAGTAGAAACTGATGGCATTCATATGATCGACCTTGCCAGCCTTTTCCAAAACACTGGTTGCAATACAGCCCCATCGGATGTATTGCGTTCAATATTAACTGTGAAGAGATTGAATTGGAGAAACGAAATAACTTCTAATACCGAAGGGGATTTTATTGTATGTTTTCTTACAACGGTCCCTTAAAACCCTATCAACTAATACACTCTTACAGGCAACTCATTTACCACCCATTAACAAATCTGTTTTTATCAGAGAGATTCCTCCACTGCTTCAAACAAACTCGCCGTCTATAGAGACACTAGAGCTCAAGCTTCGTGAATCACTCAAGCTTCGGCTCGCAAATATTCCAGAGCCTCCCCATTACTCATCACATTATAGGTCAAAAGTAGCGGTTCTTTTCTCAGGAGGCCTTGATTGTACCATACTCGCAAGACTAGCACATGATATCCTTCCCATAGATGAGCCGATCGATCTGCTTAATGTGGCATTTGAAAATCCTAGGGTTATTGCAGCCGCTGCCTCGTCAACTTCCAAATCAGCAATGACACCGCTGTGCACATTTGAAACCTGCCCGGACCGAATAACGGGGCGATTGTCCCACACAGAGCTACAAAATATATGCCCCGGCAGGCCCTGGCGGTTTGTTGCCATCAACATTCCGTACACGGAAACATTAAACCATCGAGAAAAGGTCAGGCGCTTAATGCGACCCCATAACACCGAAATGGATCTATCGATAGCCTGCGCCCTGTACTTTGCATCGCGTGGGAGAGGAGAAATCACAAGCGATATGGACCAGCATGCGACAATACCATATACAACAACAGCACGGGTTCTCCTGTCCGGGCTTGGCGCCGACGAAATTTTCGCAGGCTATACAAGGCATGCAACTGCGTTCAAGCGGCATGGCCTCCAGGGGCTTGTGGATGAAATTGCTTTGGATGTTGGTCGTCTTGGCAAACGAAACCTGGGCCGAGATGACCGTGTTATATGTCATTGGGGTCGCGAGGCAAGATACCCCTATCTGGACGAGGACTTCCTAGCGTGGGCGCTTGCCTGCCCTATTTGGGAAAAATGTGGATTTGGAGCGTTGCCCCCAGGCTCAACTAGCACGCCTGACATTATAAAGGAACCCGGAGGCACGGAGGAATCCCTGGAGCCTGGGAAAAGATCTCTCCGACTCCTCGCGTGGAAGCTCGGAATGGAAAATGTTGCTCGTGAAAAGAAAAGGGCGATTCAATTTGGGTCTCGAACTGCCAAGATGGAAAGCGGTCGAAGCAAGGGAACACAGATATTAGAGTGAAATTATCTGCACTCATTGCCGGCCCGAGCCTAGAGTATATCACTGGGTGTGGAAACGTACACATATCCCTCAAACGTTGAGAGCATGAGGAACTGAACGCAGCAATGATGACAATAAACAGATACTTCTGATGGCTAGTTGTCTGCCGATAGAAAACCATGTCTAGGCTGGGTACATGCCTTTCGCTGAAGCAGAGCGTTTTCTTCGATGCAGATTGCTTGATGGAACATTTAAAGGCAAGTCTGAGCTGCGGTTTGTATGAGCATTACGATGCTGCAAGGCTCGCAATCCACATTTACCGAATGGCATTTTATGATCCAAGGCATTTTTGCGCACCACATGGGATGGATGCTTGTCCAATTGAGCAGTGCTTTCAAGAGGGATTTGGCAGACTTCTTTTTTTCTTTCATATGTTTGATTTGTGCGATGACCTTACGAACTTACATACCCTATAGGACTCTAGGACGTAGGCGAAAAGTCCCATAATAGAAGCGTCTGTTTTCACGACACAGTTTTGGGTATGTGTATAAATTTGAAACTGGGGGCGTAATTGGGAAGTTAAATAATCGTTGGGTAGGATGATTCTGCTGAAACATATTAATGCATCATCCAGTATTGCTCCACCTCTGATTCCTTGGCCGGGACAGAAGGTTTCGAGAAGAATCAAAAAACCCCCCATTGAGTTTTCCAAAAATTCAAACGAAGTGGCGCAGAGAAACCTTAACGTCGACTCATATTTGGATTGAGATAGAATGTTCCCTGAACCTAGTAAGGTAAGAGATGTACCCTCCTTGGCGGAGCTGGGCCTTATACTTGCAGATAGCTATTTATTCCTTATTATTACAGATGTTGTTTCAGTAGAAATCGGGTTGCTCCGCCCTTCATTGCATTTTTTTTTATTTTTCATTAACAATGCATCGCGAGCTACCAAACCTACGAGCACGCGCTGCTCCGCCCTTTCAAATCGTTGAGGGTAAAAGTATCCTTTAGTCTGCATCAGCTTCACCGCTTAACCAAGGCACGGCCCTGGTACACACACAGGATACCTGGAAAGCGGCAGGCAGAAAAGGTGAAGTGTGCCAAGAGCAAAAAACACCTCTATTGAATCATCGCCAGTTGTTGTTTTTGAGTCTTCCCATCGACTTGGTGGTAGGGTGCACGGGTAGGTAACCTTTGACGGCAGAGCGGTATGCAGTGAAACTGTTGAAACAAACGGGACTGTGGTAGGTTAGCAGATGTCCCCCAAAAGTGTGCCGACATTTATAAATAATAATAGTTAACTGACTTAAAATGGTTGTGGATAATTATAAAAAGCTAAACGGAGATCCGTTGGATGACGAGCCTTAATTTGAGATCGAAAACTCAAACTCTAACGATAGCTTCAAGGGGCTTCGGTGAGATTTTATCCAACGGCTAGTTCTGCCCCGAGTAGTGGAGTGAATGTATGTATGTATGTATGTAGCCTTGCAGGAAGAGGGGGTTGTGTGCGACCGGATTGCAGTTGGAATGGCTGCAAGGATCACCTGCTGATCTTGGGAATTAACTGTTCACCCGACATTCAATTTCTAGCATGCATGTGCATACACAGTAACTAACTTGGAGAGTTCGTTGTTATTGATGCGTAGTCTGGACACCGCCGTTGCCTCTAGAAATGCTAAACCATGCAATTGCGGGGAAGAGACTTGCTTTGGCGTGGACTTCGAAGTTCGGAACCGCGGCTTTGCCATGATTAATAATTCCTTCATTTTTCCCCTTCCCATTCTCGCCACTGTTAAAAAAAGAGAAGAGATCAGCGTATCAAATTACATCAACGTATCATAAGAATATCGGCCAAGGATCATCGTATTTATTGACTAGCCTGGCAGTCTCTGATCGACTGTTTTGCGCCATCCCTGGCTGGGCCGGGGACATTGGAGTGACAAGCATAGGCTACTAGTACATCATACATGGGCGTGGAACCAACCCCAAACAACGCCAGATCAACCTCGTCTCAGCCATTCAGATCCCCAGATAATGTTGGTAATCAACTTGATGCCATTATTGTTATTGTGGCTATCGAGCCATTTTGAGTGTTCTGTAAACAAAACCTTGGAAGAGGTTGAATGCGAATCACGCAGGTACCAACAGAAGCGCCAACAGACAACAAACATTTGCCATAGAAGGAGGCGGAATCCTCCATCCTTCCCACGGTTTTCAGAGTCTCTGGCCACACCACACCGGCTCTGGCTTGATGATGCAGCGCAAGTTTCCCAGGCCAATTTTCGCTGGGTTTTTGCTTTGAAGCAGGGTGATATGTAAGATGTCCTGGTTTGTATTGATTGATTGATGTATGCACCCACCGCTTCTTATTCTTGTCGCATCGAATAACGCTTCTCGTAATAGATGCTTCTTTTTTGAGTTTTTATTGGGTCTTTTTATTCGTCATTGAGTGCCACTGGCCCTATTAAATACGATACTCAAGAGTGCGATCCATGAACCCGAGACATCTCTGAGTTGTCTGATCGTACTCCGTACTCGTAGCCATTTTTAAACCCCAATGTGCGAAGTAATCGTAGCCCCAGCCTGAAATGAAACAGAGCAGGCTGTTGATATAATGAATGGCCAGCAGAACACATTGGTGTTCCTTAGCCATCGCAAGTTGTACAGATCAACGACCCTCCATTTGAGGATCTGTTTCCGCAAGACTAGTGGCGGTTAAGCGCAGTTGTGTCTCAACGTCCAACGCAGCCTGCGCAGGAGCTTCGAGGGTATCCCCGGACATCTTAAACCCAGATGTCGCCTCAAGTTGCAGTTACTGTTCCCTGAATAACATTTTTTCCTCGAATGACACCGCAGTCTGGCGGCGTCGTCACTCTCCGCCTCCCTTACCTGCGGCGCACCCACAAGCTCAGCGCTAATTGGCGCTAGCCAGACTTTCTCCTCAAGTGTCTCCCGCCTCCCTCTTCTCCTGGCAACTCTCCCTCCAACCCACCCACCGCCGCCCTCGACCGCTTTCAATGACCCCCTTCGACGGTTGCCGATCTGATCACTTCGTACCTTCGCTGTCTTTATCCCTTCTCTCTCGGTCCATCTTTCACTCCGTTGTGCTTGCTGCGATTCCAAACAGTCTGTCCGATTGCGAAGCCAGCCCAACACCATCTGCCCGTGTGCCTCAACCCAACGCCACTCGCTAGATTCCACCTCAAAGGTGGGCGCTGAGATCGGCTGGAGTCCTACAACGGCTGGCTCCCTCTGAGCTCCAGAGAAATTTCGACTTCATTGTACTGTTCTTCCCTTTTCTGTTCGGAAATTCGTTGTCCGGTCCGGATAGATTTCTGTCACAACCCGGGAGTCATTGGCCGCACCAGTTCCGTGGTTAAGAGCTGGCATAACATATAGACACTGTTGGATGGCTGGGTAGGCTTTCTTCAAGAGCAAGGAATGGTATTGCGCCGCCGTGTGGAGTCGCGACCTCATTTCACCCACATTCCTCCCAATAATTAAACAGGAGTCATGGCGTCAAACACTCTTACGGGGACTTCCCCAATACAGCCCACGAATACGAATTCTTCCTCGAATAGCAGTCCGGGGGGTCCTACGAGTTCACCTATGCTGTTTTTTGTTGCGTTGGGTTTTGGTGTGGTTTTCACTAATCTCTGGTAAGATGTTACCAATTATGCCGGCCACCAGAAATGATAATCCAAATCTAACTGTGAAATGCATTGGTAGGATTATTGTCGGTGTAAAATACTGCTTCAGATATAACCAGCGCAATAGGCAAGCACGAAATGAAGAAAATGGCGAGCCCATTGACATGGTTACCGTACCGAGAACCCACCGAAGACGGCGGGAAAAGAAGCTAATGAGCATGGACGATGTAAACGCGCGCTTTCCTCTGATGAAATACAAAACATGGCGGGCAAATCGTGCGGATGAAGGACTCCCAACTGCTGGAGGTATACAAGCGCCAACCAGCAGGCCGTCGAGTTTGAAGAACGAAGGGGGAAGCATCATACTTCCGTCTGCAGAGAATCAAGAGTCTCCTGTCTCGAGAAATCCGACTTCAAGTCCAGAATCATCAAATGAGCCGGTACCGCAAGTAGAGCCAGAAAGCGGAATTCTACCAGCGGTGCACAGGGAAACAATGGCTTCAAGAGCGGAGAGCCGCTTGTCAGGTGAACATCTAAAAGAAATTTCAGGTTCCATGGAGGATGATGATGACGCAGACGAACACATCCGTAATGCTATCCCTGCTGAGCTACTTACGAACCCTGGGGATACCTGTGCAATCTGCCTTGATACTATTGAAGACGATGACGACGTGCGTGGTCTTAGCTGCGGCCACGCATTCCATGCATCATGTTTGGACCCTTGGTTGACAAGCCGACGCGCATGTTGTCCGCTTTGCAAAGCCGATTATTACGTTCCGAAACCACGCCCGGAGGGTGCTGAAGGAAGCGAGAATAATTCTTCCGGCCGCGGCAGACGTAATACGAGTCGAAATAATGATCCTGCACAGCCAGAACGTACTTATGTCCCCGGCCGTGGGAACCCATTCGTATCGCGCCTCGTTCTGCCAGGACGCTTCATCACCATAGTTCCTCCCGATGAACGATATCCAGGCTTCCCAAGACCTGTTTATGAGTCGCCAAACTCATCCCGTAGAGGGCGACGAGGACAGTCGAATCCTTCAGGTGACGTCACGAATCCTAATGGCTCAACGTCATGGAGATCACGGCTCCCTTCCATTCATCTCCCCACAGCAACCTTTTCTCGATTGCGGCTTCCGGATAGAAGGAATCGAAACGCAACTGGACAGGCTTCCACCACCGCTAATGAACCATCTCCACGGCAACTTGAATCCGGGCCCACTTGAATCTTCTTGTGTTTGCAAGCTGAAGCGCTGCAGCTAGATGTGTGCATGCCGTAACAGCTTGCCATATCCGTGGTACCATTGAAGAAGTCGAAGTTGTGTTCTCATGTCTCAACGATGTGCCACTTCACTCTTTGCATCTCTTAGGACATATGCGCTAGCGAATACTCAATGGTCACCAGTTTCAAACATTCCACCCTTATACTTTCTGTATTCCTACGTGATAGCTTCTCTATATTCGGATGAAGCGGTGGACTGAAGCTCCTCGAACCGCCACCTTGACCATCATCGCCATATATTTTACTCCCAGTTCGCACTTTCTCCCGGCGATTCGAAGAGAAGCTAGAATTCCTCGGGTTGGATCTAGGTATTGGATAAATTTTAGCCGTGGTAGTTCATTTTTGCCCTTCGAAACATAATTTCCTCATATGTGAAGGTTCCATGTTCCTCCTTCACATGCCGAATGCACACCCGGACCCACGCACAAACACATCTATAATGTTATATATATGCAACTCACAGAAAATATCCATCTGAGATGTTACGTTCCATCTCTACTCAACACATATTGGACAGGTTCCCAGCTAGACGACATATGTTCGCCATTGCGTCTTGTGTTCATATTTTTTTAAAATCCTTATCCATTTATAATTGTCACGTCCAAGCTTGTTGATCTATTCGCATCACCATCATGAATTTGTCACGACCAAACATTCCCCCTTCCCGTACATAACACTCACCGCAATATACCCCATATCCACTCCATCAGTCGACGAATGTCTTCTTTCCTAAGAGTCGAGCCACACATATTTTTCTCGAGGATTCTTCGTTCGGAGGCCTTATTACCCCAACCCCCCTTTATTCAATTTAGTGGTTCTTGCCTTCTCCTGATTTCTTATCACATGAATGGAGCTATTGTATTTCTTTTCTTCTTTATTTTTTTTTTTTTTTAATTCATGTGTGCGTTTACGTAACTGGATGCAGTTAAGGCTCTTATCGACGATTCATTTTTCTTTTCCTTTCTATTTCCTTTGTTCCTTTGTCCATTAGCGGAGTCAAGGGAGCCTAGCATGAGACCGACGAATCGTAAATATCTTGGCCTTTTTTTTTTTTTTAGTAGTCACATTACATATCATACCATTTATATTTCCTCCCTTTTCCCTCCCCCCACTCCCTCCCCCACAACTCCCGCCTTTCACCGGCGGCTCCATTAAATAAAAAAAATATACACCAACTACTTTATATTCCATACGTAGCTACCTCGCACACACCATCTGTAAAACTCCTTCGCAGGTTTTCCTCAGCCGCAGCCAGCTAACTTGGGTGTCGGGTTGGTCGTGGTCGTGAGTGATTTAGCAGATGCGCATGGTAGGGCATGGCGGTTGCGAGGAAGGGGGGTGTGTATCTTCGGTGGATCGGTGGTTAGAGTCGCATTGACCCCTATGCGTGACATGTGAGCCAGAGAGAATGGCGCTGCTGTTTTATTGAAGTATTGGAGTGAGTGTTATTGTTGTGGGGTTGGTTGGGGGAAGGGGGGAGGGGGAGAGGTTTGAGGGAAGGGAAATGAACGGCCCGGTAACCAGCCGCCATCAGTGTACGAAACGGGATGGATGATTTGGGAAATTGAGGTTGTTTCGAGAAAGGGTTTTATGTTATTTGTTTGTTCAAATATATATATATATATATATATCAATAAAGAGGACGTAAGGACTGCATATCTTAAGGCGAAGCGGCCCGGTATATTTCCCTCAAATAAACTGTTTTTGTACCGATGATGATCTAGAGCACTTGGTCGTATTTATGAAAAGGGTCGAGGAACTGGCAAGGGGAAGAAAATACAAAAACCGTTTTGCTTGTGCCATTATATATACTTAATATGAAGTTAGTTGGCGCCGAGGAGGTAGCCCATGGATGATGGATAGTATGTACTACAAGAGACATGAACCGAAGCAATAAAAAATATGACAACCCAAGAAATTGAGAAGAGAAAAAGCCCTGTATAAAAAGACGAGATCCTGACTTGGCAAAACCAGATGCAACTGGAGCCAAAATGAAAATTTAGAAAATAGCCTCGAAGATGTAACTCAGGCAAATACCCACACGCCAATAGAGAACTATAAATATATAAAAGATAACCGTTAAGGGGACGGAATAAAGAGCTCATTTTTGAGATTTTGGTACAGCAACCCCGGCACCGAGGACGCCAGGCAAATCTTCCATCCCAACACTAAAGAGCATCCGGATGCCTCCAGTAACAGCAAAAGCGAGTAGGATCGAAAAGGAAACAATAAGAAAGAAAGGCGTGCTGACGTCCTGCTTCTGGCATGCCGGTCCACCCCACTGGATTGTCTTAACAGTGCCATCTTTGTTCGTTCGCACAACAGTCCTGCTGCATTTGCAGGCATAGCAGTCGCCCCTGGAGTTCTCTTTAGATGCGAATTTTCGGTAGCACGTCCCGTGGCCGGAGCATTGTTTTGTCACTTCTGTACAGGTTTTGTTGCTGTTGTAACAAACAGGCATCATGGTTGAAGGAAATTTGTCGCCAGACTCGGGGTTCTTTACGGATCGTCGCTGTATGGGTTTCGGCGACATAATCTCAGTTTCTCCAGGTCGGCGTTGAAGCATGTGGTATGATGGCGAAGGAGAAGTAAATATCATAATAGATTCCTGGTTGGATTCCTTTGCTAGGATACTAAAATCTGCAAGGGTGGCAAAGACAGTTTTTCGTACTGCGAGTGTGTTTGACTAGAAAGAGGTAAGTTAGCTGTTTTGGCTCCAAATACATAGCGTTTGCGCAGTTAGCAAACGTATCTCACCTCGGAGAAGATCCTCATAATAGCGGTTATACATCCACCTCCCCAGCCTTTCGCGCCTTGGGCAATAAACTGGCGGAATGCAGTTTCGCTCAATTCCGAACTTGTGGAGAAGATGTCTTTCGTTGAAGGGCACTGGTTTACATGCTGGTCATAAAATCCGATATTAGTCACTTGAGGGTAATCTCATTTTCAAATTTGAAAATGCTCCTACCAGAATTAACGTTCCCCGGAATCCACCATCTACCGCAAAATCGTATGAACATAGCTTTGGTGTAGGCCGCTCAGCAGAGGAGTAGGTGAGCAAATTTTCAACAAACGATTCACTGACTAGCCCAGCAGGGGCAGAAGGGATGGTGAAGGAATCGGTTGAATATTTTGAAGCAGACGCGACTATTGATGCTCAGTGTTAGCATTCTGGTTCTGACGCTCAGTGCCGTGTCGGTGACTTACGATCAGGAACATCGACACCCTCCCAAACAAGTAGCATCTTCGCTGAACAGTCACCAGCTGATGTAGAACCCATAATGGGCGCTTGTGTCCCTCCAAATGTATTCAGATCCCGGATGAGAGTCTCGTCGGCTTGACCTAGCATTGCACCTTCTGATAGCCCTAATCGGTTGGCTAATATTAGCCTTGCTGTCTCCGGAGTCACTGCTCGGTTGACCGGCGGCACAGACTGTCGCCGTGCATCGAATGTGTAAGCCCTTGCATCGTAGGCAACTACACCGGTGATCGCAGAGCTCAAGAGAGGCAGAAGTGAAAGAAGGGGTCTCATGCTGCAATATGGCTGGTTGACAGCAGGACGCGGGCGAAAAGCGAGGTGAAGAATGGGGAATCCAGCTAACTCCTGGCGCTGGCGGATCTACAGAATTCTGGTGTGTAGCTGTAAAGAAATTGCAGTAGTGATATTGTCCCCGTTGCTGGCGTGCTGCGGGCTCTGAGGCCTGACGTTGAAGCTCTCTGATCAGGCCAAACCATGGATGGGCCTTATCTCAGTTGCTAAACCAGAATTTGCACTAACCCAATTTGAACTAGTTGCACTATTCTGCCAAGTCCGGTTAGAATCGTCAAAAGGTTTCAATGAATTCATCAGTGTCCATTCTATTTCTTGAGATATATAACTATCTGAATGAATCTCAACAATTAATTTCATCTATTCAACAATTCTGCATCATCAGAAGGATAGATATATTTTTTTTTCTAGCTCTCAATAGAGCTACTTTATATTCATATTTGAAGATGTCATGCATGATGTTGCCTAGGAATTGATCGAAGATTCGATGGTGGCCAACGTGCCAAAGGTGTTCTTTGTTAGCCTCATCAGAGTAGATTTTGTCGAGATAGATAAGAAACCGAGGCTTCACCAATTCATTGATTTAGAATATCTTTTCATGCCCTGCAAAACTTCAACTTCCACGGGACATAGCCGAGTTGCAATTCAAAAAGCCCCTGTATATTCATTACGGGAAAGGATTGCCACATTGGTGTGATAGCACAGCACCGGCCGCCATATGGAAAACATTTTACACTATATTCCTCAAGCGAGAAAAGAAAGAAACGAAAAGAAAAGGCGACTTTAGGGCTTCAGGATACCCCTTGCGGCCAACAAACGGTTCTCACAGGTGCATATCGTGTCCCTATTGAGCAGGAATTTAACGTATATTAGTTGATGTTAACGTCCACTTAATTTAAGACCAATACATACTGCGCGCAAGGAGTTTGCCATAGCAGCCGGTAAAGCACAAAGCATATCTTTGAAATTTAGTGATATTACCAGCATACAATGCCAGACTTTAATAATAAGAAGCTAATTTGATATTCAATTGCACAGGGGTGAAGCCAAGAAAAGTGCTAACATGTGCAAACGGAGATCAAAAGCCTGAATATCAGCGCTAATATTTATTGTTTTTATTCGTGGACGGAAAACGAGCTACATCATCTATATCACTGCATTTTCACGATGTGATTGGCAGCCGTCATCTGAAACCTCCAGCTTTTCAAGATATACCACAACTGAATTTGTACCAGAAAATACCAACGTGGGGAGAAAAGTTGACACGGAATAGCAGTGGAGGCAGTAGGTATTATATTTTAACTTGCCTGGCCCGTCTGCTTTTGAGGAAATGTATATATGATTTATTTGACCTATTTTTAAGATGATATTACTGCTATAATAATTGTGTCATCCATCAAGCGCACTCCAAATATCAGTGAGAGGAAGGAAATCCATGTCAATGCAATAGACAGGGTTCGCATTACTACTACTACTATCAGTACGTTTTGCTCGGAAGTTGAATCTTGTTGAGCCAGTGTTACCAGTCATCATTGGCCATTTTGAGGCCCTTCAGCTTTGAAAATTCAGATTCGAATTTATGAGCTTAAGTTTATAAAAATCTCTCAAGGTCATTCGTGTGAACAGGGTTGCACAGCGACTAACTAAAGCAGAATCCATGGCTCGCAGGCTATGAAAAAGGAAAGGGAAAAAAAAAATCTTGATATGCCGAATAACCTCTTGGTTTAAATTATTTTTATGATTCCTCAAGTATCTCACTTGGTATTATGTAGGTGGGATATTCTTATTATCTGAAGTTGTTGCTTTCTATCTACAGAGGACCTCATAGTACACAGGGTGACATGCAAGCAACCAGCATGTTGGCATCTGCCGGCATCACAAAAGATGCTAATTGTCATCAATTTCTGACTAAAATACACATATAGAGGATAAATCATGTAAATTGTTTAATCCTTGATAAGATTTGGGGATCAGTGTTGGAGGAGATGTCTCCATTATCTTGTTGATGGACAATCTGTGATCAATTAAATGCAAATGAATATAGAGTTCACATTCTTCATCTCCCTACTGCTGGTCTGGATCCAAAAAGCATACTATTGAGCATCATAGCATTTGTTCAGAAAACAGTTATGTGCTGGCTGATAAAGGAAAGGTTATTAATCTGGTTATGCATTCATATATAGTGGATTTGCAACATTTAGAGCACAAAGGGATTGTTAAAATTGGATAGATTAGCACAAGACAGAAAGGATGGTATCATTCATCTGATATATTTCACCAGACTTCCAGATGTAGAAGGGGAAATCTTTATTGAGGACATCCCAAATGAGTTAAATTTCAGGTGGGCTCACATCACCAGCAATGTAAATCAAAAACAAGGCTGTAGGGTGTTTTCTTCAAACAGGCCATCATGCCCAATAGTTAACATGATTGATCAGAGAGAATGAACAGCAGTTGAGAATGCAGGAAAATATTCTACAACAACCTTCCCTCCTTGATGGCCAACAAGCTTGTTAAGAAATTGGAACCCCATGCCACGTCGAGATAAACTAGTAACCATCCATTGACATACACTGGCTGTAAACATGCCACAATGACCTATCTCCTCTGCACCCAATATCAGGCGATACTTGTGTCGATGCACACTGGATTTGTGACGCAGGTCAATTTTGCATGCTGCATATGCTAGGGAGAGTCAACAAATCACCAAGGCTATAGGAAGGAAGAATTGAATATCACACTCAAATGACATCCCTTAAAAAGTATAATAATTTATTTAGACACATATACGTTGTGTCGTACGCCTATGGAACCCACCAGAATTCGGATTTATGTAGCCCTTCTGAAAAAGTCGAAAGCACAAGGAGTTGCCCCTCCATATTAACTAGCTTGGAAGTAGATTATTGAAGTGGACTGTTGAATTAAAGTTATTGTCAGCTGCAGATTCCGGAACGACGCTGAGTAGACTAGTATGGAAGAGGATTAGTGTGGTGCCTTGCGTCAGCCATTTCCCTAAAGCTAAAATGGTTATTTTGGAGGGGCTGTCTTGTGTTTTTAGAACACTCTGTGAAGGTGGTAGATATATGAATTAGATTCTTAATATCCAGTCCAGTAAATTTCTGTGAGCCCCATATATTTTTTTTTTCATTCTTTCGTAATTCGGTCTTAATGTTATGCTAGCCCCACCCACCCAAGAGGACTGGGAATTACAGAGATATCTATATTTAGAAGCCAGACTCCCGGGCGCTCGAATGTAATGGAACTGATGTGGCGACGTTGTCTCTATATATCAACTTGCGTACTTCCCACTACTCTTGCTGTCACCACCACTATATCCTATCATCCTGTAGCCATCTCGTACAATTCTAATCGCTCATAACCTTACTCAAGTGGCCCGTTGATATGCAGGCTCACGGAATAACGCTTGCGAGATTATCCGAACCATGCAAGATGACGTCCACCTACGAAGGGCCCTTAGGACCAATCTGAATCCTCCACTGCCTCCGAAGATCACGACTGCAACAACTGAACAACCAGATCCGCGAACGGGAACAGCAGCCGGCTATCCTACGTGCACGCAGCGCCTTGATGAATTGAATGCGTAGATCTGTGAAGATTCGTCTGTCGTGTCCCAGCCTCGCCAGGAAACCGCTGCTGAACCACCGCCCGCCCGAACTATGGGCGATAAGGGCAATAAATGGCCTGGCGGCAGCGATGACGAAGCGCCACTGAGACTAGAAATCAAGGGGTACTATAAGGGAAAGAACATGTTAGAATTCAAGGACTACAAGGATCGCATGTTAACCCTCTTCGCACAACATTTTCTCCAGGCGTGGCAATTGCAGCTGTAATATCACAGCTTATGGATGATGGTCACTGGCACCCGATCGCATTTTGGTCAAGAAAACTCACGGAAGCGGAAAGACGCTATCAGACATATGATCTGTAAATATTATGGATTCTATCGAACGGAAGATCGCAAGATAAATGATGCCAAACTATACCTCGATGCTCGTGTTAAACAGAAGTGGTTAAACTTCGTAGCTGCGTATGAGAAGTGTGACGTAGCAACGCCGTTAACCTTTGATGATATGCTATCGCATCTGGAAATGCAGATAAATGACCCGGAGAACCGACGTCGAATGGCAAGCCAACGGTTTCAGGATGCTTATCAAAAGGAATGGCAGTCAATACGCGAGTTCTCCAAATATCTTGAGGATTGGGAGTATTACTTACCTGCGTATACTGAGGAACAAAGAATGGATAACTTGCGAAGCAAGGTACTGCCTGAAATACGCAAGGAACTTCTTCAATACCCCCAATATCCCCAAGATTATGATGAGCTTCTACGGCGGATGCAAACGATTGAGGAGAATATGCCAGAACGACGGCGGGCGATCCGCAAAGGGAAACCTGTAAGATTTACAGGCAATCGATATAATCCTAATAAACCCAACAACCGTCAGAATGAGAGGTGGCTACAGGGTGATAGGATGTAGTGGTGGTGACAGCAAGAGTAGTGTGAAATACGCAAGTTGATATATATATACACTAAGATAGCAATCTCTTATGTTCAAAGCTAATCGCTTTGGATATCGGCGAGCATTATATAGACAATGTTGCCACTACCTTGCAACTCCAATCATTTTTCCATTACATTCGGGCGACTGGGAGTCCGGCTTCTCATACAATAGGAGGATTTGGACACTTGCTATATGAAATTCATCTAATCAACATTTGGCTCTCAAGCATAGTCATCCTCACTACACAGTGATGCTCTCAGTATGCATCTAGCTTCGGTGTGCCTGCAATTCTAACAGTCCTTCTATCTTCTTACTTATTATCCTACGAGTACTAGTACGTATCCTCTAAGTATCTTGACTGACTGGAGGGTTCATATCTGATCATCCTTTTCGCCAAGAAAACAACTCGTCAAGAGTTTGCAGAGCAGGATTGAGAGTGATTATAAGCTTCTAAAAATAATTGAGAACTGCAAATTTTTAGTAAGACAAGAATTCGTAATACCTTTCGACACGAGGCAAGTATACAGTTGAAACTTTTAAGTCCGGGCCGTATCCTGGTGGAGAAGGATTGACAATTATAACCCCCTTCACCTGCAAACTGTAGAGGGGCTTTGAGACCTCAGATAATACTAGTATGCACAAGAGAATAGTATGAGAGTAGGGATTTTTCTTGGCCATTTGGATTCCTTTAGAACGATGGTTATTTTGTATGTAAAGCTATATACGCTATATTTCTATAGAAAAGTAATTTCGGAGGGGAATGAGTTAGGTAAGTGTACCTTGGTCCCTCGCCAAGGAATTTATTGAATTTATTGAACTGTGGTCACGGGATTGAAAATCCTTGGCATCATTTGACATTTGATCTTCCAGTGACAACTTTGCCCTCCTCAGTTACTCAATAACATCCATATACATACTGTGTTGACATTCAATACTTATTGTATAACTTATTCCTTCACTTCTTTTCCGCCATAGATACTGACCGACGTCATATCTCATAGTCGATTTCGGGGCTGTTGATTGCTCCAATGATCTGGTGATACCACAACATACCTGTTCCGCCACACAGAATGGGAGTTTTGAAGCAGAAGTAATCCAAATGTTTCAAAATTTTAGACGAGTCATTCCAGCCTACCACTTCTTAGTGTCCAGGACTACTCAGCGATCGTTTAGCAGGCATGATGGACTGGTAAAAGTTCAGCGAGTGAGGTTCAAAAGGCCATGGTTTAGGTATGTAATATCTATCAAGTCTAACCCCATCTATGGGTAAAATAAACTGACCAGCATACAAGAAGAGGGATATCCACGATACTTACCGCGGTCGTTGCGACACAAGTGTATTTCGCGCTCATCGGACCTTCACTGGATCGTTTGGAGGATGTGGATGAACATATTGATGAAGACAGTTCCCTGCAATCAAAAATCCATACTGAGAGAGATAGGCACCGCGACAATGACGGTGTGCCATTCATTCCAATCGGCCTTCCCTATTCCGTACCTGGTGGACTGTATACTGAAAATGATCCTGAATGGAAAACGTTCAGGTCATATGCACTTGAGACAACCAAATTTAAACAATTAAGAGGTAGAGATCACTCGTTCCTGCATAGCCCTTTCTGTCAAAATTCCAGATCCTCACCTCCTTCCAGCGGAGTTAGTAGCCCAAGCGACAGCGATCGTGAACCGAAAGCCTACGGTGAAAGCTATTATCGATGTGACTGGTTCGCCGCTTAAGCCAAACAAATACACCACCATTAGGCCCGCTTTCCCCAGCGAGAAACCGTCGGGCTATGTCCAACCGGGGTGGGTAACTTGCTGGTGCAATAAAGTGGTTGAGCTATTCATTTCTGCTAACGATATATCGTGTAGGTTCGAGCTTAGAGACGACGACATAGCATGGACGACCCGCCCGATACCAACAAACCGTGGCGACTGGATTCGGAGCGTATTCGAACCGTGGCCCCTTGTGATTTCAGCCTGGGCAGCTGGGGAGTATTTGGTAACAGCAAAACTAGCAAAACTTCGAAAACTATTTGGGGTTGCGTCGTCAGACCTGGGTGAAGAAAAAAAAGTCAACAATCAGCATAGCAGAACCCATTCGAGCTCTAGTGGCCCGTCCGATGTTGTTAGATCCCGTCAGAAATATCCCATTACGACCGAAACAACTCAGGGAGAAATTGCTAATCATGGGAACTCCACGGATTTTGAGCCTCCCAAGCCCAGTTCGGCTCTGCAGAAAGAACCTGGGGTACCGGGAGAGCCGGCCTCCGACTTCCGCAACGCCATGAAAATATTTACATTATTCCTGCTGCTAACCCGGCGGAAAAACACAAACAAAACCCCGCAACATGGATCCTTCAAGATGAATGGCGTTGTCAGATTCAGAGGCCCTAAAGGTGGCTGTGAAGCTCACGTTGTGGGAATCTACGAGCCAACCACGAAAAACTGGTATATGATAGAAGTACAGATACTTCACACATTTCCTTATAGATCGGATGCCGCTAACAGGCTACCGCCACAAAGAGCGGTGCTGGAATCCAATGTGCCCGATTCTTGAAATTTTTATGACCCGAACCAGACTAAATGTGACGCACTTGTACATGTACATACATATAATTACTATTAGCACTGCTTTTCCCCTCCTACATTACCGACTTTCACCTGTCCAATCGTTTCTGTCATTTTCCCATGTTTTCCCCTTCCCAGCGGCAGTCGCTTTCTCTAGACACTCGATTGACTATTTTCTTCTTGCTTACGCTACCTCTTTTTTATATTTTACTTTCGAATCGGTGTTTATCTCAATTGGCTGGTGGTGGCGTCTAAGATGTTTTGTTTTACATCAGGAACGATTGGGGTTTTTTTTTTTTTTTTTTTTTTTTTTTTTTTTTTTAAGATTTTGCTCAAGGATGAATAAATTTGTCCCATGTAAGGTATGCGATATATATTGAACTTGAGAAAGGAAAATCTCATAGAAAGGCATGTCCCCAATCAGAAAGACCAACACGTGCTCAAGTGTCTGAGAATGCACTTGTACACGGATTCCTACAGTCGTCAATGAACCACAGTCCTGTCCTGTAACGGGCCAGCAATCAAATAGAAATGGCCCTATTTGGGGTGGCACTTCCAAACACTTAGCTTGAAAACCTCAAAAACATCCCGATGCATCCGACACAAACTTTGGGGCTCCAGTAATAATTGAAGATGAACCTTTGAGCCACAATAGCCATGGAGCCCGGATGAGCAGGGCTCGAACATCGGCTTTTTGCTAGTCACTACTATGAAGTTGTTGTCATCCTTGTGCATACCCGCTATTTCGAGCCCGGGTATGATATCATCATCCATGGTAAGCAGTTGTCATAAACAGCGGCCAACCCCTCCCTGTCAACCCCTCCTCCATCTACACAGCATCCCGCATATATACTCTTCATTGCGTCCGCTGACTACGTACATTGAAGAAGCCAATTTTCTATATCTGTTCGGCCGTATCGAAAAAGTACCTTCGAACGAATCGTCCAAAATAAAACGGAAATGACCCTCGCACCTAGATTTGCTGGCCAGCAGCTCGCCGCCGGAGGCTTCGTGGGCACTAAGCACACGCTGGAAATTTGTTAGTTGGCATCCCATCTCCCCTTCCTCAGTCCAATTCATATATATTATTGCGTAGGGCACATAGACTACAGAAACCACATGATAAACATGGCACAATGGCACAATGGCAAGCTAATATTTTCCATCAGACTTGGACTACGTTTGTCCCGTAAGACCTCTTACTTTTCCCCCCTGTCATCAAATCATTCCGTGGATAATAGTTAACTAATATATATAATCCAGTTCTCCGCCAAATTATTCCACACCTTCTACCCACTAATAACCGCGTTCTTCAACAACCCCAACTCCGCATCCTCCAAACACCTCCAGGTAATATTCCGCCAGCAAATCCAGCCCTGGCACCCTTCCTCAACCCTCACACACGAAGCGGGATTAGCCGTCCTCAAGCTTGCTCCGGAGAAATTCTGGCCTTTCAGCGCTGCGCTATTCGCCAAGCAGAAGGAGTTCTTCGATGTGAGTGTCGTCAATGAGAAGAGGAACGACACGTATGTGCGCCTGGCAAAGATCGGGGCCGAAGTCGGTGTTGATGAGGGGGCGATGTTGAAGTTGCTGAAAATTAGCGATCAGCCGGATAAGGATGGGAATCTGAATATCGGGAATGGGGTTACGACTGATATGAAGCTGATGGTCAAGGTGTGTTTTAACCCCCTTCTGTCTCTTTGTAGAGATCAATCCATTTGGCGGTGGATGTTAACTTGATATACTCAAAAGGCCGCGCGGGTGGTTGGAACGCATGTTACCCCTACAGTGTTCTTTGATGTAAGTTTTTTTTTGCGCGGTTTGTTTATAGAACCGTTGTTGGAAGTTGATGTTTGGAGTTGATTGCGGTTTCGGTAAAAATGAACTCTTCATGCTGACCAGAGGATATTTCTTTTCTTAAAAAGGGAGTCGAGGAGAGATCCATTAGTAGCAGCTTTACACGCGAACAATGGGAGGAATGGCTTCAGAAGAATGTCGTTTGATTATTATCGGTCCGTTGAGTGATTTTAGGAACATCAGAATCAAGGAACGCAAAGACGATGCCTGGAAATTCTGACGATTAAACATGGGAAGGACAACTATTTGTGCAAAGGAGAGACTATGGATTGATGCATACGTGTAGCACCTAATGAGAATGTGAGAGGGATGTGTTGGAACGGGCTCACGTGGATTTTTTTTCTCTTTCCGTAACATAAAAACAAAGATGGAAGTGAAATAAAATATCTATATGGGAATAAAAAAACAGCAAGGAGAGTCAAACAAACAAATCAAGTGATTTAAGGAATTTCGGAATATATTGCCTTAATTCCCAAAGTCAATTTTGAAGCCTAATCCGAAAAGTATGAATGGATCACTTGAGATCTACATTGCTCTTCGGAGACCTGGCTTGATGATCGTGGACAAATGCAAGAACGCCCCAAGCATATATCGTTAGTTGTTTTTTTGTGTTCCTTTTGGAGAGAAGAGAGAGTCCAGGTTAACTAATTCGTGGGCGGTTGGTAATTAATTGGTCGCCTGTATCATACCAACCCAGTCAGTTATGTGAGACAGAAAACTAGAGCGATGTCCATCGGGTGGTGAAACGAATGGAACACAACAACTAACTTGAAAAGCAGAATGTGGGGCTCTGGTTCGTGGACTTCATAATGTTCCCAACCCAAGCTCTAAATGAGGAAGAGACATGGCCTTGTCAGCTTGTTCCACGATGGCTATAACATCTATAATATGTACCAGACAGGATCGAAATACCTGCGTGATGCCCAGGCCCCTCCACTCCTCCTCCCACAGCAACTTCAGTGTCCCCTTCGATGTATCGAAATAGTCGGTAGGTATCTTTTTAAGCATATTTTTGGGCAGCTGGACATGGCGATATTCGAACTCGCTGTCTGAATATCTATACAGATGGAGTTAGACGAAAAGGGGTTTCCAAATACTTTTTTCTTGGTTTGCTCTTGGCTTCGATGGATTCGTTTCTTGTACAACCCCCAGAAGTGTAGACTCAGATACGCGCACATACCTGGCGGAATAATGTATGGCTTCGATAAACTCCTCCAATTCCTGCCTCTCCGGCTCCAGAAGTAGCCGGGGTTTCTTATTCCTTCGGGAGTAGTCGATGTTCATGGTTTCAGAGTGTAGAGGTTTTCTTTTTTGCACGGAAAGAAAAGGAAAGAAAGAAAGAAAGAAAGAAAGAAAGAAAGAAAAAGAAAGAGAGAAACGATAGAGATAAATCCCAAACAAGTTATCTAGGTAATCTGTAAATAGCCTTCTCGCGCGTCAAGATTGTGGTCGTCAAGGACAAATCCAGACGCGGGGTATAGTGGCCACTGGGGGAGATGATTGTTGACCGAGACACGATGGATGATCACACAAGAAACTTATTGTAGATGAGGAAGAACGATATCCGACGAAGATGTCCGTGGCTCTAGCAGAAAAGACAGAGGGCGTGTGGAATGCAGATGAAGGCCTGCGGCACCAAACGAAGAGGGGAAGCGCAAAGTTGCGAAGTTGCACCTTTTTCCGTTGGAAGGTGCGGGGTTTGCTTTGTTTCGAACCTCGCAAGCAGAGGCCAAAGGAGTCCAGTAGCAGCAGCAGTAGCAGAACAGGAGAAATGGTGCGTAGGGAAAGGTTGGAGTTGGGGTTGGCAATCTGTAGCAATGAGGGACGAACACCAAAAGTCTGTACTTGGTATTTATTGTACGGTTTAGGCATGCTGTTTACTGCCTAGATACAGAGATATTACGTAAATTACGGTGCAAAACAATGAGACAGCACCCCTGCATGCCGTACCGTATCGTACCGGCCTGTTCTGGCCTCTGTGGCTGTCCGGTCTCCCGTAGCGAACATCGAGATACACTCGTAATCGGCGCGCTCCAGCATCATCGTGAGTTCGAACGCCGCCGGTTGCGCTGAGAGATCCAGCTCCGCCAATTTTGATCTGACCCGTGGCCTGCTCTCTTGTCTTCGTTGGCTGTACGAGCACTCCTACTACTTGCCATTCTTATGTCCGACTCCTCTTTCCCATCCCCTCGCCACACCACTGCGAACCTTTCTGCTCTGTTTCTCGGAGCCCGCACCACACCTATTCCCGGGCAGCCTCCACAAGCATGACAACAAAACGACGGGGAGCCGTCGCAGGGTCTCCAGAGGGACCAACAAAGGGCCAGAAACGGCGCAGGACCTCAGTAAGTCTGTCGCTCTGTTTTTCTAGCATTGATTTTTCAAAGTTGGAATGGATTGTTTTAGAGGCAGGAGGGCACAAGTGCGATCTGTTGCCCGACTCCCCGCTAGAGACCCCACCTACCGCTCAACTCATGTTATGTCGTTGTTTTGCCTAAGTATATGGACTAACGACTGATGCGACTAGACTTTTGTCCCCGAAACCGACGAAACTCCAGAGAAAACCACAGAAGCCGGCCTAGAATTACTCGCGCAAATCAAACAAGCTACTGATAAACAGTAGGTGTTTGGAGCTCCGGCGGAGCCTTTCCCGATTGACTAGCATGGAGAGGCTGACTTGTAAACTTTTTGAAATTCTGCGACAGTGGACAACTTGTTGCAACTGAATTTCTTCATCTTCCTAACCGGGTGAGCTTCGATGTCCTCTCCATTCATTATGATTTTTTTTTTTTTTTTTTGAAAAAAAAAGAAAAAAAAATCCGACTAACCCCCGTCCTTTCGACAGAAAGAGAACCCTCATTATTACCAAGCAATTCGGCTTCCTATTGCCTTAGATATAGTGGAGGTAAGGTTAAATTTTCTATGAGCAATTTTGCGATATCTTTCACGTCGAACAATCATTGCGCAGGTTGGTCACTGATGCATATATCTTGCGATATCTAGAGCAAACTGAGGAAGCACCAATACCCTTGTTTGACTCCTGTGGAAAGCGACCTCCGCAGAATGGTCAGCAATGCCAAATACTACAATGATAAGGGTTCAATGATTTTCTCGAACGCAGAGCGCATACGGAAACTAGTCGCAAATAAAATGCCCACGATAAACCCAGCATATAACGATCCGAATTACGCACCATTCGCTACTCCTATACCTGAAGAGGATGGAGATGATGAAGAAAATCCCCAGTCCCCTGAAGTCGGCAATGTGGAGGATGCTGGCGGCGAAGAAGAAAAGAAATCCACAACCGAGACGCCTGCCCTGGATCAGGAGGACGAGGCAAATGATAACGAAATATTCAACTTTGAGGGGGAAACCTTCGAAAGTGCCCAGGAAAAAATAATCGCGGGAATGATGCGACTGAAAGATTCAGAGTGAGTCCACTTTGTGGTTATGCGCGGCTAAGCTTCTGCCTAGTTTGAGCGAGTACTGATACCCTTTCAGCGGCGAAGAAGTCTTTTTCCCTTTCCTCAGTATGCCAGATCGGAATTTGTACAAGGAGTATTATGAAATAATCAAGCACCCCGTGTCCCTAAGAGCGATCCTCAAACTCGTTCGAGGCACAGATGGACGGAAGAATTCTACGAAAGCCACCCCGTTTAAGACGTGGGACGCTTTCAAGGAAGAAGTAAGCTATATCTGGCGCAATGCCAGGGAATTTAATGAAGATGGGAGTGAAATAGTCGCTCTTGCTGGCTCGCTGGAGGTATTTGTCGTCGAAATGCATGACTTTTCTCTTCTGTATTGATTTTGCTGATCGAGATTCTAGGAATATTTCCTTCGACTCCTTGCAGAGGCACGAAAGAAGATTCCTGATCCTCCATCCACCGCGAATGGCGATAGCACTGGTCCTCGTATTAAACTTCGCATGGGAACCACGAAAACTCCAGAGCCAGCACCGCAGAAACTGACTTTGCGACTTTCGGGGAAAATTGCTGGCCATTCGACAGTCATGGAACATGGTCAAGGTGGTGTTTCTATAGATACCGAAGCCCTACGTAGGCAGAAAGAGCACGTTAAGGCAAGTTCAAACGGTCTGGATATGCCAGATCGACCAACACCTCCAAGGAGAAACCTAAGAGATCGATCTGGCTCTGGAACAAGGGCCGCATCTATTCGAAACACGCGCTCTCAGGACCAAGAGCAACAACGACACGTAGCAGGGGCATCACCTGGTCGACCTTCTTCAGCCGTCAAGACTGAAGGCCCAGGGGTATCGACTCCCAATCTCAGAAGTTTGTCTAGTCAAGAATCCATGAATCCGTCCCGCGATGCTTCCGGCTCTGCTGAGCCACCGAAAATAATGGCCCCATTTACGAGCGCCGTTCCCATTCAGCCTAACAACGCACACGAGGTGTTGCAACCAGTCAGTTCCAGTTCACATCCATACCCGTCCCCGGCCCCAACGGCGTTTCCGATGAACATAAGAGCACCACATCTTGGCAAAGGTAAGCATCCACATTAGACGAAAGGATACCCCTTTTAAATAATCAGCAGAGAAAAAAATTTAAATTGAAGCATTGAAATTAGGCCGTTTGATATCCAACGTCAGGTTATTCAGCCATCCAAACCTTGACCTGCGACAATCATTTCTTCTAGACATCCCACCCTCATCAGCACAGCTACAACAGTCAATAACGATCAACCTCCCGGCAAAATCCCACATTCTCTGCGTCTCTCCGACGATTATCCCAAGCTCACTACAACGAACGACGCAGCTCACCGTTACCATCGGCAGCCAACTTCTGTCACCGATGTTGTCACCGTCACGAACCATGGACCCAACAGAACCCTATTATGAGGTCCGACTGGGTGTCGGCGTTACCAAGATTGATATTGAAATGTCCTCTTATGCCACTCGAGGAGGAAGTGGGTTGAAATCATCACCCGGTCAAGATGCCGAATACGAGCGGTTGACGGTCTATGCTAACCTGATGAGAGCGTGAGAGCAAGTGTTAAATTAATCAGGGGATTGTCGTTAGACATCTTCAGACTTTTTTTTCCTGGCACTTCTGGCGAGAACTTGTGTAACAAATTTTGCACATATATTTTATTACTTTCCTTCTCTCTTTCCCCATATTTCCTTTGTTTCCTTCATTCTCTTCGATTTGTTTTGACATAGTTTGGCAGCGATATCCGGCGCGTTGGTGACCTTCGGGTGACTGGGTGGCAGATTTAATCTAGGGTGGGCCAAATTCCAGGCGTTCATGCGTTTTGCCGCTGATATCATTCTTTTATTTCTTTTATTTCTTTTCTCAACGGGGGTATTTCTTTTTCTTGTACTACTAAGGCTCACAAAGTTATCTACAGAATAGCAGCTAGGGAATAGTTTACAACTGATTATACACAGCTAATTGATATTTTATATGGGTTATTTCTGCTGGTTTTGTTCAACCGCAATGGCAACCAAGAGGGGAATCCTCTGACTAAGCATCCATTGCTGGCAATTATCCCAAACAGGCTAGCCTCACTACGACTCGAAAATTCAATTTTCAAAGGCTTTCCTTTTTTTTAAATTGTTTGGCGAAAAAAAAAAAAAAAAATAGAAAAATCAAAAAAGATAAATAATACTCATAAATAAAAAATCATAAACCTCCACAGAATCTTCACTGTTTTGATTTCTTATCTCCATACTCTTCTCCTACCGCTCTCCTCCCTTCGTCGTTCTCCTTCCCTCATTCCTCCTTTGGCATTTCATTGAAATAAATTTAACAAAGAAAGACATATAGCACGTCTTTTCATTATGGCTGAGGAAGTTTATGAGGGTGCCATCGGCATTGATCTTGGTGTGTAATTTTTTTCCGTTCCCGTAACCCCTCCAGCCTGCCTGTTTCGCAGAGCACAACCCGAATCTAAATTATATATGATGGAGGATAAGGCACCATGAATATATTGAATATAATTGCTAATATTACCTTCCTGCATTACAGGTACCACTTACTCTTGTGTTGCCAACTACGAGGGCAGCAATGTTGAAATCAGTATGTGTTTCCCCCACCGCACAAATCTGCAGCACACACACACCATACACACATACACACACACCCATATATATATATATATATATTCCTCCTCCTCTTCCGACAAATTTCACCCTTGGACTTTGACGCATCAGTACGCTAACAATGTCTTTCTTTCCCTCCACACAGTTGCCAATGAGCAGGGTAGCTTTACAACCCCCTCGTTTGTCTCGTTCACCGATGATGAGCGTTTGATCGGTGAGGCGGCTAAGAATCAGGCCGCAATGAACCCCCAAAACACCGTTTTTGATATCAAGTGAGTTCGTTCTCCCTACGAGTAGGGCTCTTTTTGATACGTTTATTTAGCCGAGGGAGTGGCTACTAACTCGGATGGTCTTCTACAGGCGCTTGATTGGACGGAGGTTCGATGACCCGGTTGTCAAGAAGGATGTCGAGTCGTGGCCCTTCAAGGTCATTGAGCAGGGCGGAAACCCTCTTGTCCAGGTCCAGTACTTGGGCGAGACCAAGACTTTCTCTCCTCAGGAGATTTCCTCCATGGTCCTGATGAAGGTGCGTAACTTCTTGCTTGTTTTTATATATATACGACTCTGCATAAGTACTCACTCAGCATTGCGATTGATAACTAACTTGGTTTCCAAATAGATGAAAGAAGTTGCTGAGACCAAACTCGCCAAGAAGGTGTCAAAGGCCGTCGTTACTGTCCCAGCATATTTCAACGACAACCAAAGGCAAGCAACCAAGGACGCCGGTGCTATTGCGGGCTTGAACGTCCTCCGTATCATCAACGAGCCCACCGCTGCTGCTATTGCCTATGGTCTTGGCTCTGGCCGCTCCGACAAGGAGCGCAACGTCCTCATTTACGATCTCGGCGGGGGAACTTTCGACGTTTCCCTTCTAAACATCCAGGGTGGTGTTTTCACCGTCAAGGCTACTGCTGGTGATACTCACTTGGGAGGACAGGACTTTGACACCAACCTCCTGGACCACTGCAAGAAGGAATTTCAACGCAAAACGAAGAAAGATCTCTCTGGTGACCCCAGAGCCCTCCGCCGTCTTCGAACCGCTTGTGAACGTGCGAAGCGTACCCTCTCTAATGCCACCCAAACCACTATCGAGATCGATTCTCTGTTCGACAGCGAGGATTTCAACACTCAAATTACGCGAGCTCGTTTTGAGGATTTGAATGCAAAGGCGTTTGCTGGCACTCTGGAACCCGTCCAGCAAGTCCTCAAGGATGCTAACCTTGACAAGAGCAAAGTTGATGAGATCGTCCTTGTCGGTGGCTCTACCCGTATCCCCCGTATCCAGAAGCTCCTCAGCGACTTCTTCGATGGCAAGAAGCTCGAGAAGGTATGGACTGCATTCACACGCTAAGCCCTGGCCTTTCACTGCCCTTTTAAGTTGCTTGACATCTAACAAACGATACAGAGCATCAACCCTGACGAAGCGGTGGCTTACGGTGCGGCGGTGCAAGCGGGAATCCTCTCCGGCCAGGCCACTTCCAGTGATACTAGCGATCTTCTCCTTCTCGACGTTGTACCCCTGTCCCTCGGTGTTGCGATGGGTTAGTCACGGTTCACCTTCTCTCATATACTCTTTTGAAGAAACAACTACTCATATTTTTATAGAGGGAAATATCTTCGCACCGGTGGTACCCAGAGGTCGCACAGTACCTACAATCTGCAAGAAGTAAGGAGTCTCCTTCGACAATTTCACAACTACAGCCACTAACATATATTCCTTCCATTTCTAGAACCTTTACCACCGTTGTCGATAACCAACAGACGGTTAACTTTCCCGTGTACCAAGGAGAACGCACCAACTGTGAAGATAACACCTCACTGGGGGAGTTTACCTTAGCCCCAATCCCTCCCATGAGGGCCGGAGTTAAGTAACCTATTTCTCCCCTAACCCCTAACCTCTCCTCCACTGCTAACATCCCTATAGAGGCCGCCCTAGAAGTCGTATTCGAGGTTGACGTCAACGGGATCCTAAAGGTCACCGCAACTGAGAAATCCACTGGCCGCAGCGCGAACATCACAATCTCCAATGCCGTCGGCAAGCTCTCCAGCACTGAGATCGAAAACATGATCAACGGTAAGATATAACCGTCTTCCCCTGTTTCTAAATATATATCTATATATATGCACATACCATATAACAATTTAAAATTTACATTCACTGACGTACATATCTACAGACGCTGCCAAGTTCAAGTCCAGCGACGAGGCCTTCAGCAAGCGTTTCGAGTCGCGCCAACAGCTGGAGTCTTACATCTCGCGTGTCGAGGAGATCATCTCCGACCCAACCATGTCGCTGAAGATCAAGCGTGGTAACAAGGACAAGATCGAGTCTGCTCTAAGTGACGCCATGGCCCAGCTAGAGATCGAGGACTCCTCGCCCGAGGATCTCAAGAAGAAGGAACTCGCCCTTAAGCGATTGATCACCAAGGCAATGGCTACCCGATAAACTTTTATTTTTTCTTATGTTCTTATGCTCCGTTTGCCTCTCCTGTTTCCCCACTTTGCTTTTGACAACCAACGTTCCCTGGTGTTTAATAACGTTTTTTTAAATTAAAGAAAATGGGAGAAAGGAATGATAGAAACATTTTCGTATGTTATTTCTGCCTGCGCGTGTGCAAGAAGGGCCCTCTTGGTTTTCTCCGTTCCTGTGTCTGTCAGTGCCCTGTGACGATCTCTTCCTTCCTTTTAATGAGATTCTTTCCTATCTATCTTGATCGAACCGAAGATGCGGCGAATTATTTTCATTTTATTTCTTTACATGCCTGCTGTTCAAGATCTCAGCTCCCCTTTTTGTTTGTTTTAACTGTCGGCTACCCTCAAAATGGGTGTGATGTCATGAACTGGAGGGCTCGTCATGTCCTTTTTTGATGCCCTTTTCTACTCTTTATGCCCATTGACGCACTGCACTTGTTTGTCGCTCTCGTAGTGGTTTCCACAGCTACTAGAAAAAGTTTTGTTATTTTTTTCTTCTCTTTTTCCTTTTCGTTCCTTTTCTTTTCGTTTTCATTTTTATTTTGAACGGCCTGATATTTGCTCCGAATAAGCTTGAAATAAATGAAAGGCATATATTCCTCGTAGTCCTCATAAAAAACTTGGAGGTTGATTTCCCCCCCAGGCTAGTTTCACTGGTAGTTCCAATCCTGTCTATGTGATTGTTACTGTTCAGGTGCCTCAGTTTTCCAAGGGAGCGCACCACAATGTTGATTTATACCCTTCCACGGGTCTAAACGAATTTCTTTCTTTCTTTTTTTTTTTTCGGTTTCGTCGCTACACAGACGCTAGATATGACCGATACTCCTGACATGAAGAAACTCACCGCTCCTGTACGCAGGTTTTTGCGCTGCCATTTATTATTTCAAATTCACGAAAACTTAATCGAGAACGGTGATGCTCGTGCGTCTAATTTGGAGCTTCTACACAAACTGCATAGCGCAGTAGCATTTGCTCAGGTTGGTTTCCAAGCAGACCAGACTGGTGCCAAGCGCCACCCGGGATGTGGGGCCGATTCGGCATGCCGATGCTGAAGCTACTGCGGAGCACGGTCGGTTGGTGTGGAGTCAGTCATCCTCGGGTTTCCGACTTGGGGCGGGTACCGTGCAGCCTACCTAGCTCAGTTGTGAAACACAGACTGTGGTCAGGAAATCAACAGTCAATTATCCGGTATCAATCAAGAGAATGGTCTGAGCAACAACTAGGGATTGAAAGATTCAAGTTAAACTGCGATGAATGACTTATCCCGATGTACAGTACAGTACGTCAGTAATAATATCCAGCCAGAGGGGAGAAGGAGGATCGATGGCCAGGCGTTAATCTGTAAGGTCTATGAATGGCAGAGGATTTCGACACAGGTTGAGTAACGTGCCGATTTCATCAAGAACGATGATGATACTAGTATCGGTCATTTCGCTGAGACAAACCCTCAAGCGCCCCCAGGTCTTAATTAACTTCAATCTTCCTCAAAGAAGCGGCTGCTACTCTAAGACATGCATACGTCTCGAACACAACTAAATACCATTCGACTCACGAATGCCACCCTCTTTTCCGTCAATGAATGTCATCGTGTCCCTCACCGGCTCGATATCTGTGTTGCAGGTTTCAAATGCAAAAATGAACCGTCTTCCACTCCCACCCTGCGACTCGTCGATCTTGCGAAGATGAGAATACGTCCGACTCGGCATCATGAACCCCTTATTTTCGCATCTCTGACATCCTGGATCACCTGGCACAGCACCAATGGTTGGAATGAATGATTTTGAGCGAATCTTGGTAAGAATTCTGGGGTCTCTACGAATCGTGCAATATTTTAACTTTCGCAAAAGGATATGTTACACTGAATAATCGTTTGATACAGCTCTGATCTCGTTCAACAATTAGAGTAATTATCAGGCTTTTTATGTCCATGGTTCAGCTACTAAATCTACTATTGCTATACATACAAAGTTGAAGATATTTTGATACTCTTCATCATGATGATCAATTGTGGGGTGGAATCTTGCCTGTTAAATGGGCCGCGTTTTTATGGTGGATCTGGTGAAGTTTTCAATCTTGCCAGGAGATTTAGTGACTTTCGAACCGGAGTCTAAGACACCAGACAGTTTCAACGTGGTGGAAATTATTCATTGACAAGGTGACCAAGTCACCAAGGTGGAGGTGAGCATGAGAGTGTCACTGTCATATTCGCATCCCCGGATGAGCGCAACGATGATGTACTTTGTCCTGGCATTTATTTTTCTTTGAAATGAGTTGCAGGATTGATTATACGACATAAACAAGTTGAATATTGCGATGAAAATAACTATCAGCGGAGGGAGTCCCTTCCACGCGATCTTTCTACCCATGTTGCTTCAGGGACCTCAACCAAGTCGCCTCTCCTTTTATCCCTAAGGACTCCTCTTTCTACCGACTTTTCCGTGAAAGCTTGCCGAATGCAGGCTAACTATATATATGTTTCCCGATTATGCAGTTGCAAACCGAAACGCTATCCACTAACTAATCCCTGCTTATGACTCAACTTTAGTTGAGATGCACGTCGTCATACCATGATTCAACGAAAAGCTGGGGCTTGGGTAAGAAGCGGCTGCACAATATTTCCCTACCCAGCCATATTCAAGACAGAGATGAGAATTCATTAAGTTGATTTTTCCTGCTCTTCGTCATCATCTCTGGAGAGACGGCTACTCTGAAACCCTTTCCGGTGCGATCCTTAAAATTTCCAAGGGAAACAGAGTGGGAACTGTTCACATATTCTCAAATGGCAACTCCTAACAACGACACTCCCACACCTTTGAGCACCAGTAGTACGGGCGCTGATAATGGCCACAACACTGTCGCAAATAGTGCGGTGAACAGCGGTATGAATACCGGTGGTTCTGCTATTGGCAGTGCGAATATCAAATCCCTCGTACAATCAGGCTACGACCACATCGCTGTACGCTACCTTGAATGGACCACTAGCACCCCATCCCCGCGTGTGGAGTTTCTAGGGAAGCTGGAGGCGCAGCTTCAAACGTTATACCTTTCCAGAGACACATCCAAGCCCAATCCCCGCATTTTGGAATTAGGTTGCGGTGCTGGAGTTCCCGCCACACAGTACCTTGTCAGTAGCGGATTCGCGGTGACTGCCAACGACATCTCTACTGCCCAGATTCAACTTGCTCGAAAGCACGTCACTATTGGCTCAACCGGTGACGAGGATGAATGGAGTGAAATTGGCTCGGTGGAGTTTATCCTCGGAGACATGATGGAATTGGATTACCCCGCTGCAACCTTTGATGCAGTGGTGGGGCTCTATTCCGTCCTTCACCTGCCGGCAGATGAGCAGGAAATGTTGATGCGGAGAATCTTTGGGTGGTTGAAAGAAGGGGGTTATCTGTTGGTAAATTTTGGTGTGACGGCAGATAGTGGTGCCATTCTAGGGGATTTCCTGGGTAAGGAGATGTATTGGAGCTGCTTTCCGGAAAGGGTTTATAGGCACATCGTAGCGAGAGAGGGATTTGCTGTTATCGAGGCGGAGGTTAGGGTTGATGTGGAAGATGGAGTGGATGTGCCTTTCTTATGGATATTGGGGAAGAAATAGATAGGAATATTATATCTAGATCCCAATTATTGAGAGAGATGCCATTACATTTTTAATTGAACCAAAAATGGGGGAGTCAATTCTGGAAAGTATCTAAGGCATCGATTTCTCAAGAAATTCGGCGGTAGATTTGTACCGTAGATACCGTGTATGTCCACCAAACATTGACAAATAAAATATGAAAGGAAGAAGTAGATATACATATATGGGATTGTAGAGAATATAGTAAATTGAAAAGATAATTTGTTTTTCTCTGTTTATCGGAGAGGTTAGCATGAAATCTTATTTAGTTACATCTGAGTGATTATAAAAGCTTCCTCCAACCTACCCATCAAAACTAAAATAACAATTTCAACATCTCTCCCTACACGCGCCACGCATTAGCCATGTCTCCTGTTATTCGCTCTTTCAATTCAGAGATTTGCTCCCTTCTCGCCTCCAGAACCACAAGCACCAATGGCTCGTTGCATTCGCTCGCACACCCGTTAAGCTACCGCAGCTCCAGCATCATCTCCAGGAAGTCCGCTCTTCAAACATCTTTTTACAGCAGCCTACTTGCTCTACCTCGCGCAACCGCACCAGGTTTCCGTCTACAACCCTTCTCCACAACTTCCAACCTCTCCAAGAAAAAGGACAAGGGCAACAAACCTTCCTCCCGAAACTCCGACAGTGGGCCGGGCAATAGCGCGGTAGATGGAGCAGGACTAGATGCCAATGACCCATTTGGTTTCACGCAGCTGGAGAACGATATAGCGGTGGCGGTGCAGAGACTGAAAGATGACATTTCGAAGTTAAGAGCAGGCGGCAGGTTTAATCCGGAAGCGATTGAGTCGTTACGAGTGGCGGTGATGAAGGGTGATGGTAAAGGGACCAAGGAGACGGTGAAGCTGGGAGAGCTGGCGCAGGTTATTCCCAAGGCAGGGAGAATGCTGACTATATTGGTAGGGGACCAAGCGGTATGTATAGTATTTCCCTTTTCATTTCCAGCTCTGTCTAATTTTTCACTTTTACTCATATCAATTATATATAGTACATAAAACCCATAACTTCAGCCCTCCTCTCGTCTAACCTATCCCTAAACCCTCAATCCGACCCGCACAACAGCCTACAGCTCAACGTCCCCATCCCGCCACCTACCAAGGAGTCACGCGACCAGTCAGTTAAGGATGCGAAGGCTGCCATGGATAAGGCATCTAATGCAGTGCGCAACGCCCGTGGCGCTATAAACAAGAAGCTGAAGAACATGGGCGTCAAGAAACTTGTGAGGCCGGATGATTTGCACAAGCAGATAGAGAAGATGGAAAAAATTGCTGAGAAAGGGCAGAAAGAGGTTAAAGAAGTTTTTGAGGGGGCAAAAAATGTTCTGTAACGCCTATTTTTCTTTTGTAGCCGATTGGTCCGAAAGGTTGGCTGATAGGAGTATGAGAGGATGGATGTATCTCGGGGTTTGTATAATAGCTACCTGGTTTGTTTTATGGAGAAGTTGGGATATACGGATTCCGAAGCGCTACAGCGCAGTATCTAGAGAAACGTGGATTAAATAATGGCATGGTAAGAATAGTTGCGACCGAGATGGTGACAGTAGTATACAATTTATGAATCTCTTCTAACAAAGGTACAGTACATAACATGACCAGCAATAGAGCCCTGTTTCGGCCTACACTTTGGCCTGCACAGCCTTAGGCTTCGGCAACGACTTCGACAACACCTCCAAAAATTGTGTTTTATGAGGGGACTGCCATGTCGAATTATTCGCCAAATTTCTCAAAACATCCTTCATAACTGGGTGTCTTGCTCCATGTTCTTCCAACCAGCGCGCCTGTTCAGACTTATACTCACCCGAAACAAGTCGTGAAACCAGTTGCTGCTTCTGCGTCTCGTTCACAGGCTCGAACAACATGTCCTCTGGCTGGACCAGGGATCCCTTGCGATCCGTCAATTTATCCGCGCGCTCCGCCGCAATTTTCCGTGCCAGCTCCACCGCCTCATTTTTTTCTTCCTCGCTGTAGAAATATGTCCATTTACCTTGATGAATACGTTGGGCCAGAAGATCCGTCGGCTCGAAACCGTTGGGGTACCGCTCACTCATCCACGCTAGGCGCTCATGCAAGGCCTCCTTAGGGCCCGTCACACCCATTGGCAAGGCGGGCCAAGTCCGCTGTAGGTTATCGATATTGTAACCTTGGGGGTTATAGCGGACAGGTTTGGGACGGTCGCGCTCCCACTGTTCAAGAAAAGCCTTCTCATCCGCTTCCTGTTCTTCCTTGGACATCTCGCGCTGTCCAGACCACCCACTACCGTCGTCGCTTCTGGACGACTTATCTAGTTTCTTGCGGCGGGCCGGGCGGGCTGTTGCGGGGCGCTTAGGGGCTCTAATTCCGCCGAGGTTATTACCTGGCCTTCTCAGGGTTGCAGGAGCGCGAAGGATGTTAGTGGGCTTTCCGCCCGCTTTATTAAGCCTGGAGCCAAGAGCGCGGGCATCGAGTGGTCGACGCTGCTGGGACTGTAATTGTTGCCGTTGCCGTTGATGGGGAGGGGTAAGGGGTTGTGGGTCATCAGATACACGGCGGATGAGGGGGGTGGAAGAAGATTGAGAAAAAGCTTTATCAATTTGCTTTTTGGCGATCTCGTGAAGGGAGCTTAGACGGTTTTGCTTTGCTGCACAAAAATTGAGATTAGCATCTGTTTCTCCCAATTCATTGTGACCATTACCAACAGCACAAACTATACCTTTTGAGTCTCCATCATTCTCAGATGGTCTGATTGACGATGAAGAAAAGTGTCTGGCGGACCTGATCGCTATTGCTCCTTGATTCCATTTGCTCGATGTTGAGTCCGCGATTGCAACCCACTGGCGAACAGGTACGCCTTGTGGCTTGAGCATATTGTTGAATTAGGTACTATCGCCCAGTGGGCTTCAATAAGGAACAGCACGCAAGTGGTTCCACTGGTCAAATGGTTGAGTTGAGCAGCCGGGGCTCGTGAATGGAACCGTGCTATTGTGATGAGACTTTGCAGAAAGGATGAAGTTGGAGAGAATTTAGTAATCACGTGACGATACCTTGTTTCCAGGTTGATTTTCCGCGACAAGATCCAGATAACATCGCTTATGGGTATACTGTCGCTCTCAGCTCAACATACCCTTGTGTCAATTTTTATCTAGGTTTCAAACTAGGAAAAGTCAATGCAGGAATAATTTCCTCCAGATCCACGTCCATTCCAGCTCCATCCGCACTCCATAACCCAACGATACCAAACCAGACCAACTCAAAACAAGAAGAATATATCTAGAACATGCTCCGCCGGAAACCCACAGCGTTAGCCATTACCACCGAAGACATAATCGCCTTCGAAGAAGCGCGCCTGCACCAACAGCAATTAAAAGAAAACAATAACAACCAACAAACCTTCGCAAATAGCACGGGTAGTAGTGGAGTCGGTGGCCCCTTCCAATCCAGCTCAGTCACGTACGATCCTAACGACGAGTTGAAGCCGCTACCTGGTGATAAGGCGCGAATTGTGCGCACGCGAGACGAAAGGATTGGGTTGGGGAGGGCTCGGTGAAAGCGCTGTCCATCCTTTCTATTTTCTCTGCTTTGATTGGGGTGATCGAGAATGGGGATGGGCTATAACTCGTTCGAATTAGGATGGTGTCTCCTTGGCTTTGTGTCAGACTTAGTGCTGCCTGTGGACAGACATAAGAGTTTCCTCTTGTCCTCTCTGGGGCGTTTAGCCTTGCGAGCTGGCGGCGGGGAGGAAGGAGCCCTTGCGGAAAGTAAACGAGATCGGAGTTGTTGAAGTGGAAGCGGAAGCGGTAGCGCGGAGCATGGATGTGTCAAACATCTTCTATCCACCAAGCGCGAACGAGATAGGACTCCTTACATTAGAAATCGGTATAAAACATTATGTGGGCTGGGCTTGGAAAAAACGAAGGGAGTCTTTTTCTTTTGAACACCGCCGGTTGGGAATCGCTCTTTGGCAGTCGCAAAAGTCGTTACTGGAATCACTGAATCAGATTTTCTTTGCTGCTCGAGCACAGAACAGTCTAACTATTGTTTCCGCCCCCCTAGGCCAAATTATTGCTTCCTCTTGAATGTGCCCGTCAAATTATCTGGATGAGCGACAGTGCTTCCCATCCCGTTATAAACGAGCGAAAAGAGAAAATACGTTGAAGAGTTGAAGGAATTTAGATCCAGCTGCTAACCACTCCATTCCGGCTTTCTGGGGCATGAAAAGTCGCTGATTTTATCCTGCGGGGGAAAGAAATGATAGCTCGTGGGTGAAAGCAACTCAGGAATGGATATTTCCCTGCAAATAAACTTCTCACCTTCACCCATGGATCATGCTGTCCTTATGTTTGCCATTGATACATGAATTCACCTCTCGTTCCATTAGCGCTAGTATCGAGCCGCCTTTTTGTTTTGGAGCATGAAATGAGCAAGATAGGGCGGCTGAAAAGGGACTGACGATCCCAATTTGCTCGCAAGAAGAGCTGAGTTTGATAGTCAGTGTCAGCGTGCATCTATAATTGCCAGGTAGAATGAAAATGGTCTTTCTCATTGAGTGATAGTTAACTCTTGATTTTCCTTCTCTAAGCCATCCAATAGCAAACCGTATCGGCACATGCACTGAGCTCAAAATCATATTGGAGATATGGGGACGGAGAAGCAGCAGTGACAATATCCGTACAGCCACCCAGTTATAGGCATTTCATTCTTTGATCTGTTCTTCCTCCGTGCTCTCTCACCTTCTTTTCCCTTTTTTTTTTTATTTTGTCTTGAAGCGCCTGCCCACTGCTTCCTCTCTACTAAGGTCGACTCTTCAACAACTGAACTGAACCAGACCGAACCGAATCATCAGTGGAAAAGGCACGTTAGGAAATGCCAGTTTGCCAACTTTATCCACCATTTAGAAGCAATAAATAGAATGGAAACAATAACAAAGGGGACGGAAATTCAAAGCGCGACAGTTTAACGGCTGAAACTTGAATGGAATGGATTAATTGCTTAATGTACAAGTACAAACCAAAAAGAAAGACATGAACAAGTAGCATATAGCCTCACATCCAAACCATGGACTTTTCAAGTTTTTTTCCAATGAAAAAGAAGAAAAATTCAGCGTAAAAAAACCATAAAAGATAAGATTTAAAAAAAAGATGAAATGGAATATAATGAATAGGACAAGTAACATCCACAAATAAAATTTTACACCCGGTCGTTCCTAGCTCCAGGTAACGCGCAATGGATATCCAAGATCAGAAAGTTGAAAAGGGCAGAAATATAGATATATATATCTCTATATATCTCTATATATGAATATATAATAATAAACATGAATGTTAAATAACTCAAGCAAATCAGGACAGATAACTCAAAAGGGCCGATACATTCGTTGGCTCATCAAATATATAAAAAGTTTAACGTGAAGTATATATATCGTTTTCCGAAGTCAATTGAGCCGTTATCATCGAGCATATGAAAAGTAGGATTTCGGTTGGTCTCGTATGAGTAAATGGTGGTAAATGGGTACATAAATTTTCGCATTGGAGCAACCTGATTTGGGAGGTGTATGGCCAGTGTGAGACCTCGAAATGATGCCTTGAATCTGAAAACGACTGAATGTGTTTAGGACTATGACGTCCATGTATGGTAATTAGTATATCTAAGGTCGTTTGCTCATATTGCTAAATAGCCCATAGCGTCCAAGCGAAATGTCGCCAGGTATCGAATATATCAGCCATAGGGACACGGTCCCACATCAAAATCTGGCAACGGGCGCGGGGTCCCCTGAATGCCAGCGCATGGACCCTGCTGTGTGACCTGCAGCCAGGGAGTCGTCCCATGGTATTTTATATGGGTGTAATAGTGGCTACCTCTTTCACTTTATCCGCGGTTGTGGTCCAAAGGTAACTGATGATCCCAACGCCTTTTCAAGCCATGAGGGTCGTACACACTAGCAACGCTGCGCTGCCAATCCCGCGCACTAATCACCGGCTGTATATTACTATAAGTAGGCGGAACCATAGGTTGAGGGGCAGGAATCGATGGCATCTTGGCAGTCTGGGAAAATTGAATGTGGTATTGCGCAGGGATGCTTTGGTCATTGTGTGATGGATTGGTTACCGACGGAGGGGGCGAATTCGCGCTTGAAGCATTGGATCCGCCTCCAGAAAAGGCTAGGTCCCATTGACTATCAAAGTGAAAAGAGGGCGCACGGTTAGTCAAGGCGTCCACTGTTTAATGTGTACATTTCCTTCGCAGTATTCTAGGAAGGTTTATGGAGTTCTTTCTAGGGAACTTACTTGATAATTCGAGTGGGATCCCAGCTGCTATTATCAGCCAATGGGATATTAAGAAGACTTTGGTTTTGGTCATGGCCATGCATCAACTCCTGTAGTATAGGGTCTGGCTTATCATTAACCTCAGCAGAGATTGGGGGAGTGAGTGCGTGGGTTCCATATGTGAGTTGATTCTGTTCTGGGCAACTTGCGGCAAAGGAGGTGGACATGCAGTGGGAGTTCATTGGAGGGCTGGGGTGATATTGGTCTGACGGGCTACCATAGGGAAAACTGCGCTTGAGCTCAAATGGCTTGTTAATATCCGCTGAAAAAGCCAATCGAAGTTGGTTGATTGACTCTTGTAAATCAGGCACAGGCCACGCAGCTGCACATTGTTCAAGAAGGCGCATATGGCGGGTAAAATATATCCTCGCATCAGAGTTAAGCTCGGGGTCAGGGGAGGTGATCGCAATCTGTCAGTTACAATGTTAGGAAACAATTTAATGCGGAGTTCAAGACAATTGCTTTTACTCACGAGATGCAACATCGTGCAGGTCAAAATGCCATACACGGTAAAACTGATGCCACGTTGCATGTAAAACAAGCCGTTTAAACCAAAAGACCGTACAATCGCTTCCTGTAGTCGACACAGTTTTTTTGCAGAGTTATAACAGAGAACCATATGAGTTCTCCATTTCCCACCAGCCGCGAAAGATTTCGAAGCAAGAAGTTGAGGGCGATGTAAGATTATGATGGAAAGGTGAAAATGGGAATGCATATTACCCACAAGATGAGACGGCAGCCATGGTGGTGACCCATCTTGTGGATATGTGACCTGCAAGTCAGCCGGAAGGCTGGCGAGCCAGTCGGGGATTAGGGTGTTGTTTTCTATAAATCGGGGATTGGCACCCCAGTCTGGTTGTTTCTTGAGCTTATGATATGAATCTGTGATTAGACGAATGCTACGCACATTGCGTATAAAATAAGCAAATAATCTAGACCTTTCGATCTCAAACGCATCTAAATTGGGAATATCCAATGTAGTCGAGTATTCAACCGCATCTGGATCAACTCCAAAATCCGAGCGCCCTAGAATGAAATTAGAATTTCATCATTGAATGTAAAGTATATATAGGATTTTACCTTGAGGACCACCGATCATTGTTTCGACCACCAAAAGGGTTTGCCATACTCTGGTTTGGACGAGGCACTCAACAGTATCAAGACCGCAAGGTAGTCCTTCAGCGTGGTAGCTGTGGTGTTCATGAAGATCAAGATCCTTCGCCATGGATACCATGGTCTTAACCGTCTGCCACGAGCGGTAGAAGTAGCCCTTCTTCGGTGAGCCCTCTCTAGCTTTCAGTAAAAGTAATAAAGCCTGGATTGTACTCAACCGAGGAGCTTCCATAAATGCCGCTTCATGCCCTGTTGAAAGTTAATGGAAAGAGCTAATATATTAATTTTTTATCTGAAAAAAAAAAAAAAGAAGGAAAGAAAGAAAGAAAGAAAGAAAACTCACTATTGCCTAGTGCAAGCCATTGTGCTCCTTGCGCTGGATCATCTGACATCCTTCCAGCACAAGCAAATATGGCTTCTAAAAGAAGGGGCGATATGGATGTTTTATCAGATTGCCATTGCTGATAGAGGTGGCCTCGATGGACAACAGGTACGTAAAAGTGAATATGGGTAAAGTATATATCGAAATATTCCATGGCTTCATCATCCGATGGCATCAATTCAGGTGGAATACGAATAGTTGCACCAGAGGTCGAAATACATGGTGGCAGTTTCGCGTCGCCTTCCTCTGCGGTTGGAACTTCCGGATCCCTTTCGCCCTTTCGCGGCTGCCGGATATAAGCGGCTTTTGAAAAGAAGTGTTAGCCATAATCCGAAGTATACGAAGTAGAGAGCAATAAAATTTTCGAGGCTGTCCAAGACAAATTTCTTTGTCACATAACTGGGAATGAAGTAAACAGCCCCAAGCACAGGGGGCATACCAACGCCACTTTCGTCTATTTTGAGATCTCCAAGTGCATCACTTAGATCTTCTGCATTTGATTGTTCAGACTTCGGATACGATGGAGCGTCAATAGTTGTCAGGAGTGTATTAGGTGGTGAAGCAGTATATAGGTCGGTGTTATGTTGAAATGTGTCATTATGTTGAAGGGGAAGAAGGTGAGATGGAGCGAGGTGCTGATATAGATCCTGGGGGTTCTGCACATGTTCTATATATGGTTGGGCTTGATACAGCCGAGATTCATCATTGTAGGCTCGACCGCTGCCCATATTTTGGGTATGTGCCCTATCAATAAGAAGCGATTGATGAGATATGTTCTGGGAGGAAGGGTTTAAATCCGCGGAATGAAGCACACTCATTGGCGGTGGCTGTTGACTAGGTTCAGAAATTTGGCCATGGGATGAAAAATCGCCATCGTGGCCGATGGTTGGGGGGATGCAAACAAGTTTCAACCGAGTGCACGCGGAACAAGGCCAAGTATTGGTAGTTGCAGCGTCGCATTTGATCTTCCGTTTGCGGCAGCCATTGCAAGCTCTCATAACTATTCAAATATTAGTCCAAAAAGTCCTGTTAAGGCGGGTGATGCCGTAGTATAAGGCGTACCCTTGAGACGTTTGTGTCGGTTGTGTTCGTCCACAAAAACATAGTCTACATATGTAATTCACGTCAGAATCAAAACACTAGGCGCATTATCACCACGCCTGCTAGCAGCGTAAATATTTTCCAGCAGCAATGCGAGATTCTCCGCAGTTGTAATAACAACAGGAGCTTACTTTTTTGACCCTCTGCGGGGCCCAGGTTAGGGGGAACAAACGAGAACGCCTGCATTGGCACACTCCGATCGGAAGCAGAGCGCTAGTCGGAGGGGCCCAAGGGAAAATTGCGACTCGTGGTTGTGGGAAGTGCGAAAGTATTGCAATGGTTGTAGGAATCAGTCCTGGGCTATTTACGGCTGAGCCTGCAGCCGCTGTGCAAGTGCCACTGTGGTATCTAACACGCGTGCGAGGGTTGAGCGATATATGTAGAAAACGTGGGACAGGTGTGGGATCGTGCAAAGACGGATACTCGTGGTTTAGCAGCTCGAAGCAAAGGAGGTTGTTGTAATGAGATCATAGAGCGCAAATCTAATCACCAAGGCTATTCGACGGTGTGTTGTTTACCTGCTTCCCCAGGGTCATGGTAGGTAGGGGAAGGTCTCTGAACAAGCTTCTAAGATCATCCACAAGTTTGGAGAGTTCCGGGTCAAACCACGGTTGCAAGCCGCGAACAACGAACGGCCAATGCGATCGGTAGAAGAGCTTATCCTACTCCACACAAGGAATAAGGAATTGACAGTCAGTATACAACGCGGTCATTGGCCACATATCGCGTAGCCACAACAGACTGAGGATTGTGTGGGGTACACTTGGGGCAGATTTGGGGAGGTGAAGGAGGGATTGGGAGCAACGAGCGAAAGGCCAGACTTGCGAACTAATCCGGAAACATGTGAAGCTTGCCTGGTCACGGGATTGATGGGCGAGGCCAGTGTCTTCCCGCCAGCTCAGTTCAGTCAGATCGGTATGCGAGGCCTGAGAAGCACCAAGGCGGGTGATTCTGTCGGCTGATTGTGGAAAGCGCAGCAACTCAGTGACGCCACAGACTCTCCATAAAGACCAGGGGCACCGTTGTTTGCAGAAAGGGACGGCAAGGGATGGCGTGAGTGACTGCGTGCGGAAAATGCACAAGAGTGAGTCTAAAAAAAGAAACGAAAAAAAAGGCAAAGGAAATGAGCAAACGAGGGCGGCTAATAATGGGAGAGGGGGGTAAAGAGAAAGCAGCGTTGGAGAAATGGCGGCGGCAAGCGTATACGCAGTTGTGCTCCTCTGGAGAACTGCAGTGGACTAAATAAATAGATCAAACTGCTCTCCGTCCGAGTCTTAAACAGCACGTAGTCAGTGGGCCTCTGCTAGCCGTTAAATCCCCTCCAGCCTCTAGCAGGGTAGATGTAGAGATGTCCTGCTGCGCCAAAAGCGTAGCCTCGTAGGTCTGCTGGGGGAAGAGATGATGGGCCGGGGCCTGGACATAAACTTCTCGGCGGGAAAACACACGATCCAGATGAAGGAAAAGTAGATAAATATAGTGGGCAGCAAGAACCCACCCCCTCTCGCGGTTATATGGACTCATGGAGTACTCTAAGGCTTCTTCATTTGCTATGCCGCAACTGATCACTCGCATACAGGAACAAGGAAAAGCGGCACTAATTTAGTCAGGCAGCAGAGCGGACGAGCCAAAACAATGATTCTTGAATGTTTAACTAAGTTGGGGGCGATTGGTAAGACAGTGATATGGCCATTAGATACAGTACAGAGCAAGCTGAAAGAGATATTGACAAGTCGCGGGTCTAATATACTTTGGTTCCCTTGATAAATTTACGGAGCATATTTTTTGTCATTGTTTCGATTCCTATCTCGGCATTCTCGGCACCTCTCGACTCAAAATGTACTGTACAGATTACATGATCATGCTATGCTTCCTGTGAAGGGATGGGGAAAAAGAAAACCAACAAATGATCTTGACTAAAACGCCGTGAGGCAAATTGCCAGTAACATCTTTCAAAGGGTGAAGGACCGATTCGCTGCGAGGGTTTCCTAGAGTCGCGACTGTAGCAAGCTTGCCCAAGCCCGCAACTATCCCTTTTTAGTCAGATAAATATCTGGCATCCAATGGATCCATCTACAAAAAGGGCTTGTCGTATTGATGTTGGTGGCTGGTCGGATGGGCATGTGCGGAGTAGCTGCTGGTGCGTACGGTGGCCCAGCAATTTGGGAATATGCGTTAAAGCTGTTCCCGTCGCCCTAGAGGATGCATTTCTTTTCTCTTCCCTCCATTTTGTTCCTGCTGGCCTTCTCCTGTCACTAGTTGATTTTTTGTCTTCTGATTGAAGCGCCCGCGTACTCCGGGTAGTTTGCATCTAGAAGGAAGCTAGAAAATATGAGCAGAAGCTGCACGGTTTTAGGCTTGGAGGCTGCGAGACACCTGCTGCCTACCCCTCAATTCTCCCTCCACAACAAAGGGTTAAAAGCCGTTTGAGAGGATCGTTACCATGAGTAGAAATGCCAAGAAAGTGGAGAGGCACTTGAATCTCGTTAGCAAAGGAGTAGGGAATGATTTGGGGGTTTGAGATGGTCTACCTGTAATAGGCTTTTACACCAATAAGTATACGAAACGGTACGAAACGGTACGAAACGGTACGATATATGATATGGTAAAGAATGATAAAAATAGAAGACCAAACCATGAATCGAAAAATTTTTCGAGCCTAGAAGTCAGTGTGAAGGAATGGAGCAATATCATCGAACGAAGTCAACGAGGAACGAAAAAGTTTGTAAAGCAGCTTCCAAAATAACCAATTCGTCTATGACATCCATCCAACTCATGCTGCCGAGCACAATGCCATCACAAGATGTGGCTGAGAAGAATAAACATGGGCCCAGCAGACAACACAGCCCACTTTTAAAAGTATTGTCCCAATGACCACAGGCATGTTTCTTTGCAAGTTTTGGACATCCACTTGCTGCGAAAACCCCGCCACTTCCCGCTCGAGAAAGGTAATTTTGAACTTCTCAGGGAGGGTAGGGGTTGCGAATAAGCGAGAGAGTGGGAGACGATGGCTCGGCACATCTTTTGGCACTTGAGGCGCCAATGCCTGGCCAGGGTCCAATTTTGGGTTCATCCCTTTCGTGGCCGCCGTAGTAGTATATCCATGTCTGGTCCACAAATATTTCCCTTGAAGAACGGATCAAGGAGGTCGATCCTTAAGTAGTTAGTTGCTGGTATCTGGGCAGAAAATTGGTTGGCAGAGATGCAATCCATTTATTCTAGCTTTTGAAGAATTTCTCCCTTGGCTCCTCCGGATGACGATTCAAGATTAAGAGGCACCAATTGTGATCCGATACGTCGATGATGTTGGGAAGAGCCCATTCCCCATCTTCATTGAAGATGCAAGGTCGGCAATTTCGTAGCTCAAAATTGAGGGTGTAAGCTGTTTGATTCCATGGTCAGTTTATGCTGTCCGACATTGTGATCGGGAATTGTTGCGGTGAACTCCGCGAAGTCCATATGATCACGTGGTTGTTAGCTCATTCAAATATTCTCTGAAAACGTTTCTTCTTTGACTGACAATTCCAAGAACCTTACATATAACATATCCCTCGGCAAATATGTTCAGGGGCTGCTGTGGCCAGATGGCCTCTCAAATCCTTTGTCCTTGCTCTCCCTCCCTGGACTTGGGTTATTCTTCACGGGTACCTTGTCCACCCAACCCCCGACTCCCTGCTATTATTCTTCTTCTCCTGTCCGCTCTGCCCAATGCACTTTCCCCCCCCTTGCCACTCACATACATAGCTTAAATGGTTAATCGCCAGCACTTTGTACATCCACATATTCCTTTTTAGCAGCCATCATATAAGGATCCCTTGTATAAAAGACACTGACACGCCCTCTAGGATGACACAGTAGAGCATTAATGATGTGCAACCCCACAAAACGCGGTGGCAAGCAGGGAACCTCAACTACCCGTTCCCCGCGGTTGATCGATTGCAACCTATGCAAAGCACATGCCACCCCACGGGTCCGCTAGTCGAGCTGCTATGCGCGGATGACATGCGATGGATGATCCTTCAAATCCATCTCCATTGGCTGATGGTACGAGAAAATGACATGGAAAATATGATTTAACGAGATTCATAAACTTACTCAACGGACAAAGTGTGAAATTTTCAATGATCTTATTTCCTTTTTTTTTTTTTTTTTAAAAAAATATGGATTCGGGAATTAGTGTTTAGGGAAGATAAGCCGTATATGGATCTTCATGCCCATGGTGAGAATGTTGCATAGTAAACGGCCGAGTCTCTATCTCCTTGCATTGCCGAAAACAGGAACGAGGATATGTTCTGTTTGGGTGAAAAAGATGAAGGGGGCCACGTTGGTCCAGCGCAGGAATCCCGAAAAATTATCACCATGAACCATGCGTTGCCACCTGGCTCTGAAATCATGAAGAAACGAGAAAAACAAAAGTTGGCCCCACAATGTCCATATGTGGTCAACCACCTCTGCAGTATGGCGAAAACACCAAATCGTGGTAATTATATAAATCTGGTTGACGATGTCCAATATTTAAAAATGAGAATGCTGTATCGGCCGAAGACGAATTTCGCCTCTGATTTCCTTCTGCTCCCCTTCAATTTCCAACAGATTATGATTTCTGTAAGAAAAACTGATTCGCGGGTTCTTCCAGTCCAGTCCACTCGAATCATGCTGTTCAACATTATCCGCCTCTTGATCAACAACTCCAAGATTTCTAAATTCGATCCTCCTATGGTTTATTGTCCTTTGTGCCCTTCCATCGATTAATTATAATACGTTTGTGGTAGTCATTCAACCAGCACTCAATGGCGTTGGTGATTCCGTGGACAAATATTCCGTTCCATTCGGCGCTCCCACAGAATGCTACAGCGTAAACGCAAAAACGCAAGAATGGAAAGGCAGACCCAAAACGTTTTCAACAAGGGTTCCCGGCCCAAAGTCGAACATGGGTGATTCACTCCTTCTCCACGCAAAAGCTCTCTAGTTCTCCTCATGCCCCGTCTGTTGCCGCCTGCTCTATTGTGGCTCTCCTTGGAATAGTAACACATGGTATCGAAGGAAGCCTAAGACCTAAATAAACAAGAGACACTCGCAATCGGGCACTACTGCCGAGATTCTAAGAATGGTAGATGTTTCTTTGTGATCTAGCCTCATCCCACCACTTCATCAATCGAAGCGGTCAAGGTGAGTAAAATAGCCAATGCTACGCACTACACCACCAAGCATACAACCCTTCAGCTTTTCAAGGAGAATTAGGGTTTGCACCTGATACTCGGGTATCTCGTCCCTCCTCCAGCTCCTGTTCGAGGAAGGCAATCTCTATGTGCAGTAATAATGCCTCATAAATATCGAACAGCACGTTTCACTTAACGTGGGACAATATCGACGAGAATTGGCCACACCAGCTCGTCATCGCCTTCTCACAAGGGAAGTGTATCATTTGCTGCGCTATATCGATTCCATACATGAAAGTGTAACCTTGGCTCGGTTTCTCTAACTTCACCATCGGTCTCGTGTGACCCAATCCAAATGGTCGGAAATTTTCTTACGAAAATTAATGGTTCGCGGAGAGAAGCGACAATTCTCTGTGGACTTCTCTACGAGTGTTCTGGCGCTACGGAATTACTAGTTTTACTAAGGCACACTTCACACTTGAAATATGCTGTGGAAGCTGATGGATGCTTCAATAGCGTCTTCAACCAGCCACGCATTGCTCCTGGAGCCAGCTTCTGGAAGAGCAACCCAAGGGGAAAAGAATTTGACTCCAAAAATGTTGGCCCTAGGCTGCCTATCACGGACTAGCGCACCGCACATATATGCCTCAGCTGCCTGCATGCTAATACAACCACTTAGACGTCCCACAAAAAACACCTACCTGATATAAGCACATCCTCCTTGGCGTTAGGATTCCTTTGATTCTGGGTAAATGAGGTTTTTCCTATCACATCTGTTGAAACATGGCCTACGCTAGCTGGACCCTTTTTTAAACAAATTTTCGTTTCAACTCCGGGCTCGAAAGCTTTCCGAAACACTAACGAGCATTTTGCCAGTTAGAGGCTCCATAACACTCCTCCTTGCATGAAATCCCATGTTGCCAAAGGGATCATGTCGAATTAGGAGAAATATGGAGAGGTCGTATTCTCAATTCGGTTTCACGATCGTCCCCTTATGACAGTGGACGAGTAAAGGCTTCTTTAACCATTCCAATTCATCAGTTTTAGGGATGCATATACAGCATTTCTTCTGTTCGCGGCAATACTTCCTTGCTATCACTCCAACCCCCCGAACAGCTCCGCGGTTCCGGTATACTCTGCATATAAATGTGTCTTTGGAGCCTCCTGGAAAACAGGAATAACGTTCAACCTCACCCAGGCCAGAGCAAGAATCGATTGCAAGAAATTTTTATTTGCAGATTTCTCCCCCGCCCGCTGTCATCTTTTAGGATGCGCTAGTTGAGATTTGCCCAGGAATGTCTGCATGTCAGCGTTACGAAAGGTTGTTTTTCCGAATGCTCAGAGTTTTACCTGCATAAAAAGCATATCTTTTTATGAATCTAATTTGGGGAAGCTATGACACCATCACCGTTAGATAGAATGCGCGCTGAAGACGAAATATTTTTATTTAAAAATTAACTAGCCAGTGAGCTCCCATGATTTCCAAGATGGGGGGGACGCCCGGTAGATCAGAGGCTAATCCCAAGGTTAGTTCCCGGCTATCCATTGCCGCCGTTCAAGTATATAGAACCCTTCAAACACGATAGCGAACGCAGACACAAACCACATCTTAAGCAAGGGGCCTGGTATGAAGAAACCGCTAGAATTCACAGGCCCTCATTAACTTTGTTAATATTTAAAACTTTTATTAGTGCTTATTGGGCGTGGGGAATGTGAACCCTTCCCAGACTACGGAGTGCAAAAATGCGCCCAACGATGGGACATATAAGGACCGACTCGAGCCACACTATAGCCTCACCATGAATGGCCATACGTCGGGCCAGAAGTGGATGCACAGCTCAATGAGCTGAGTCTTCTCAAGAGTTGCCATCTGGATTCTGTTTCTCTTCCTCTGTGTATATAGAAATCTCTCCAGCGTAGCACGTCCCCATGCCCTACGGGAGGCTTCTGAAACGCGGGCGCTGCCCGCGCTTCTCTGGGACGCTAAATCTATACATACATACATATAAGGACCGACTCCGACATATAATTTTTCGACCAGAATTTCACTTTCAGCGACAGCATCACCAATGAGTTTTCTTACGGTTGAAAATGGCCGCTGGTTATTTCACAAAGCAAAACGTGATGAACTAAGATATGAATCTCACAAGTCATCCAATTTTCGCAAAACCTACCAATCCACTAAGAATACCATTTAATTCCGTTTGCTAACCGAGTTAAGATATATAGAAGAGAAAAAGCGGCACAGCATCGCAAAGATTACTAATTCTAATACCCGTGCCCCTGACGTCGGCGCTCCTATCTAGCCTCTTTGTTCAACGCCGATGTGCCCTGCTGGTAGTTTTGGGGGCCGAGGGGGTCTATACGAGTTTCACCCTGGTAGCAGCACCTGGTGTCGGGGACATCCCTGATATCTCATCGACATTTTTTTTTCGTTTTGCCTTTTTTCTTTCAAAACCCACGGGAAATGGCTGGACAGGCTGCTTTGAGCGAGAGTCCAGACTTCTCACGAATCCCAACAATGGCATGGTTGAGGTGGCACAACGGGCATGAAAGAATGGCGTTTTGACGCCCCTGTGTCGTTCATTTAAAAAGAGGAAAGGCATTTTGTGGTAGTATTTGATGATTCCTGGGTATGTCCAGTAGTTGGCTGCAAGGTGAAGGATGGAGCATTCAGGTTGCGCAATATGTCTATTTGCAATATGCATGATTTCGGCGGCAAGAGCCCAGAAGTCTCTTTTCTCGCCGCTGTTGTTGTTATTGTTGCTTCTCTGTAAATCTGGAATATCTTCAAGTTCGCAGACTCCATAACATGCCAGTGATCAAGTTGTTGCTGGGGAAAATTTCGCCCGAAATATCACGTGAACATGTATTCATATCCCGTCCCTCCTATTGGCTGATGCACCGTTGATCCAGCGTTATCAGCAAATTTGCACTCCCTCAGCAACATCCACTGCCCATTGTAATTTTGATATTCCTTCTCTTCAATTAATTAATTATATGTCAGTGTCACAGCTCAAACTCCACCGACTCTTGTATCAAAAAACCAAAAGCCATGAAAATCCTCACTGCAAACTTCCTAACTTGTGCCGTAAAGGCTTGCAAGGCCTCCCCAGCTGCTTTCCCCCTCCACTTCTCCGATGCAGAACTCAAGCAGGAAGAGACAGAGTTCCAAGCAGATTTCCTACGCAATATCCTACCACGAATAGACTGGGACGCATTGGTAGTGACAGCAGGTGAGGTATGTATTTCCCCCCGTCCCCCCTTGTCTGGACCGAAAGTGAAAACAAGTCACAAAGACCCAGCTTATAATTTGATAATAGCTCGGCTTTACCTCCATAGCCTCCTCAAAACCCGAAGATGGCGCTCTGGCGGATGAGCGATTGCATGAGCTGCACCGATTCCTGCTCGAAACACATGTAGTGGAGGGTAAGCTGGTGTGCGGCAACTGCGGGCACGAGTATCAGATCAAAGAAGGAATTCCAAATTTCTTGTTACCGAGCCATCTTGGTATGTCAATCCATTCTGCATCATTTTCCATGTTTCACTCGGTTCATGTACATTACACATTATTCGGATGTCACATTGCTAACTAATACCAATTCTCATGGTGATATATATACCTAGTCTGATAATTAGAAGCAAAAAACAAAATAAAAAAGTAAAATAAAATAAGAAACCAACACATTCTACGCCGAGGCCTGATTTCATGAAGAAAAAAGTCAAATTACTGAAGAATTCTGTATTCCTCATCTACTGACTCTACATCACCAGTTGAGTTGTTAATGATTCAAGCAAACAACGTCTCTTTCCTGGGTCTACATCGCTTCGGTCTCCACCCTTTGGGCATCTGAAATCAATAGAGGGAAATTAAAAGAAGCCAAGAGTAAATAAGAATAACCATACTCTAAAACTTCCAATATAGCATTGATTGTATCATTATTGCCTCTAAGATAAAATAGCGAATCTGGCGTTTTGATAACTATCGACAGCTAGAAATTTATAACTGGTAAAGGAATCGGGCTGGTTAAGGGGCTTAATGCCTAAAGTTTGGCTGCGAAATTAGGCGTCAAACCCTTAACTTCTGGTACTGGACCGGGGTTAATTCGAGTTTATATTTCGACGGACGTGCAAGGACCATCCAGCCCATGATTCCCGGTAACATTTTGGATAGACCCGATCTTACAAGGGAAGCAAAACATCTCAACAAATTTTGGAATATCAGTGACCACCGTTGAAAATGTGTGTACCGGACATTGGACAGTTAGAATAATATTGTTGTTTAAGAGGGTTTCCTCTCCGCTAAAGCGGCACCACGAGGCAAATCGAATTCACGCTGCAACAACCTCCGAACCGAGATCATTCCGTTTTACACAACCACGCCAACTACACAAAAGCACAGAAGAGGGGAGATACAAAGGGAAGATACTCAAAGGCTCCAAAAGATGGCGATGCAGAATTCAAACCCCACAATCCTCAGCAAGGCAGACCTCCCAACCCGCCAACAGAAATCCCGCCACTCCGCCGCAAACTCAGCGTCACAATATGCCAGCGAAATATTTGGCCATGATCTCCTAGCGGTTCCCTTCCACGACCCCTTTGCCGCAAGCTATGTTAACGGCAGCTCATCTGGATCCGAAAGCGAAGATGATGATTTGATGGAAGAGCCCATTGACGAGCAAGAAATATACGGTGCATACCCAGAGTCCCTCGCCCAACCAACTCCCAAATTCCCTACTCTTAAAAAAATCCAGTATACCAAAAACTAACCACATGTACTCCCGCAGACCTCATCGCCACAATCGCCGACCCAGAACACCCCATATCCCTCGGCGCCCTAGCCGTCGTCTCCCTTCCCGACATCTCCATCCAGCACTCCCTCCCCAGCAACCCTGACTCCCCGCTCCGCACCGTTTCCGTCCTGATAACACCTACAATAACCCACTGCTCCCTTGCCACAGTGATCGGGCTAGGTGTGCGTGTGCGGCTGGAGCAGTCGTTGCCCCCGCGCTTCCGCGTTGATGTGCGTATCAAGGAGGGCACGCATAGTACGGCAGACGAGGTGAATAAGCAGCTTGCGGATAAGGAGCGGGTTGCGGCTGCGTTGGAGAATGGGACGCTTATGGGGGTTATTGGGAAGATGTTGGAGACGTGTCAGTGAGGATTGGGGGGGTGGCAGGGGGGTGGTGTTTTCTTTTTCATTTTATTTAATGGGATTCCTTGCACATGGAGTTGGGACGGCGTTTCATGTCCTTTTTCCTGTCCTTTACTTTTCATTTGGTTTGTTCCGGCGGCTGGGTTCGGAGGTTGGATTACAGTCTTTGATGCGTGAAAAAAAAGATATGACTGATATGACTGATATGATTTATGGGTAATATATCCCCACTGCATTTTGAGAAAATAAGCAAGCAATGAAAACGAGATTAATTGCGCTTTAGATTGATCGTTGCAATATAGAAATTCTATACATTATATACCATGTAATTTCCACTCAATGCATTTTCTCTTTTTTAATCTTGCCGGTGAATACAAGCAAAATCAATCCCCACCGTAATTGTACATAAATACCTGCAAGCCAACTAAAGTGAAGACCCTTCAAACATATCAAACTACGTTGCGGAAATAGCCAGGAGCAATAAGGAGAAGAAAAACACCAGTTCCTACTACCCCTCCCCTAACACGCCACTCTCCCTCAACCCTCTCCAAAGCTCCGGCTCTAAAAACTTACTAACACTCACGTCTTCCGCTAGCCCCTTGCGCCTCCTAGTCTTGAGCACAAAATCCCTCGCCGTCGCCATCGCACTCGCCATATCCAACGGCCGCAGCTTCACATCCCTATCCAACGGATCCCCAGGCACGACACTCCACTTATCAAAGACAAGACTCACCATCGCCTGGCCCTGCGTGTGTATGCGCAGATCTGTCTCAAAGCCGAATGAGTCGATGACAGGGATTAGGCCACGGACGGCGTAAAGTGGGGTGCCAGCGATGGGGCCATCGGAGAGAACGTGGCCGCGCCTTCGAGAAAGGACGGTGTAGATGGCCGCAACGGAGTCAGCGGGCCCTGTCATGGAGCAGGTGTATATGGGCTCCATGAGACGGGGTGAGGCCATGAGGAAGGAGGAGTAGACGGCGCGTCGGGCTGTCGGGATTATTTGGCCACCACCACGGAAGATAGCTTGGTCGGCGAGGGATATGTCCGTGAGTTTGAATTTGGTGTTGCGGATGGCTAAGGTTGGCGAGAAAGGGTTAGTAGGTTTCGCTGTTTCAGGTTTGGGAGTTACGGTTGGGATTTTGACTTACGTTCTTCGCACAGGGGTCCTTCCCTAGTTCCCCAACTAAAACCCTGCCGTATGGAGTCCCGCACGGTCCCCAGGAGCTTTTTATCTATTTGAGAAGGTAAAGTGTCATCCTGGAGGATGTTGGGACCCATTTCCTCAGGCCCAAATGCCCAAATACTCCGCGCAGCCAGTTTATCCCAGTCATAGTTCTGTTCGAAAAACTGAGCGACTTTGCGGATGGGGTCGCGTATGCTAACTCGTCCGCTTTCAATATCTTCCGCAATTCCATCATCCAGAGGCTCTGCAATCATTGTGATTTTGTTTTTCTTGTTAGGGGTTATGGCGTAGCACATAATGGCTGAAGTTTCGACGACCGTCTCGCAGAAGCGAGTGACTGGATCTGAGACCTTCAATTCCATTTCTGCGTAAAGGCGGCGGAGGTCATGGAGGACGCAATCCATGTAAAGTTCTCCCGTTCCTAGAACAATGTGCTCACCTGATTCCTCGACCTTGGTAGATATTAATGGATAGCTCTTGTTGATTTTTCGAAGACCCTCAAGCATCTTGGGGAGTTCGGAGGGATTGATGGGTTCAACTGCAACCTTGAAAACAGATTCGGTCATGTGCTTTATCGGCTTGAAGATATAAGCGTCTTCATCATCTTCAAGTTTCAGGGGAACCAGTGTAGCGGTCTTTACTATGGAATTATCTACACCTGATAGAAGCACCCAGTTTCCGGCAGGGACACCGCTTGTAGGGATGTTGTATCTGGTCTCCGCAATCCAAGTATCCGCTATTGTGGCAATGACCATATCTTCCTCGTCGTCGATGGTGTAGCCCTCTCCCAAAACCCGTACTTGCTGACCCGGTCGAGCAACACCACTCATTACTCTACCGAAGGCGTTGAACTTGGATGCATCAGGAGTGCTGTATAGTTTTGTTACCTGGATTACCAAAGGTCCGTCTTGGTCGCATGTTGACATTGAAGCCGCCACTTTTGTATCCAGAGGTCCAGTGTAGTATTTCTCGAGCAACTTCTGTGCATTATCCTTTGGTGAGGGGATGTGCTGGACCACCATGTCAACGAATCCATCAACAGGCCCGAAGAATTGTTCGCAAACAAGCTTTAGTAGGATCTTCGCGTCCGATTTCAGCTGGGAAGGTTTTAGGAATATTCCTAGGGTGGCTAGAGTCTCTTTTAGGTCCTCCGGGCTCTCAGAAATGGTGTGAGAAATGATCTTGTAGATAGGCTCCAAAACAAAATGGACGAAAGTCCGTTTCGAGCGCTCTTCAACGCCCTTGCGGGTGAACTTTCTGCTTTTGGGGTTAAAAAAGATATCGCCCCAGAGACGGGCACCGAATTCTGCAATATCAATGCCCTTGTAGGTGTCAGCATACATCTTCGCAAATGACTGTAACGTAAAGCACCAGTTCATGCTGGTGCAGGCGAATGCGACATTCCCTTTCTCCGGGCTCAATCTCCTCTTTTCGCCTTGGCCAGGTAAGGTCCGTTCGATAACCGTGTTCACTTCTTCGACGACGTGTTTTAATTTGAAATAAGCGTCCGAGGGGGGAAGTTTTAGTTCAAGGATGAGTCGATCCATCTTGTTCACGACCAGCGTGAGAGGCAAATCCTCCAGCACAGCATATTTGATTATCTGCTCCGTATTGATCTGCACCCCTTCAACAACGTCAACTATCAGGACAACGCCGTCAACCAATCTGAACGCAGCAGCAACCTCGTCAACAAAATTTACGTGTCCGGGGGTGTCAATGATATTGAAAAGGTGTGATTTCCCGCGCGTGCCTTGTAAGACCAAACTCATGGGAGCAGATTTGATAGATAAACCACGTTCCCGTTCGACAAAATGGACATCTGTATAACGTAGTTGCTCATCTTTCCGTCTGCCAATCCTTTTATCCAGCCGTTCCGACAGGTCGTGCGTTTGCATTACGAGAGTATCCATAAACGCGGTTTTTCCATGATGCACGTGGCCAGCAAGGGCAATGTTTCGGGTTTGGTTGGGGAAATTTAGGAGGTCAGTCATAAATTCGCGTGAATAAAAAACGGAGGGAAGGTCCGCTTCCTGGACCGCGAATTTCTTCTGCTGGACGGGGGCGATGATGGGCTGGGTCAGCGGTTGCGCATCTTCTTCCTCGACAAGCGTCTCCACGCCTTCGCCATACACCTGCTGGGCCGTTGGGTAATATTGTTTATCTTCATGTAGGATGACCGCATTCGAAGGACCTTGTTCTGTATCGATATTGCGATATCTGTGTCAGCAGCCTTTCATCATCGACTTCTCAATATCCGGAAACAAAAATGTGGTCAACTCGCGTGCGTAAGTGATCATTACCATCTAGCTCCATCAATTGCTGATCATGAGCAGGCCCTTCTCCAGCCTCTTCATCTTCCTCCGACTCGAGGTCGTAAGCGTATGCGTCTGGGCGAGATTCGCCATGTCTAAGCTCCTCTTCAGACTCTTCAGCCTCCCCAATGTAGTTCCCGAACCTGCGCAACACACGATCATTAGCGCAACTCTGGCCCAGGAGCTGCTGAAATGCTGCTGCCTTGAATCAAAAGCACCTACTCGTCGTAAAGATCGTCCATAGTGTCTGCGAAAGAGCAATGTAGGAAACGCGCAGTATGATTAATTGCAGACGGAATGGATCATTTCGCGAGCACCTTTTCCTCTGCAGAAGCGTACTACAAATGCCTTGCAATATAACGTATAACTAAATCGCAGAGATGGAGTCGCGGGGAGAGCAGGTGTTGTCCTCTGTGTTTGGCTGATCGATGCCGTCCTGGAGATTTGTCGTGGGAGAGCTTGGTGATGGCCTCAGGCACCAACAAAAAATTTAATCAACAATCTGGTTAACTAGTTAGTTAGTTACAACGGATCAGGAAACAAAGTAAATGATAATACGAATTGAGTGAAATTGAATTAAAGAAAAAGAAACGGTCCACGGGAGAAAGCTGCTGCCTATTTAAAAACCCCCTATAATCATATACTATTTTATTGACTCTTCCCCCAACTGTTGCTGTTCGTTCAGTTTCACTCCTGTTGGTTTTGTTAGCTATTTACAGGGTTGTCTCTAGTCCCGCTCGCCCCTCATCCAAGTCAATATTCATTTCCCCCCAACAGAACTGGCATACCGCCACTCTCTTTGGTGCTTATATACTTCCGCATTGTTCGCTCTCAATTGCTTCCTTTTGCTGCTGTGTTTGCCGTTCTTGACTATCTTCTGTCAATTGCTCCATTCCGTGGATCTATCCATCGGACTATTACACCGCACACTGACCTGCCTCTGATCTATACCATGTCTTCTCTCCCTCCCGTCTACATCGTTGCGTCCGCGAGAACCCCCGTGGGTTCCTTTCTAGGGTAGGTACAAAGCCTCCAAATGTTGAAGCGTACCTTGTTTAACCATCGTAGAATTGTTCTCAATCTACCTTTATACGTGAGTGCAGGCGTACCATACTGACAGTCCATTGCCCCTCCTTTCAGGTCCCTCTCTAGCTTGACGGCACCTCAACTTGGCTCCCACGCCATCAAGAGCAAGTGAACCTACCCCCTTTGGCCCAGCGCATATAGCCAGAGCTGACATCGGGCCCCGTGCAGCTGCCGTACAGAGAGTGCCGGCAATCAAGCCCAGTGATGTCGAGGAAGTCTTCTTCGGAAACGTCCTCTCCGCAAAGTAAAACGAACTCCACCCAATCCAGATACCCATTCTCATACTGCCTTCCACTGGGTTTATATGTATATTT